GAATCTTGCAAATATATATATATAGTAAATATCCATATATCTAGATATTAGTATAAAATTTGAAGGAATTATTTAATAGTGCTACTAATATTTGACAAGACAAATTTCCTGTAAGAAAAAACATATATTCCAAGTTATTAATTTGCTTGAATATATATGAGTATTACCATCGATATGTTTCATTCTATTTTCATATTAAATGTTTTTCAAATGGTCTTCTTCATCATCATCATCTTATTCCCTTTTACGGTACGGCGTTACTCAATCAAAAAACATCCAAACAAAACGAAAAACGACAAAAAAATAAAAATATAATTAAGTTATGACGGGGGAGAGCGAAAGAGAAAAACAAAACAAAACAAACAAACAACCGAGAGAGAATTACAGATCAAACATTATGAAACTAAAGGAACTTTAGATACACCAAACAATCTTTAAAAATTCAAATTTTTTCTTATAGTCCATGATAATTTATAATACTAAATTATCGTGTTAAAATAAATAAAAGAAGTGGCACGTTAAGAGGCTACAGATATCAAATATCATTTATACTTGCATTATACAAAGAAATACGGCCTTAGGTTACCCAAATATCGACTTTATTTATTCTTTGTTTTTATTTTTGATTTGAATTTTTTTCATCACCTAATATAATAAGAAAATTGAACAATTATACTATTTTTTTATTGCATTTTAAAGGGTAAGCAATCCAAGAAATTACTAATTTATATCAAAGATTAGTTTCCAGATACCATTTTTTTTTGAACTCCTCAAATTTTATATAAAGATTTAATAAGTATGTCGCAAGGGAGTAGCGAAGCCTCAAATAGTGTAGGTACAAGAATAGAATCCTTAAAACGTTCAAATGATACGTCACCGCGAAATATGTTACCAATAATGAGTATTCGACCCAGACTGAAAAATTTGAACGACTACCCTAACAATATTTATAATAATAGAAAGTCATCAACGACAGAAGTTTTAATACCGAAGAAAAGAATATTGGTGGAAAATAGTGAAGGTGATACAATTATACCTAGCGCAAAGCGTATCAATATACCCCAAGAAGAATATCAATACCCAGAAGAACAAAATAAATTATTATCTTTATTAAAATCGAGAATGAAAATTGCTAAACCAACATCTCCAAAAAAACCATTACAAAATAAGCCTAATAATGAAATTCTAAATACAACTACAAAACAGCAAGATAAATTACCTAACAATATAGTTTCTACTACTACAATAAACTCACATTCAATTCAAAATAAACCACAGCATATCTCTATACCCAATACAACTGCAACAACCACATATAGCATAACGTCAAGTAATAAAACGAATAAACTCAATCAGCATACCATAAATACTGGAAATAATGACCAATTACCAAATAGATCATCATTCTTGGGATCGATGAGAACTTTTCTTAATAGAAGCTATCGAAGTCAATGCCCAACAACTCCAACAGATAAAAACACAACAAATCTTACAAATGAAAAAGGGTTACATTCTACAGATAACCTCCCTACATTAGATAACGATAACAAACGTGCGAACGAGACAGATATTTTACTTGATCAGTCAACCACCAGACAAAATGAACTCGAGAAGTCCAATTCTATTTTGAATAACTCAACTTCTACTGTATCACAAACAAAGAATGACACTCCAGTATTGTCTTCTCAAGGGAATAACATATCGGATAAGACTGATAGGAGTACAGAACGTAGTAATATGAGAATATTGTCTCAAAAACCAATTATGGTTAACCTTGAAAACGAAGGATCCTTCGATAATGATGGTGATAAAAATATCGAAAAGCCTCAAGATAATATTGATCTCCCTAAAGAAAAACCCTTAACATCAAATCAATTACAGAAAAGTCAGATCCCTAATAAGACAACCAAAACAACACCAGAATTGACAGATGCACAACCGAATACAACTTCCCAACCAACATCGTCGTCAGATTTATCAGAGACTACACCAGATACTTTATCCACTCTTAATAAAGTTACGAAAGTTGTTATAGAAGAGAAAAATTCTGAATCTAACAAAAGCCCATCAAGTGGAAACATTAGTCCGGTAGCCCAAACAGACAGTTACCTTTATACACAAAAATCTAGAAATGATAATGATCTGGAAGATTCTCTGAGTAATTCAACACAAAACAGTCTGAGCCAGTCAATCAATACCATACAGAATACATCAATAACAAAGAAACGGGGTACCGGTATTCAAAAAGGACCTACAATCGAAGATCCCTTGTCAGGTATGAAAATTGCGAGTCTTTTGAGTAATACGGATAAATCCAAGGATACAACTGAGGATAATAAGTCATCACAAGAACAAAGAAATATAAAGGACAAGAGCTCAACGAACGTCGATGATCCTTCTATTCTGAATACGCAGAACGTGAAAAGCACCCCATTACAAAATGAAGGTGTTAGTAGTCCCGACATAAAAAGGCAGAAAGTAACTGAAAGTTCGGAAAATATTAAAGAAAAAGGGGATCTGCATAACGATATATCCAATAGTTTAACCACCGGGTCATCTACTGTAGTTATGACCAATGCAAACAATGATACTACCTCTCATTCTGATCCGTCATTGTTAGCTAACCTGATGCAAAAGTCACCAACACCTGTTTTAGCCCAAATAATAAGCCCCAAGGTCTCTTCAACAGACTCATCTCTCCAACAAGATGGAGCTTCAAATAATAACCAAACATCATTACCCGAAGAGAATAACATTGTAAAACAAGAGGAACTTATGAGAAGTCTAAAAGATGGTGTTGTTCAAAACGATTTTGTTTCATTCCTCGGTAGACTTAATACACCTGACAAACAGAATAATAGCCCACCACGCCATTCAGCAACACTTGAAGTTATATACATATCCGACTTCGATTCAGATGAACCAGTTGAAGGTAAATCATCAAGTAGTGAGAGTAATGAAGAGAGCGATTTGGACGGTAATGCTACCTCTGTGAGCAATGAAAACCAAAAGATTACACCTCAAAATGTTATTGAGAGAAATACAAAATATATTAAGGTAGACATCCCAAGTGAAGAGATCGACCTGGAACGGAAAAGATATGATAATATGCTCAATATCAATGGGATGAAAACTTTAAATGCTTCCAAATCTCATCATAGAGATGACATTGTGACTTTAATCGAAAGTGGAATTATTGAACATACTTCATTTGAGTCAAATAATTTTGTTAGTAGCACAAATAATGTTTGCCAATCAGAGAATTTTGAAACAAGCCAGGTCGTGGATTATCAACAACTCCATAAGAGGGACCGTTTGAGAGAAATCCCACTTGCTAGGGTACTAAGCCAGGATTTTATTAATCGAGGGGCAAATTTGATCGCTGAAGATAAAAGAGCTGTAGAAAAGGAGAAGAAGATTACGAAGGGAATCGATAATAATGTTTTTAAAAAATTTGCGAAGAAAAATGAAAATAAATGGACTGAAACAGCCATTACTAAGATTGCCGAACTTCTCATAAATGATGTAGTAAAGAGTAAGCAAAAAAGTGTCAAAAATATTCCGAAGGTGTCCGAAGAACATAAGCCTAAAACAAACATCAATATTACAAATCGATCAACAGAAAATAACATTGAACGGAATGATGCAATTTCACAAGAACCTCAAGAAAGTAATTCAAAAACAGACGACAATGTTTCAAAGTTACAAAATGATATGATGACCATAAACAAAAAACAAACTGAGAAATCCCTAAAACTCTCATCAGAAAAAGACGAAGAAACTATAACTTCCTCAAGAGAGTTATGGAGGAAAGAGTGGATAGAAAATCTTAAGTTATGTTACATCTATCCATATGAAGCTTATCCATCTAACATACTCACTGCGAACGAAAAGAAAGGTTTAGACTATTCTTTCGGATTAGTTAAAAGAATCCTCAAAGAGAGATATAATGTACCGCTACTTACAAACTTTGATCCCAAAGTACATATTGTTATTTTAAAGGGTGACATTCATGATTTCAAAGGCGACAAAAAACTTGAAGAAATACAGAATACAGTTCAAATAGGTTCAATTGATAGGAAAGTTAGGGTATGGTCATTAAATAAAGTCACAAAGTTTTTACAAAATATGGACACAATCCCTGAAAATGACCACAACAATAAACCAGAAGCTGATGATCAGCACCCTTTGCTAGATAATAAAGAACCGGATAATTCCAAGACCACCCAAGTATTAGCATCTATTAATAATGTAGACAAATCCCAAACTGGTGAACAAGGGCAAAACAAGCCTGTCAGAGATCCCAAGTCTTCGAATATCAATGAAGCTATCAACGTCGAGAATAAATCAGATGAGGATAAACAGGCGGATAGGTCAGTTAAAAAAGCAATCCATATAGAAACCACCAGTACAAAAACAGGAAGCGTCATTGTACAGAAACTCGATCTGGACCCCAAAAACCAACTTAATACCTTATCTCAAGATAATTCTGTTACATATAATGAATTCTCAAACGTACAGAAGAATAATATTGTCATTTCCCAACCTGACACCAACATAGCGACAGTTGATATTGATAGGTATGAGGAACAACAAGACGGACTAACGATTACTAAGATGATGACAAACCTTGAAGAGTTACTAACCAAAGTAAGCTCCGAACTTCAAAAAGAACGTGATGAGAACAAGAAAATGCAGGGATGCCTTTTCGAATTGTCGAATCAATTGTTAAAACAAGAGATGGCAAATTCAAGTTTGCATGCTTGTTTAGATATAGAACAAAAAGAAAAAGAAATTGTTGAGAAGGAGAGAGATTACCTAAAGGAAAGTCTGAAGAAGATAAATGTTGAATTCACGCTCTTCAAAGATATCGCTGCAAAAAGACCAAAAGAAGCCGAAAACCAGGCAAATAAAAGCACGCAATAGAATACCGAATGGTAACGGCATTCCGCCATTGCAAGTTGTAATAATAAAGAAGTTTAATTTAATTATATAAACATAAATATATCGGCATCTGCACAAATTGGGAAATTATTATAAAACCCATTTGTGTTTTCAACCAACTGTTTCTATATTCCAATAATACAAGGCGATTTTTATAGAAAAATATATTTTTTTAGCTGTATTATATTTCTAGATACACATGTTGAAAAATAGAGGTATTCATATATATATATAGTTGTGGCAGTTAAGGTCACCACATTAGTTCTTAGAGAGTTACTTAAAACCATGCAACTAGATATCTTTATATTTGAGATATTTTGGTATATAATTAAACTTATAGATACAGTAATGCAGTAAAGATTCTAGTCATAACGATCCATATTCATTTTATGAGCTTTCTAAAATTCTGAAGAGCCGAAGAATAATCTCCATTTGTATTATTTTTAATAGAATCATAATAACAAATAGCATGGAAATATTTGCCATTAATATAAACAGTATTCTTCCAAACCCACTCACCAGAATCTTCATCATATACTGCACCAACAGTATCCTTACATATAGGGCATTTGAATGTCATATCGACATTCGTTTCAGGGACAGATACCTTTGCCTCGCGTAATATATCTTCATTAATCGTACCGTCGTTAAGAGTTCCATCAGTCCCTGAGGATGATGGATTATGACCGATTTTACTTGAATTGTCGCCCATATTTTTCCATTTATCATCTCTTCTATTCCTATTACGTCCATCATTGTCGTTTACGATATTTTTAGTTGATGTGATATCATCATCATTAAAGCTAATCCATTGAGAATCTTGCAAATACCAATTTCTTGATTGGATATTTTTTTGCATTGCGGTAGCCCCTGTATTACTATTCGAAATTACTTGAGATGAACCTTTTATTCTTTTGTTAATTCTAAAGTGCCAATCTAAATGTTCGCTTAATAACCTTTTCTCATCGTTTGAGTTACCGAACCTTTTACCACATGTATTACATTTGTTCGACTTAGCACGATATAGTAAATGTATTAAATTGTTTAATACAACGTTATTGGGATTAGTCAAATTTTCTTGACTAAATGATAGTGATGGTATATTCGAAATATTAATATTAACATTTGCAAAATATGCTTTGCAATCTAAAACAATATTTTGTAACATTTCAACTGGGGGTAATTGGATTTCATGATCTTTGGCTGAGATATCAGATTCATTAGGCTTAATCTTATCATAGAGAGCTACGATTGATTCGTTCTGAGGTTTATACAATAATCCCAAATTGTTCAATGACTGATATAAATTTTGAACTTTTGATTCTTTATTGGCCTTTTCCATTACATCTAATTTTTGGGATGATAACACTCCCGTTGTATTTGCAAAGAGGGAGGATACGTTTGAACCTAAACTTGTCATATTATCAAACAATGGGATAGGTGTAGACGAACTAGATTTTTGACTCTCATTAGTCCCAAGAGAATCTGAGCCATCTAATCTCTTTTGTTGATGATGTTGTTGTTGTTGCTGTTGTTGGTATTGCTGCCTCTGTTGAGTTTTTTGTTCATATTCATATTGTTGTTGTATTAGTTGTTGATCCTGTGAAAATACTTCTTTTAGTTGTAATTGTACTTGCCTTAATGCAGCTTGTGATAATTTACCCTTTTGTAATTCTTGTTTCAATTGTCCCAGAACTTGTAATTTTATATTTAACTTTTGATCAGTAGGTGCTTTAACCAATCTTTGCTTTGTTAAAATAGTCAATTTATCAATGTCTGCTAATAATAATGGTACAGTTGGAGTTGGTAACATAGATTGATAATTCTTTTGATGTAATGCACTTGCTTTAATTAAAAAAGTCTCAATTTTCCCTAGGGATGATGTCTCAAATAAGGGACTTCCTGTAGCTTCACTTGGGGTCATCCATGTCTTGAATAATGATATAAGTTTACTTCTTGTTGTATTATCAACTAAAAGGTAAGTCTTTTTGTATAATGCAAACAAATTTCTACTAAAATAAATTGTGTAGGGACTACCAGCATTTTTACAAATGGAATCTAATGCATAAAATGCATATAATTTCTGTGTTGGAACACATTTATTTATTCTAGTCTCTAAGGCATCCACAAAATATTGAGCGCATGATATGTTTTCTTCTGCTAATTTAGTTAAAGTCGTAATGATAGGTTTTGAATTAAAAGTCAATTCATCAAGAACACTTGTAAAATCCTTCACTAGTCTTTCAGTTTCTGTATCCATTTTAACAAGTATTCTATTATAGTACTTTTCTTCTTCTGGTGGTAGATTTAAATTAAGTTCTTTTTGATCTTTTTAAAAATATTAAGGGGGAATAATAATATGAATAGTATGTACACGATTCTATATAATGAAAGAATGAAGATAATACGATATTTAACAAAAAATATGAAGTTCTATTAAGTATCCCAACTTTTCTTTTTAAATAACCCACTTGGAAACAAGTTTAAATATGATATTTTTTTTGGCCAGGTGATTATAATTATAGGTAAGTATATCTAAAAAGTACCTATTACTCTATCTCTATTATATTACTGATTTGTCCTCTCTCTATATAGAATATTACTATCCTTTAAACCTGATAAGAAGTACTAAATATTATATATAGTAATAGTTTCAGCTATATTTTTTACAAGTGCTAAGTCTGAAAAAAAATAAAGGTATTAAAAATTATTAAGTAATTCATTTTTTTCTTCGTGCTTTCCAGCTGGATTATCATGATCAACGAGGCGACACAGAATAATAATTTCAAAGTAAATACTATTAACCAGAATTATACAAGTAGTAGACTATAAAAAGATGTTTTATTCTTATCAATGAATTGTTTATATTAAATCTAATGTAATGTATATAATTATAGTATATATATATATTGTGGTAATGCTAAATATTTAAATGATTTCAGGATTTGGTAAACGTTTAAAACAAGCAACAAATTTACTACCTTGTTTTCTTGCTACTTTTTTACCTTCTTCGGTAGCATTAGTCATAATTTCTACACATTTATCATTTGCTTCCCATTCTTTACTTAACCTTTCGAATAATGGATGCTCAGTAAGATGTTTAACCATCCAATTATGTAAATCTTCAACATCAGTAATTGTGTATATGATACCACCTTCTTTCAAGACATAAGCATATTCGCTTAATAAAGTATTTGTGACAATTCTTGCTTTATGCTTTCTTTGTTTAAAATGAGGATCAGGGAAACAGAAAAACATTTTAGATAATTGTGCTTTATGGAAAAAATTTGGTAAAAATTTCATAGCATTACCTCTAAGGACATTGATATTTTGATAAGTTTGTTCTTTTGCATGATTACTTCTTAAAGCAATAATTCTATCTTCAACATAGTTTGTCACTTGAACACGAATTTCCATCCCTAAAATAAGTTGTTGAGGAAATGCAGGTGATAAATCAATCATTAATCCACCAAACCCACAACCAATATCTGCAATAGTAACTTCTTTAGTCATCTCACCTGAATTTTCATCTTTAAATGCAGGATATAGTTTACTCCAATCCATATCTTCTGGACATGATGGATATTCTAATTGATGATCTGAGAAAGGATTTGAATGTGCTCTTTGTCTATAATATTTTTTTTTAGGTAATTCCATTTTATTTTTCTTATTTTTTTTAGTACTAATATCAGATTTTATGACGCTTGATTCATCAATTTTTACATGTTTTAATTCTTTACGATTTTCTTCTTTATTAACACGATAAATAAATCTCTTGGAATTAGGATCCATATTACCACTTGCAGCTCTCATTTTTGTACTCTTGTATGTATCTATATATCTATGGTAAAGTGTACTAATTAATTATAAGAACAACAACAACAACTTCTAATACACTGCCCAACCACAAACACTCTATTTATTATATTGATCAATTAATCAATCTTTAATCTCCCAATGCTCATCGCCTGAAAAAAAAAATTTTCAACTTTTTTTTTTGTTTTCAAAAATTTTCGGTTTTTTTCTCGCTTTGTGAAGGAGAATAAAAGCTGAGCGGACAGAGCGCGTTGTGCTGATTGAAGTTCTGTTATGTGTGTGACGGATAATATTGAGTGTGGGTGAGTGTGGTGCTATCTTACAAGGTGTGTCACTGTATAAAGGTCTGTATGTATATATTTATGTAATTCTTGTAATTTTGGTAGGAATAATTTAATAGCTTTAACAGAACATTACCAATTGTATAATCTATATAGATATCTTGTTTCTTTCTATTCTATGTATTCATTTTATTTACTTTGTTTTTCAGTAATTTTCAACATTTTTTTATTTTTTTAATTTTTCGGAAGTTCAAGGAAATAAAGGAAATGTTGGCATCTCTCTCTCTCTTTCATACTATTATTTACTTGAAAAAAAAATACTCAAGTATAATATAACAGAAGTGGGTGAGCTTAATTGGTAACAGAAGAAAGTTTAATCTTGGTTATTTCTATGATATCTGTGAAAGTTTAGTTCTTATATACATACAGGCCTTTCTTCATTTTGTTATAAAACATTGTAATATTAAGAGAACTCCCCTTATTATAAGAGTTATTTTTCAAAACAAAATACATTTTTAACACGCATCCTTCATTTTTTTTTATTTTGATTAATATACAAAAAAGGGTATAATATACACCAAAAATAAACAATATGAGTAATATTGATAGTTCAACAATCACTCCAGAAAGATATGCTCCACATCTATCTGAGTTCTATCCCATAATGAATAGTAATAATAATAATAATCAACAGAATGATGATACAAGAACACGACAACAAGATGGACTTCTACTAAACCAAACGATAATTTCTCCACAACGATCCGATCATACTACTCCATCGTCACGATTTGCATTATTACCATCCTCTCATAATTCTTTAAGAAGACCTTCAAGTGTAGCATCAAATAGTCAAAGTATAATGAGTGATTTACAAACTCTTATAACACGCCGTGATGTTAAACAGACTAAAGAAGCAATGAAATCGTTGAACAATACTTCGAAAGAATTAAGTGACGCATTGGCTACTGTAGCACGATGTTCGAGTAAAATGGCTTGTGAATTTGAAAATTTTGCTCATTTAAAAGGTTGTAATGATGATACAGCTGAAAAATTTATGAATGCAAGTGGATTATTTCATTTAGTTGGTAATCATGAATTAATAATGAGCGAATTTATTAATAATTTATTAATTGATTCAGTAACTGATATGATGGACGAATTTCAATTTAAATCAAAATCTTTAGAAAACAAATTTAATTCAAAGAGGAAAGAAGAATCATTAAAATTAAAAATACAAGAAAAATTTAATAATGATTTTTCGAAGAGAAATGTTAGAAATTTAATATCATATCGTGAAAGTTTAAATAATTTACAAAATCAATTAGATCAATTAGAAATATTAAAATATGATTATTATAATGATTCATATCAATTAGTTGAATCAACTTGTAATAATGTATTAAAAAATGTTGCTAGTATAACAAGAGCACAAGTAGAAATTTCTGAAAACATTGCAAGAAAAGGGTGGTCAGGAGGTGGTTTGGATGATTTATTAATAGATGCAAATGATCCATTCACACAAAATGAAGATGATGAAGAAGAACAAAATGAAGAGGATGAAGAAGAAGAAGAAGAAGAAGAAGAAGATAATGATGAGACTGATCATATTATGAGTAGCATACCGGAAGAAGAATCTGATACAAATAATCATAGAAATAATAATAGCAATGACAATATTAATAGAACAACAAATATGGAAGCGACAAAGAATGATAATTTATCCAATTCTATGGAACAATTAAGAGTTCAAAGTATGCCTCAATCGACGGACAATAATTCAAGAAGTATAATAGGTGCAACTGGAGACACCAGTAATATTATTACAAGTGATGGCAGTAATAGTAGTCATAACAATAATAACGAGGAAATAGAAGAACAATTATCAGATAACGAAAATGATAATTCATTTGCATTACCATTATCCAATAGTGTCGGAGTACGAACAAGTTCAATACTCGACGAAGAAGAAGAAGAAGAAGAAGAAGATGATGGCGACGACAACGAACATACTAGACATAATAATGAAAGTTTATAAATTTACCTTTCCTCTCAATTAAGTACGGCACAATAAATGCATATTATTATATTCACATAAAACAGATAATGTTTAAAAACAAAATATTTACAAAAAATACATCACATATATATATATATTAAGAGTACATTCCTATTCACCAAAATTTATACCAAGGTTTACTATTTAAATTAAAAGATGAATCATTTGGATGATTTTCCCATTCTTTTTTCAAAATTTCAATTTCTTTCAATTTTTCAGGTGATATTTCTTTCTTTTCTTTATGTGCAGGTAATTTACCTTGAGCAATTGCCTCTTTTCTCTTCTTTTCTTGCATTGTTTGCATTGCCATTGTAGAAATTTCCATACTTTTCTTTCTTTTCATTCTACATTGTTCCCAACCAACAATTGAACCTAAAAATAAACCACCAGTTGCCCAATTTGTTGCTTTAATTGGATTTTTATGATATAATAAAGTAATCGAACCTAAAATAAACATCGAAGAAAAACCAACCATACCAGCATCTCTAAAACAAGGAATTTCTGTTAATTTCGCTAATGAAAAATCTTTCCAATTAATTGTTTCTAAAGCATTTTTCATCATTCCTGATGTATTTGATCCTGAATTCGACGATTCAGGATCAAATCTTGGTGGTTTATCTTGCATTAAAATCTTTTGGCCCTTTGAATAATTAGTTAATACAGGTTCATTAACTGTTTCAACATTTTTATTTTTATCCTCATTTTCTTTATCTTTACTAAACCAACCCATTGTTAGGTATATCTGTTATATTACGTATGTAGTGTGTATAGTTAATCAATTTTCAAAAAATGTTACTACTTATACTTATAGTATTGAAATGTTATATAATGTAGTATAGTATAGTGAGAAGTCATCCCCCCCTTAACCATCCCTACATTAGTCTACGTTGAAAAAAACACATATCAAAAGATATTACTATGGCAATGAAAAGTGTACCATTAATGAATAAATAAGCGAAAAACCAACCCCACATCGTTCCGCACGATGTCACAACGTATCCGAGTCTGTCTCGGCTGAAAACAAAAAAAAAAGAACGTATTTTGAGCAAATTTTAACAATTTTTGGAAAGTTTAAGCGAGCGCGCTAAATGATCACCGATTTTCTCTCACAGTGGAAAGCAAAAAAAAAACAAAATTTTTTCTTTCAAATTGAAATTTTTTGGGCACCTTTTAACGGGGAAATACGTAGTGAGCAGATAGAAAAATGAAATTGGCAGATAATCTTATGCTTTCTACCGGGTATTCTGTGTTGTAAAACTGAAAGAAAACATGCTGGGAGAGCGAGAGTCACGCTCTGTGCATTTGCTCGTTTAATTTTCAATAAAAATTTGATAATCTACGCGCATCTTTAGGCATGTTTTACGACGGTCACAGTGGAAAGAGTGAGAGGCAGAGATTGGCTCCCGTGAGGTGAGGTGAGGGTTTGGAGTTATTTTTTTGGGATATTTTCCAGGGTGGCCGAATTGAAAATATGGGTTCATGGGGGAGGTTGTTGTATGCGATGAATGCTGCTTAAAGCATCTCAGGAAGATTGGTTAGCGCGAGTACTATTATAATATACTGCCCTTTACAACTTTATTGGAATTAGAGAGAAAATATGGCAAATACACATCACTCTTCTTTCTTTCACGACAATCATTAATATATTCGCGATAAACACCCATCCAAATTGTATCTTCAATTATGAGATTTTCAATATTTGTTAATGTTGTCTGAATTCTTCTGCATATCTCTTCATCACCTAGAGAATCATCGCTAACGGGGAAACCATCAGCCTTCTTAGAAACCTTAAGATAGGTTCTTAAATCCTTCCAAAATTCAAGTTGGAAGGTTCTTTCTGCGTTAAACTCGTTTGTCAGAGTTTTTTTTGACATGTCTTTTGACATCCCCTCATTCATAATCAAATTGTCGTTATTACCGTCAGGATCACAACTTTGATGAAAATCATCAGCGAATTGAGAATCTTCGACGCTACCTCTTCCCAACTGTAGCATTTTCAGGTTCCTATCATTTAAAATATTTGTTAATTTCAGTATCTTCATAACAATCTTTGTGTAGCCACCTTTAGTATATAACGGGCTTTCACTGATTGATTTGAACATGTCTGCAACAGCAATACGCCTTGAAATATTTAAAGTACCTGACAAGAAAAGAGTCTCATAGCAAGTTACCGCTTGTTTAAGATACTTTTGGGTTTTATTAATGACAAGACTAAAATCCATTGACATGTTCATTGTTCTAGCACGTTCTGCGCATCTTTTAACGTAGTTTTCAAGTTCCATGATAATTGGAACATAGCTCATAGCCAATGGCTTATCTTCTGACACATAGTTTGTCAAAGTGTCAAATGGTGCCAACATATCTACTAATAATTCACCTTGTTGTTTATCGGCATATGTAAGTGGGTGATCTATTACAATATCGTCTTCTTTACATTTCTTAAAAAACAATTCGAATTCCGTGAATTTCTCAACATACGTTCTAAGGATCTCAAGTTTGATATTCCATCGAACAGAAATGTATTTTGGGATTAATCTCTTGACAATATCATTATACATTTTAAGTTTATTGTCTAAAATACGGACTTCCTTGTTCAGCAAGGTTAGTTCTTTTAGAACGTGAGGGACTCTACCATGGAATGGGTCCTCTACAATATAAGAGATTTTAGTCTTTTCAGATTGAAGGCTGGCAATGTTACACTCTTCTTGAGGGTTATCACCCTCGTTGTCGTTTTCCAATGACGATATTTCTTCAGAACTACTTGAGCTTAAATTATCAAAGCATTTAATTAATTCTTCCGATATTAGATTAATAATATGGGCCAAACAGCCGATGTGTCCTGAAAAGAGAGGGTATTTATCAACACCCAGGTCAGATGTGCTTCCGAGCGTGTTACTAGCGTTGTCTGTACAAGTGCTGACCCATAATTCTTGGATATGATATTCTTCGGTTCTTTCTTCTATATCATTTCTGTGATCTATTTTTGCTTTTACCCTAAGAACATCGTATTCGATTAAGAAATGATGTTTATGTTGTTTCCATCACATAAAGCAACAGATTACAACAAAATGCTGTAGGCTATCAATGGCTTGCAATCATCCGTTTCCATACTTGTATATGGTGGCTGATGGACATAGAATTTAAGTATGATATCACATTCATATTTCGAGCTGTTGTTGCCTAAGAAATCGTGGCAGGTGTGCCAATTAGTAGCCTCATTCGACTTTAGTTTAATAAGACCATTAAAATGATTTCCACAGTTCTTTTTTTGCTGGATGGCCAATCATAGCAGCGACCTCCATTTCTTATCATAAGAGCTTCTCCACATTTACTCCATAAGAACGTTAAGGGCAAAAAGAACTAGTTTAGTGGAAAAGTAGGAGTAATATACCCCAGCTGATATAAAACATCACATTACAATTTAAACAATTTTACTTTGAGTAAACTGAGCGGAGCGTATTAATTACCTCCAGATTCAGGGTCATTCATAAAATTGTTTTTTGTGATGTGAGCATTTCTATCAACGTTATTAACATATTTTTTGACGCTGAGAAGTACAATGCTTTTGTAAATTATCAGCATTTTTGAGCTTCAGTTTAGTACCAGCTTAAAAATGCTGATATTCCCTTGCAAAGCTATCCTTTTTACTTCATTTACTTTTCTGGATAGATAAGTAAATATATCAAGAATATGTGCTACGAATTATTACTACGTAGTATCAAAATGTAACTTATATATCGTAGCATAGCTATTTTTGAATATATAAATGAATAATAATAATAATACATAGGAATTTCTATTCGTTAATAGTGACTCGCGGTTGAGGGAGTTTTGGAGGGAAAAGAGTTTTTTTGCTTTTTAGGTCTAGGAGCCTTGAAAGGGGTTAAAACCCGAAATGTTTTGACATATACGGGGGGGCAAGAAGCACGAAAAAGAAAAAAGTGGCGTGCCCCCCTATGCTTTAAGTACGCCAGGGACAATACACACTTTAACTCTCTCACTGTGGGTTTTCTTGCTTTTTTGCCCATTGTTTTTATTGATTATTAACGGTGATTCGATTGGCTGGACAAACCTATATTGGATTACACGTAACGCTGTGGCTATGTACAAGGAAGCTTCAGCTAAGTGCTTGAACGTTGCTTTTACTACTACTATTATTGTCATAATTGCCGTTGTTGCTTTTGCTCTCACGGCCTCTTTACTTTCACACGTTTCTTGACATATTGATCTTTAGCAATATATATATATATATATGAAAATGTTTATTAGCTATTTTATAATATTAACTCATCTACCTTCATTTATATATATATATAGATTATTATCTAAGAAGTAGTGTTTAAATAAAGGTTTCGTGATTTAAATAGATAGACCCAATACATTCAGTAATATATTAGTTGAGATGTACCCTCTAACTAGTAAAGTGTGTAGTAGTAGTAATGCTACCTTTGTTAATAGATTAACTAGTCATATTTTAGCAACAAGACAATATGCTTCTACTGCAGCTAAGGTAGCCACTAGTAATAAAGATTCAAGTGCTAATACCAATGAACAAAATCCTTTAGTTAATCATGGCACACAAGAATCTTATTTTGATTATGAAGGTGTAATTGAAAATGAAGTCTTAAAGAAAAGACAAGATAAATCATATAGATTTTTCAATAATATTAATAGACTAGCTAAAGAATACCCAATGGCTCATAGACAATCAGATGCTGATAAAGTTACTGTATGGTGTTCAAATGATTATTTAGCTTTATCAAAACAACCTGAAGTAATGGACGCAATGAAACGTGCTATTGATAAATATGGTGCAGGTGCAGGTGGTACAAGAAATATTGCAGGTCATAATAAATTAACAATGCAATTAGAAGCCGAATTAGCTGCATTACATAAGAAAGAAGGTGCTTTAGTATTCTCATCATGTTTTGTTGCGAATGATGCAGTTTTTTCATTATTTGGTCAAAAGATTAAAGATATGGTTATCTTTTCTGATGAATTGAATCATGCATCAATGATTATTGGTATTAAACATTCTAATTTAAAGAAACATATCTTTAAACATAACAATCTAGAAGAATTAGAAACTATGTTAAAACAATATCCAAAATCTACTCCAAAGATGATTGCATTTGAATCTGTTTATTCAATGGCAGGTTCAGTAGCAGATATTAATAAAATTTGTGATTTAGCTGAAAAATACGGTGCAATGACATTCTTAGATGAAGTCCATGCTGTTGGTTTATACGGTCCACACGGTGCAGGTGTTGCTGAACATGTTGATTTCGAGGCTCATCGTAAAGCCGGAATTGCCACTCCATCTATAAAGGATAATAATGGTCATAAATTAGCCATGGATCGTGTTGATATCATTACAGGTACATTAGGTAAATCCTTTGGTGCTGTTGGTGGTTACGCAGCTGCAAATAAACGTATCATCGATTTCTTAAGATCTTATGCTCCAGGTTTTATCTTCACAACCACATTACCACCTGCAGTAATGGCAGCTGCATCTGAAGCTATTCGTTTCCAAAGAGGCAATATTGAATTAAGAACCGCTCAACAAAAACATACAACTTATTTGAAGGAAGGTCTTCAAGATTTAGGAATCCCTGTTGTACCAAACCCATCACATATTGTACCAATTTTAATTGGTAATGCTGATTTGGCAAAACAAGCTTCTGATATGTTAATGGAAAAACATAAGATTTATGTTCAAGCTATTAACTTCCCAACTGTTGCAAGAGGTACAGAAAGATTACGTGTTACTCCAACACCTGGCCATACAGATGATTTATCCGATATAATGTTAGATGCAATGGAAGACGTATTTACTGAATTACAATTGCCTCGTGTTAATGATTGGGAAGCACAAGGTGGTTTCTTAGGTGTTGGTGATCCAAATTTTATTAAGGAACCAAATCTATGGACAGAAAGACAATTAGAATATACTAATAAAGATTTGAATCCAAATGTTAAACATCCAGTAATTCAACAATTAGAAGTATCTAGTGGTATTAAAGAATAAATATCAAAAAAGAAACGCCACGTATAGAGATGAATAAATAGATAATAATTTTGTATTGTTAAAAAATTTATTTTTTTTATTATAATAATAATACTATTACTAATAGTAATTTATACAAATAATATGTATATATATGTATATGTACGAAATACAAGATAATAATAAAAAAACCACATAAACATACATTTTTTAAAAATGTAAATACGCAAAGGGTAGGAGGAAAAAGAAAGAAAGAAAAAAAAGTTATTTTGTCTGTTTCTTTTTCTCAGTTAACTAATTTAATTAGTTTCAAAATCATTCTTTAAAGAATTAGTTGATTGTTTAATTTCATTAGTTAATTCATCAACGTTAAACTCTTTAGTAGTTGAATCAGTTGGAAGATCCTTTGGAACTGATGGTAAATCAGCAGAAGTAGTAGTAGCACTAGTTGGTTCTTCAACTGGGACATTAGCAGCTAATTTAGTAGTAGTAGCATTTGGACCAGTTGATGATTGACATAATTTAGCTAAAGGACCTAGTTTTTCTAGATGTGGTTTAACCTTTTCACAAACTAATTGGCTATATTTATCAGATTCTTTCTTTAAAGTCTTACAAGCACATTCTAATTGAGCATCAATTTCTTTTTGATAAGTATGATAAACAATTGGTACAGTGAAGGCCATAATATCAGCGACAAATAAAATAGTCCAAACAGAGAACCAAGAGAAGAATCTATGTAAAGCGAAAGCGATACCAGCTGCTTTAAAAGTATTTTTTGGAACGTAAGCAAAGACTAACATTCTCATCTTAGCTTGTTGAACAGGTAATTGTTTTAAAATTTCATCAACATAAGGTTTAATTAAACCAACGGTATTTGGACATTCTTTAATACCATATTTAGTAACGATACCTTGACCTAAGATTAATTTTGTTGCGAATTCTAAAGTACCTGTTGTTAAAAAGACTGTGTATAGTACTCTTAATAAGAAAGTTAATAGATTAACTTTTTTTAAGATTAATAAAGCAATAATTGAACCAAAGAAATATTTACCTGTCTCTATTGGGTTTTTCCATAATAGAATATCACATTCACATTGACATTTTTTATTTGAGGTAGTAGTAGCAGCAGACATCTTTAATTACTAGTAATTTTTTAATATCAATCTCTGTGTATATATGACTAAAGTAGAATAAACGAAAAAAAAGAGAAGAATCCAATTGTTGAGAATTAAAATAAAATTCAACAGAAAAATACTAAAAGTATATATATATATATATATATAAGAGAATAAAAAAACTGTCAATTTATCAATTCCCTTTAAAAAAATGATCTATCCTTTACCTTTTTGCCCCTCTATATATAGGATTAGTATGTATCAAATGTATATGTAATAGAGTTGTAGATTGTAGCTAAAGGAACAACAGAGGTGGCAAAATCAAAAAAAAAAAGTGAAAAAGTGAAAAAGTGAAAAATTGCGACGGCGACGACGACGACGACGTTGCTCTCCCCACGAACTGTACTTTGCTCCGGCCTGCTGACTGGCAACTCGGTGGAACAGACAGACAGACAGACAGAGAGAGAGGCCACGACAACGCAGCGCAGAAATCGAAAAATTTCGAAAAATTTCAATTTCTGTCCAAGGGCTGCAGTGACAAATTAAAACCCGCGCACAGACACCGCACATTTTACTTGGTATCTATCTATTATTATTATTGCATGCATTCTATTCTCTCTCTGTTGCGTTGTCTTCTTCTTCCAAGTTCTTTCTCTCCGTTAAAAATTGTTGTCTTCTCAAAGTACAGCCAAAGCCACTAGAAATAAAGAAAATTTCCCCTTTTTTTTAAGATTTCTTGTCTTGTTATCGTTTGCTACGGAACACAGGGTAAATGACCCATGGTCGTTATATACGGGCGCAGCCTCCATGGAATGTAGTGACAAGCCCTATGTTTAGGGCTTCATTTTCAGGGCCAGAGAGTGGAACCCAGACACCACACGTCAGGCATCTCTTACCTCGGGAATTTTATTATAAATGTATAGTTAAATGTTTACTGACCAATTTTCCACCGGGAAATACTGGAAAGACTGCATTAACTCGCGCTGACTCAATCAAAATATTTAGTATATTCATCTATAGGTGGAACTGAAAAAGTTTTATTGAGAGATCATCACTCTTTTTGCTTATTAAACAATTAGATTCAAAATCTTATAAATATATATATATATATTTTAATGTAGAATTAATCATTGTTTAATAGATAATTACATCTCTATCTCTCTTGTCCTTTATATATTCATATAATAAAACTAATAATTACAATTATTAGTAGTTAATAAAAATTAATAATGTTACGTTATAATAATATACGGAGTCTACATGTCTCTGCAAGATTATTAAGAGGTCAAAATTTAACCGAAAAAATTGTTCAAGAACATGCTGTTAATTTAACTAAAGGGAAAACGGTACATACAGGTGATTATGTTTCAATCAAACCTTCATTTTGTATGTCTCATGACAATTCATGGCCTGTTGCTTTGAAATTTATGGGTTTAGGTGCAACAAAAATTTTTAATCCACGTCAAATTGTTAATGCTTTAGATCATGATATTCAAAATAAATCTGAAAAAAATTTAACTAAATATCGTAATATTGAAAATTTTGCAAAAAAACATAATATTGATTTTTATCCAGCTGGTAGAGGTATTGGCCATCAAATTATGGTTGAAGAAGGTTATGCTTTCCCATTAAATTTAACCGTTGCTTCTGATTCTCATTCAAACACTTATGGTGGTATTGGTTCCCTTGGGACACCTGTAGTTAGAACTGATGCTGCTGCAATTTGGGCAACTGGTCAAACTTGGTGGCAAATTCCACCTGTGGCTAAAGTTGAATTAAAGGGTCAATTACCATCTAACGTGGCAGGTAAAGATATTATTGTTGCTTTATGTGGATTATTTAATCAAGATCAAGTATTAAATCATGCAATCGAATTCACAGGTGATGAAGCCATTAAGAATTTGCCAGTTGACTATAGATTAACAATTGCTAATATGACTACTGAATGGGGTGCTTTATCAGGTTTATTCCCTGTTGATTCAACTTTGATTGATTTTTATAAGAAAAGATTAGAAATAGTTGGACCAAACCATCCACGTATTAATGAATCAACTATTGCTGAATTGGAAAGACGTTCTAAATCAATGAAACCAGATTCTGATGCTAATTACGCAAAGACTTTAACTATCGATCTATCAACTTTGACTCATTATGTATCTGGTCCAAACAGTGTTAAGATATCTAATACAGTACATGATTTAGCTCAACAAGATGTCAAGATTAATAAAGCTTATCTTGTCTCCTGTACAAATGCTCGTCTTTCAGATTTAAAGGCTGCCGCTCAAGTGGTTTGTCCAACCGGTGATATTAATAAACTAAACAAAGTCTCTCCAGATGTCGAATTCTACATTGCAGCTGCTTCCTCAGAGATTGAACAAAACGCTAAGGATGCCGGCATATGGCAAACTTTACTAGCTGCAGGTTGTAGACCATTACCTTCTGGTTGTGGTCCTTGTATCGGTTTAGGTGCAGGTTTATTGGAAGCCGGTGAAGTTGGGATTAGTGCCACTAATAGAAACTTTAAAGGTAGAATGGGTTCAAAGGATGCATTGGCTTATTTAGGGTCTCCTGCCGTGGTTGCTGCTTCTGCTATCCTCGGTAGAATTGGCGCTCCTGAAGAAGTCTTTGGACAAAAGATTCCATTCTCTGCTTCTGGTGTTAAGACTACATGTGAAATTACACCATCTAAAACTGAAAATTCTACCTCTGCTACAACCACAACAACATCTACTTCCGCTGTTGAGATCCTTGATGGGTTCCCTAATGAAATTGCTGGTGAATTAGTTCTTTGTGACGCTGATAATGTTAACACTGACGGTATTTATCCAGGTAAATATACATACCAAGATGATGTTCCAAAGGAAAAAATGGCTGAAGTATGTATGGAAAATTATGATTCTGAATTTGGTATGAAGGCTCATGAAGGTGATATTGTTATTAGTGGTTTCAATTTTGGTACTGGTTCTTCAAGAGAACAAGCCGCTACTTCTTTATTAGCTAAGGGTATTAACCTTGTCGTTGCTGGTTCCTTCAGTAATACTTTCTCTAGAAACTCTATCAACAATGCATTATTGACTTTAGAGATTCCAACTTTAATTGAAAAATTACGTGCTAAATATGCTGATGCTCCAAAGGAATTGACTAAGAGAACAGGCTGGTTCCTAAGATGGGATGTTCCTAACGCAAAAGTCATTGTCACTGAAGGTTCTTTAGAAGGTCCAATTATTTTAGAACAACAAGTAAGCGAATTGGGTAAGAACTTACAAGAAATTATCGTTAAAGGTGGTTTGGAAGGCTGGGTTAAGTCTAAGTTGTAGGATATTATTCATTTAAAACAACAAACATATTAAGTCGGATTTAGACTGTGAGTTGGAACTATTATTTTAAGGAAATCGTATTAGAGTTTTTCTTCTCATACGTCTTTTCGTTTTGAATCCGTACATATTTATTTAATTACAATTTCCTCATTTCTCAAAATATTTATTTATTTATAAAATTCAATTCCATAATACAAAAATGTAAGAAGAATTCTATTCACCATGTTTGAAATTCAATAATGAACAAACAGACAAATGTGAAACTGAATGAACATTTTCTGTAATAATGTGTCTTAAGAAGCTGTGTCATCTGCTTTCTTAACCCAATATAATTTTCCTCTAAATGATGATTTAGCGCGCTTCCTTATTTAAATTTTATAAAATGTATACTTTCATGCTGAAAAATATTGAACGTATTAGGTAGATGACTTTAACTGAATTATGAATTTCTCTAGCAGATACAAAAGATAGACCATAATAAAAAGCGGCATTATCTACATCAGGATATAGACAACGATGGATAAATACAACAGCATTATCAACGATGAAAAGTTTTCCAAACTCTCACTGAATACCACTACTTATCCAAAGTCCTTAAAGCATTGGGAGACTCTATTGAATTACCTAATTGCTGCAGCAACTCCAATAAATAAGACCATCAATGCTAACACATTAAGATTAATAAGGTCAACATATGAAGCCATGCTATTCAATTTTCCTTTCTTGGAGAATTACCATATCGATTTTGCATTATTCGAGTATAAATTAGGTCATGTCTCTAGATTCCATAAAATTTTTAAAAGAGCATTATATATTCATAACGAAAGGTCATTAGTCCTTTGGGTCTCATATTTGAGAATTTGTAATGAGATAGTTATTGAACCAAAACAGTTATTCAAAAAGTATGAAGAAGCTGAACAATATATTGGTTTACATTATCATAGCGGTGTCTTCTGGGAAATGTATTTAGAACAATTAAAATTACGTTGCAAAACTAAACAAAGATATTTCATAGTTTTAAGGAAAATATTAGAGATTCCTTTACACACATTTAGTACATTTTATGGCCTTTGGATAAACCATATAGATGAGATTAGAGATTTATCAGAATTGACATTATTTATAAATGAAGATGATTTACTGAAAAAATTGAAGATTGACAAAAATTATTCTGGGAGAAGGGGTCCATATTTGGCTGATGCTAAGAAAGCAATAAAAAAATTTACCAAAGAATTGTATATGGTTATACAACTTCAAGTAATGGAACGTTATAATCTGTTCGAATCGAAATTAACAACGCAATATTATACGTCTGCCGAAAATTTCCTTCCTGATAGTGAAGTACAAACCTGGGTAAAATATCTAGATTATACAATAGAGTTAGATATACCGGAACTTTGTCACATAAATTTCCAAAGAGCCCTAACACCATTATCTAACATAGATATAATTTGGCTCAAATATGCATATTGGTTACTAGACGTAGTCAAAAATGAAACAATGGCTAAAGTAGTTTTAATACGAGGGATCGAGCTTTCTCTTGAGAAGATTAAAATTGTACATTTATTATGTGAACTGTTAACTTCTCTTGATGAGATACATACACTGCATGATTTACTCGAGGATATGAACATATTGCATGAAAATGATATTGAAAGTTGTAAAGACTTCAACCTCTTTTGGGATTTCATGCAGTTTCAAATATTTCTTGCAAATTCTGCAACTTTGAGTCGATATGATAATAAAACTCCAGCAACTATAATACCGGAGAAATTACTAAAAGTGGTCCAAAAGAGATTAATAGCTAGTGGTAAAAGAGATGAAAAAAATAGAATGATCAACGGAATGATGCTGTTACAATCAAAGAAAAACTCTAAATCAATTGAAACTGAAATATTTAAATATGTGGTAGAAAACTGCCAGGATGATTATCTTAATCATGAACAATTCTGGAAAGAATATTGCGAATTGATATTATTTGATCTTAATAGAACGTTGACTGAAAGGGTAGATTACATCATTAAAACAATTTTACCCCAAATGCCCAGAAATAAAGAAACTTTGAAAGCAATAGAAGGGTTAGCACGTATTTACTTCCCACAATATATAGAACAATTGGGTGCGTAGGTTTGGGTAAAAAGAGTCTATATAAGAAAGATCATTAATACTTCTTAAGTAAATATCAATCGTAAAATCTATTATACACTATATAGTCTATTTGATTTTTTGCAAACTTGATTCAATTTATTCCTACAAGAGTACTTGCATAAACTTCTTATAATCGTCTGTATCTAATACACGTTTTGCAATCACTATATCTTTATTGATATCGGCGATTAACGCTTCTGCGGTGGTATAATCTAATTCTGGTCTAATATAACCTAATATATTGAATTTTAATTTTGCACCATAGAAATCTCTCTTAAATTCATGGATTATATGAATTTCTAAAGTTCTATGTTTATTATGATAAAATGGGTTTAAACCAATCGAGAATACAACCGGCAGAATATCAAAGTCTCCATTTGACTGTTCCAGATATTTCCCATAATTATATTCGACATTTCTATGATTTTCTCTTGGTTCAATTCTTTCCTCTTTATCGATAGATTCAATACGAGCAAAACCAAAATAGACACCTTGCTCAAGATCCCTAGCTGCATTAGGTACTTGATCAATTGGGATATTAGCAGTTGGAATACCTAATTCTGCCGAACCTCTACCAAACCCACTTACAATATCACAAAAGTTTGTGACAATAGGATATGGGCTTTCGGGGCTCTTTGGAATAGGTTTATCAAAAGGTCTGCTTGACGTCATATACAATATAATTAGAATAATACTTTCAAATAGAAGAACAAAATTCATTGATCACTAAAAGCGTTCTTTGATATTGTTTATTCACACGTTCATCAACTTGTATTCATATTTTTAAAACTTATTCTTTTGTATCAATCATACACTGTGAAGCAGGACGAGCAAAATGATCCTAAAGCTTTTTTCGATGCTGCAGTAATCATACAAAATGACGATTTATTACATTAGAAGATAGTCTGACAGAATGAGCAAAGAAAAGAGTGACAAGTCTAGAATAGATATTCTTCTAAACACACAAGTATAATGAATGACCTTGAGTACCCTTTTATCCTAGTAAATATTCCCTAATTGGTTACGGTATGAAATATTCAAGTCTACTCAATATAAAATATCATCAAGCACACACACTTGAATGATCCTTCAATGCAAGAATATGTAGTAAATATGTTCACTCTGCCGCATTAATATAACCAGTATTTAGAGAAACTGGTAGATCTTTCTTGTCCTCAAAGTTGTTATTAAGCCAGCTTGCTCTTAATATACAGGTTATGCTATTGAAGTAATGTACTCGTCTAAAGCGATAAAATTTAGGGTGATTTCATATCTTTTCACAATTGTCGAGGTTTATTCGGCCAAGGAAGTTCCCTAGTAACAAGGTGATAATCAACCGTTTGGGTGAAAAGATTCTAATAAACGCTAAGAAATATTCTGAATTATATTACCACTGATATAGCTTAATCAACTATTTCTACAAAGAATTAAACTACTTGTATACAAACGCTGCAAGTAACGCTTCATTGATACACCCACTTCTTACAAACAGAAATGGTTCGCACGATATCCAGTATGAAAACTTTGGTTGGTCCCAAATCAGCTTTTAGAAACTTCACCACAACTCCATTATCTAATAAAGCTGCGTGTTCATTAGTTCCACCGGTGCATCATTTAGTCAAGATCGATAAATCCAAACTAACAACAAGATTTGATGGCTTTAAATTCGAGAAAGATGATATAAGATCCCCTGCTTACAGACCAAAGGATACACGCCAAGATAGATTAAGAGAACATTACTTAAATACGTTACAATCTGATATTCTATTAATAAATTACAAACATAATGCGACTGTCGAAAAGGGTTTGAAGAATAGAGAATGGGATGGTACATCTCCTTACCAAATTAATAGACCAATGAAGAAACCAAAGGGTTCAAAATCAGAACTCCCAGACACTCATCCAATCAAATGGAATAATATCCCTGGCCTAAAAAGTATTACACTTAACTGTTATGTCAGAGATGCAAGAGAAAATGAAATGTTGACTATTAGCGCAGCACTACAATTACAACAGTTAACTGGTTGTAAACCAAAAATTATATATTCGAAATCAGATGTTCCAAATTGGAAAATCAGAAAGGGTCATGCTATGGGTGCAAAAGTCACATTGGAAGGTTACGAAATGTCCCAATTCTTAAGTACACTCTCTGAAATTGTTCTCCCAAGAATTAGAGAATACAAAGGTATTAGTATGTCTTCAGGAGATAGATTTGGTGGTATTGCATTTGGTTTAAATGAAGAAGAAGTAAAATTCTTTCCAGAGATTGACTTGAATCAAGATTTATGGCCAAAGACGTTTGGTATGCACATTAATGTAAACACGACAGCCCAAACCAACGAGCAAGCCAGAACCTTGATAAGTAGTTTACAAATTCCTTTCAACACCGAAAATGAACAAAGAATGTAATATGCAGATTTGTTGTAACATCATATATATATATAAATCTCATGTAAATAAAACATAGTAATAAATTTCTAACACGATTATGTCCTCAGGAACCCAACTTCATAAAAACTAGAAGATGCTATAGTTGTGTATATCATACTTTTTTTATTTATTCGTTGTAATTGTTTTCTTGTAAATGTTATGTAATATACATATTATACACGACTTAATTTAATTTTGTTACTCTGTTTAGCAATCAATGCAACCCTATCACCTAAGGAAAGGGCTAGACCCTGGCCCTTGGAACGGATTCTAACGTAACCAATAACTTGGTGAGTGTTACTGTCCATTTCGATACATAAGTTGGCTAAAGCATCTTCACCAAAGGAAGATTTCGCATATAGATTACAACTTAAGAATCTACAATCTTCTTCACCCAACGATTCTTGTGGTGTTAGAACACCCATGTTTGTACCTCTGGTCAATTCTTCCAAGTATGTGTGTAGGGATGGAAGATCAGACTTGACTGAAATCTTGTTTTCCCATTCGAATTCATTCCACATCGTACGGAAACGTTCATCACTTGTAACAGATGGTTTAATATAATCCATAATATCAATATGGACATCGTTCAATATAACATATCTTGCATCTTCACCGTGACCACCATCGTATATAATGTTACCAAAAATAACACCAGTATCTGCAGATGAAACCTTAACAGTAATAGTAATTCTATGGAAACCATGAGGAACTATATTGGTGCTTGGAGGTTTATCAATAATTTTTAGATCACCGAGAGTAGCAAATTGAACGTGTAGGTTCTTTAGAGTATCCTTCGTTTGATTGACTAACAAAACCTCTAAAACAACATCAAATTGGTTGTTTGTGATGTAAGCTTCAGCATACACTGGGTCAGAGAAACCAGTCAATGGGACAATCTTCTTTAATTTCGAAGATGCTTGTTTAGCCGCGAAATCTGAAGCATCACCGTGAATAGCTTGATTCAAATCTTCTTCAACGGTATCCTTTTCAATAGCACCAACATTTGAATGGGTAAATTGTCTGAAAGAAATTGCAGTTTCAATAGTATCTGCATTTTTGACAACATCTTTAACGGATCTTCTTAGGTTTGCACGTTTAGATAGAGATAATTGGTTTTTGAAAGATTCTCTTGTAGCATCGATAAAGGCAAGTTCCAATAAACTTCTCTCGCTTGGTTTTTCGTTTGGATCGTTTTCATCCATTAAAATGGAGATAGCAGTCATTAATCTATCAGCGGAGTCCTCATCAATTTTACGCTCGACCAACGAACTTTGACCTGCCCTGATAATACTAACTAAAATCAACAGACCTTCGGACTTCAAGGCATTCATAACATGCTTGTCCTTAGATACTTTATCAAATTTTAAGACCAATTTCACGACAGTTGATGCAAGGATTGCAGCTGTGTAAAAGTCACCACCTAATATAAAACGACGAAGAGGTGGTCTTTCTTCTTTCTCTGAAGCAGTTATCTTCTTTGAAACGTTTTCATTACCGAATGCACTTTCAGTAGCATATGTACCATCTGGAAGAATAACTGGACCAGAAGACTTTGTAGTTTCATCCTTAGATTCTTCCTTGTTTTCCTCCTCATTTTTGTTTAATTTTCTCATTTCTGATTGAACAATTGGAACTTCACCGATACTTGTACGCAGATGTTTCCAAGAAGCCTGAATTTCTGAAGATGATTCCGAATATTCACCCAAAATCCATAGAGCACCACGGTAAGCTTTTGCAGATTTAACGTTCTCTAAAGCTCCAAGTAACTGGGTCAGGATAACAGATCTCTGCTGTGGGTATTTTTCAATAACATCTTTCACAAAAGAAATGACACCACATGTAGCAACAGAATTCAAGTCACCAATAAATTCTAATAGCAAAGATATTACGCTTTCAGCCATCTCGGAAAATTTGATGGCGATAGAGCGAATAGCCTTAATCAATAACTGTCTATACTTCATGGCATTTTCTTTTTCGTTATTTGTAACGGTAATTTGTAATTCTTTCTTCAACAATTGAATAACGTCTTCTGCATTTCTTGAAGATATCAAGTCTAGAGAAATATCCAGAGCCTTCGAACGAACATCTAAATCCTCTGAATTTAATAAACGTAAAATGTCCAGAGTTCTCTCCTCTAGAGTACCCGGATTAGCGCTATTGATATCTTGAACTCTATCCAAGACAATCAGTTTAACGTTATTGTCTGATACTCTGTCTGCCAAATCTGTTAATTTGGAGACGCTTGCATTTAATATTGTGCTATTAGAAGTTAAAAGGGCCAAAGCTAGAGCAGTTTCTAATACGACATCATCATAGGTAGTTGCATTTAATAACTCCATTAATAAAGCAATATATTGATCCTTTAATGATGGGGTTAGGTTTGCATCTTTTCTAATGAATTCGACAAAAACAGATTGTAACAAAGGATCGATCTTCTCAATGCTAACAATATTTTCTTCTAAATATTTCAAAGCATTTTCACGATCCAATTCTGCAACACCAATAAAAGCATTTCTCTTACAGATAGGATCCAGTTCATCCTCTAGGAATTTGTAAACGATTTCATTAGCATCCGGAATTAAATGTTCGCTAACCTTGTGAATTGATTGGACGGCCAAAATAGCATATTTACGAACATAGGCATGGCGGTACTCTAGACAAGCCAAGACGGATGGAACCATTTGTTCCAATAATTCAGGTTCATGTAACTTAGTTAGGAAACGCAGGGTATTACCTCTAATATATTCATTTGGATGTTGTAGATCGTGCTGAATAGCATTACAAACCAAAATCATCTCGTGTCTTAATTTACCTTCTTCATCCATCTTTGGGACAATTTCCCAGTAAAAATATAGCAATTTCTTTAACTTCTTGTTTTTGGAAGGCATAACAAATCTGATAATATGCATCAACAATTCTGGTAATGGATTACCATCTAGCATCATTACCAAAATGTGCTTCATAGCTGCAACTTTCTCATCTTCAGATCCTTTCTCTAAAGCTTTTTGTAGTTCACTGATAGTGTAACTTTCACCACCAGTTGAAGGGTCGAAAACTAGCGTGTATGCTGCTTGTTTAGTTTCGACAGACATTCTTTTCCCTCAATTAGATACTCAGGAGGTAATCAATTGGCTCGAATAAATTAACTGATCAACTTTCCAAAAATTATTAGATACTTATCAATTATAAAGGTATTTCCCAAATCTTTAGTAGGTGCTAGAACTTTTTAAGTAACGTGTAACTAAAATATCCTTCCCTGAATATAATTTTCAACTGTGAGATCAAAACACGTCTGATGTAAAATGCATATTAATCTTTCATTGTCCGCTTAGAGAACGAGAATATATAAAAAAAATCAATAAAAATAGCGAGAACGTTGAGGGTAACCCTAGAACGATACAAATTTATTTTTAATGAAGATATAACAAGTAGTTAAGTATTTAATTAATCAATACGTTTATTTATTGGGTTTATCTTTCTATATATTATAGATGAAATGCTATGAATGCGTGTGGGTAGGGTGGAAATATTACTCCTCTTCAGATTCCGGATTAGCGACGTAGAGCCCTCCATCAGGTAAGTAACTATCCATGAATGCGGTGGAATCATAACTCTTTGTCGAAGCTGTTCTCTTTGTTGAGTTTGCCTCATTCTTCTTTTCTTGATTCGCATTATATTCATCAAGGATGTTTGTAGGAAGTTTATAATTATAGGATTTCATTTTATCAACTGTACCGCTCCTTGGACGGTTCTGTAGTTTAGTGTAGTAACTAACGGTTGTATTACTTCTTGTGACATCGCTAGGTTTTGAGATATTCTTCTTTTCTCTAAGTGGAGCCATACAATCTTCACTATCGTAAGCTTCATCACCTGGAATTTCATTCAAATATTCTTCTGTACCATTTTCGTCCTCCTCAGGAACTGTATCTTCTTTGCCTAGCAGTTTGTGAAATTCTTTAGTGTGATCAATAGCACCAATATTCGAGCTCCCAAGAGATTTGTTATCATCCGTGTTTGTCTCTAAAGTAAGTAACTTCTGTTTAACTCTACCATGTTTTATACCAACCTGCTTAGAACTTGTTCTAATAGCAACTCTGATATTCTTTGGCTGAATAAGATTATTCTTCTGTTTAAGGGAAGCGGGTAAATTAGGTGGTGCCTCTAGGAAATTCGAGGTTTTATAATATTTCAATCTTAATTCTTCAACATAACTAGAAACCAATCTTGCTGGCTTTTCTGATTTTAAAGTTCTATCATGTACAGGTGACTCACTTCGAGTACTTTTTGAATTAGGGGTTTCCGGTAGTTTACTAATACTGCTGTTATTAATACTTTCTAATCCATCACGTGAACCCAATAAATCTGTATGCAATGAATGGACATTGTTTGGTACCTGATACTCAGAAGAAGTTAAATCGATGGAACTAGTCATCCTGCTATCAGATGTCCCAGTCATACTTTCCACTATGGAACCCTGCTGTGTCAATGATTCTACAGGAGTTGAATAAGTTTCAGGAATATCAGGTACACTACCTGGATTATCTGGAGAATATGTTCTTGATAAAAAAGAAGAAGAATCACTATCTTCATCAGCAGGTGCGTAAAATGTAGGACGATCTTCATTTACAACTCTAAAATGGCGACGAGGCTCTAAATCTACATTTTGTTCAGTTGAGACAGCCCTTGAATTTCTAGATTCGTCTCCATAATTCAAAATGTATTCATCAGATGATGTCGAAGATACTGGACTAGGTGGGCCTGTATTGGCTATCCTTAAAGGAGGTGGTGTTATTTCTGGAGAAGATTCTGTATTTGCTATGAATGGGTTATTATTTTTCCTTTGATATCCATTAACTGAGGCGACATCTATAATATTAGCAGAAACAGACATTTGGTCTGGAAGAGATGAACCCTCTGAAGAGATAACACTACGTGACCCAGTAAACGAAAAATTATCCTGTTTCTCAACGCTATTTAAAAGGGCGTTATCGGATATCATTGGACGTTGAAAAGAAGTATTATCAGCACCGTCATCAGTGTTTTCATCAGAGCTATCGTATAATTTTGGGATATTTTTTAGATTAGTATTAAAATCTAGTGGGCTTACCTCATCAACGGTATCGTTACTTGGGATATGGATGATCATCGACTTTTCAGAAATAAACTCTTCGTTATTCCCCTCAACATCTCGAGCAATTACATTTTCACTTGGATCTATTTGGTATGGACCAGGTGATTTTGAACTCTCCTTATACGATTTTAGATAGATATCAATATCATCCACAAGCTCTTCAGCTTTCGATCGTTCTCTTTTATGTTGATATATATTCCCATTTTCTGAAGTGTTAGGCATTACCTCCTCTTCTATGAGACTTATCCCGCTATTATGATTTTCGTTAAGCATTGTATCTTTCGATAACAAATTTCTAGTATCTTTTCTTTTTTCATTAGTTTTAGAGAGTGGCGATTCGATAGTGGTTGCGTCGTTTCCAATATTGGTTGATCTGACTCTTTCAGTCGATAATCGAATTTCGTCCATATTTACCACGGGTGGCGGTGGACGCTTAACTCTCTCTCTAGGTTTAATTATAGGTCCTGTAGGTTCCACATCAGGAGTGGTACTTATCGATGCTGTGCGTGGATGAACAGTTTTATTTATAGAATTATTTGTTGGTTTTGAGGATAAAGATACAGATTTAGTTATACCACTTGGATGATTGCTGCCACTATGGGTGCGACTTTCATTAATGGACGCCGGTTCAATCTTTTTGTGGTGGGTGTGAGTAGTAGATAAAGTTTGGGGTTGGTGTGGTTTTGATGTAGTTTTTATATCACTTCCAAAAAGAAAAAATGATTTTCTCTTTGTTTTATTTCCAGAACCACTGGAAAACATTTGGCAAATATTATGTTAATATGTTCGAATATAGATATTATTGTAAGGTTAAATTATTAGAGAAAACTAATAGACTACCAGATCTATTTGCCATATGTGACTTTATATGTTTATGCAAATGTCATCAAACTTGCTAATTGTATACACAATATTAAATACCGAAATTTTCTAATACGCGAGGACATCGCAGGTTTTTTCACTTTTTAAGGTAAAGAAAGGGACTTTTAATGATCTACTCATCAATAGTTGAATACGACATTCTAATGAAAGACAGGATATTGTTGTTTATTTTGCACATATGCATAATTAAATATATATGTTAAACTTACATATAGCAGAATATTTGTTCATTATTTATGATTTCATAATGTCAGAAATTAAATCTAAAGTATTGAGGATATACTCACTGACACCCCCAATGCTAACAACCCTCACTGTACTTGGATGTGGAGATTGCGTGATAGATGTATATTTGCCCAAGTCTAATGATGCTAACCAAGGCTCTGATTCAGCCAGGTTATTTAAATTCAATACCACGATATTACAATTAGTTCGACTTCTAAAATCATTTAGATTTTGATATATCATGTCGATGTATTTTAATTTTGGTATCCTTATATACATCTTGAAAATTTCGTTACCATCTTTACTCTTTACGATGTCCCTAGAGGCAGATATGTTAGCAATGCAATGCTCTTTAATTTGTTCCTGGGTAAGAAATCCTCGTTTTTCTGGGTGTAATTGATGTGATGTAGATGTTCCTCGGGTATGATCAAGGTTGATAATTTCTTTCTTTGATTCAAACCTGCTACTATCATTAGATTGCACAATTGCATTGGTATTATTGTATGTAGTTGTCTCAGTCTTACTTACACTTCCAACATTTCCAACACTGGTTTCTGTGGATGTTTGTAGCAGTGATTCCTTATATTTCTGAATATCTGCTTTGTACTTAGTGAACCTCTCTTTAGATTGTGATAAAAGTTGCCTGTTTATCTCCAGTTCACTAGGGTCAAACATGTCCTGTGCAGGAAATCTTAATCCTGCCAAACCAAGAGTTAGTCTTTTCCTTGGATTTCCAAGGCATTTTGATATATATTTATCAATACCTTGGAGATGCTTTCCAAATTTTAACTCTGATACAAAATTTGCTAATCCTTGCATGAAAGTTGGTAAATTTTTACCTGCACTTGTTGAAATACGGATTTCACTAATATTTTGAACCAAACTAATTGGCGATATTGATATATTAAAGTTAGAATTTTCTCTGCTATATCTTTGTCGACTTCTAACATGTTTGAAGTTTGAAAAAACAAACATTGAACAATTTAATTCAATATCATTTGGAACAGTAAAATATGATTTGCCTGCTGGATTAAGTGTCCTACCTGATGTTAAATTGGAAATTACTGCCAGCGTGAGACAGCAGTCTAAGATAGAAAACTTTTTCAAAATTAATATGGCTGTTGATTCACTCTGTTTTTGTAGTTCCAAAGTATCATGTTCAATATATTTATGCAATTCCTCGATACAATTTGTGAGCAACGTTAGATCAGATTTTTTTTGCAGTCGAAGACATAAATAACTATTTTTTATAGTCTTACCAGCTAGACGATTAGAATGTCTAATCCTATCAAGGTTTTTCCAAATATCTTGACTTTCAAAATGATCTTGATATATATTTTTCTTATTATATCGTCTCCCCAAAGTTCCTTGTGCTTTCCTATTGGTCGACACCTTGTCGGAATAGCCACCTCTTTGGGACATAATAAATACACAATTTAATATTAGGATAATCTAGGTTATTGCTTACTATCAATTCTTTATTCGATATAAATATCCGTAAGTTTTGTACCTTTGTTATGTATTATACCAATTTTTCATTTAAAGACTGCAAGGATTCGCCAAATAAAAAAAATAATTAACATCTACAAATAAAGCGATGCTTTAAGCTATGATATCAACAAATCATAGCAATACCCAGTTAAATAATGAATATACTGCCTATTTTCTATATAGCTTATATATACATGAGCAGATATATATTTAACTATTTTAATACTTTTTATTGTTATTGATTGAAAAATGATTGTACAGTGATATATATGAAGATAAAGTTTTTTATGACTTTATCATGATTTTTTCCTTTGTATGTAATTGTTTAGTTATGATTAGAAAATAAAATGAGATGTGCCCAATAAATCAGAGTAATGCTTGATATTCTTAGAAAGCGGAAATCTCCTTTACTATTTCGTTGAAAGAATCCTTGTATTCCTCTTCCTTAGCCTTACCATCCTTCTTCTTGTTACTACCTGGTACAATGAAAACAACAGATGTTGGTCTCTTGGTAGCACCAGCAGAACCCAAATCTTGTTTAGATGGAATGAAAATATATGGAACTGAGTGATCTTCACACAAAACAGGGATATGAGAAATGACATCAGCTGGGAAGATATCACCAGCAATAATAACTAGACCTTTATCACCCTTTCTTAGAGCCTTGACGACTTCCTTGACACCTCTCTTGACATTCTTGGCCTTAGAGGCTTTCTTAACAGTCTTCAGGACCTTCTTGTTTAGTTTCTTAGAAGCTAATGGTTTAGCAAATGACAGAACAGCTGGCATTCTAGTTTCATAGTTGTCTTCGGACTTAACTTCTTTGGATTCCTTAGCCATTTTTAGTTTGTGTAATGATGTGTTGACTTTGATGGTAACCTTGTTGTTTATTGAACAAATATTACTATAAACGACTAATGGCAATTATTAAGAGGTTTTAAATCTTGTTATATCAATCAATCCTTTCTTCGATATTTCAATTACCAAATTAAAGAAAATGAAAAATTATTTCGTTGCTCATCGGGGAAGGATGAAAAATTTTCTAGTGCTCAAAATCTTTCAGTGTCAGTCATTTTCAACGACTAGTAAAGGGACTTCGCCTAGGCAAATGTAAAATCTTAATTTATCTGGCACTTTTAATTAGATCGTTATTAGGTTATTAATCTTGAGGAAGTAGTTGCTTATTCTTATTAACATTTGGTGAAGGGTTTGTTTCACGATATTATTTTGATTTATGAAATATTATTAAGAATAGACTACATCTCCTGTAGTGTATATGTGATTTGTCTCAACGCTAATGGGATATCTGAGTTTGCTATCAAAAAACTGAGTCAATGTAAATCCCAAAACTAATTGCAGAGTCCTATTTAAAGACAGTTTCTGATTTTACGGTTTCTTATATGCCAGATATTTTAAATTGAGGAGAAATAAGAAAAACAGCTACTGAAGTTGGTTTACCATGTATCACAATATTCTCCCTATTCTATTAAATTTCCAAATACATTAAACAATTTGATTTGCAACTATCAAAAGATTCCTCAATTATCTTTCATACGCTTATATTGGTAAAATGGTGATAGTATTATCGCAATTCTTCAGTCTATTCATGGGAAGTGAGTGGTTCATATGTTTTCTTCATTAGATTTAAATAAAAACAAGAGACATTGATAAGTTGTGAAGAAAGAACACCACCAAAAAGTAACTCATCTATTGATTGTATAATCTTGTGTGGATGGTATAGAACGTAATACACAGCTAAAATTACCTCTAATTTTGACGTTCAGTGATCTGCTCTTTCTTGACTATAATTACTAATTTTCATTTAAATAAAATAAATAGAACTGTGTTGTTCGCAAAAGGTGCCATTCTAACCTGTAACTAACCAAGGATGCCAATAAAAGGGTCCGCCCAAAAATTGCTTTTTATTTTACCTTGCATTTTATGGGATACTCTCTAGTGATACTCTTTGATATCAGATTAAAAGTCTGGATGAATTTTGATAAGAGTACTCTCAATCATCAAAACCTCTCTATCATACTTATGAACCCTCATGAGAGACATGGACAATATAATGTATCTATTATTACCACCGTAAAATCCAGGAAGCAGAGTTTAAGACTTTGTCTTGATTGTTCATATATAATATATCAATATGCGATACATATGACATATGTCGATGAGCAAGATGAAAGTTTGGCAATCACAAAAACTTCGATGTAGAAGGGTTATTTAACACATATTTCCATCAAGTACCCTGTCAGCATTAACCGTATTTACTAATTCGTCATATAAAAAATACAAATTTGTACAGCTTGAATAAAATTAGGAATACTGTAAGCAAAGAGGCCGTAGAGTTTCATTGAATTATGATATTAATATAATAATAAACCTGTTATGTATTAATTGGGAATTTAAGGTTCAGCCACACGATTATAATAATTATCATCGTGTACGGACATCAACAAATGTCGATGCGAGAACAACAAATATAAGATGAAATTAAGTCAAAGATAGCACATATAACATATAACTATATAATATACCTTGTAACATAAATAATGGATATACAGAAATATAGATAATTAACATAGTACTTACTATTAATACATTTACTTATTAACGAACAGAACGACCACCATATTGTTGTAGTTAATATACATAATAATAATCACTATTAAGCATTCTATATAGACCAAACAATACAGTTACCCGGATATATCATTTTGGTTAAATTTATAAAATTTTCATGAAATTTGTAACAAGGTTAACCCTTTAGCTTGATCAAAAATGAAAACTAAGGTGTAAACTAACCTTCGTTAGCATCTTATGCATTACTGATAGCATCTTGCAATAGAACTATCACGTGAATAAGATCAGTAAACCGCATTAGGCATTACTGACACTTTATTCCATGACAGTGGCATCTTTAGCTATAAAGACAGCCCAATGAGCATCACACTCAGAAAGAGTCGTAGAACGAAGTTCTCTCGACACATCGTATAGATCCAACTAATCAGAGCTCTCGTCTGACACTGGTTGATGAGTTGTTCGGGACACAGCATGCCGATCCTGAGCAACGAGGGACATACCCAAATGGACGTCACACACATGTCAGCTGGGATAGAGAGCACTCCTATAAAAGGGACTCTCCTATCTCCAAATGTTAATGTTCATCTTTCAGTTGAAAGAAACCAGTCAAGTTTAAGCAAGATAATCGCAATCGATCATTCTATTTCAAATATACATTAAGCCGTTGAAGATTATAGCATCACCATCAGTGAACTACAAGTCTTCCTATACACGCAATATATTTAATAAGCCCCTTGTAATCCCTTAACTGGTATAAGAGCAAACATAAACACCAACAAGTGTTAGTAGATATCCTTAATACGATTTAGGGTAATCTGCCACTCAACTAATAAAAATTTGCGCGGACATAAACCCTACCTCGTTACAAAATTTCAGAAATCTCTAGGTAGCCAAGTTGGTTTAAGGCGCAAGACTGTAATTTTACAAGAAATCTTGAGATCGGGCGTTCGACTCGCCCCCTGGAGACTTTTTTTTGAACTGTCGCCAGGTAAATCGTATGTGTTACACCACAGTATCCCCCAGATTCATGGCTCTTGTTTTATTTTTGAAGTTCTGAATAAGAAGTAATTACATATCAAATACTTGTTGAACGAAATCTTTGCTTTGCAAGCAGCGTTTTGTTCGAAAATACACGAATGCCCCCATCTACTATAGTAACTTTAGTTTTTTAATAACCTAAGGGAAAATAGACGATGCTAGGGTTCACTTCCGGGACCTACATGACAGACATCAATGAACTAATTTAATAATTATCACTTTGAATGCAAAACATAATGTAACATTGTTTGTTTATATCTCATTTTTATTCCCGTTTTTTTGTACCTTGGTTTTCTATATAGCTTATCAATACTTCATCTATCAAAATATTATATACTCAGACTTCGCTTCATGAATTTTGTATAACCTTTCGATCTTACGATCAAATTCATTATTACGTAACGGGTTTTCAGTCTCAACATATTTTTGTAATTTTTCCACAATTGTTATGTCCTCGTATTCGCCAATAAAAGTTATTGCAGTACCAATATTTCCAGCTCTACCAGTTCTACCTATCCTATGGACATAATCTTCAAAATTTTTTGGCATCTCGTAATTAATAACAAGTGATACATTTGGAATATCTAACCCTCTGGCAGCAATACTGGTTGCGATCATTATTTGAGCATTATTATTTTTTAATGCGCTTAATGATTTTTCTCTTTGTTCCTGACTCTTCGAACCATGAAGCGTGACCACATTGCACCTTGTCTCCTTTTTTAGCTTTTCTGCTAAGATATCAGCAATTCTCTTATGATTAATAAATATTATGACCGGAGGCAAACTATCCCTAAGTTGTTCCACAACTTTATTAAATTTCATATCATCACTTGGTGCATATATAACTTTCTGTTGAATTTTTGGTATGGTATTCTCGGAACTTCCTATTGATATATTAATAGGTTTGTTCAAGTATTGTCTAGCAATTTTCTCGATAGGTGATGTCATTGTTGCAGTAAACATTACAATCTGTCTTTTTTCTTTTTTTATTGTACTATCCATCTCCAATATATTAAGGATAGTAGTCAATTGTTCCTCAAACCCCAGATCAATCATCTTATCAGCTTCATCCAGGACCACCGTTGACACAGAGCCCATTGTTAACATATGATTCTCTAAACAATCTATCAATCTACCCGGTGTTGCGACCAGGATATCACAACCGTCGGAAAGTTCGTAGCTGATCTCTTCAACAGAATGTCCACCCACTATTGAGACAACTTTGTAATCATGTTTGTCCCATATATTTGTTATTCTTTTTGCTTCGGTTTCAATCTGTTGGGCCAATTCTCTTGTTGGAGCCAATATAAGGGCCTTTGGTCCTTCTAGTACTCTGATGGATCTTGGTCTATCTGGTATTTGGTTCAATTTGGTCAAAATAGGAATGATAAATGCAAATGTTTTACCTGACCCTGTCGATGCGACACCTAGTACTGATCTATTGTTGTTAGATATAAAATTTGGAATGGTTGCACGCTGAATAGGTGTTGGATTTTCCATACGTAAGTCCTTGATTATAATGTTAGATAGATCATTTGGAATTAAATTCAGTTCATTCCAGTTTCGAAGTGGTTGTTTTATTGAATCACCTCTAATAGATATTTGGAAATCTTCTCTTAGAATCCTCCAATCTCTTTCCGTCATTTCACCAATTTTCTTCTGAGTCCAATGCTTACCTAAGTATGATTCCTCAATCTTATTGAGTCCATCATCGGCTATACTTTTTGCTTTCAGTAGATCATTGACTCTTAATGTTGTCAAGGGTTTATAATCAGTTAATGTATCATCTGAGTTTTGCCAATCAAAATTAAATTTCGACTTTGTACTACTATGTCTAACCGAGGGTTCTTGCTTAAGAGACTCCGTGCTGGTACGTCCTGCATCGTCCTGTGGAACATTTTCATTACTTGTAGAAGGTTTGTCTTCCTCTACGAACTTCTTATTGTTAACATTTGTATTTTCACTTTGAAGAAGAGCTTCCCTTTCACTTTTACTTAAAAATTTTGCTTTCTTTAAAGGTTTCTTCCCTATATTATTCCCACTCTTATGACCTTTCAAAGTCCCCAGTAGTTGCGATACATCAACAGGTCTAGCCATCTCTATATTTTCCTCTCCACTGAACTATTTCCTCAGGTGATTGGAGAAAACTATTCAAAAAAAAGTGTTTATTTCTCCCTCTTCTCCTCCTCCTCGTCATGAATTTAATCTTCAATCATTGATTCCTCTAACTAGGTTTGCACCCTGTGGAAATTCATTTTGTTTGTTCAATGCATTCGGCTCATCATTTACAATTTCCGATGGGAAAATTAATTATTAATCTCCAAAAAATGTTTAAATATAAAGCATCGGAAAATGGAGACAGAAGGAATATTGTTATGTGGCGGCTTGTGATCAAACAGTTTTTAAAGAGTCATAACCTGGTTATATATATAGTTAGCTAAATATAAAAGGTATTTAAAGGTAGTTTTTTTTTACTGGTGGTCAGAATCAGTAAATATTGAACTGGGACTACATACACAAATAGAAAAGTTTGCATTTAACAGCTAAAAATTAAAGAAAGGATGAATGCCGCCGATTGTTCCGTAAATAATAATCCATTAGTTCATTTGAATAAGCATACTCAACAAAATGAACATAATCTATTACCTCATAGGGGTGATTTGGGTGTAGGATCATCAAATGCGTTGATAAATCCTTCTGCATCATTAAAGTCTTCTCAGAATATAGTATCAGAGAGAAATTTAAGGGAAATTAATAATTTTCAAAATGGCTCAATTAATAATATGGGATCTATGAAATTTGGACAAGCACCGATAAGAACAGATACTGGATCAAATTGGAATGCATTTAATCAAGTAAATCAACAAACTTTACCAGCCCATTTTGTAGAGAATTTACCTGTCAATAAACAATGGTCTGATGAGTTTAAGACTAACAATCATAAAGGAAATTTTATGGAGAGACAACCTTCTGGGAAAGTTTTCCAAAATAATCTGAATTCGAACATTACTAATTTTAGATCTCCTATGTTTCAAAATGTAGTTCCTCAAGATTATAGATCACGCACTGGTACAACGTCTACTTTACAACAGAACTCTCAACTAAATCAAAAACAAGAAGTGGAAACAGATTGGGATCAACAGTTTGGTGATCTTGAAAGGGAGGTATCTCAAAACTTAAAAATAGATGAGAATGTGAAAGAAGTTGAAGGAAGTACACAAAGGAACGATTCATCCATAGACATAAATGACGTTTCCGAAGACATCATTATTGATGATACATACCAGGCTGATTTTCAGAAAGTTTGGGATGATATTCATGCCGACGGTGAGGATTTTATGCCAGATAGATCGAAATATATGTTAAGCAGAATGACGGGAAATCTACATTATGAATTTGAAGACTCAAAAAACGAATATTTAAATAATCCAAATGCTTATAAGATAGGTTGTATACTAATGGAAAATGGTGCAAAATTAAGCGAAGCTGCAATGGCCTTTGAAGCAGCGGTTCAGGAGACTCCTGATCATATAGATGCATGGTTAAAATTAGGATTAGTGCAAATTCAAAATGAGAAAGAATTGAACGGTATTTGTGCGTTAGAGAAATGTTTAAAACTAGATGGTAAAAATCTAGAGGCTATGAAAACTTTGGCCATCAGTTATATTAATGAAGGTTATGATATGAGTGCGCTCACTATATTAAATCAATGGATAAGCACAAAATATCCAAACATTGAACTTACTACGGGCCTTAATAATGAAAAAGACAGTGTATTGATAGATGAAACTTTGGAAGAAAATACAAAAATTGGAGAAAAGATTAAACAAAAATTCTTAGCTTTATCTAAACAGTTACCGCAAGTAGATCCAGATGTCGAATTATGCTTGGGACTTCTTTATTATGCTGATGACAATTATGATGTGACGATAGATTGTTTCAATAGGGCATTAAAAGCTAATCCTAACGATGAATCGATGTGGAACCGTTTAGGGGCTGCATTAGCCAACTCGAATAGGTCGGAAGAATCAATCACAGCATATCATAAAGCATTAAATCTAAAACCTTCATTTGTAAGAGCCCGTTACAATCTAGCTGTATCATGTATGAATATAGGTTGTTACAAAGAATCAGCTGAACATCTGTTGACAACTTTGTCCATGCACGAAGTTGAAGGAGAAAAATTTAAACAAGGTCATGAATATAATAGTTGGAATAATGATAATATTATCGAAACTCTAAAGAGAGTGTTTGTTGCCATGAATAGGAACGACCTTTTAGAGAAAGTTCAACCAGGTATGGATTTAAAGCAATTCAAAGGTGAATTTGCATTTTAGTTATTTACATGCATACCTATATAAATAAATAAGTTTACACGAAGTTTGAAAATAGCATAATTATTCTATTCATATTTTTTAATTCTATTTACTGGCTGCTTGCATTGGTCCTCTCTAATTCAAACTGTAGTATGATATTATAATATATGCTTTTTCAACGGTTTTTAATAAAACATTTTAGTTTTTGTAGGAGTTTTGCAAGTTTAATTGAACGCCCTCTAAGTAAACAAACAAACAAAATTGATAAACATTGAAATGGATAGGAAAATGCCAATTATGATAGAGTCCCCCCTTTCTGTCTTGTTGAGTATTGATTCTATTTTAATTCTCATTCATTTTTATTTTTATTATACAGATATTCTACAGATAATTCTTACTATATTTCGGAAAGAATTATTTAATATACAGATTATGTATTTCAAACCTCTGTCTTTATATATTACAAATTTAGTGACGTAGTTGTTAACCGTCACATTCATGAACTTCTTATTCAAGTATCATCGTATAAGCCTACTCAATTATAATAATTGCGCACAATATTCTATGTGCCATTTAATTAATGTTAATATTAATGTTCCTAACCATTAATTATTATGCTCATGCGAATATCTTATACTATATACCCTTAGAACATTCAGCTCAGTAAATTCCTTATAATACAATAACTTATTTGACCATTGGACTTAGTTATGATCTTTAACTTCAACTCAAAGAAGAATCTATACTAATAGCATTGAGACTAAAGTCACAATTAATCAAGCACAACGTTTGTAGTGACATTCCGATCCCTCCCCACTAAGAAAATATACAAAGCGAAAATGGCCCTAGCAGCGCAGAGCAGGAAAAAAATATTGCCAGGAAACTTTTCTTTGCATGTAGGATCGCAGTTAAGCAGTAAAATTAGAAAAAAAAAAAATAAAAATAAAAATTACATGTAAATTGAAATATTCATTGACAGCAGATTGATTAATACATTTAAATATATACATCTTATTTAGAAAAAGTAGTTCTAATAACTGCGTTTCAATAATTCCTCGTAAATACAAAAGGCGGAGTGACTGTTGAATTGACTGTTGAAGTAGACATATACACGTGTGGAGGTGCCTAGCAATTCTGACTGGTAACTTTAAATCATCAGTAGTATCAGATTAGTTGACAGACGTTTCAATACCCCCTATCCCTATTTGAACATATACCTGAGTTGATAATGTCTGATTCAGACCTGAAATATGACGATGGGAAGAGTCTCAGTCGTTATAACGGTGATCATGATGAAGATAATGATAAAAAGTCATTGACATTTTTTAAACGTACGAAATTGAATTTTTTCAGAATACATAATTATTTCCATTCAGAAATCGGGAAATCTAAGAAGAGTTTACTTATCTTATTTGTTGTTGTATTTCTCTTCTTTTGGATTTCTGATTCTGCTATACCGGATACTTTTATAGATCAAAGGAATAAGGAGTCTAACAATGAATCATCAGGAAACTCTATAAATTCTAAATGGTTCTCGAGATCAAAGGATCCAAGATTCGTTATTATCTTAGCAGCTAATGAAGGTGGTGGTGTTTTAAGATGGAAAAATGAACAAGAATGGGCTATTGAACACATTTCAATAGCGAACAAAAAGGCATACGCAAAGAGACATGGTTATGGGTTAACTATCAAAGATTTAACTACAGCCAAAAGATATTCACATGAATTTAGAGAAGGTTGGCAAAAAGCTGATATCTTAAAACAAACAATGAGAGAATTTCCAGATACTGAATGGTTCTGGTGGTTAGATCTGGATACATTGATTATGGAACCAGAAAAATCTTTAGAAGATCATATTTTTAATAGGATAGATAAAATTACGGATCGTACATTAAAGAATTTCAATCCATTAAATTTACAACTCGATCAACCTTATACTGATTATTCAGAAGAAATGGATCTTTTGATTACTCAAGATTGTGGTGGTTTTAATTTAGGTTCATTCTTTATCAAAAACAGTGATTGGTCTAGATTATTCCTAGATATGTGGTGGGATCCAATTACTTACGAACAGAAGCATATGGTTTGGGAACATAGAGAACAAGATGCCTTGGAGTCTTTATATGCAAGTGAAGCATGGATTCGTTCTAAGATTGGTTTCCTTCCATTAAGATCAATTAATGCATTCCCACCAGGTGCATGTTCTGATTCTAGTGATGATCCTAGATACTTTTACGACGAAAAGGACCATGATTTCGTGGTTAACATGGCAGGTTGTAACTTTGGTAGAGATTGTTGGGGTGAAATTCAATATTACGCTAATTTAATGAGAAAATTAAATACTAAATGGTATACTAGATTTTTCTTTTAAAATTTTTTAACAACTCTCCGAAACACTATTAGTATTCTTAATCATTCATTGACCAAAAAAATTTTGAATTTCATTTATTAGTTGATTTTTTTGATGCCAACCTTACAATCAGGACACTAGTGATGGCGTAAGAACTTCTCTTGAATATTTAACCATCAACAAGATTCAGAATAGACTAATGAAAAGTACTTATAAATCTTTTTTTGTAATAATTTAACTTTCACATATTGACAAAACTAAACATCATTTTTGGTTTTAGCATATATAAGATACATTCTTGTACTATAATATAATATAATATAATATATATGCACCAAGCATTACTGCGCGTCATTCAGAAGACGAATAACAAAAGAAAAATATGTCCCGCGGTGGTACTACACGGTTGAAAAGAGAAAGCCTCAATATCAAGCAAGATATTAAGACAAATTATAATACAACTCACTATGACATATATTTTACTCTGCGAGATATACTAAAGACGTTTTGCAATAAGTGTAGGACAATACATAATATAATCAAGTGTCTACACAAGAATAATTATTAACACACAACGAAGTTCACAGATACCAAAGGAAAATGGCAATTGAGACTATTCTAATCATCAACAAATCTGGTGGGTTAATCTACCAGAGAAACTTTTCAGAGAGTTTTGCTTCCAAACTAAATAGTAATGACTTCCTAATAATAGCGAGTACGATACATAGTGTATTTGCAATAACTAGCCAAATAACACCTAAGGCCTTACAGATAACACAAAACAATGTTGATTATGTAATACCTTATATTCCAATGGTTGGGATGGAAAGTAGCAATCCTCAACAGACCAGAAACGCTAATGTTCCAGTCAAGCTCGGTAGTTATAAAGGTCCTGATTTCTTTAAAGAACCATTTATTAGTTGGAATAAAAGTGGACTAAGACAGTTGAGTACTGATCAATTCACTATGTATATATATCAAACAATGACAGGATTAAAATTTGTCGCATTAAGTTCGAATGTTCTTTCCACCAATGCTGGTACAATGAACGGAAGTATCGATAAGACTAAGGCGGTAAATGTTGCTAGTCAGGTTGCTGATAACTTCCTAAGAAAGATATACTGTCTATACGGTGATTACGTTATGAAAGATCCATTTTATTCAATGGAAATGCCTATTAAGTCAGAATTATTTGATAAAGCTGTGAAAAGAATGGTCAATAACTTGCTATGATTACATCAAAAAAGTGCACTTGTTGTGACTTCAAAGAGGGATCAAGCTCTGACAATATATTTAATGATATTTTAGATCGCAACGTTCAACGTCGTACAAACATAAACAGAGCTGAATTTCAATTCAAACCAAGAATATTGACTACTATATTATAAATTTAATAATATCGATATACGTAGTGATATATACTGAATATGATGAGCGGACTTAAGGAATGTTCCTTGAAAATAAAATCAGGAGATTACCACAAGATCTGACAGATGTAATGATTATTTCAAAATTTTCTCATCTCTTCGTTTTTTCTTATTTTATGTAACAGAACATTATCTCGAATCATGCTAAATTTGGATGTTGATTCATTTTTAATAAAATAATGATTTTTATCCCTTAACAAGAAATTCCGATTTCTTAGTGAATATATAGATGTAAACAAATATGAGGAATATTTCATAATAACGAGGAAATCTTCCGTTAAAACAGATTTTAAGGGGAAAACATATACATCACTTCGAACAGGGAGGTCATTTTACAGGTTCGGAACAATATTACTACCCTATAGAGAATAAAGTTTTGTCAATCAATGAGAATCCCTCGACTATAAGAGAAGGGTGTAAATTTTTCCGAAAATTAAAATAATGCAACGAGTTTGTTATAAAATAAATTCAAAAATATATAGTATTTAAATATTTTCACTTAACTCCTTAACAATTAAGAAAAACTGTTTTATCAATCGAGCTCTCATTTTATCTTAAATATTCAAGAAATAAGACGATACAAAAAATATAGAAACATTACTATAATATTTGATAAATGGAAACTTAAACATTACGTTTCTATGTTAATGTATAACTTACATGAAAGAACGGGGTATGTGCATTGAATTTGAGAGGAGCTCTCAAAAACAACAACATCCATATTACAGACCATAAAAGGATAGAATCGTAATATTCATTTTATTATCAATGGTATTATGATTTTATAACGGTACGATATTAATATTTACAGAGTCCATTTTTTATTACCGGAATGATCTGAACTAATCAACGTTGTAGACATAAATTTAAAACTATTTATGATCGGATTAAATATGACAATTTAAACTATTGATATTTAAGACTACATAGTATATACGTAGAACAAGTTTAGTAAACAATCTCAATATGATTCTCCTTGACGATATAGTTAAAAAAGGGACGCTAACGAATCTCACGTTGATCTTTATTAACCAAAGAGTAGAGGAAGAAATAAAGTCAAAAACAAGTTAATAAGTCTACTTTAACTTATGTTACTATTTAAATTTTATTTATCCGAAAGTGTAGTTGTTTTAAATGAGCATGTTTATTTTTCGTAAAAAATGAAACCCCTTCTTTCACTTGTAAAGTAAATAAACATTGACTATTGATCGATCGAGTAAGATCAATTCCTATTTTATGCAAAGTTCAGCCTTAAGGAGGTTGAAATTAGTAAATATGCAATTATTTTAAATAGCGAGAAAGCAACAATCTTTTATTTCAATTATTAACAAACAAAGTAGAACATTTGGTAAGCATGCATTCAATGTAATTCTTCCGAACATATACTTGAAAGAGTACTGGCGTGGAAACAAGCAGAGTTACGACATTTTTTCTTAGTTGGATTGCACTATACAACTTTGGTGGGCGGGCCCCACTGCCCCTCACAATTTGACATGACGGTACAAAATACTGTTCTTGAATCAATCCTGCTTCAAATCGATATAAAAATAAAAAGTCTGTCAATACAAAGGAGAAAACTGTCCCTGTTATGTAAGTTATAAGACAGATGACGGAAAAACTTAGGTACCACAGAATTGTCCGTAACAACAGGCGAAAAAAGATGTATTTAGTTTATAGATATGCAAAATATTTTTCCGTCATTTAAAACATTTAGAAACAAGAACACGTAGACAATCTATGAAGAAAATAAAAAACACACGGTAAACTAAAACCCAAGAAAAAATTTTTATGTATGTGACTCCACATAGAATGCTTTAGAACTAGAAAGTTTGTACAAACGTTTTTTTTAGTTTAATATAAAGTGCTGTGCTGGTTTGCTTTCTTGTTGAGAATTTTATTGCTGGTGTACGTTAATATTTTATTTTGTTACATCGGAACAACTTTATTCTCTATACTCACCATTCTCGCATACAATCTATATTTTATTTTAAAATTTATAACTATATCTACTTTAATTTCTTAGTAATGAAAACTTAAGTAACCAAACACGAAAAACAGAATAAATTAACTGGATTTTATAAAAAAAAAAGTTCTGAAGCAAACAACCAAATCTCCATTTTTGTACGTAATAATAACGTTTTAAATCTTGAACTCTAGTCTTTGCCTCTTTCTCCATTTCTTACGTACAGAACTACATTAATATTACGAATACCTGTACATATTAAATTCAAAAAAGAAAATTTACAAATATACCCACGTTTTCTCTACAGAATCATTTCATTAATAGGAGATTTTACAATGTGCTACATATGCATTTAAACAGAAAAAAAATTAAATTTTATAGGCACAATACTTCCACCTTAAGAAATTCAACAAAACTGAATTGTCACGTATATTTCTAATGAACCAATACAGTTATCTTCAATATTATCTAACAGTTAACACATGTTAATACAGTTTGAGAATAATCATTTCCATATTATCACCTGCTTGCCCAATTTTCATGATATATTAGATTTGACGAAAGAAGTAACATTTACAAGTGGTTACTACAGATCCAAACGAAATTCACATTATTAAGAAATTCAACAACATACCATTACGATAGTAATAATTAAACATTAATTTCGTAGACCACGCTAACCTCTTTTTCCATGTTCATTATTTTTAGAGTGTAGTTGCATCTTATTCTATTCGGCCTGAAACATATTTGTTCTCTTTGATATTTGCATTGTGCTATGTATGTAATGATTTATTTTTATTACTTCGAAATTAAAAGACACAAAGGTATAAGCCTCCTTTTCTTATGTAATAAAAGAAACCGGACTAACAAGTTCCATGAAAAAGTACGTATTATTCTTTGCTTTTAAAATTTTAAAGAATACGGAAACCTGTTCTTCTCATCGGTTTTTCGTTTCCCGAAACTTTATTAGAAGTTTAAAAAAGAAATAGAGACAAAATCAGAAAAACATTAATAGTTTAGTTTTTGTTTCCTAAAGTAATCACTATAAAATTCTATATCGTACTTGTTAATCTGCGTAAGTTAAAATTTGGCTTCGGAACAACATCATATATAAAAAAAGAAAGATTGATTTTGTGGTATTATTCACTAAAAAAGCCTGACGAAGGGCCCGTCCATGCATTCACATACTAATACAAATAAACCCAATAAACAGAAACTAAAGGCGTGCACTTATTTGATTCCTTTTTTTTGTACTTCCCTCTCTATCCCGCCATTGTCCTGCCTAAATTAATTGGATAAAGGAGTCCCAAAAAGTTTTTCGGAAATGCTTTTTTTCCTGCGTGTGTTTATTCGGACAACATATCCTACATGAAAGCACTGCGTGTGTCTTCTTTTGACAACGCCTTTTTCACTGAAAAAAAATGGAATTACTTATTCCTACGTAAAACAAAATCGGACAAGTACCAAAAGTTATGGCAGCTAGGCTTTCTACGTCGAATTGTCTATCTAAGAAATATTTTACAAATTATATTTTTTTATTCTAATCTCCATTTATTTATTTTTTTTCAGGGAGACAAATAAGGAAGATTGAACTGCATTACATTTATGATATTTATGTATGCTGTACGGTAATTCTATTGTTATTCCCAGAGAGATTCTCTCCTCCTCCTCTGCCATTTCTAAGTACATTTCTACTCAAACCAACAAACTGCATTGCTGGTATCTGTCTTCTTCATCAAAAATGTTTTACATATGCTATTTGGTTTATGTTTGTTTGATACTTCTTCGAGGATTTAACTTCAAAAATACATATACATATTTGAGAGTGTTTCTGGAAGAATTCAAAATATGGTTCCACTATGTCAATTTCTTAGTGAATAATTACAACAATAACAACAAAAATATTCGGAATATTGTGGTCCCTACTTTTTTCTTTCTTTCTGTATTCAAGTTAACCCCGGCACTCTCTTCTCCCCCCGTGCACGCCCCCCATATATTCTGTCTAAGTAACTCCCACATTTTTACATAGCATGACATATTACAGTGAGCAGCATTTTTTTGAACACAAAGAAAAAATAAGTAAGAGCTTAGATAGCGAAGGAGAGAGATACTTGGTACATAGACAGTTTCCTATTCTTTTTTAATTTGACGGTTGGCTCCCTCCATTATTTAGCATCAAGCGTATATATTTATGGATTAAGTATCCAAATTATTTCATTAAATAATTGCGTACAAAAACTGATTTCCTTTGATCTTCGAAAATGGGAAATTACGTTTTATTCGTCTGTTTGACAAAGAAATGTTTTTCTTCTTCCTGCCCCCCCTCGAAATAACTAACGGATTTTTATTTTTTTCAATTTTTATCTGGACTTCTTTTTTTGTTCGTTTTTGGCGTTTAATATTGAAATAATGTAGAAACTTTTACATTTCTCGGTTAGTTAATATAAGGGAAAAAAAATTAACAAATATGTAGAGTTTATGTTACTTCCACCCACCCCCCACCACTTCGGGCTAAGATCCTCCATTTCTTTCCTAATAAGCTTTTTTATTTTCTATTATTTTAATTAAGTATAATATGTTTATTATTAAAGTTTAAATATGTTGTAGGTAATTTACTTCACGGAACAATATCAAAATTAATAAACACTAAATTTATTTCGTTAATTTCTATCTTTCTTACTTAATTTATTAAGGAAGAAACTTGAAATAGTAACAAATTTATTAAAATAATTTACATGGAACAACTTCATAAACTTGTCCGGAATTTATGATTGACAACGTCCTCTTATTTTTAATTTTATTTTTGCCAAGTTTAATGAAAGTTCAACACATTCTTATATTTAGGTATTTCCGAGGTTATATTCTTATATATATACTCGAGTAAACATAATTTTAGGGATTCGAGTGGTGTATTAATTCCTTTTATCAAACCAAACTTTTTTTGGGTAATTTATTAATTAACTAAGGACTTATTATTGAGAAAAACCAGACACAACAATATATATTACTTTCCTATTATTTATTAGGTTTTCAAAATTTTTTTATTTCCTCAATTTTATATTCTTTATTATTTCATCAAAACAAACACACATACACAAACAATAAAATAAATCATGTCATTTGAAGGTTGCCAAGTAAATAACTTTCAAATAATAAGACAAATCGGTTCAGGTGTTTATGGATTGGTGTTTCATGTATATGATTCAGTAACAAAATTTGAATTTGCAATGAAAGTTATACTTAAATCATCAATCGATTCATTTCTTGAAACTTATTCAAAGGAAGAAAGTGAAGAAAGAAATTTACAATTACAACAAGAATTAATTAATTTTTTTCAACAAAATCAAAATCAATTAAATATCCCAGCTGTTGATTTACAATCAATTAAAGACCTTACGCCTGAACAATTATCAAGAATTCCACAATATAATGAAATTTGGATGCAATTACAAGTTCATTCTCATAAGAATGTTGTTACAATATACCAAGTATTAGAAAGTCCAGTTGCTACATTCCTTATCATGGATTATTATCAAACTGATCTTTTTAATTCTATTGTTAATATGAAAAGTTTCACGAACGATAGCAATTTAATTAAGAAAGTTTTCTTACAAATTTGTTCTGCTGTTAAATATTGTCATGAAGCTGGTATTTATCATTGCGATATTAAACCTGAAAATGTTGTATTAGATTCTGAAAATAATGCATATTTATGTGATTTTGGTTTATCTACCACAACAGCTCATTTATCACCAAATACTAATGTTGGTAGTACATACTATATTGCCCCTGAAAAAATCTTATATTTTAATGATTATACTACTCAAACAGCTAAATTACCAACTAATACTGGTGATGTTTGGTCTTTAGGGATTCTATTAATTAATTTAATTTGTATTAGAAACCCATGGTTAAAGGCTCATCAAACTGAAGATAAAACATTTTACCATTTTGTAAAAGAACCTAGAGTTCTACAAAAAATATTACCATTATCAGATGATCTATATAATCTTTTAGTGAAAGTATTACAAATTAATCCATTCAAAAGAATATCTATTGATGAATTAATGATGGAAGTACGTTCTATTAAATCATTCACCAATGATAACGGTCCATTAACAATAGTACCTGAATATAACGAGGATATTGATGACATCACAATGTATTACTCTACTAATGTTGTTACTGCTACTCAAGAGAAAGCAGAAAACGATTATTACAACTACTTGTCTGAAGATGATGACGACAATGAGGATGAAAAAAGAGAAGAAGAAGTAGAGGAAGCAATTATACAAAGTGATTGTATTAAACAGCCTCTGGTTCAACATATTGAAGATGTTTCTCTATTATATCAAAGCTCTAAAGATATAAATAGTTGTGCTACTTTAGGTGATAAGACATTAGATAATGAACCAAATTTCAAAAATGCGGTTAATATGATGGCATATACAGGACTTTCATCAGACGCTACTATCTGTGGATCAGATACTAACGATTATCCTTCGCTATTTCATACAGAACAGAAAAATTCTACTTCTATTAACGATTCGGAAGACATTCGATTGAATATGTCTTCAACATGATGTTTATGGCATATCAATTATTCTTTTTTTTTAATTTACTATAGACTACCTAATGCCCTCCATCACATCATTTTATTTTACTTTCTACCTATCCACCTGGTTTGTGGATATGGTCTGTGTTTACTTTATTATTATTATTACTACAACACATTATTATCATTAATTCCATATATTTTCGATCAAGAAATTGAAAATATAGCAACCATTTAACAGAAACGGGTTTTACATTTTTCCATTTAAAATCGACCCTTAAATTTAACATTCCACATTTTTTTGCATTTCATTCATACATAATTACATAATTCACACACATATTTTTTTAAAAATTCATAATTGTTAATAATATACAATATCATCATTTCATATTAGAATTTATTTTATTTACGTAAAAAAGAATGTTCAGCGTTCTCCAATATATACGCTTAAAAATCTTGATCGTGCAAGACTTTTTCAACATATTCTAGAACTTCGTTAGTAATAACATCTAGTGGCTTTCCTTCAAAATTGACAACAGCACAATTTTTTTCTTGATTCGGAATAGGTAATTCAAGATCGTTAAATTGTGACTGCATCATATTAGCTTTCATAAAGTGACCTTTTCTATTATTTAATCTCGAGAAAATTTCTTCTTGGTTAGCATATAAGAAAATAAAACAATAATCAACTTCAGGTTCGGTAGCTCTAATCAAATCTCTATATTTTTTTTTCAAACTGGAACACGTAATGATGGAAATACCATGAGATAATCTAGCAACATCGGCTGATCTATGAGCAACAACTTTTAACCAATCCCAACGATCTTCATCTTGCAAAGGATGACCTGATGACATTTTTGCCACATTTGCAGGTGGATGTAAATCATCACCTTCTAAATACTTTAAGTTTGGCAATTGTTTCATATAATGTTCTAATAAGTTGGAAGCAACGCTTGTCTTACCCGTACCAGAGGTACCAGCTAGAACAATAACCTTTGCTCTCTTTGAGCTATCCCACTTTGTAGTCATGCTGTCCTTATTTGATTTTCTCTTTTTTGTGTTCTATTCCTTTAAGTGAAATAAACTGTTATAAGCTACTTGAGAAACGTATCCTTAAATATCGTAATAGCTAGATTGTTGAAATAGGAAACGCCCAATTACATTAGAGAAGTTGTTAAAAAGAAGGATGGAAATATTACACTCTATGAATTTAAAAATTAGTTAAAATGAAACGTTCCTGTTATTAACTTATGTCGAATGACTTGAAGTAAGCCTGCGTCTTGCGGGGCACATACATCTGACGTTCAAAATAATTTTCTTAACCCCGCTAGACGGACTTAAGATTCATGCCATGTAAAAGCGGGATTAAAAATCGTGTTTTGGCGAGAATATTTCTATTTCTAATAAGGGGAATCATTTAAACGTCTTATATTGCAAAAAGGTTTAATTTATCGACAAAACTATGATAAATTAGATGCTCAACAACCTACATAGGGATTAATCATGTATCTATTTATTTATATGAAGTTTTTATTTATGGAATCAATGAAGAGGGGGTAATGCTACCCTAATCGATATCTATTTTTGCAGCTTTTGTTGCTTTAGTCACATTTGCCCTGTCAGTATGTAATCATTAACAAATGTTAGATAATGGGAACCAAGTATGAGAAAACATTTCTTGTATTTCTCCTTTATGTATTTCTCACTAGTCTGTGTCTTTATTCTTGAAAATTTATCGAATAATATACATCAAATGTCATACTATCTATGATTTTTAAGTAGCACCTATCATAGAGATCTCCGGATACACTCCATATTTTGTGAAGACACCGATGAGTTTCATATTTGAAAGGTCAACAAGGATCCGCCAAATTTCATTTCCTGATAAAAGTTTTGTTCCGTTCTCATTTTTAATCCCGTAGAAAAGATTTATTATTTGTTGAATAAATTCTTCTTTATAATTATTAATCTTTTCATCATTTGAAGAATTAAAAAGTTTTCGCCAGTGGTTTAATGGATCTGACATATTATAATTATACAATCTATGCAAAGCTATTACCATTAGATGTTGCGAATTAATAGATATGTTTCTTGAGTTTAAAAATGATGCAACACATATGAGTACTTCCACAATCGTAGAACAACCATAATGTGTTCCATAACTTAATGACCAATCTAAAAAATTTTCTAGAATCAAAGGTATATTTGATATCGTAAAATATTTTGAAAGTGTTTGCAAAATTGAAGGATTATTACAATATACATCGAAATTATGATAAAAATACATTGGAAGATCAAATTCTCCTTTACCAAGTCGACTAATATCGAATACGAAGTCATCTGGTATGTTTTCATCATGTAGATAAGGAACGAGACTTCTTGGTGCAAAAAGATCAATTGGTACTGGTAGTGACGATATATGGGTAAGGAAATATCCTGCGAATAAAGTATTATCAAATATTTCTGGATTGACTAAATATCCATCATCTTGTAGACATCTTTCAATCCCATACTTCTTAGGATTGAAAAGATATCGTTCTATCAATATCTGCCGTATTAAATAGTAAGATGGGCGCAAACAATCAAAGAAAAACTTGTTTAACAATGGCATACACGTTGTATCATTTGTCATAATAAATATTCTTTGAATAATTTCACACGGAAGATCTTGAAAAGTTATTTTCTTTCGAGGTCGTCTATTACTCTGTACTAATATGGACGTATCATCTGTATTTGATATGAGCTTTATGGTAGTTATCCTTTTATTTCTTTTAGTTCGTACGTTTTTATTATTGTTATGGTAGTATACTGGGCAGTTTTGATGATCAGGCAGTTTCCGCCTCTTATGGTGTCTTGTTGGGTATCCAATGGTGGCAAATCCCATGACGTGAGTTGTGGATGTTGTATATACTTGTTATGCAATGCTGTAACACTAGTTGACTTGAGATGATCTATACTTTTAATGATTGAGTTTCTCTTAATGTTGCAAAAAAATGGTCTTTTTTTAACAAACTTGCTCATCGCTAATTTTTTGTTTTCTTTCTTTTTATTATGTATGCGCATTGAAAATTAGATATATAAATTTATTTAGTCAGATTTTTAACATATGTAAGACGTAATAATTTAGATTGTGTGAAATAGTTGACATAAGAAGAGATACAGAGACTCACATATTTGAAACTGACAGGATACTCTGTCACAAAGGTTGAAATATTCAAAGCTCTTGGTAATGTAAGAGTCTTGTTCAATTACATGTTAATAAATTTTGTAAATTTGTAGTGATTATTTTTCAATTTTTTCACATTTGAATACCAAGTTGTTTTTAAATCTCTTCCCAAGATATTAAAATAATATATTTTACGTTTATCGTAGATTACAAACAAATATAAATATTTTGCTCAATCTTTTCAGAAGATCTGTACACAACCTACGGAAAGTAACCTTATATAACTATCGCTCATCTAACCAGATTTGTCAATGACGCTAACAAATTACACATTACTTGGTAATAGATAAACTTTTGTTATTCGTGTTTAAAATTTATTATATCGCTAACCCAAAATATGCAGATACTATTTTGTTCGCAATTTCAGGTTAAATTTTTATTATTTTGTAAAATCAAGATATTTGAACAATTTGTGCTTGCTTTAACTCCTACAATTACGAAATAAAATTGTCATTGCTACACAAGCTGAATTCATTTATTAGTGTTATTCCTATTATTATCAGCCGTTCTTAACCTCGTACAATATATCACCATCGTTGATGGCTTCTCTGGTGTTGTTTAAAACAAATCCAAAACGCAAAACATATGGTTTTTAGCCCTCTTAGTTACTGAACTTCCATTTTGGGTCTTTAACTTTTCATTTTCCTTTTCTGATTTGAAAAAAAATATACATTTTGTTTCTATTTGCTCTTCGTTGTTTGTGTGTTTGCTTTTGTTGCTACGACCTTTTCATAGCTTAGGAAAACAATATAAAATGCGAAGCCGAAATTAAAACGGGAAAAAACAAAGAAAGAAAACTACGAAGAAGGAAGAAGCAGATAACAACAACCACAACAACTAACGAAACCAAATAAAAATTGGTAATTGTTGACTGAAATTATAGAGAAGAATGGGTAACAGGAGGGAACGAAGCGATGCATAATTCAATATTTATAATCTTTTTCTTTTCATAGACAAAGCATTGTAATGCATTTTGTGATTCCGAAGAGTAGTACGGAATGTTTCTTCAAATACTATACTCAGTAATATAGCTAGCAATCAGAATTTCAGATACTATTAATTCCCTCTCTGTCAACGGGAATACCAAAAAAATACATATATTCTTTTAATTAGCAATATCTCTCAATAGGTTCTACTTTGTTCTGTGTTGCATTATTACAACACCTTGCAAACTATTCCCGAGGAGAGAAATTAGGTTTATTTCAGAAATGAGTAAACACAGCAGAAAATTTCACACATCTCTCTATTTTGGTATTGAATTAGAAATCCTTTTGATCTGAGAGGAAAAACTCTACCTTAATGTTACCGAGTTACTATTATTTTAACCGTATGACATCCTTTTATGTGCCGCAATGAATTGGTTTTATTTAAGATTTCTTGTATAAATAAGAAATGGTGGTGTCTGGCTTGTATTGCTTCCTTCCTTTTCTCTCTGTTTACGTAAATTTAAGCAGATACGTCAGTGATTGTTTGTATTTACTTCTTCTAATATTATTTATTTTCTTTTTCTTTTTTCTGCTTTCTCGTAAATATTATTATTGTTATTGTTATTATTACTGAGATCATTATATATTTTTCATTTACTGTTGGAAACTGCTCCATCGAATGTGATATTTTTTCCTTTTTTACCGTCTAATAATAATCTCAATTATTTGGTCTACACTTGTAAAATATTTCATTGAAAAAATATCGAGTTTGTTTATTTATTTATTTTTCATTTCGTTTATATTTATATCTATATTTATATGTATGTTTATTTATTTATTTTTTATTTATAGATCGACGTAACAACATTAATATCGAATAACGTAGATAATCATCACCTTTATCATCACTTTACATTTTAAAACTAATTGCATTAACTTGTACCTAACTGACTCTCAAAGGAATAAGCAACTTTAAATAATAGGAACGATAAAAGAGTAATAATATCTCTTCAATCCTCCCCCATCAGATATATCTAAAGGAAAACAAACAAGAAAACGATGGTTTTGGGTATAAAGAAGGATTCAACCACTAATGTGTTACTGGTTGGTAACAATCCAAATATATTATTCTATACATCTAGATTCCAACAAGGTAAATCAATTGAATTATATCATATTAGTGACTCGAAGTCTAATATTTATGATATTGAAACAAAGACATATGGTAATCACCATCTGGAGATTGATAACCATTTCACCTCAATTGCTCATTTGATTGAAGCGCTTGGTGAATTGGATGAAACAAAGGAACTTAAATTAGATTTAATTATCTTAAGTGTGAACTCGTTAAAGGATTTATCTGCTATTCCTGAACAATTGAAACCTCTACTATCAAAGAAAACTAAGATAGTCATAGAGAGTAGTGGATTTATTCAATTAGAATCATTTTTAAAAAATGCAAAAGAAGTGACTGGTTTAGACGTTTTTGCCATGATGACAGATTATGATATTCGTCAGGTAGCTAACAATCACATTAAAGAATTCACCAGCAATGATGATAAAAAGAAGAATATATATATTGGTGGTAAGACTGCCAATACATCTACTACTAAGAAAATGAAGACTCTGTCTCTAAAGGATCCATCCAAATATTCATCAGATGTTATGAAGTCTCTAAATTCATTACAAACTTTATTCCAAGATTTATTCCCATCAGACACAATCTCTAATTGTCATAAATCATATTCTGATTTTCTCTCAACGCAATGGAACTTGGCCATCCCTAAAATATGTCTAGATCCATTATTGATTATATTCGAAGAAACCAATTCTAAAAAATTGGTAGATCAAGTGTTAGCTAAGCCACTAATTTCAGGTATTATTACTGAATTAATAACTATAAGTAAGAATATGAATGTGAAGCTGGATCCAAATATGGAGAATGAAAATAAATTAATCAACACATGGTTGAAAGAATACAATAATGAGAAAATTCCTTCCCTTTTGTACAACTTTGTCCAACGTACTTCTGAATTAAATCTGGATCTTTTAATATTACAACCTATTTTATTGGCCGATGACTTTAACATTAAGACACCATATTTAGAATTCTTATACACAATCATGTGCCAAATGGAAAAGTTAAATAATGATTCATCAGAATGGTTTGTTCGTGCTGAACAAGTCCAAAGTTATAAACAACAATTAGTCACCATGACTAAATCAAGAGATCAATATAGTAGTAACTGTAAAAACATAACTTTAGATCTGGAGAAGAATACCACCGAATTAAACGAATTGAGAAATAACGATACATATTTAAAGAATCAGTTAGCAATTAGAGAAACTGAGACAAATAAATTAAAGGACGAATATGAGATCATCCTACAAGAAAAGAATAAAGAAATAGAATATTTGAAAAGTTCAATAGCAAATCCATCCACCGAGAATGGCAACACAAGGACCATGGATTCTCCTCTCAGTAATCAACTTGTTGATAATGATAACGACGAATTTAAAAGTATTCATGAGGATTCAGATATGTTAATGGATGGTGATAGTTCTGCATTAGCCAACAGTAGTACAATGGATGCCGACAGATCCTTTAACTCAAGAGAACAAGCCTTATTACAAAGAGAAAAAGAACTCCAAGAACGTCAAGAGGCTTTCGATAGACGTCTTGCTTCACAACAACGTTCTCCACAATTTCAATCGCCTTTGCAATATCCTACACAACTTCAAGCATCACCAGCTTTATATCATAATACTGCATTCTCGGCTCAACCAACAAAGCATAACCTACCACACATAAGGACTATGACTCCACCAGAAAAGTCTGTTCCAGTATTCAGTCCGTACGGTAATAATAGATCCGGTAGTAACACACCAACAATGACAGTCGACAAATTCATTGATCCAATATCTTCTGGTAATCTTGAAATGAATTCATCATTCGAAAACCCAGATATGAGATCTCATCCTATTGTAAGAACAAATAGAAAAAATAGAATGAATAGAAATACAACCTTAGGGAATGCATCTAGTACCAGTTTAGTTGCTGCAGTGAATCAAATGTCAAATAATAGTTATATGCAAGATAGATCCTTCTCAGGCAACAGTACTATGATGAACACATCTGGAACAAGTCTAAATATGATGAAATCTAAAAATAATGCTGGCATAGATATGCCAAGACCAACAAAATTGCACAACTTTACTGGTTCTCCTGATTTATATACACCAACAAAACCAAATAAACCCGATATGTTTAAGGATTCTTCTGCTAATGATACGACAGTTTCCAGTGACAATGTTGCTTTCAAAAAACCTGTTATGCAATTTGGCTTAGGAATTCATTCTCAAACCGAATTAGTTACGCCATTAGATAAGACCACCGTTCCTACCAACATGGAACCAACACCATTTGATGGGTCTCATAACGAGTCGAAAGAAGATATTTCCAATGACATCGAAGAAATTGAGGCAAATACATCTAAGGACAGTACCAAGAAGAAAAAATTAAAATTTGGTTTGTTTGGGAAAAAAAAAAATAAGGACAAGAAATAATGACTCTAATTACGAATATAATAATACCTAATCTTTTTCTAATGTCTCAATATATAGTCATTCTGTAACTAATAAATAATAAACTAGTATCTGCTCATATTTTCTTTTTAACAAATGATATTAATCTTGTTTCCATAGCAATATACATCGGGAGTAATATCATTAAATACGATAATTATCATTAACGACGATGAAAAATTTTCTTAAGATAAGCCGGGAAGAAAGCGCAGAAAGCAAAATTGAAAAATTTACTGAAAAAATTAAATGAGTGCACTGTCGTTAACAGAGAAGACGCAAGCATATGACGACGAAATTCAATCAATAATTTCCAGAGGCAAGAATCAATGATTGAATGAAACGTTAAGGTGTTTACGTTTGAGATTAAGAAATAACAATTTGTATATAAACAATTATTAATATATAGTCGTTAATTGAATTTCTTAAGCCACAGTTTTATTCAGGTATAAACTCCAAGTGCAACACATTATTCAAGAAGAAAAAAATGCCAATTGATCAAGAAAAACTAGCCAAGCTACAAAAGCTATCTGCCAACAACAAGGTTGGTGGTACCAGAAGAAAGTTCACCAAGAAGGCCGGTTCTGGTTCTGGTTCCCAAAAGGATGACACCAAATTGCAAGCTCAATTAGCTAAGCTACATGCTGTCACCATTGACAACGTTGCCGAAGCTAACTTCTTCAAGGAAGATGGTAACGTTTTACACTTCAACAAGGTTGGTGTCCAAAACGCTCCACAACACAACACCTCTGTCTTCTACGGTCTACCACAAGAAAAGGGTCTACAAGAATTGTTCCCAGGTATTATTTCTCAAATGGGTCCAGAATCTATCCAAGCTTTAACTCAACTTGCTGCTCAATTACAACAACAACAACAAGCTCAAGGTGCTGCCGCTGGTGAGGAAGCTAAGGATGAAGCTATCCCAGAACTAGTTGAAAACCAAACCTTCGATGCTGACGTCGAATAAATGTATTAATTTAAAAAAAAAGAATAATATTTTAACATTGAACCATACCATAGTGGTTGATAAAAGTTCCTATTTTTTTTTAATATATATACAATGACAAGTCCTCAATCAAATATATCCAATAATATTTGTTACCATATACAATAGCATATTAATATTTATATATGTAATTATATAGAATATTATTATTTTATATTAATTTTTAGTAAATACATCTCTGGATCATTTTAATTAAAGAAATTTTTACAGTTAACAGATATCTTAATGGTACGAATAATTAAATTAATATAAATAAAGGTTTTAAGAATGCTATATGTGACTATTTATCGTTTCTCTTTGTGCTTTGTATAATTCGACTAATATCTCCGTCGCCTATACTTAATAATCTACTTCTATTTCTTTTACAAGTCAAAGTATCAAAATGTCGTCTAAGCGCATCCTTCCTAGCAAAACCTTTCCCACATTGAGAACAAATATTTGGTAAAATTGGTAGATGTGCCTTTTCATGTCTTCTCAAGTCCGAGAGTCTACCAAAGATCAAATGACATTTATTGCAAGGATATTCTTTCCTATTATGTTGACCTTTTAAAGATTTAACTTTTTTCCACGGTATTGAATCCATATCAGGGGAACCATTACTTGACACCTCATTATTAGTATCACTGAATATTTGAGTATGAACTAATTCATTAAATTTTCTAGGTTGTTGTAATTTATCATCTGGAATTTTCTTAAAATGGATATTATCATTATCATTTGTTGTACTTAATTTTGAACCTGTATAAAAATCCAACAGTACGGAGGCATTATCCATTGCCTGTGCTTTATTAGTTGAACCTGAAGTAATTAAGGATTCTAATCGTTGTGAATTCTCAGTAATATATGAAACTTCAGTGGTAACTTCTTCATGAATCTTATCGTCATTTTCACTCTTAAGATTAAAAATATCAACGTCAGTATTTACTGTTATTCGTTTTAACAATTCTCGTATTGTAGGATCAACATTTGCAGAATTGAGACTTGTTGCAACAATAGCTTCAGCTGCTCGTCTAAAGAATGTATCATCTTCCGTCATGTATAAACAAACTAGATTGAATTTTTTTGTTTTTGTTTTACTATATACCAATCGAAAGTCACTGAGTTTTATTATTCCAGTATACAATGTATAGTTACAAACTATTAATATCCTAATGGAATAGTAGTCAGCTCTATATTAAATATATCGAAACCGTTAGAAAATAATTATAAAACGGAACGGGAACCATTCATATCATCTACAATAAATATATACACTCCATATACGTATAAATACAACTAAATAATGCTATTGTTAATTTTATTCTTATTTTATAATTTACTGTTTAAAAAATATGATCAAGGAACCTAAAATACAGTCAACTAAAAGGATACAACAATTACACATATTACAGAAACACACACACAAACATGTGTCGAAACAGATCATCAACGTGACCTAGACTTCTTTTTTGCGAAAACAAAAATAACCCTATATATATATCAGATAGAGTAAAACTAAGACTAAAACGAAACCAACAACCTGATATGTGGCTCATAACCAAAATATTTGCAAGATAATATCATGATTCATTTAAGAAAGAGGGAAAACAACAACAATTAGTACCTACTCACTAGTTCATTAAAGAATGTTGAATATTATGGATTATTATTGAATATTTACGTATTCTTCCTTAACTGTGGCATTGTACATCAATATATTTGTTATTATTCCCCCAGCTTAAATTCTTCAACCCCTTTTGAAATGAACCAGAAAAACAACACAAAAATTATAAAATATATTAATATTCGTAGACAAAAGATCGTGACACATAATTTCGGTATTTCTCCTTCAGAATTGTTGTTATAAAGTGCTTAATGATAACTATTATCTTATTGTGTATACAACATGAGTAATAATTTGTTGTTCCTACTACACACAATTAGTCAAAGTGAGGCGGCATGTCACGTGCGATTTTGACTATTTTCAAATTCTCGGGGTTTTTTAATTTGCACGCAGACACAGACAGAGAGCGGTTCTTTGTATCTTTACATATTAGATATATGCAGTTATTTACCATCCAGATGTACGTATAGCGAAAATACCTGACATATATTAAGGTCACTAAGGTCAGTATTTCTTGCATATGTTGATACTTGTTGTAAAATATATATCAGATATAATCGTTGTGGAAAAGAGTTAGAGCGAGAGAAAATAAAGGGAATATGTACAAGTGATGGAACACTACTCTATTCCCGAAACGATGATCCTGTTATTAAGATATGAGTACTTGACTTATGTATCATGAAATTTCAAAGTAGTATAGATTACTAGTGGACATAGAGTAATTTCATCTTTTTATCTATGGTCAATTATAAGATATTGTTAAGCATACTGAAGTACCCTTTAGCCACGGCTACTCAAAGAATTTAATTACAATTTCAATCTCAAAAGTACGCGAGAGCGAGAAAAGTAAAATAGTAAACAAAAACGCGCAATGCGATGTAACAATCTGTAAGATTATCAAATATACAAATACTTCAAGCCGATGAGTTAAGTAAATTAAAAAAAACAGAACGCTAAAGATTTATCCTTCATATTTATGTACTGTGCAAATAACACATATTCTATTCTTTGCTCGATATAGTTAAAAAAATCAAAAAATTCCAATGTCTATGACAGGTGAAGATACTGATATACCCCCCATTCAGAAAAATGATATAATTTTCCAAAAATTAAAAAGATTGCCTGTGATAACACTCTGTAAACTTATTATTGAATGGATGCAAAGATTCCCAATAAAACATGGTCATTTGAATAGACATAATATTAACGAGCATTTAGAAACATTATTAAAGAGAAAAATTGGAAGACCGGAGTTAGCAAAACTTATTATAAGAAAATATTGGAAAAATGGATTAAATTTGTTTCAATTAGCTCAATTAGATGTATCGATTCTTTTACAACATCCAAAAAGTTATGTTTGGAATTCACATACAATATATAGAACAGAGATTGAAAAATTTTCACCCGTAGTGATACCAATTGAATTTTTACAAACGTTACAATCCTTATTTAGGAAACAAAATCAAAAATGTCATATTTTTTATAAAAAACATCCAATTTTACCATTAAGTATGTTCAGAGTATTATTATTTGAAAATGATATAAATGATAAACATTACGTTGAAAGAGTACCATTTTATATAGTATTTACAATGTCAAAATCACCAATTATAATTCATTCAAATTATAAAATATCTGATATTTTTGCTAAATTAATAATGCAACTTGTTAAAGAAACTATAATGATTATTTCACGAATTGACTCATATCATACTCATTCAATGTCTAGTTCAAAAAGTGCTGATTATATAACATTACGCGATGAAAATTCAAATTCCACAAAGGATTTATCACAAATCTACATAACGTCGGGTATTGATGGATCAGGAAATCCAATGGGAAGTTGGTCAAATTATGGTAAGGGTACATCTGATATTTCTCCATTAAGTAATATCCAAACACATAAATCTATCATAGGTAAAGATGATCAAATACGGCAAGAACAGTATGACAATAAACTTGAACTTCAAAAGAAATCTATGTTACGATTTCATGGGAAAGAATCTGATGGAGACCCAAATTATGATAATGATATTCCAGTTGAGAAAGTTAAATTTACTTTAGAGAATCATATAGATGATGATCCATTATCTACACCTGTAATAATTAATTTTGAATTTGCTGGTAAAGATGTATTTGGTGGTATCCAAGAATTATGCGATAAAGGTTTCATTGATGTTGATCGTATACCCGGATGGTTATGTGGTGATAATGGGAATAAATCTGGAAGAATTATAGACGGAGATTTTGAGGAATTCAAAAAGAGAGGTGGTTTGATATAGATATTCAATTATATAAAAGATCGCAAATAATAATATTTAAAAGAAAAACAAAAAAACAATAACATAAATTTGTGATAATAAAAACCAATCGACGACAATCAAAACAGAAATAGAATTCTATAACATGACAAACCTTACCAATTCTGTCTTAGATATTGTACTCTGTACTGGGCAATAAGGACATTTGAATGACACGGTACCATTCTTTGATAATTTATCAAGTGCTTTTTTAGAAATAACATGATGGCAGGCGAGTGAGTATGGAGGGTTTTCATCTGTTGTTTCTTCTTTTAGTACTGGACAAATAAAGACAGGGTGGAAATGAGTTAATGAATAAGGTAAATCTACATCAAATGGAAGTTCGTTAGATGTAGTCCAACCGATATGTGCGCTTGATTTAATTTGCGCATATTTCATAAAGAATTGTGATGATAAAATACCACTCATAATAACTAACGATAATGGTGATTCATTTGGTAAATTATGTAGAGAACAATATTCTTGAGTGAAAGTTTCTTTACAGGCATCTACGAATTGTTCATAATTTTGTTTAAAATTACTAATAGTACCATGAACCATAAGTTGAGTGATAATAAAAGCTGCATCTTCCCCATACCGTAAATTCTTATTACTAAATGCTACGTTTGGTATTTTATCTGTAAAATATTGGCACACTTCGGGTACTGAATGATTCTTTGTCATTAACATACCTTTCATTATGTATAATTTATATCTAAGGGTCTGCATGATATGTGAATGATTATTAATTTGTTCATTGTATGCCCATTCCCAACAACTTTCATAATTACAATGTGTTAAGTCATATAAGATTTGGCCCATCCTAATAAAATTGGAACATATCTCAGGTGATATATTATAAACATTTTGTAAGTATTTCAATAATCCTTCTGTGTCCTGAACAAGTATATCACTTAAGCAATATCTAGATATATGTGTCTGGATAGCACCTTCTAATTCTATTCTATGCTTATTCGATATTTTATTATTATAAATATCATCGATATTAAATTTCTGAAAACTTGATAAACCTGATGAATTAAATTGAATTAAACCTTGTTTTGATTTTTTTGTATGTTTTTTAATCGAATGATCCCATTGCTTATAAGATTTATTAAGTTTATCCTGAATCAAAATCCGCCTCTTTGTCAGTTTATCTTGCGTACTCTTATCCATCTGAGCATTATCAGATCCTTGATTCTTTGCCTCCTGTATATGTTTATTCAAATGGGCCTTTAACTTTCTTAACTGTGTCTTAAATTCTTGTGTTTCCGTGAGACATTGTTGTAAATGCGTTCCTCGACCATCTTCTGTGATCAGATACTGATCATAAGAATTTTGGATATGCAATATGGGAGAACTCATAGTTCAATTAGTTTAAAATGTATGATGGTATGTATCTATGTATGTATGCTGTTGATGTAATAGTTCAGGGCTCTTACTGTTCTAAGTTTCTTATCTGTTTGTTCTTCTATATCCCTTTTTATTATTTAACCTATAACGATATTAATGAACGTGCGGCATATAACAAAAAAAAATCCGATGAGGGTGGAGAAATAAGTCATCACACGCAGTGCAGTCGCTACTCCCATATTAAAAGAGACATATAGATAGTGAATAGATATTATAAAATATTTAACAGTAAAACAAATAATAGATAAATAGATGTAATAGAAGTATATACTAATAAATAAATTAATAAAAAGAGGGTTGAACTATAAGTACGGTTCAACTTTGGGGATAAAAAAATATAATAAATAAATAAATAAACAAATAATCATAGTTTGGTAAATACTATAGTATTCTCGTTTGACTAACTATTTTTCTTTAAAAAATAAATTGCTAAAACAACACAAAGAATACTACATCAGTTATAACTATTCAACATGATGGCTTTACGTTTTATTTCTTTCTTTTTTATTATAACTTTGGTTTACCGTTACTTGAATTAATGGCACTAATTTCAGTTCTAATATCATTACCAAGTTGTTCATCAACTCTCGAAAACATATCGACAACCTTTTTCTGTAAATCTGTAGATTTACAATTTGCTGCATGAATGGCGACATTATGAGCTAATCTTGCTTGAGCACCATCTTGTTTACTTAGCACTTTACGATATAAAGTGGTAGCTTGAATAAAATCGATATCACCTGAAGAAGTAACCCATTCATATGGTACAGCAGGACCATTCCAAATTTCTTGATGTTCTTGAATTGGTCTAGATTGTTCTAAAAATTCATACTTACTATTTGTATTGTAATAATTAGATTCACTACCAAAATTACCATTAACATTCATTGCACCATCTCTAATTAATGGATTAAAGAAACCTTTTGATAATGGGCAATTAACAGGTACTTGATTATAATTTGGACCAATTCTATGACGTTGAGCATCTGCATAAGCAAATAATCTACCTTGTAAGACTGGATCAGCACTTGCTTCTTGATATGGAACTGTATTACTTGGGGCAAAAGCAGCTTGTTCAATTTGAGCGAAAAAATTTTGAGGATTTTCATTTAATACCAGTTTACCAACTGGTCTTAATGGGAATTGAGCCTTTGGCCAAACTTTAGTTAAATCAAACACAGAAAATGGTAAATGTTTTGATTCTTCTTCTGTCATAGTTTGAATATAAACTGTCCAAGATGGTGCATTACCTTTTTCAATATTTTCAAATAAATCTCTGTGACAAATATCAGGATCTCTACCAGCAATTATTGCAGCTTCTTCTGAAGTATAACATTTAATACCTTGATCAGTCTTCAAATGAACTTGAACATAATGCCATTCACCTTTTTTATTTGACCATTTATAAGCATGACCTGAAAACCCATCCATATTTCTATATGATTTTGGTATACCACGATCAGAAAATAGAATACATAATTGATGAATTGCAACTTGATTACTTGGAGTTGTTAAAAAATCCCAAAACATATCAGCATCTTTTAAATTAGTTTGTGGGTTTCTCTTTTGTGTATGAATAAAAGCAGGAAATTTTGATGGATCTCTAATAAAAAAAATTGGAGTTGCATTATAAACCCAATCTAAATTACCTTCTTCTGTGTAAAATTTTGTAGCAAAACCTCTTGGATCTCTTACAGTATCAGCTGAACCCTTTTCACCACCAACAGTTGAAAATCTGGTAACACATTTTGTCTTTTTACCAATTGTGTCAAACATTGCAGAACCACAAATATCTGTAATATCATGAGTTACTTCAAAATAACCAAAAGCACCAGAACCATGAGCATGAGGATTTCTTTCAGGAATTCTTTCTCTATTAAAATGGGCTAAATTATCTAATAAAGCGTTATCTTGTAATAATAAAGGACCATGTTCACCAATACGTTGAGTAGCAAAAGGTGCATTTAATTGGTAACCATTAGAAGTAGTGACGACTCTATCTTTTCTAACACCATTAATATCAAAATCTTTCATTGGACAGGACATTTTTTCAAATAGATAAATAAATTTTGTTTGTTAGTTAATATTATAAGTATATATATCTTATATGTATATATATTTATATTTTTTTTAATGGTATACTGTTAATACTTAGAAAATAAGAATATATAATTAAAAGAGAAACAAGATTTAAATCAAGAAACAAATATATTAAATTTTAATCTATTTATATATCTTTTCAAAAAATACCATCTTATTATCTTAATGTATATTAATAAGAGGGGATTTTACTAACTACCCCTCTTCATAGTTTTTTACTGCTACCTTACCTTAAAAGACACATACGTTTTTTTGTTTTTCCATGTAAAACGAACGACCTTTGACCGGCTGATTATTATAAACCCTATTTACTCCAACATTCAAACAAATTACTAAAATTTTATCCGAAAGGCTCATAACGCAAATGAAAATAAAAACAACTCGGATAATTGACTCACGTTAATATCACATAATACTTGTAATTAATAATAATATCTGTATGAGTCTATTATACCTCAAATGCAGAGAAGCATTCTAGACATTGCTATAGAACACTGACTGCTTCTATTAATTGCAGTACAAAATCACACCAATGCAAGTACTGTCATTACAAATATTGCTAACGAAGTCCAGATTGCTGAATAGAATATGCATGTTTTATTACTAACAAATATCTAAAATTCTAGGTTTTTATCTGTGATTACGTATTAGAAAACCAATCAAAAACAACGCGCACGCGCGCGCGCGATTAACCAGTTTTTTAGGGGAAGAAATTCTTTCGCAAAAAGAGGGGAAAGGCGGTTAATGGAGACATCGGATTCAAAAAAGGACACAATTTACCAAAGGATAGAATATGTTAACCCCGTAGTTATTGGAAATTAGTAATGCTATCAACTTCATATAGTTTACTATTAAATACATATCTAAGAACTAATTTAACATATTCGCAAAATATTAATAAGGTAAACTATTGCGAAACACCCAGACATGACACCGAAGATGTTGAATGTATAAGGTAAATGAGTTTATGTCAATAGAATACGACTAAAACATATAAACACCTCAATATACGCATATATATATATATATATATACATATAGCCACTGATATATCCTTCATGAATCTATTAAGTTATAGCGTTACTAAGTTAGACGTATCTGATCTTGTTTGTTTTACTATAAAAATCAATGAGGGAAACTCTTTTCAGATGCATTTGATCTGTTAATTTTCTTTTACAAATAATCTTTAAAAAAAAAAGAAATATATTTTCAATTGAGGACAGTCTTCTACATGTCATTGTAAATTACTATTACCTCCTATTGGTCTTTAAGTTATTGGTTCTACGAATGGCCTCTAAACACAACAACAACAACTAATTTCTTTAATATTACTATTCTTTAAAAATTCGATATATATGTATCATAGTATACTAAGAAAAGACGTAGCAGATGTGAATAAAAAAAAATAAATACGAGAAAAAAATGATAAGCATGAGTCCCCAAAGCAATATGATGATGATGGAACAAATACTTTTACGATGTGTCACATAAATTTATTAAGTCGTAACGAGAATAGTAAGATATCATTAAATTGTATAACTCAACTAAAAAAATGCATATATATATATATTCACACAGGTCTATGTATAAATTCACATGGTTAAAATCGTACAATGTGAATTTAATATGGTAGTATTTTTTTTTAACTCGATGACTTTTCCTGTTTCTTTTTTTGACTAGATAGTATTTACCTAATTGGGTTAATATTAGAGTAATAATTTTTAAAAAAAAAAGTATGCAGTTTCTTACTCTTTCTTGATACTGCTTGTTTAGATTTACACAGCTGCTTTTCAATATTTTAATGTATTTTGTTTTACTTATTTCTCTATCTTCGTTAGAAACCTATTCATAAAAAAAAATAATAGCAACTTAAAACACACAGAAACTAACGTATTAAATAAATTAATTTCAATCTTTTTCATTTTAACTGAAATTTACTTACCGAAAAACAGAATTATCTCAAGAAAAAAAACTAAAAAAAATACAAAAAAATTGTTTTTTTTCAATGTTGTTTTTTCGCGTCCTGCAAATGTTTTTACCACATTATGAAGAAGTAGAAGATATCGCGTAGGAGGAAATAACCTAATTTGTTCTACGTTCAAATACTGAATTTTGTTTTTTTGGATATTCTGTGCTCCTCATTGGCATGCGTAGAAAAGTTCATTAAAAATTAATCTACTTTGTATATCGATAAAAAGATAAAGAGATCTTTCTTTTTTCATCGATTTTAAGATGTTACATTTTTTGCCCTCTCAATGCCTTGCTGTGCCTTCCTTCTACTGAAACAATTCAGGCTTTCTTTCTACTTCCTCTTCTTATTAAAATTCAATTCTAGTATTCGCCCATCTCTATGCAGACGAGAAAAAGAAAAAAAATCAACAAAATAATTTTCATCGTCAATAATATTTTCAAGATCCCATAGTTTATTTTATTTTCCTCCTTCTTGATTCAGTTTCACCTTGTTAGGATTGTACTAACTTACATACTACCTTGATTTCTTTGTAAATATACGTATTTTCTGACGCTTTCATTATCAATATGCACTAATTTACACAACCTACAGTTAATTCTCTTTCTCGCTAAGATCTCTTTTTGGTACAAATGGTACGTTTTAAAAATTTCAATATTTAACTCTTTCTGGTTATGTTACTACTATTCATGGATAAGTATTATTTTTCTACTTCTACAACTAATTCTTCTTTATTTGATGTCACCTACCAATGATTGTCTTCTTCTACTTTCAGTAGATTTTATTAATCAGTCTTTATATTATACTCTTTTTAGTTAAAGTAGAATTCCATGTATACATAGTTATTTTTTAAATGCTAACTTTGGACTGTTTTCAGTGCCAGTCAACAAAAACACCCCATAGAAAAAAGAAAAAAAAATATACACACAACAAACAATAAACTTTAATTTGTAAGACACTATCTATCATTTTTTAAGAAAGAGACATCACATTTCTCTAACTTTACATCGGTGTTTTGCTCTTTTAACTTTAAAACTTGTTACATATGTTTTTTTTCACACACTATATATCTAAAATAGTAAAAAATGTATATCATTTCATGATCATTCCAATATATATAACTTTCTTACATAAAACTGATCAACAAAAGTATTGATCTTTGAACATTTTTCTGTCTCTTTAGCTCTTTTTTTTAAAATCAGCAACAAGAACTTTTATCACAACTGTCGTTAATAATAATATCATAACAAAACAGTTGATAATTCGATACTTACATCTGAATTTTTATGATCCATACTTTCCTCAACTATTCGTTATATCAAATATAATCAATAGTTATTTTAATAAGGTCAAAAATTTTCTACTTTCTCACCCTTCCAAACTCTCTTACAGTCTTTTATTGCATACTCAGGGTGCCTATTTTATTTGAGATCCAAAAATACCAAGAGATCAAATATTTTTTTTTTGATTTTTAATTTTTAATTTTTTTGTTGTTGTGGTTTTCTTCCTATTTTTTAACGGGATTTACATCTTCTACATTCTTTTAGCTAATACAAAATTCATTTTGATCCCTAAAGAACATTTTTCGTTTTCTTTTTTATTTCATTTTGAGGATAAACGAATAAACAAATAATATAATAAGAACCTATTATAAATTGCAATTAGTTTTCCGTCTTTTACTAAAAAGAAAAAAACTGCAAATATACTTATATCTTATATGTTAGTGCTTCAATTAAACACACTATAATATTTTGCGTCTTAGTCTTTAAATAAATAACTACATTACGAATTATTGAATATAGTGTTTTCTTAATTTTTTAGTAATGACAGAATCAATTTCAGCTAGATTTACCTCTAAAGTGGATAATATAGTTGATCCAATACCGAAATCTAAAGGTCAAGAAATTAAGAGCATATTAAATAATGATCCACCAGATGAACAAATAAGTTCATCCAGTAATACTGCTACTCCATTTCAGAATAATTTAAATAATCAGACTAAAGATACCCCTTCAGCAACATTTTCTGGAAATGAATTTAATAATACTAATATATCAAGACCAAGATCATCATTATCTACAGTGAGTAATCCAGTGATATCATCAAGAAAGAGACATTTATCAGATCTATTATCACCAAGACCAGAATATTCCTCAGATCCAAATACTTCAGGACCGCAACAATCCTTACGTACTTCTGTTTCGTGTTCACCTTCATGTAGTTCAGCCTCTGATTGTTCTTCTTGTTCATCATGTTATTCTTCAAATAGTACATCAGCATCAAGTAGTACTGGCTCATCTTCAACGTCTTCAAGAATAACATCAGTATCAATGCAAGGACCGCCTCTTTTACAAAATAAATCAAAGTCATTGAAAAGAAGAAGAATACCACCACCATTGAACATATCACCAACTTCAAAAGATGCACCAACACGTCACAAACACCTTCACACAAACAATGAGAAAATTAAAAATCCTATACCAAGTTCTGCAGTATCAAGTAGATTTAAACCTCAAAGCAACGTTGTACAACCTCGTAGTGCACCTGCAGATGTCACAACATTTCAAAAAGCTCAAAATTTAATTAAACCAAAAGTTGTTTACCTAGGAAAAGAAAATAAAGCTCCAAACAAAATACAAAACCATGGTGTAATTGGGGGTCCTAATTTACAAGTACCAGTACAAGGATGGTACCCACCGCTAAATGGATTAAGAAATACTGGCAGGTACCCAATAGCCGCTGGAAATACACCGATAAGTGCCGTATCGCCTCAGTTCCCCTATTATCCAATGTACCCAATGACACCCTGGGGTACTCCAACAAATATTGGCATGAATGTACCACAGGGAATATACCCATACCCATACCCATACCCAAATACATACCCAAATCAATACCCATCACAAGCAACAGCATTTAATAACACTAATACAACCCATAATATTGCTAAACCATTAACATATCATAATAGTACTCCGCCACCAAAATTCAAAGGTAAAAAAATGAAAATTTCTAAAGTCAATAATAATATTCAATCACAAAGTCATAAATTCAAAGTTAACGAAGTCACAGTTAACCAGACTACTTCATTACGCAATACCTTTCAAAACGAACAGACCTCCGAATCAGCTACACCGATGCAAAAGAATAACGTGAAATCTGATTCAGGGAAAGAAAATAATGATATTATGTCAGGTGAAATACGCCTCATGAGTGATGTTTTTAGCTTTGAATTTCCAAAAAATAGTATACCTACCAAGAAGGGAATTAAAAACCAAACTTCTAGCAATGTCAATAATTTTTCTAAACAACTGTTTATGAATATTTGTGGTAGAATATGGGATGAAAGTCAACTTCTACAATAAAACTACATTACGTACTTATCGATATATACAATAATCTTACATAAGTACATAATTATTTAAAAGTAAATATACTTATTTTTTAATGGAACTTCTTCTATCTTAGATACTATTTTAGTTATTAAATTCAAAATTGTTGTTATTTCTGTTCTTCTGTTGCAGTTGACAGATACATGGAAGGGTAACCACCGTCTCGGAGTGTTCTACGTACAATTTACAGCGCATAATACTATAACCGAGCATAAAAAATGTTTCTAGTAATGAAAAAACGATCGACGTTTGTAAATCTCTATTCCCCGTCCAAAAAGGGACAAGAAAAGAACAAGTAAGCAAATTTGGTTAGACACAAAGGAATTTACATATGCAGAGTAATTGAACTCCCTTTCATATTCGTGCACGTTCATTTAATGGCAAGCATATTTATTGCAGGTGAATTTTTTTTTATTGCCATCGTCCCAGTTGTTTTCAAGTTGTTCTTATGTTATTCGTGTATTCGAGAGTTATCATGTTACTAAAAATACTATCTGATAACGTTGCACATTAAACTTTCGGAAAGTGCTCGAACGAAACTATATATATAATCCCTAGATATTTGTTAAGCGAGTATAACAACTAATTAGATATCAATTATTAATTATCAATATAAAAACATTCTCATACTTTAAAGTAATCTAGAAAAATTTGAATACAATAATGGCCATATCATATGGTAGTAATGGAGTACTTAGTGCGAAATATTTTATTTATTTAATAACGTTCATATCATTATGTTTACTATTCTTCAAGTTTGAAAATGAGACGTTGAGAACTGATTGGTTATTCAAATATAACATTGATTCATATAATAGGGAAAAGACTTATTATTTCCCATTTAGCAAAAGATTCAAATTACCAAAATATTCTTACAAAAAACTCGACGATAATAGTATTCCAGATAGTGGACGTGTTGTTGAGGAACATATAATGCATTACAATTTAGATTATTTATCGAGGACTGATATTATTAATACTAATAACGTGTTAATTTTAACAATAGCAGATACATTCAATGAAAAATATTGGGATAATTTATTAAACCTATCCTTCGATAAAAAATCTTTGGAATTAGGCTTTATGGTATTACCTACGGAAGATGGAGATAATATCCTGAAACAATTGGAGAGTAAAATCAAAGACATTCAAAACTCAAAAGAAAATGGTATATTTAAGAAGATTACAATATTACGTGCCAACTCTGCACCAAATTATTTTATCAAGGAAAATGACGATATAAAAAGGGAATTGACGAAACGTAAATACATGGCAGCTTTGAAAAATGAATTGGTCACCTCAACAATAGGTCCTGAGAATAGATATATCCTTTGGTTAGGTTCAGAGATTACTGAGACACCACAATCATTGATAGAAGATCTTATTTCAGCCAAGAAACCAGTTGTAACGGCGAATATACAGAAGCGTCAAAACGATAACAAAGGGGTTATTTCTTTTGAATATGAAAATTCGAAAACATGGATCGAAAACAATAATTGGAGAAGTCATCTAAGTACATATCCATCTAATTTCGTAGTGATGGAAGGCATTGGAGATATTTATACAGGAAGAGTACACATTGACCATCTTATGAAAAAAAATAATATCGAAGAATTCCGTTTCACCATAATAGGCGTAGACAGTGTTTCAATGGCATGCACTTTGATTCAATCCGATGTTCATAGAGATGGCGCAATGTTTCCGAATTTTCCATTCTATCATTTTGTCGATACCGAGGGGTTCTCAAAGATGGTCAAGAGACTTAATTATAATTTGTTTGCCTTACCTAATTACATAGTATACCATAGTTGACTATTTAATATAATAATACACAAATAGATAGACAATAACCTAAATAACCATGATAATACTTCTAAAAAAAAGATAAAATATATTAGTTAAGGAAATAAATAGAGTAGAATGATTTAAAAAGAAATTGTAATAAATATAGATATAATCCAACGAAATGACAACTGATTTGTAAATTTAATTTCTTTAGCTCTCTTTTTGTTGTTGTTGTTGTTGGATATGATTTTAATGCAATGAGTAAAAATAGTAGTGAATATAAATATGAATTTTTTTCTCTAACGAGCAAAAAACGAAGAAAAAAGGGGACTAGATGCAAACTTAATTTAGTTTGTGACCATAAGTATCATGGGATTTTTCAAACTCTGCAATTGTAGCACCTGGAGAATGATTTGTATCCTTGACTAACTCTGTAATCGCAGTTAGATCCAAATCAAGATATTTAGCCATATATTGACCAATCTCAATATTTTCATGATTGCCTTGTAAATGATCCAATACATCATGCCATCTATCACGTCTATTAGAATACGCATATATATTAACGTCAACAGCACTATGTCCATGAGTAGTCCATCCAACTTGTGCTCTGAAGCTCACCATAATATTAATCAAATCTTGAATTTTGTTTTGGTCATTTTCTGAAACCAACGAATTAATTTCATCTTCACTATAATCAGTAATCCCTAAATGGTTTTCCATGATATCGTGTTTAACGAATTTTGTTTTTTCCGTTTTAGTACCTTTAAAATTATAAATTAAAGATTTAAGATATTCACCTGAATGACTTGAGTTTGCTAGAACTTCTGGTAACCATATATAATCAGGGTACGATTCAGTTACTTGTCTAGCGGTAACAAGACCGCCAGTCTCATGATCTGAAGTAGATATTAGAACAGTTTCTACTTCAGATTGTTCTGCAAAATCCAAAACAGCCTTAAAAGCTTTATCGAATGCTAATACCTCTCTAACTTGAGCCGCTGGATCATTTTGATGGCCCGCGTGATCAATTCTTGAACCTTCAATCAATAAGAAAAACCCTTCATCTGAATCCTTAGTGGCTTCACTAAGGGCTTTAATTGCTGTTAAAGCTTGCTCTTCTAATGATGGATATACTTTTGGATCTCTATCAATATCAAATGGTACGTCATTTTCTGCAATCAATGCTAATAATGGTAATGATACATTTGTACCTAATTGTAAAGTATCAAATTCTTTACGATTTTGAACTACTTGCCAACCATTTTGAGTTGATTCGTGTAATAAATCACGTCCATCTTTACGTACTCTTGAAGTGTAATGGGATCTCCCTCCACCAATGATTAAATCAACCATTCTACCTAGAGGATATTCACCAATTTGATGTAATGCAATAAGATCTTCTTGAATACGATAATCTGCATGTGAACTAAAAGCAGCTGGTGTAGCATCTGTAATTCTAGTAGTTACTACTAAACCTGTCATATAACCTTTAAATTTAGCAGCTTCTAAAATTGTTCCGCATGGATTTCTTAATGGCGATACTCCGATAGCACCGTTATAAGATTTTAAAGCACATGAAAAAGCAGTTGCACCTGCTGCAGAATCAGTGATTAGAGAGTCTGAAGATCTAGTACGTGAAGAACCAATTAAATGATGATCAAGCTCTAATATATCATCGATAGGTAAATCCTGAGTAAGTTGTCTAAATGATCTAGTTAGCGATAACGATGCAGGACCCATACCATCTGTGACGAAAAAGATTAGGTTCTTCTTTTGAGATTTATGATGACCAGATGATGGAGGTAAACTTTCTTCATATGAGTATAATGTAATCAGAACTACAGTTAGGATCGCTAATAATATCTTGTGTAATTTTCTATTACGGAATATACCATTTATACGAGAAGTATTCCCTAATAAAGCAGTAGATTCCGACATTTTTCTAAATAAATAATTTTATATTGGTTTGTATATTTATGTAAACTGTCTAAGTTCTTCAGCAAATAATACTAAAAAGCATCATTTGTTTCTCCAAAATGTTTTTAGTGTTAAATATATTTATCTCTTTATTTATATATGGGTAATCAAATTTCTTATCCATCGCAAATTACTAAAAACAAAAAAAAACAGAGAGAGAGAGAGAGAAAGTGTAGACACGCGCCGCATTCTTCCTTTATTGCTCAAGTTTCTATTTTCGCACTTTAGCGATAAGAGCGAATGGTCTCATTATTTTAGAATGCTTAGTCACAGTAGTTTCCTTAAAATAAATGGGAAAAGGTTTATTTTAATTCGTTTTATTCACTGGCGTTACGGTTTTTATTTATTGTTGATGGTGTTAGCCTCACTGGTTAGATGTCGCTTATCTCTAGCTGTGTATGCTGTACGAGTACGATAATCTTTTTTTAGTCGATCTCTAAGTTGTTGGCACTGTTTATCAATATCTTCTGGAGTTAATTCACTATCCGATGATGCGTCCATTTTATCTTCTAAGTTATCCCTTAACTCTGACACACGTAGTTCTATTTCTCTGAGAGAATCACGTTTCACATCACTAACACTGTTTTTGTCTCTTGCATCTATTTTCTGTACACGATTTGTATCTATTCTGTTCTTTAACCTTTTAGCTTCTGCTTGCCTCTTAAGAAAAGCTTTCCCTTTATTCTTATCTCTATCCTCAGTTGAAGCTAACGATCTCTGTATGTGACCCGAAGTGGAGGATCCCTTGGCAGACGGTAGTCCGATCCCATTATAAGACATATCTTGTTGAAAAGTGACTCAATATAGCAACACTTCTTGTCTCTTATATCCTGGTTGATCCACTTCATTAATGCTTTGCTCTGTCATTACTTCTTTTATACATAAATTGAGCATAACTTGTTAGAAGAGGCCGTCACTTGGCACGACAGCATCTATTTTTGTTTTGGCGCAGCAAATTTTTTTTGAAACGAAAAAAACCGAAGAAGTCGATTTCCTTTTGTTACACGTAAACGATTCTCTCTTTCTTTTTCTTTTGGCAGGAAGAAGACTAAAATCAATTTTGGCGTGATGAGAATTTTTACAGCAAAGACAGCAAGTTGGAAATTTATTCTTTAATAGTTGTTGCAAAGTTGAATAAGAAAGAGGGAGAGAAAGAGAGACATATCTGTTATATAAAACCTAGAGTTTCTCATATTTGATCTTTGTTTAAGAGTCTAAAGTTTTCTCAATAGACTGAAACAAAAATACACAGATAAAAATGGGTCTTCTACTGAGTAAACGTCTGCTCAGATTTATCTTAGTGGTAGGTGGGTTCCTGATCTTACTTATCACCTTAAGTTCGCATAGTTCTACCAAAGAATATATGCCACAACCACTAGATATGTCTTCTTTTGCTGCTCCTTTAACAGATTTTGGTAATAGTATATCAAGTTCGATTCTTGACGCTGCTGGTATGGAAGCAGAATCTCAAAGAGTTGCAGCTGAAGGTAATGCTGAAGTGGATGGTGAAATGTCATTTTCTAATAATGAAGTTGCTGATAAGGATATGGATGAACAAGCTAAAGCTCTAAAGGATTCTGCCAATGCTGCTGGTATCGAAGATATATCTAAAAGTGTTATGGATTTCATTCAACCAAGTTTTGAAAATCACGGTATGAGACCTAAAGCTTGTTTAGTTACTTTAGTTCGTAACTCTGAATTACCTGGTATGTTAAACTCTATTCGTAAAGTTCAACAACGTTTCAACAAAGAATTTCAATATGATTGGGTTTTCTTAAATGATGTTGAATTTTCTCAAGATTTTAAAGATGCCGTATTGAAAGAAATTCCAACTTCTGTTGTTAAATTCGGTGTTATTCCTAAAGAACATTGGTCTTATCCAGAATATATCGATCAATCTAAGGCTGCTGATACTAGAGCTAAGATGTCAGATATTATTTATGGTGGTTCTGAATCTTATAGACATATGTGTCGTTATCAGTCCGGGTTTTTCTGGAGACATCCTTTATTAGATGATTATGATTGGTATTGGAGAGTTGAACCTGATATCAACTTATACTGTGATATTAAATATGATGTTTTCAAATGGATGCAAGATAATGAAAAAGTTTACGGTTTCACTATTACTATTCATGAATATTTATCAACTATTCCAACTTTATGGAAAACTTCAATGGACTTCTTTAAAGAAAATCCAGAATATGTCGATAAAGATAATTTAATGGAATTTTTAAGTGGAGATGGTGGTGAACATTATAATTTATGCCATTTCTGGTCTAATTTCGAAATTGCCAATTTGAATCTTTGGAGATCTCCTGCTTATCGTGAATATTTCGATGCTTTAGACCATGCAGGTGGTTTCTTTTATGAAAGATGGGGTGATGCTCCTGTTCATTCTATTGCTGCCGCTATCATGTTACCAAAGGATAAAATTCATTATTTCTCTAATATCGGTTACCATCATCCACCTTATGATAATTGTCCAATTGATGATTTGGTCTGGACTGAAAACAATTGTGATTGTGTACAGAAAAATGATTTTACTTTCAAGGGTTATGCATGTGGTAAGGAATACTATGCTGCGCAAAAATTAGAAAAACCAGCTAACTGGGAAGAGTACTCTCATTAAACAATATATAAATAGAAGGGTTTGCCAGTAGCAATTTTTTTATTATCTACTTCTTGATTAGACTAATAGATGCAAAAAATTAAAAAAGAAGCAGATTTATAATTATACACATTTACGTACATTTAATTTATATATCCTATGATTAAGAAATTTTCTTTATTCTTATCAATTGAACGATCTGTCTTTCGACATATGTAGTTTTTATTATTGCCTTTAGAAGATAGGCGGTGAAATAATTCGCCCTGCACTTAATTATACAAAATTTACCTGAAAAGTTTTCTTTTTTCAATTATTTTTCAAAAAACTATTTTAGCACCAAACTATCTCATCTCATCGCAAAGTTAAAAGAACTAATAAAATAGTTATTTATCAAGTTTACATAATCTAATAAAAATAGTGCAACCGATTAAATGTCTAAAGAATATAAAAAACCTGAAAAATACGTACCGGGTCCAAATGATTTGGCCCTACCTCCACAATTATCTGAATTCAAAAATAAAACCACAGATGAAGTTCTCGAAGAATTGAATAGAATGCCATTTTTCATGACTCAGTTAGACGAATCTAATGGTGAAGGTGGAGAGAATACTGTCTTGGAAGCTTTGAAAGCTATGGCTTATGAAGGTGAACCTCATGAAATTGCCACAAATTTTAAAAACCAAGGGAATGATCTATATAAAGTTAAAAGATTCCAAGATGCGAGAGATATGTATGATAAAGGTATCGATATTAAATGTGATGATAAATCTGTCAACGAATCATTGTTTGCAAATAAAGCAATGTGTGAATTGGAATTGAAAAATTATAGAAGTTGTGTTAATAATTGTAAGAATGCTCTAGCTTTAAATCCGAAGAATATTAAATGTTATTTCCGTATGGGTAAGGCATTTTTTGCTTTAGATAAATTAGAAGAAGCTATGGAAGCAGTGCAATTTGGTTTGAAAATTGATTTTGAAAATAAGTCGTTACAAACTTTACTTGCTACAATCTCCAAGAGAGATCAAGATCGTAGAGCATACCAAGAGAAAAGACAACAAGAAGAACAAAGAAAAAAGGATCTCCAAAGTTTCCTATCAGATGCAATCTTATTAAGAAATGTGAAAAATATTACAACTAATCAACACTCTGAATTCTTAAAAGAAGCTACTGTCAAATTAGAAAATCCAATGGATTTTGAATCACAAATGATATATCCAACAATTATAATGTATCCAACGACAAACGAGTTTGATTTTATTGCAGAGACTGGTGAACTATCTACTATCCAGGAAATCATCGATATGCTTATGGATAGACCTGCTGAGTGGTTTGAAGCTCCAGGTCATGAGAACTTCGGTTCTAAGAAACTTCTTGCATATATGGAAACTGAATCCGGTGGACTAATCAAAGCCGGTAAAAAGTTAACTATCCATGATATACTAAAGAAGGATAGTCCCAAAGTTCCAGTTTTTGACAATGCTCTAAAGGTTTATTTAGTTCCAAAGAGTGAAAGTGAGCAATGGATTGCAAAATGGGATAAAGTAGAGGCAATAAAGAGAAGAGTATAGTACTTCTCCATTATAAAAACAACAACCCTGCGTTGTATAATAAATAAGAATAGTAAGAATATTTAGATAGAATATATTTGTAAAATTTATATAAGGTATCATTATTTATTTAAATGCGAAGATGATTTGAATTTATCAAGCCTAGAATTATTGAAAATTTCATCAATATGCAAAGGTGCGACAGGACCAAATATTTTCTTGTAATCCCAATTTTGTTGTTGTCGTAACTGTTCTTGAAGATAAGGTGCTCGGGCCCATTCCGTTAAAGTACTTGTATCTTCTTGATCTGAATCTGAAAATATTTCCGGGAGAGACATATTACCTGTAGCTTCCTCCTCTTTGGGGTTTCCTTCATTAATCGATGTTCCGTCAAGTGAATCACCAACACGTCTTCGATAATCTCCTGTATTTAATGCGTCCAGAATATTTCTTGTATCAATACCATTTCGAGGTTTTGGTATTGACGCATCTTCATTGTCAGAAGTTTGGCTCAAGTTGTTAAATGTATTACTTCTCCTTGTATTTCCTAATTTATGTGTCGTTCCAAAACTTTTAAATTCACTAAAATTTTTAGTCCGATGTTTCGTCGAAGCATCATTAGTTATCAGTCTTTTTTGTTTGTCTCTTTTATGTTTTTCAGATTCTTGTTGTGTTTTCATAACTTCAGATAACCTTTTGTTTAATTTTTTTTTCAAATCTTGTTTATTTGGTTCCTCAGCTCTTAATAATTGAAATTTAGTTAATCTGTGATCATTATTTCTTTTCACTTGCTCACTTTGCGTATTGTTTGTATTTTGAGCTGCCTCTACAATAGTTGACGTAGATGATTCCTTTACTCGTGAAGATTTCTCCTCTCCAATGATAGACAGATTTTTATCATGACTCTGCGAAGGGTTTATATCTTTGTGGATCCCATTACTACCAATGTTGATAGAATGACGTTTATCTTTGCCTAAAGACAAATTTCTATTGTCCAATGATGGTATTAAAGATCTTCTAACGTTATTCATCGAAGGTTGATTATTATTATCAGCAGATTTAAGATTTTCAGGCTCAACAGCAAAAATATTCTTTAGAGTTTCTCGAACATGCCAATTAGAATTATCATGCTCAAATAATTGTTTCCTAGAACTCCCATTTATGTATTTCGCACTTGAATTTCTTTTTAACGGAGAACCTGATAAATCTATTGAAGAGGTAGTATGTTTTTTATTCATGATATGAGTTCTATTGGTGATTTTCTTATTGAATGATTGTGTCGATGTAGATGATAATCTATCGAAAACATTTCTAGATCCAATTGGACTTTGTGTACTTCTTGAGTGATGATTATTATTCGTTTGTTTATTAGAATTTAAAGGATTTTTAGGCGATAAATTTGGTTGTTTATTTATTTTTAAAGTTGTTCCAGAAAATGTATGATTTTGATTAAGTTTCATAGAATCATGAACTGTAAGGGGATCCTTTTTGGGCATTGGTACAAACATATTTGATCTTCTTTTCATTCTTGTTAATGTTACATTTGGAGATTTGTTCGTAACCATACTTGTTGTAATGGTGGTATTATTATTGTTGTTGCTGTTAAGTTTTGTAGTAGTTGACGAAGTTGAATTTAGCGACATCATAGTAAATTTAGAGGTATTGTCATTTTTATCATCATTATTGATAATAACTGATTCCGTATCATCTTTGGTCTTATTTATCATTTTCAAACTTTGATCTATTTTATATGGTGACCAAGGTGATAATTTAGTCTCATTTGTTGATTTGGTATCTGACTGAATTTTTTGTTCATTAATTGTCGTTGTTAAATCTTTATTTTGTCTTAATGATAAAGGAGTTACATCCAATGGGGTATCATCAATAATTGGTCTCTTTGGTGTAAAATCATTGTCTTTTTGTAAAAATGGTTGATCATTCTCTTTATCGTCATTGTTATTTTGTAATTTTTCAGTACGTTCAGGTGATAGAAATACAGAAGAATGGTTGCGTTGAATTTTATACAACCAATTTAAAGAATTATTAATCTTTGAATTAATTTCATTATTAAATTCATTATCAATATTATTAAATTGATTTAATGACTCAACAATAGATCTAGATCCACCTGCTGGTTTTTGATCTTTCATCCTTGCGGCTTCGATTGTCCAGTCCATATGGATTTGTTGTAAATAATATATAACTGTTGATACTATGTATTTCTAGAGACAAAGTTGTATAAAAAACAGTAAACTTTTAATTGTGTAATACCTTTATTATTAAAATTCTGTTTAGGTTTTTTTTGTTTAAAAAATAAATAAATATTACCGCGTAGCCACTTATTGCGTCAAAAAATGTATTAATTTTACCACTTTTACTTTCTAATTATATAATATTTTGAATTATTACATTCATATCATAGTAAGAGAAAATTTGTGAAAAAAATGAATTAAATTAACAATTAAATATAGATGTATGGTGGGTATATGTATGGTATTTATGAATTAATGAAACAGAAAAAAAAAAGATTGGTTTTGAACATAAAATTAAAGGAGGGGGTATCGTATATAAAGAGTTCAGTTGTATTTTTTTTTCTTTCTCCATATGATTACATAACTGTCTCTCTAAATATCTAAATCTATCTTTGGTGTTTGTGGTTTATCAACAAAAATTCTACCGTCTACATTGATATGATTTTGTTTAACAAAATCTGTTAAACTACTATATGTACCAACAGAATTTCTTCTTATTTGTTCATTTGTATTTTGAATAGTCAATTTTGGTGATAATTCATGTGTATAACTATGTGATGATACACCTTCATCTTCATCACTACTAATATTGCTATTATTATTATTTGTATTCGTAAATGTATTGATTTCATTAAATCCAGGTGAAAATATTGGATTTAAGTCATCAATATCATTAGGTACCACTACTGATAAAGATTTCTTTTGATTATTATTATTAGATGTTCTTTTAGTTGGAGTATTTGATAAAGATGATGCAGGAGTAACATTCTCATGATATGAATCATTAGGTGGCGTTACTATAAACATATTACCACTGATACTTCCATTTCTTTTATGAGAATATGATTTATGTCTTTGAGAAGGTGATGTTGTTAAAGGTGTAATATATCCACCTGATGACCTTGTTGGAGTAGTTGGTAAATGATTATTACTATTGCTTTTTGAAGAAAATTTATACTTCATTGTATAATTCCAAGTATTTGTATTATCATCATTATTATTTTTATTTGCATATATATTTGAGAAGGAGAATTTCTTATTATTAGAATTACATTTATTATCCATCATCATTATCATAGTGTTAGGACTGTTCGGCATTCTAAGGTTTATATAAAGGTCAAACCACCTATTAGAAATTTTTATAATTAAAAACTAATATTATGCCATACAGTTTTTTTTTTCATAAAGTGACATATATATATATAAGATTGTGGAAACTAAGAAAATAATAATGAGTAATTTCCATTTTCAAGATTCAAATAATTATTAATTGATTGAGGGACCACCCGTTTTTTGTAATCCTTAATTCCTATATATTTTCCCCCTTTTCAACCGGATTCTTGCTTAATTGAAAGATTTTGTGGAAGTAAGAAAGACAGAAAAAAACAATTAAAGCTCTTCCAGAAACTCCTGTTGCCTTTTTCACTATAAGCAATTCACAGGTGGTACAACCATGCATCATTACATAGTAAGAAGAATAAGAAGAAACTAATGATCATTAAAATTTTATTCCTTTTCCTTTGAAGGGTCAAATTACTAAAAGAAAAAATAAAAGAGTCCTTTAAGGGAACTTAACATTCACTGCATAGGAAAACGAGTGACTATTCGAGATTATTATATAGACAGCGAGGTACCCTTGTTTGTTACAGAATTGAGATAATAATTAGCCATATCTTAATTTATTACATAAATTATTATATAATTAGTGGTGCTCGGAGAGAAAGAGATGGAGCAGGTAATGGGGGGGATGGATGGATTTCAAGGAAAGATCGGCGTTTTTAATGTTAGAATGTTTGAGTGTTTGTACGTGGTTTCGCTCCGTCCGCATACGATTATTGAAACATGGCTAAAATCGCCGTAGACACTAGAGAAAACACTGTATGATGCGGTCTATTGTTTTTTTGTTCTTAAAAAGAAGAGAATTTCCTATTAGAGGATTATGTTGGGGGCGGAGAAGACAAGAAAGCATGCGAGGGCGTGGGGGGAGAGAGAAACACGGAGATTCTTTTCATCTTCCCTACCATATTTTTATAGAGAGTTATTATCAGCGATTTGTCTCTGTTTGGTCTTCGCTAGCTTTGTGTGTGACTTTTCCCCGTATTAATTACGAGAAAAGAATTATATAATCGGAATAGAAAGAGATGAGAACAAATACATGGACAAAGCCTGGGGGGGACCAAAAAGGGTAGCTAGGGTCAAACACCTACACAGGCTGGGGTGGACGGACGGAGCCACACTCGCACTTATATAAATTACTGTCTGTCACCCTCTTTTTTTTTGAGCACCACACGAATACCGTGCAGTAGATGACTTATACATCTATATATAGACACTACATATATATCTTAGTATGACATCAGTTGACATCAAAGTGGCCAATTTGATGTCACAATGATATATATATATTTTTTATCGAAAGGGATAAACGTATATTCAGAGTGAACGGTTCCTTTCTAATACGTTTGTCTTTCAGGGACTACAATGTTTGTTTGTTTTTGGACAAGAATGTTGTTATTGAACAACACAATACACCATATTTGCTTTTGTTTAATTCTTTTTATTCAGGAAGAATGAAAAAATTTTTGGAATCACTACTAGAAAGTAAAGATCTTTCTTATGTGAGCGAGAGGGGCGAGATCGATATTTTTGCTTTTTTTTTTGGAAAGATCATTAGCACCATCATCATCATCGTATAATCCGACGAGTGACATAAAATAATTATAAAATAAACAAATTTTGTTCACTCTCGTCATTGATAAGAGTTGCCAGATATGACGTTCTGTAACACAATTTATTGCTTATCTGTTGTAATGATTCCTTATCAAACATTTCTTTTTCCCTTTCTTTAATTGCTAACTTACGTTCTGACATGTAGAAAAAAAAAAAAAAAAAGCAAATATGTGTGTGTGATAGAGTTTCTGTTAGTTAATAGCCTTGATATCATTTTGTAAATTAATGCATTTGTCTATGCTAAGTTTTTTGTTTTTACTGTTTCAATATATTCCCATGTTAGTATTACGATTATGTTATATTACTTTTTTTGTGTAACATTTGTGTTTGAATACTTACCCTCACTTAAATATAATTAATTGAATTTAAAACTATTAACCATATTATAGTGGGCATATCATCTAAGTAGGTGTATAGCTGTGTCGTTATTGATTATTATCAAATAATGTATATTGTCAAGAAAAAAGATGTTGTATATAATTGACTATTTATACTTCTTTATATATACCACAAATTGTTATTTTCAAACCAGCTTAAATTTAGAAATAATAAAAAGGGTTATTCTAGAAGTAATTACATGCAAGTACTGCCTTATACCCAGTCTGGTTATTCCGCAGTCATTATTATGACTAGCACTCATAAATATTTAGCAAAATTCTACTGGTTTTCGATCATTTATTTTACTTCTTTTTGATAGTAGAAGAGCACTCTAAACATTGTTATCCCCTTGTTTAACCAGCATAAAATATTATCATATGCTTGTGAGTCCTCGTAGGAAAATGATTGTATGCGTCCATACACTCTTTTTGTAAAAAAAAACAAAAACAACTTTTTTTTACTGGCTATTTTTCCCTTTGCGCGTCTCTTTTTTTTTTGCTGGGCTCATCTCTGTTTTTTTCTCTACGGCTTTTCGCCTGCTCAGCATAAGAACTCATATGATTTCACGTACGCAACAAAAATAGTTAAATAAAGCATCGAAGATCTGTCAATAGATCTTCCTTTTTTTTTCATCTTGCTGATGTTTTTAGGATTGACAGCCATACATCTATTGGCATTGACATAAAAAAATATACAACTTCTCATAAACAACCAGCTTATTATGTAATAGAAAAGCTCATATTATTTTTGCCTCAATTCAGTTTACAGGCCCTATATGTTTATCTCTTTGCAAAATATTTGTTTATGTAAATATGGATGCGAACATATAGCTGGTAAAGTTAACTACACTTTTATTTTTTCACAGGAGGATTTAGGCAACTGACATCCTGTTGTTTAGTTGTTTGTCATTAACATTAAGGTACACTTTTTCTAAGCTCTTTGTCTTTGGTTTGTTTACATTTTCGTACTTTCGTTCGTGGTGTTTGTTGTTTTTGCTTATGAAATATTGTTAACTTCGTTGCTTATCAAATATCATTGATACTTTTCGTCTTCTAATAATAATTATTATATATATATATATATAAAGAAACAATATCCTTATTTTGGTACATATGTACTTTACTCTTAACGATTGTCCCATTCTTGTTTTATTCTTAGTCTTTGATAATAACATAAAATTAATTAAAAATAAAAAAAATAACAAAAAAACATTCCACAAGTTAATTACCAAATCTTTGGTTCATTCATTCATTTTATTTCCTTTTTATTTTATTTCAATTTTAAAGAATTAGTAACTTTTTTTTCTATCTCTCCAATAAACTAATTTACAGTCACTCATTTAATTAATACTATCATTACTATTAATCTTAATTCTTTCTTTTTTTTGTTTTTTTAAAAATTCATTTACTGGCAATAAATATCACTCCTTTCAACTTATTTAATTTTGCCCTTCCGTTCATTACTAATTTTATCCAAATATCTTAATATACATCATATCTCACATGACTCCTAATGACTCCACTCAATTTAATAAAAGATCATCAGAAAATTTATTTATTGCTGATCATTTTTTACAACCTCCACAAAAGAGGCATTCGATAGGTTGCTCTATTTCAAGGTCTAATTCTGCTCCACAACAATCATCTAGATCCATTAGAAATTATGCATTGAAAAGATCTCCATCTCCAATCAGACTCTCTAGAAGACATCCATATCAATATACTGGACATAAAAATTCTAGTAGTGTCACTAGTCTTCATACACCTGTAAAAAATAATAATAATCATAATGATGACACATATAGATTGCCAGTTTTACAAGTTCATACAAAACATACATCAATTGATAATGGATTACCATCGCCAATTCCAAGTCCACAAAAGCAATTCCATCATTTACCTGGTGAACAATTGTTAGTGAAACAAACTTTAGTTAATAACTTTGCAGATTTGAGTTTACTGCCTTCAATCAATGGTCAATGTCATCAAATTTTTAAAATTCCGGAAATTGTTGAAATAATAATCAATAATTTATATTTAATGGAATTTCAACAAGTGAATGATATTGAAAGAGTGTCCTCCACAAGAGCCATTTCATCATCTTTATCAACATCTAATGACTCTATTCAACAGTCACATATCATACAAAGAGGTACTCTTCATAACTGTGCCAAAGTAAATAAATTATGGCACGATATCTCAATGAAATATTTGCTAAGAAATTTAACCTTTAAGGATTCAAATAAATTGGTTAATTTTATGTTTAATTGTACGACTTTATACAAATCCAATAAGAACGAAACTAATTATCCACGGTCATTAACTCTTTACAAGTTAAACCATTTTAAAACTGAAGACCTACAATTGGGATTTAATCCAATAACGCAAAAGAACAATAACAATATTCATTTCAATGATTTGCAGAGTCTTCAGTTTTATATTTGTCCAAATTTATTACCGATACATTCCTGGTTTAAAGAATTTAGAAATTTGAAAAGATTATCCCTTCCTGGTAACAGAAAAATTAATGATAAATTTATGATTGAGATATCTTTACATCTTGAAAATTTAGAACAATTGGATTTAAGAGCTTGTTATAACATAACCGATGTTGGTGTCGTCTCTATAGCATCTCGTTGTAAAAATTTGAAAATGATTAATCTAGGAAGACATAAGAATGGTCGTTCAATTACAGATGTCTCTTTGGTAGCATTAGGTAAATATACTAATGTAGAAACTGTTGGTGTTGCAGGTTGTGATATTACAGATAGTGGCCTTTGGGAATTTGCCAAAAGTAATGGGAATAATATAAAGAGATTATCCTTGAATAATTGTAAAAAAATAGGTAATATGTCAATTCCTTATTTGGTTAGTTATAATTATTTTCCTGAATTAGTTGTTCTAGAAATTAGAGATCTGGATAATTTAACTAATATAAAACCTTTAATCAAATTTAAATTATGGAAAAGAACACAAAATAAACCATTATTAATCGAAAGCTGTAATAGAATTTCTCAATTATTGAAGTTTGAAGAAGAAAAGATGAAGAAGAAGAGGGCAATAGCATCGTTACGTGAAATGCAGCAATGGATTAATGAGGATGACGAAAAATGAAGTGATTTTTTTCATTCTTTGTAACATTAAACATTTTCATCGTTTACACAATAAATATATAAAACAATTATGCATACATTTTATAGATTTTTATTTTAAAATTTATACTAAAATAATAGAACCAAATCACTTTCATGAATTGTATATTATCGTCACACTATATACTTCTAAATCTCTAATTTATCATTTCAATCATTTGAGTCTTGATTGGTGGGTGACACACTTTCGCAGTCGAAAATGTGAACAGAACAATACGCTCATCACGGAAAAAGAGAACGAAAGTAAAAAAAAAAGTACTATTCACCTTAAAGGATTCTGAAAATATTGCAAATAGTGAAAACTCATATATATATATTAATTAATATTTAAGGTATAGTCCTTATACCGAGGAGTGGATAGAAATACTTTAACTGAAAAGATAACATACTCTTCAAAAATATCAGTTAATCATGTCCTTTATTGATGAAATTCAATCTGTTGCAGGTACTTGCAAAAGTGTCAATATACTATTATGGTGTGTATTCGGTTTCGGTGTCTTAAAGTTAACTACTTTAATTCTGCGTACCCTTGCCATGCTATTTGATCTATTCATTCTACCATCTGTTAATTATGCAAAATACGGTGCTGGTAAAGGCAATTATTGTGTTGTTACTGGTGCTAGTGATGGTATTGGTAAAGAATATGCAAGACAAATGGCTCAACGTGGATTCAATTTAGTTTTGATTTCTAGAACTTTGAGTAAATTAGAAAGTATTAAAACCCAATTCGAAGGACAATACAAAATTAAAGTTGAAGTTTTGGCTATGGATGTTGCTGCAGATGATAGTTCAAACTATGAACAAATTAAACAATTGTGTCAAAACTTACCAATTACAGTCTTAATTAACAACGTTGGTCAATCACATTCTATTCCAGTTCCATTCTTAGAGACTCAAGAAGACGAACTAAGAAACATTATTACTATCAATAATACTGCCACTCTTTTAATAACACAAATAATTGCACCAATTATTAGGGATACTGTGAAGGATAAGAAATCATCTCGTGGGTTAATTTTAACTATGGGTTCATTCGGTGGTTTAATTCCAACACCTTTGTTAGCTACTTATAGTGGGTCCAAGGCTTTCTTACAAAATTGGTCTACTGCACTTGCAGGTGAACTATCTGGTGACAAGATCGACGTTGAACTTGTATTATCTTATTTGGTTACTAGTGCTATGTCTAAAATTAGAAAAACCTCAATGATGATTCCAAATCCAAAACAATTTGTTGCTTCTACTTTAAAGAGTGTTGGAAGACGTTGCGGTTCTCAAGAGAGATATGCTACAGTTACACCATTCTGGTCTCATGCTATCTATGAGTTTGTGATTGATGAAACTTTCGGTGTTTACTCTAAGATTGTCAACACCATCAACCATTCATTCCACAAATCCATTAGAATTAGAGCTCTAAAGAAAGCAGCTAGAAAAGCCAAAAAATAGATACTTATTTATTAGCTATGAAAGCTTTCGTAATACATAAAATATGGACATGTTTGTATATAAATACATGTTTGCATGTATAAATAAAATATCAACAGTTGAGGTTATTGACCTTAAATAAATGAAAAAAAAATTGTTTGTATGTATGTATTAGGAAATAGAAAATTGTGAAAACTGAAAGCGAACGCGAAACACAGAAATGATATGATAGAGTGAATTTTGGTACCTCGAGTTTAAAGAAATAATAATAGTTAAAGACAGGGAGTGAAATTTTTTGGGAAGATCTTTTACAGGCTGCTTTCTATTAAAATCGTTTTAAATTACAACAAATTATTTAAATAAACTTAATTATTTCTTTTCCTTTCAATTGAGAATTCTGTTCCATCAAGAAGTCTTAGACTCAAATAAATTGAACCCTGGAATAACAGTTACCATTAACATTATCACTATTTCATTACAGGCATGAGTGGCGAATTAGCAAATTATAAAAGACTTGAAAAAGTTGGTGAAGGTACATATGGTGTCGTCTATAAAGCCCTAGATCTTCGTCAAGGTCAAAGAGTAGTAGCATTAAAAAAGATTAGATTAGAAAGTGAAGATGAAGGTGTCCCCAGTACAGCTATCAGAGAAATTTCTTTATTAAAAGAATTAAAGGATGAAAATATTGTCAGATTATATGATATTGTTCATTCTGATGCACATAAACTTTATCTTGTCTTTGAATTTTTAGAATTAGATTTAAAGAGATATATGGAAAGTATACCTAAGGATCAACCACTTGGTGATAACGTTATCAAGAAGTTTATGATGCAATTATGTAAAGGTATTGCATATTGTCATGCTCATAGAATATTGCATCGAGATTTAAAACCTCAAAATTTGTTAATCAATAAAGAAGGTAATTTGAAACTAGGTGATTTTGGTCTTGCTAGAGCATTCGGTGTTCCATTGAGAGCATATACTCATGAAATTGTTACATTATGGTATAGAGCTCCTGAAGTGCTATTAGGTGGTAAGCAATATAGTACAGGTGTTGATACTTGGTCTATTGGTTGTATATTTGCAGAAATGTGCAATAGAAAACCAATATTTAGTGGTGATAGTGAAATTGATCAAATTTTTAAGATATTCAGAGTATTAGGTACACCAAATGAAAATGTTTGGCCTGATATTGTATATTTACCAGATTTTAAACCAACTTTCCCACAATGGCGTAGAAAAGATTTAACGCAAGTAGTTCCAAGTCTCGATCAAAATGGTATTGATTTATTAGATAAATTACTTGCTTACGATCCAATTAATAGAATTAGTGCTAGAAGAGCTACAGTACACCCATATTTTCAATAATTGTTTTCATTGATATGTGACGTTATTTAATGTTTTCCTATTTGTTTCTTTTCATAATTTATCCTCCAAAATATACCCATGGTATCCACCTAATCCATACGTGCATATACATAATATATATAATTTTACTACTTACAACTAGAACAGTAAACTATATAAATAAAATATCATTATTGCACAATGAATTTCAAACTTCAAAAAAGTAGAAGTTGTACGACACTCTGATCTCTTCATCGAATAAACAAATTAACCTATTAGAAGGGTTACATAACCTTTTTGAGGGCTTAGGTAACTCATCACTTACTACGCAAACAGGCTTCTGGACCCTCTCTATTTGATATATATTTATATGCCCCGTTTGCGTTCAGTTAACTCCTCTACACAACACACTACGTATTATCCTGTGCCCTGCATGTAAACGAGGAAAGTAAAATTCAAAGAAATGTTTATTATTTTGGTTCTTTTTTTATTTATTGTCTTTGAGTTCAGTTTGTACGGGATATTACTGCGCACGTCAGGGCAGATCTCGAATTAATCCTGAAATTTTCCACCAAAAAAACAAAAATTATTTAAATATCCTTCTCTCTCTGTGAGTACTGCGAGGGATTACTACTTGCTTCCTTATAGGCGTACATATACATACATAATTATAATAATAATACAATATGTAAAGGAAGGATGAGAAAAAAGTCAAACAAAGAAAAGTTGGTTAGTGTTGAAGCAAAATAATAAAAACAGTATATTAAAGCCATTAGTTAAGAAGATATAACTGTTGAAACAAGTTTATACTGAGTGAACTACTATTGTGCAATAAAGTATAAGAATAACAAAACCAATTTTGTTATAATACCTCAATATTAGAGTGCGTGTTTTTAAACTACGTCAGTTATTTTTCGTTTGTAATAAAGGGTTTCTGGATCAGAGGGAGGTTGAATAAAGTAGATTACATTAGAAAAGCAAATATACATTTCGCACTTTTGGGATTGTTCCAGTCAAATACAACTAAATCTTTGGAATGAGGATAAGAAAGGAGTTACAACTTATAATATATTTGAACATATTAACATTGGCAGCACTGACGTATTGCACGTTTGGTATATTATTAGTTGTATTCGATGATTCATCTGCAGAGACTTTACAAAATCATGAATTAAACCCATCCATATCAGAGTCAATTGGAGTAAATATAGATTCGAAACCTAAGATACCCAAAATTATACATCAAGTATATAGAACAGAAAATATTCCAGAGCAATGGAAAGAAAATCAACAAAAATGTATATATTTACATCCCGATTATGAATATAAGTTATGGACTGATGAAAAAGCTTATGAGTTCATTAAAGAAAACTATAGTTGGTTTTTGAAGACATTCGAACATTATAAATTTCCAATGCAAAGATTCAACGCAATCAAATATTTTGCCCTTTATCATTATGGTGGAGTATATATTGACTTGGATGATTCATGTCACAGAAAAGTAGATCCTCTATTAAACACAGTAGCATTTGTAAGAAAGGCTACGCCAATGGGTATATCTAACGATATCATGGGAGCTCGTGTTAAACATCCATTTTTCCTTAAATTGATAAATTCTTTACAACGTTACAATAAAGATTGGTATATTCCTTATTTAACTATTCTAGGAAGTACAGGTCCTTTATTTGTCTCGATTGTTTGGAAACGCTATAAAATATGGAGAGGCGATATAATGGAAAATAATGTTGTAAGAATTCTTAGACCTAAGGACTATTTAGTTCATAAGGATGCTTATTTTTCAATTACCAAAGGTGCCACATGGCATGAAGATGACGCAGTGTTTAAGAAATCTCTGGGTAATCACATTTTATCATGTATTACAGTTGGGTTTGTCATTGCATTTGCTATCCTATATGGTCAATATGTTATCTATTGTTGGATATGTTCCAATGATGATATCTTTAGCAACTTTTACATGGGAATATGGAGGACTACTTGCAATATCCTTTGTTGGGGCTATAAGAAACTAACAAATAATAGATTTTGTCGTTGGACGTTAGGTAATCCAATGGTAATTATTAATTATGGTTCTAATAATGATATTAATATGACAGATGTTCCTGTAATGAGTCCCATTTTGTCAACAAAGACCTTACCTACTACTGATAGAGGAAGTTCAAAATTCACATTTACATTATCTTGTGCGACTCGTTCAATTTCTAATTTAGAAAAGAGTGAGAGGAACGATAATTCAAACACTAACGCATCACCTGGATCTCAATATTAATAAAATAAAAGCAATGGATTCAGTTTACATTTATACACATACACACATTTTTTAAATAATGACAGCATACATAACTAATAACTAATGAATAACATTATTATATCAATACCAAATGGTAATAAATGATTAAGCGTTTCATAAAGGAAACAATCGAACATAGATGGCGAGTAAGAAAAAAAAAAATTATAGATTAACATAGATATATATATATAAAGATACAAATACAATAATACTGGAATCTCCCCTCCTGTGATTGTTATCACTCTGTATGGATGATGAGAATATGGGCAAACAAACAAAGTGACAAAAAAAAAGAGAGACAATAATAATTTATGGGCACTGTCTTTTAGGGGGGGGTTGTTAAAGAAAAATTTGTGTTTAGTAAAACAGAGTGATTAAGTTTATAACAGAGGAAAGATTCTAGATTTAATTAACTAATAAAGAAAAGAAAAAGTTCGTATTATTGTGGAAAAATGATGTTATATTGTCTCGCCTTTTTTTTAGTGAAATAAAAATTGTTTAAAATTCTAATAGGTATGCCCAAAGTGTAAAAAAAATAAAATGTTTGTGTGTGTAAAAAAAGGGGAGCTGATCGCTATAATAATAGGGATACAGCTTATGGTAGAGCAGCAGCAGAACCAGCTTGGTTTAACCAGCCAGTAACAGTGGATGAACTCAAAGTAGAACCGAAATCATCATCGACTTCAACGACGTGAATAGTTTGGTCTTCACCGTGGAAGATAACAGCAGCCTTCAAAGTAGAAGAAACAGGTCTTTGGAAGTAATCTTGAGAACCACCACCTTGACCGTCGTGGACATGAGAGATCAATTTATCGGAACCAGCAGATAAGATTTCGAATAAATCCATTTCACCACAACCAGATTCCCAACATGAACAATCGGCGTTACCATATTGTAAAGTTCTTGGAATCTTAGCATTTAGTAACCAAATAGCTGGCATATCTTGGTTGTAAGCGGAACCATCAGTATCAGAAGGCATTTGGAATTCAAAGACAAAAATCTTATCCTTACCAGAGAAACCGTGATAAGCTGGAATATTTTCACGGTAGTAACCACAATCATCACCAGAACATTCTTCACCGGAGAAAATCATATATTCTTCACCGGATTTCAAAGTAATATCATCTAGAGCGTAAGCAGAAGAAGCACCGGAGACACCATCAGCTGCAGCATAAGAGATGGAGTTACCGAAACAAGAGGACCAAACACCGGAGCCGGCAGAACCACCCATGTGGTTCATGAAGGTACAGTTAGTAGTGGAACCTGGAGTGAAGTAAGAACCTCTAACCCAATCACCGGAAGAGACTGAGCCAACAGAAGTAGAAGCTGATGAAGCAGTAGAGGCAGTAGTAGTAGCTGCACCACCGGTTGTAGTAGTACCAGCTTTACTAACAATGGTACTAACTTGAGTGTAAGAAGTGGCAGATGCGGTAGCAGAGCCAGTAACTGGGTTACCGTTAGAGTCAACCCAGACAGTAGAAGTAACTTCGACGTATTCGACAGCTACATCTCTTCTATGTTTATGTTGAACCTTAGTGGAAACAACTTCTTCACAAGGTTCTTCAGTGTCTCTTTTCTTTAAAGAGGAACCAGAGGATGGGTAGTAAACACCAAATTGTTTCAAATTCAATGGACCTCTGAAATGGATAGAAACTTCTTCATCTAATGGAGCTAAAGAACCAGAGAAAGTAGTGGAACTACCTTGAGTACAAGCACATGAAGATTCATCCATGTTTGTAACATCTAGGTAAGAGCCAGAGAAACCGACATTGGAATAAATGACAGCTTCAGTTTGAGCACAGTAATAATTACCATCTGAGGATAAAGTACAATCGGCATTAACTGTGGTAGATAATGAAGTAAGCACGGTTAGTGCACTTAATAGTGATGTTTTTCTAGAGAACTTCATCACGGTAAAATAAAAAAAAAGTTTGACTAATTTATTTTTATTTTTTATTGTTTTCTTTAAAACAAAATTTTAGTTTAAATTAATTTTCAAAGAAAAAAAAAGGAATGGATAACTCTTTAAAATGAGATAAAATAAAATTGGTTTATATTTAAAATAGAATAAAGTATAATTGTTTATATATATATAATACTAAGTAGAAAAAGGGATTTTATAATAGTGAAAAGAAGCAATTAATAAACAAACAAAATAAATAAACCAACGCAAGAGCCAGACCCACGCAAGGTAAAAAAAAAGAGAGAACGTTTTGCCAAAACATTAATAAATAAAATAAAAAATTGAAGAACAGTCTAATGTATTTAAATAAGATGAGTTTCGCTATCTTTATTTAATTGAAAGTAGAAAAAAAAATAAGATGAAAACAAAGAGAGCGTAGTCTTCTTCTTTCTTTGTTAAGCTGAAAAATTTCAAATTTATGTTTACGTTGTTGCGACACGACCAAAACAAACTTGCTTCTCTTTTCATTCCTTTCTTTTTGGCTCTGAATTATCCGTAACACGCAAAAAATAACTAGTATAAACAATGAAATTGTGCAAAACATATTTCGCAACCAAACAAAAGTCTTCGTTGTACAGCGATTGTCTTCTACAACATTTATTTTTTGTGTGTGTTTTTCACCAGCACAACGTTCGCGTGTTTATCTCTCTGTTGGGTTTCACGGGAAAATATTGTTCTTTCAATTTATTTTTCGCATTTTTTTAAGTGTAAATAAATACACGCCAACTAAAGGTAAGAGAATGTGCCGTACGACAAGACAAATAAAAGTAAATATCATAGAGAAAGCCCAGCAAGATTTTCACGCGAAATGTAATTTTCTTTGATTTGCGCAGCCATCTTTTTTCATTTGTCCGTGGAGATGAAAATAGCGGAGAGAACAGAACCGGGTGCGTCTATCTTGCACTTCAAATATTTTCTTCAGCTCGCTCAACTCGTCGTTAAACGCGGTTTTCTAAACAGGCCGATTTTTTTCGTTCTTTCTCTGCCTGTGTCTGAAATATTATCACAGAAAGAAAACAGGGCAGTAAAAATGGGCAGGGGGGACTTTTAATTTTATTGCACGGTAGATGAAAAAAAAAAGTGGCTTGGCATTTTTCAATGATGTCCAAATTTTAAACGACTATTTTGAACAAAGAATGGTATGTACAGATTGCACACGCTGACTATACTTTATCAGGAGGAGAGTCGTGTGTACCTCTATGCGTCCGCCGTAGGGGAGGGGAGAAAGTTAAGGGCCAAACTTTCAAATTTCATTTTGTTTAGTTGTTTTGAACGAAAGAGACGAAGGGACGCCGTCGATAGTGATTCAGTCTCACGTGATGAGGGTTTTCCGTATGTAATGACTGATCTTGGAAGTAGGGTTTTCTAAGATTCTTGAATTGGTTGTTTTTGTTTTTCTTTAAAGCTGACACGTCAATTGATTATTATTATTACAAGGCGTACGTGGTTTTTTCTTGATTAACGTGAATAATTATAGCTGCTAATTTAGTTCATACCGCTTAATTCAAAAGCATTTGTCATATATATATATATAATAATAATAATGTTGATCCTATTTTAAGGTTAGCGGTTAAATATTAAAAGATATTGTTAGTTTTTATTATTGATTAGAATACAAATACATTCATATTTAGGTTCCCAACTATACTCTCCACACATATACATACACATACACAATGGCTATTCAGACACCAAAGCAAAGACTAGCAAACGAAAAGTTTAATAAGAACATTGAAAAACATAGAAAATTTGGTAAAGCTAAGCCTGCGAAGATTGATGCTTCTTCAAAGCCTACAATCTCCAAATATTGGATGTATGCACTATTGTTCTTACTAGTTGGTGGTGGTGTATTAGAATTATTTAGTAATTTTATTTAAGATATAAGAAATGAGAAGTAATGTTGATATTACTGTGCTTTTCTTTTAAAAAAAATATTATATATATATATCATCTATAAGCATAATTAATATACATATAAGGTAACGTTTTACTATATTCATTCTCGTGTTTTTTTTGTTCTCTCTTTCATTCTATTTTATGTTTTATTTTGTTTTTGTTTGTTTTTTGTTTGGATCTTTTTCGATGATCTTGAAAAAAGTGAAAAATATTTTATTATTACTTATATAATTATATATATTGAATCATTTGGACATTTGAAATTAAAGCGATTTTACTTGGAGAGAGGGAGAGAGAGCGTGCTACATGATGGTTGGTGATGCTTTGTAAATATGTTACTAATAATAACACTCTAATAGTCTCATTGGGACGACGCCTTTATAGCTCGAATCAGAGTAATATTATAACATCATATGAGAAGGATCAATTAACAAAATTACCATTTTTTAATGAATCTAATATTGAAACTGATCCTTTACAAACTATTAAAAATATTACAAGACAAAAGAAAGAATATCTAAAAAAAAAAAATGATATTGTGGAATCTATTATTGGAATAAATTCTAATGATCCACCATATTTATCTTATTCATTTAAAGGGTTACCTTCAATGTATGATACAATAACTCAGAATAGGATTCATGGTAGGCTCTCTGTAACTAAATTGATGACTAAATCATGGTGTGAATTAAGATATGCATATGATGTTTATTCAAAGATGGATAAATTGACTACTCGAAACATTTCACAAGGTGTAACATTTCATAAAACTTTAGAAGATACAATGATACCAGAAAATGTTAAATTAGATCAATTTTTAAAAGAACAACGTATAATTGGATTTGAAAAGACATTACAATGTAAATGGATTGATACTTTACAAAAATTGTTAATGACATTTTCTAATGTAGGAGAATGTAGAGAAGTATTGTGCCATGGATACATTATCAATCAAATAGATTCTCTTCAAGATGGAAAATTTGTCACAGATGTTGATATTGGTTCAAATATGGATCAATTGATACTAGTAAGTGGGATTATTGACCATTTGAAATGGGTTCCGCGTTGGGGCAATGAATCTCATTCAGATTCTAAATTTGATTTATTTAATGACATTTTCAATGATGAAGAGATTAACAATGACCTACCAAAGATATTATCATCACTTCAAAGAGAGATTCCGAAGAGAATTAACGGATGGAAGTTACAAGTCCGTGATGTTAAGACAAGACAAACATTTAATATTCCAAATCAGACATCTGTTCAAAGATCAACAAAATTGCAAATCATGTATTATAGAAAATTTATTGAAATTTTAAGTCTTAATCCTAAACAAACTTATAAGATGTTAATAATAAATGCTCAAAGGAGAAACTTAGATGTTGATCAGGAGCTCGATTCAATGACAATTATTGCTTTAATGATGCAGAATCCAATGTTAATACCCGATATGAGAAGATTACGAGATGGTAAATCCATTGGTTTTGAATCATATGATGCTCCTTCTTATCAACTTCAAAAAAGTAATATACCTTTTGTAATACCACAGGATATTGTATCTGTAGAAGTTAGGGAGAGTTTTAAAGAATTTGTTACTATTTGGAAAAGGCCTGTAACATTAAGATATTTCGCTGCACGTTTAGCGCAAACATATCATTTATTAAATTCTATGCTATCAGAAGATTTACTAGTAGAATATTATTGTCGAGGAGTTAATTTTCATAATTTACCCTTTAGGAATAATGATAAACAATTAATTGATCATAATGCTGATAGAACTAATTTTTTGTTTGGTAAAAGAGAAGTTCAACCAATTGAACAAAATTTAAGAAATTTCCTTACGTATTGTAAACATTGTGATTATCAATCGGTCTGTTCTTGGAAACATGAAGGTGAAGAAAAATTAAAGGAATTAGGGAATGAATTGGTTGAGATGTGGCAAGATGACTGAAAATAGTAATATTAGTAGTTTTTGATTAAAACATGTATATATAATGTAAATAATGTATCTTTGAAATAGCTCTGTTAATTTTTTTTACGAAATTGAAATTTAAGTTTTGTTATTATTTCAACAAATTCGATCTTCCTGTAAAATTTTAAAATTTCTCATCAAATGTTGAAGCTTTCCCCTCTCTTAATTTTAAATTATTTAAATGTTGCTGTCACTGTTTAAATTGAAAATGTAATCCTCAGATAGTGATTATAAGTGCTCATAAGTATCGTGATTCCTCCCGAAATATTTTTCTGTCATTGTTACTTGATCAGTTACTATAGTTCAATTTTTTTTTTTAGCCGAGTGAAAAATGTAAACTTTCATTTTTTATACTAAAAAAATATTAGAAATATGAAATTACCTAATTTAAACAATTACATCTTATATATTAACAAACATAGTTAGACCGGGTGTTACCCAATTTCGATTAAAATAATTACAGGGTCTATACCAGTCTCGAGGTTACTATTAAGGATATATCCAGTTATCAGTTCACTATTTCATCATGGCAGAACACCAAGGTCCATTGGATGCAATTCCAAAGACCAATTATCAATCTCTCTTGACGATAGCAAATTACTATTCTACAAAGCAAATGATTGAACAAATTTTATCAGAGGACCAAGATTATGTATCATGGAAGTTGAAAGAAAATAGAACAGGTGGAACAATGAATGCCTTTTTAAATTTTGATAATTATAATTTTGGTCCAGGTAGTGAACCAGAAGAAGTACCTGATAATAAATTAAATAGAATTCCAAACGATCTAACGTTCGTAAAAGATGAATACAATGAAATTAGAGAAGAAGAGATCAAATCAATAAAGGAAGAAAATGACAATCCTGAAGAACTCAGTTATGATGAACAATTTAAATTATTAGTCTTAAATTTAGATGAGGATCAAAGTAATAGATTTGAAGTATTTCATAGAACGTCGTTGAATAAAAGTCAAGTTAAGAAGCTTGCCACTACAGTTTGTAATCAAACAATTGGTGAAAATTTACGTGTTTTCTTACAAGCCATTGGTAAAGTGTTTGCAGGAGAAATTATTGAATTAGCATTAGAAGTAAGAAGGAAATCGTTTATAGGTAAGATGGTGTGTGAGTTTGATAGAAGGAAAGAAATTGGTCAAAAATTGAAAAAATATTTGAAAAAATTAACAATACTTGTTGAAAAGAATAATTCAAATACCAATGATAATAACACCAATTTAGAATTCAATGTAAATGAACTCTTTGAAAATGATAGTGTTGAAGAAAATGAAAGTGATCCATATTATGATGATGAAGAAGCAGAAATGAAGGAAGTACAAATGGGGAATAAACTTTTAAAAAGCGAAAAGAATACACAAGAAGTTAGAAGTGGTTTGATAACGCGGTATAATAAACTTGTTAAAGCATTTAATTCTCTGGATGTTAGTTTTGAAAAATATCAAAATAGTCCGTTACTTCCTGAGCATATAAGGCAGGCATCGCAATTATATTATATACAAAAGGAAGGTGTAATTACGAATGCATGGAGAGGTCAAGGTGAAGCTAGTGGGACGATGTTTAGATAGATTATTTCCCTTCATGTGTTAGAACTCTTATTAGTACAAATTTTGAGACATAATTTGTTTTGCCATATATATATATACCAATTTGATTAAGTCCAAGTTGTATTTAATATTACATAATGTGATTGCATAATTTTTAATTCTTCAATTTCGTCTAAAAACTGTAAAGATCGTAATCTTTTCTTTTCAATATCAGATATCGATTCTGATAAGAAATCCCACATATCTTTAATAACAATTTCTGATTTTCCATTATCCCATCTCTGTGGATAATTTGATTTCGAATTATATATTAATAAAGTTGGCATTTCTAAATTCCTTGAATCCATTAAATTTCGTTTCATTATTGTACCAAACTTATCATTTACATCAGATCCTCCAATTGGATCATACGATATCCAACACCCCGTTGGAAATTCATTCATAATGGTTGATACTAATTGTTTTGAATCATTTTCTGTCATATAACATAATACACATTCAGTGATAAATATTGTTGGTATTTTTGGGTTTAAAAATTGGGTCAATTTTTCTAATGTTCCTGCAACATTTTTTAGATCTCCTGGCAACATAACGAACTTATCTCGATATGATTGTATGATGTGGTCCAGTGTTATTGAATCCTTTAAAATCTTTTGTTTTAAAATAATTGCATCCTTAAAATCAAGGTCAATAAAACGTTCAACTCTATCACCAAACATATTTAAATATTGAATAAATCTTAAATCCGATCCACTACCTAAATTAACAATTTGAAAATGCTGATCTATTGGAAAACTATTAATAAATTTAATCAGGGAGACATCAATTGCTAAAGTTCTTAAATACGTTCCATAATTCATTACAGGGAACGGATTTCTCATCAATTTATTTATTTTCCCATAAACATTTCTACTTTCTTCTTTTAATGTCTTGTAGTATTCAAAATGTAATGATTTAATATCTTGATACAAAGATTGTAACGTTTCATCTATTGGTTCAGAAAGTGTACCTTTATTTGGTGGTAAATAACTGAATTGAAGTGCACATATTTTACTTGACAGTGCATCATAATCAGTTTGTTGAATAATTCTCTCCATCCCTTTTACTATCGATTATGTGGAATAGTGACAAATTGAATTTACAGTTCAAGAAAAGGCAAAAAAAATACACCTGTAAATACATTATCATTGTTTACAATTTACAAAATAATTTGATGATTAGTTCTATATACTAGTTTAATAACGTTACTATTATTACTTTCTATTATAAGTTACGTGAGCAACACCCACACACCGCGCACAGTTGATACTATTAATTTTTTTTCATCTTTGTAAGAGGAAATTTGATCTAGTAAGGTAAGCAATATAACAAAGATGAGAGTAGAGTGTTTTCGTTATAGAAAATGACGAAATATGACAATAATTATTTGGAGCCATTAAAACAACATATAAAACGTTTAATGATAGCAATCAGTTATTGTGAGTTAAACACAAAAGATATTGAAGGTCACGATACAAACACTTATTCACAGAGATAAATTCAAGAAAGAAAGAAAAAAAGTCCAATTTATGTCAGGTGTATTAATCAACGAGGAAGAACAAGTTCCAATAGAGACAAGTAAAGTATTATCTGAAGGTAAGGAATATTATCGATTTGCACATCATTTCACAGCTACATTAATTCTTATATTTTTAATAATATGGTCATTATTACCTGTTAATGAAAACGAAATATCGTTTAATATACCTGAATCTAATTACAATCGATTTATGAAGAAGTTAATTGGCGTATTACCTCAAAGAAAATGGATAATTATAGGGCAAGCATTAGGTCTTATGGGAATGTTATTTGCTTATATTGGTTTACAGTTCTATGATGAAGATATATTAGCTGTTCCAATTGATGATTATAGAACACTTGTTGATGATCGTAGTCAATTGATTACACCTTCTACACCAGTAGAATTAGTTGATCAATATGCTTTCAGAGAGACCAGTGGTGTAATCGATATTCCGATTATGGATGTATGCGATATTTTATATGCTGAATAAAACCAAATGAATGAAAAAAGAAAACTAATATAAAACAGTATGTTCCTTAGATCTTATTGATCGTTAATGAGTGCATGTATATACTTCTCATCAGAATCAAAAGTGGTTCTTGAAATATACTATGTTTTGACAAGATTCAGAGCACTGAAAAAGAAAGGTGAACTTCGAGAACGATTCGACTAAAAATAAAGAGATCTACGTTTCTGAGTCAATATTTCTGAACCTGATGACTTGTTAGCTAACACTTTATAAAGAGTAGCTTCAAGATACAAATTGCAGAGTCTATGTACCTCGATCAAATTTCTCTACCATATATATAGATAGATATATATATAGATAGATATTATTCTCATCACTATATTAAACCCTTTACCTCGAAATCAATATCTACTATGTAGCACCAGTTCGTCTACCGGCAATACAACACATATAGTAAATGATCCGACTTCCCATTAAATAGATATTTCGATGTCTGTGGGGGGGCTACATCCATCTCAATAGCCGCTATCTCCCCGTCCCCCCCCATGCTTACTACACTACGCACGCACCATTTCAATAGTCACATTTTATTTCTGCAAGATCATTGAAACCCACACTTTCCTCTTCTTCTTCTTCTTCGAGTGATATAATAAACTGTGGCATTGCACGTGACTGACACAGCTACAAGTCACGCGACCGGTGGAAACTGTGGGTTCCCAGCCGAAAGAGAAAATCGATGCCTCCTCCTTGCGGCACAAAATAAAATGCAACGACGAAAAGTCAATGGATAAGAAAAGGTATTCGGTTTTAATCACAGAAATCGCAGTAGAAAGAGAGGAAAAAAGAAGTCAAAATGTTGTGTGTGTTGGTGTGGTTCAAAGAGAGAAGAACACAGAATTTTCAGGCATCGCCCAAATATTCACAATCACAGTAACCGTTATACTCATTCACACAATACATAGTAAATCGTGGAAAGAAAAACAGTGACGATATTTTGATAGTAGGAATCCACAATAATTTTAGTATTCTAAAGTACTTTAGTGGATTTAACTGACAAACAATGCTCAACTCACTGTGAAAATCAATAAAGTGTCAAAGGAAAAGACAAATAAACCACCCCCATTTTAATTTATTACTATGATTATGTAATATTCTTGATACATATATATATATATATATAAGACTGAAGGTTATATCATATAATAGCTATTTTATTCTGTAATACCTTTATATTCTTTTTGTAATAATAATACTAAAACCAAAAATCATCTCTATATTATTTTATCCTTTTAACATCCATCTCTAGAAATAAATCACAAATTTTACAATGGAACATTCACGTAAAAGTTGGTTTATTGGATTATTTATGATCCTAATTGTTATTCTATCATGGGTTTCATCATCTTTTTTATTAAATCAAGTATTTGAAGTGAATTCTTATAAGAAGCCATTTTTAATTACTTATTTAAATGTTTCATCATTTACTTTATATTTAATACCGTCATGGAAAGAAATTTTTAATTATAGTAAAAATAGAAATCAAATTATTGATAACGAAAAAGTTTTATTAATTGATCAAGAAGAAGAAGAAGAAGATATTAATCAATTAACACCTTTAGTATCAAAAGATATTACTTCAAATAATATTTTACCATTAACTTTGAAAGAAACTATTAAATTAAGTGCAATATTTTGTTTCTTATGGTTTATCGCAAATTTTTCATCAAATGCTTCATTATCTTATACTTCCGTTGCATCACAAACTATTTTATCATCAACTTCATCACTTTTCACTTTATTTATTGGTGCAATTTTACACGTTGAATCAATTAATTCAAAAAAATTATTAGGTCTTTTAATTTCATTTATTGGTATTATTTGTGTAACAGAATCTGATTCAATTGCACCAGAAGTTATCTTTTCAAAAGTTGAAGTTGTTATTGGCAATTCTTTAGCTTTAATTGGTGCTTTGGTTTATGGTATTTATAGTACTTTTTTGAAAAAATCAATTGTTGATGAATCAAAAATTAATATTAAAATCTTTTTCGGTTTTGTTGGTTTATTTACTTTAATTGGTTTATGGCCAATAATTTTATTATTACATTATACCGAAATTGAGAAAATTGAATTACCAAATTCTTCAACTGTAATTTATTTATTATTAATTAATGCAACAATTACATTCATCAGTGATTATTGTTGGGCTAAAGCTATCTTATTAACAAGTCCATTAACTGTTACGGTTGGCTTAAGTTTAACTATTCCGTTCGCAATGATTGGTGATGTAATTTTTAAAGATAAAATTGTTACTGTTGGTTACATTTTTGGTGCTATCTTAGTACTTGTATCGTTTGCTCTAATTAATGGGGAAGAAGATACTGATAGTACTACTACTACTAATAATACCATCGAATCTAATAAACAATTCTCTATCAATATTCAAGATATAGAGAACCAAACACATGAAACTCTTTATTGTTCATTCTAAAGAATAATAATACCCCTCTCAACCCCTTTTGCATTTAATGTTATATTTTCTTAAATGATTAACAACATTACACATTCTGCATTTTTTTACATACATATATATTTTTGCATTTTCATAATTATTATACAAGTCATTTCAATATATTCATATTTTTTAATAGCTAAACTTCTCTATTTCGGTTTGTACGTATTACAGTAGCAGGTAGCCCTTTCTAAAAACAGGATCGCGATGAGTTTTCTAAAAGAGCAAAAAAAAAAAAAAGATATAGCAAATATATTTGAGAAAAAAGAGAACCATTCCAAATAAGATAGAATATAACTATACTTACATAAGTATATAGTTTTGATTAATAAACGGTACATTACAACAATCCATAAGAATAATATCACTTTAATGCGTTTGTAAACAAAAAAACAATAAAAAATGTCGGGGGTGTTACAATTACTACTAGACTATTACAGATCCGTATTGGAATCAGATCGCATATATCATGAAGGTATCTTAAAATATCAACAGCAATCAAATGGTGATAATGTCACTGGGGCTCTTAATGGAGAGGAGGTGGATAAGGATGATGCTAGTAAGAGTGTTAGTGTGGCTCCAAAAATTGCTAATGAAACTTTGTTATTACAACGTCAATTAACTGATTTAACTTCACAATTACAAGATCTTAAGAGGAAAAATGAAGCATTACAAGAACAACAGAAGAGTTATAGAGCCTTGAATGAATCGAAGATTGCTAAATTTAAAAGAACCATCGATTCTTTGAAAAGGAAAAATGAAAGACATAGTAGTGAAATTGATGATCATGATGATCAAATTAATGAAGATGATTCAAAAAAATTCGATTATCATTTATTATCACCTGTAGCGAAAAGAGGTTTAAAAAGAGGACTTAAGATTAGTAACGGCAAAGGAAAAGGAAGAAAAGGTACAATTTTTGATTCTAAGAAAGAGACATTTACAGATGATGAAAGCAGTGAGAATAGTATTGATAGCCCCACAGTTAAAAGGTTAACTAAACAACCTCGTATGGAACATGAAGAATCGTTTCTCAAATCGTTTGAACCACAACCTTCGAATAATAGTAATAAGAAGAAGAATAAACAACTTGATGGGTTTGATATACCAAGTTTGAATGATTTTTCAAGGGATGAAGATGAAGATGAAGACCAAGATGAAAGTCATGGAAATAATGAAGATTTAACCACAAAGAATTATCACCATAAGAAACAAAAACCTTTGAAAAAGAGAAAACTTACAAAGAAAAAAATTGAAAAAATTGGTGACAATGATGCAGGTGAAGATTCAATGAATAAGGACTCTCTTGGATAGCATAACAGACTATCCCTCTATTAAAGAAAATATAATAATAATAATAATAAAACACCCTTATGTTGTACAACTAAAGCATACCCCCATACATCTTCCACATCCATTGGAAACTTATTTACATACATACATATATATATATATATATGTACATTACAGCATTTACAATCATTTTATTATCTCAAGATATGTCGTATTGGTAAGAAAGCGTAATTACTTTTTATATTTTCATCAACACAAAAGGCGTTTATTCATTGTTGGTTGTCTCTAGCCAATTTAACTGGATCCTATCTATTGTTTTCATTTCGTAGTACTCTAGCTATCACTCATTCTAGCTGTCTCGAAATTTACCTCTCTAATCAGAATTTTTGGTTTCGCGTTACCTTTCAACGCCTAAATAAAAACAAAACAAAATTCTCATAGTTTCAGTCAATTGGAAACATTCATATCTACACAAATGTCATCTGGTAATTTAATATATTTAAAACTTTAACGTTGTTTTTAGAACTAATAATTGTGAAGTCATTTACCCTTAGCAAATAATCATCATAGCATTTTAAAATATAAGTTGTATACAACATAAGTTATAACAAGAACCGATATAGTTCATTATTATTTATTTAATTTTTCAACTGAAAGCAGATTATCAAATCTGATATGGAATATCAAATAAGGGAGGATTCAATGGAATCCACAACCTCATCTACTGCTAGCTCGATATTCTCAAGCACTCAGAAAACTCCAGAAAGTCCTCAAACAAATTCACCTCCGGGACGTGGCAGATTCAATAATAAAGCTATAAAGAAACATTCACATGCATCGGCGAATAAGAATGTAAGAGAATTGAGAGATTTATTAGAAGACTCAAATAAATATTATCCTAGTTATGAGTACAGTATGCCAACTGGTTATTTGAAAAGCTCTTCAAAGGGTAAAGGATTAAACAACGCAGATGATATTACTTCATCAGAATCTAATGATAAAAATATAGCTAAAAAATCATCAGAGAATAATAAAAATTTGAAACCTAATGAAAAGGTTTCAGGGAAAGTTTTAAAGAAGAAGATAATAAAGAAAAAGGTAATTCCTGGAAAGAGAAAATACAGAAAAAATGGTACACTAGCCATGAAAAATGTTCCTCCAAAGAGGAAGTATACGACTAAGAAAAAATCACATAAAATAGAAGATAAACCTTTTATGACGGAGGAAGGTACTACTTCTCTTAGCAGTTCAAAGTCCGAAACAGAGTTGCATTCACAACATATTGACAGTAGCCATGGTAAACCCAATATTAAGATAAAAAGAAATGAAAAAGAAAAAGAAAACAATGAAGATGAACCAACAAATTTTATTGATCTTGATGGTCCTCGAATTCCAGTTAGACCTAACTTCTTTGATATTCAGGGTTTACTTGAAAGTGAATTTTATAATGGTAAACCAACAGATTCTATGATTCTTTCCACACATTCACATCCAACTACTCAGGGTTCTCATAAGAGAGATACACCAGAGGGTATGATCCCCACTGTTAAGTTACAAAGTGTTTTATACCAGAATTACCAAGAAGAATATAAAGTTATTTTCCATGATGCGTGTGATATCTTCAACCCAATGGCAGAAGTCGGTAAACTAATAGAATACTCGGTAATTATATACTTACCGACCGATTATTCTGAAATTGTAAAACGTGATATTATACCAATATTAAACACCGCATTTGACAATTCGGATACTAATCTATTTATTGAAACGGTGAATAAGTATAATAAGTTAATACGTGAAATACCGAGAAGGGACATCATTGACCATTTATGCGGTTTAACAGAAATACCAGTATCTTTTATCCATGACTTACTTCACATTATCTATACAAGAAGTATACATCCCGATGCTGGTAAATTAAGACATTATAAAGCATTCTCGAATTACGTATATGGTGAACTTTTACCCGGTTTCTTAACTGATGTCTACAATCAATGTAATTTAAGTCCTGATATGCTTTTTATGGACCTTGGATCCGGTGTTGGTAACTGTGTTATCCAAGCTGGGTTAGAATTTGGTTGTAAATTAAGTTTAGGTTGTGAAATTATGCCAGATGCTAGTGATTTGACAGAGATCCAAATGAAAGAATTCAACCAACGTTGTAAATTGATGGGTCTAAAAGTTCCTGCTTTTGAATTCAGATTACGTGAAAGTTTCGTTGATAATCCTCGAATTATTGAGCTTATTTCTCAATGTGATGTAATGCTGGTTAACAATTTCTTATTTGATAGTAAATTAAACAAAGAGGTAGAAAAATTGTTACAACATGCAAAGATTGGTTGTAAAATTATCAGTTTAAAAAATTTAAGAAGTTTTGGTTATACGATAGATTTTTATAACGTTGATAATATCCTTAACAGATTACAAATTAAAAAACAAAAATTTAAAGAGAATAGCGTATCGTGGACTCATACAGGTGGTGAATATTATATTTCTACTGTATTAGAAGAAGTAGATGAATCATTATTTTCATCTACTAGCAGATTTAGAGCATTGAAAAAAGATTTCAAATATACCAGATAATTTATTATTGATACAGTCTTTTATATATACATATGGACAGTGCTTGTAAGACAAATATTTATTATTCTATAAATTTATATGCGCATGTCTTGCCAGAATATATTTAATATTATGAATATATATTTAAAAAGGGGACTAAAGGGGAATATTATTTTGATTTCAAAGCTTGTTCTTGTTCTTTTAATAAAGTAAATACTGGGGCTCCTAATTTATGTCTACCTTTCAAAAAATTTAATTCCATGACAAAATCAAACTCTAAAATATTTGCTTGTAGGTTTTCTAATAGATTAAATGCAGCTCGAGCTGTACCACCTGTAGCTAAAATATCATCTAAGATAATTACATTTGAATTTGGTGGGATTACATTTTTCTGTATTTCAAATGTATTTGAACCATATTCCATTTCTGAAACTGCAGAAACACATTCACCTGGTAGTTTTCCTTCTTTCCTGATAGGAACAAACCCAATGTTCATAGCTAATGCGAGAGTTGGTCCGAATAAGAATCCTCTAGATTCAATTCCTACTATATAATCAATCTTAGTGTTAGGAAATTGTTCCTCTAAATGTGACTTAAATGCATCGATCAATACAGTAAATTGTTTATGATCTCTAAATATTGGAAGAAAATCTTCAAATAAAACACCTTTTACTGGGAAATTAGGGTATTTATGTAATACAGATTTCAAACTTTCTATATCTTTAGGCATTTTAGAACAACAACAACAACAAAATGGTATATCGAATATATTTATTTATTTGAGTTTTACACAAGGAATATTAAAGTGACCCTTTACCTTTATAAATATTAAATGTTGGGCGTATCTTAAAGATTGATTTATATCAAATAATTCAAAATAAATATGTACTTTACGTTATCAACATTCAAAAACAGATCCATCAACATAATTATTTACAACGATTCCCTAAAATTAGATACTGAAAAATTTATTGGGCTCATTCATTGCATTTTACGACCGCCTCTTTTCCTTACATACGGTTTTCTTTGGGTTTCGCTTAGCGATGGCCGAGGGGTAAAAAGATATGCAAAGCCGAGGTTTCCTTTGACGGCGCAGATGAATGGGATTAGTTAAGATTGCTGTCCGCGCGGATGATCTGTGCAACAAAGGAGATGATAGGCCCATGTACAGCTGTCATTCAAGTCCGTGGCATCTAATTGGTATGCCACTTAACTTCAATAAAATTTTGTTTTAACTTCAATCTTTGATCAATTATTCATTTGTTCCCATTTTCAATCTCTATTCTCGTATGCACCATGACGTTCATCATCTTTTTCACTGCCAATACATGCCATGGAATATGAGATTTCTCTCCATTACTGACGCCAAACCATAGGTTTAAGGCAGCCAAGTTTCTAAATTCCTCTAGAATGGTCTCTAATAATTTTGTACTATCTGAATGTGGACAGTTTAATAGGTTAACTTCGAATTTCTTCCATGTAGAATTACCTGAGTTTCTCTTAAATTTGACTAATGCACCACTTTTAATAGCACACCTATGTTGAGAATTGGCCAGAGGGAAAGGATGTTCAAATATGACACCATGGATGTCTTCGTCTAGATTTCTAATCTCGTAATCATTTATATTCTGTGGGTTGATACGTCCAGATAAATCGTTATTCTTGAATATTGGCTTGAAATTTGGATATAATTTATCCTCATCAAAGAATGATATCTTTTCACTGTCATCTACACATACAACAGCTAAATGAACATTACGACCAGATAATCTCCTCCAATTCATCAATTCGTCATCTGGTAAGATACCATCTAATCTTGTTAAAATAAGGCAAATTTTCCCAAATTGAAGACTAGCCAAGGATAAAGCCATTGACCAAATTTCATTACAAGCGTTATCAAATGCTATTCTAGAGTCACCGACAAACCATGATTTTATCATATTTTCATTACCATCACTATCTGAAAGTGCTGCAAAGATCCATTGTTTATCTACACTTCTTGAATATGCTAAGTGTATATAAACATCATAATGGATGACCGATGATCCGTGTGGTGCCTTCATTGTTCTAAATGTGACGGTGCCAGGCAATTTGTGTGCAATGGTAGTATATTTGACTTTTTTAGATGGTAAAATATTGTAAATACTGGCACATAGATTGTAATATGAATCCACTGATGTCAATGGGTTTTTAATCATTTCCATTGGAATCAGCTTAAAATATAAATCAAGATTTGGGATCTTTGAACGTACTTCACATCTAATTAGTTGAAATATCTGCGTCTTCAATACAAATTCATATATATCTGCACTTTCGAGAGGTAATATTATCATCAAGTTAGCATCGTTTCCAGAATTCTTATTTGTAGAACAGTATGATACAATTTGTGCAGCTAGTAAGAGAAGTTTTGTCTTTTCGTAGTCCTTAACATTAATCAAACCATTTGCGTCCTCGTCACTTAATTTTAATAATTCACAAAATCCAAATTCTTGGCTAATGTATGTTTGAGACAAAGTAGATACAAAGGATAGACAGTCATTCTTGAAAGAATTAGTTAATAATAAAAACTTGAAATTCTTAATTCCAAACGGGGCTTTGAAATTCAAAAATTTGACATATTCTTGTACACATGACCTTACTTTGATCAATTCATCTTGTTTTTTCACAAATACAAATGGTTCTTTAATTGGGAATATTTTATTTATTAATGTATTACCAGCTATTTGCTCAAAATTGTTGAATAATGAACTTAGTGTCTTACTCACTAAGCCATTTGGTTCGATGTTGACACCTTGGTACTCATGATTTGGCAATCCAAAATTTTTCAATAAGCTATAATCAAATACAATTTGCTCACATAATTGATTCAAAATATCCGGGTCATTGATATTTATTGTTACAGTAGGATTCTTATATAAGAACACATCAGGTATTGAGGATAGTGGCATATGTCTTAGCAGGAATGGAATATTACTTGATGTATGTTGTTTAATCGTTGTAAAACTTTCAGAAGTAGAAGAATCGTTACCAGAATCAGAAGTGCTACTGTTAAATGGTTTTGATGAATCCGAGACATTTCTACTGGCAGAAGACTCGTTTTCTTTAAAGTTTCCTACGTTTAAGACTTTACCAAAATTATCTGATTGATTACTACCCTCTAATGGTGATGGTATGGATGCCTCAATTGATTTAAGAGGGGAATCAGTTTGGGGTATTTCGCTTGGAGGAAGTCGCCATATTGAGTTAGATCCTTCTCTGTTATTATATAACTCGGAACTGCCATTAAAAACACCAGATAATAACCCTGTTGGAAGGTTATCTTGTGTGGTTGTCAATTGACTATACGGTTGATCATTTATATTTCCATCTAAGGACCTTAGGTCATTCTTGATATTGGGGTAATCAAATGAATCTAAACTGGAATCACTATCTTCTTCCTCAGAACTTGATATTTCACCATTCGACACATCGAATTTTAGTGCCTCTTCTTTTTGAGATGGCGAGAAAGAAAATTTACCACCATTCTTATATTTATTATCGACATTATTTTCGATTTTAGGATTAAACGTCAAAGGAGCAAAAACACTCTTTCTTCTCTCTCTAGGGGTCTCTACTGGAAGTGGAGCACCCGGATCCATATATAAGGGACTGTTCGATAGTGTCATTTCATCTATCGGTATATCGAGATATTTTCTCTTTAAATTCTGTTTTTTGGGGGTTTCAAAAGCTTCATTAATTTCGGGGAAAGAATCACTACTGATGTCCTTGGATTTGCCAGTATTCTTTGTAGAAGATCTATTGTTTCCTTCCTCATCATCTGACATTCCAAACATATCCTCAGTAATCTCATCAGAAGTAAGTTTAGAGACTAAAGGTTTTGAATCTTCTTCCGAGGTTTCTCCAAAAAGATCTTCGTCGTCGTCACTAATAGGATTGCTTGGTAGGTTTTTATCTTGTGTTACTGATCCAATTATCTTATCTTTAGGATCTATCATATCTTCATCATCGTCTCCAAATAATTCCTTGTTATCTCCATTATTGTCGTCGAGAACATCATCCATGATCGTCATTGGTTTATCAGTATCCATTTTAAGAGGGTTCATTCGTAAATCATGTTTTCTGTCGTTAAATAGTTGATTGTTATTATTTTCATTATTGATTGGAGTGGTGGAGAACTCACCCGTAAAGGCGTCAGCTGGATTAGGCGCTAGTCTTTCTATTGTTGAGTACTGGGGTGAGATTCCTCGACTATTGGAAAGTAAGTTATTACCAGCATCCAGAACTCCAGTGTTTCGTAGAGTGCTTTGTGTACCACCTAAAGGAGATAATCCTAAATTTCCATTTACACTGGACACAGATTTCTTATTAATGGGTTGTAATTGCTCGGTATATGGTCCACCTGTGCTCATAGGGTTTGTTCCCATTGCACCAGAGCTTCCGGGTGTTCTATATGCAGAGGTTTGTTTTATTTGAATAAAATCATCGATCATATCTATTGCGTTTTGAAAATCATCGGAAGATACAGCATCCATCTTGCCTGATACATTATCAAATGATGACTGTACAAGACAGAGATCTAGAGGCCATGTTATACTTCTAGTTTCAGAAGGCGGTATCATGTAAGAACCAACAGAAGGTGTTTGTCCATTTAAATGGCCCAGGTGGGGGATTAATGAGATCCATTTCATGTTTTTCTTCCCTTTCAGATTAATACCATGAGAGGTAAATAATGTATCTAATAGGATATCTGCATTGTTTGGTGGTGATACTAGATATTTTTGTTTTGTAGTTGTCTTAATATAGGCCCTTATACCAGATGGGGCCATATATAATGCATGAGATCTTAAATAACTTGAATTTAATGATTCTTCCTTCAATTGGGAGAATTCTAGGTTTTTCACACAGATAGAAAGTGCTAGATCACTATTAGAAAATAAATGAGGTTCAATCTGTAACAGGAAATTCTTATCATTATTTTCATTGTTTAATGGTATGCAAGCATTACCGAATTGAACTAATGTGTTATTAGAATTTAATGCCAAATTGATATAGATACTTTTCCGAAGGGCCTTTAGAAATAAGGCATAATATGGAGGTAGATTAGGTTTTGAATAATCTGCAGTAAATTCACCAGTCTTTTCAGGCGTTATAATAGATTTTTCATCATTCTCGGATATGTTGGAATCAACTGTTGTTATCGAGTTTTCGTTATTATCCCCTAAAGGTAAAGGTGGTATAGTATCATCATTTATACTAAATCTCCAAAGTTCTTTGGATAGTAATGCTACTAATGTCTTAGGGTCTTGTTTTCGAAGTTGTAGTTCCATTTGAATCGACCAGCGTTCATCCTGGTTCTTGGGTATGTATTGTTCATAATTGATCTTTTGAATGGTATTGATCTTATAGAATGAAGAAAATACGTCTTCAAGTCTATAATGTATCGGGGTGGGATCCATTATATTTGTCTATTTATTAAGTTTCTTCAAAAATCTTAAAAATGGTTCAGATCAGTAAATTTTTAATACAGGTCAATGATTTTGTAAGTAAAGTATGATTAACTATCTAAATCGAAATTGTGATAACGATATGAATAGATATCAATTTATCTAGAGAAAACTGGTGACTGATAAAAGAAAAGTATTTAAATATTAGTAGCGCTTATAGTTTTAATGAAAAGTTTAGTCGTTTGCCTAGGTCCTACTTTAGTATATAGCAACTGTATACTAGTTTTTTCAATAGAAATCATACTAAACAAGCCGAAATTTCCAAATTCGGGTAACAATCATTACATACTAAAACAAGATAATAGACATAATCAGGGAGAATCAGTCTTAAGATATTTGAAATTGGTGAACGTAAGGTAGTGTTGATTGTGGAGTAATTGAGAACGAACTATATCTATTCACAAAGTTTGTTTTTTCTGTTAGAGTTAGATATGCTAGTTATTATCATCAGTATCATTAAATTATGATGGGATCTTTAAGATGTCGATTATATAATTTATACTACTATAATAGGGTATTCATATATATATATGGCATTTTAGTGTATTCTTGTGTAGCTACCAAATAATATATATGAAGGTATCTTTAGAAGATTTAAAAAGATTTCAATGTTCTTCATTTCAAGTTATACATATTTTGTCATGTGTCCCAAAAGTGGTAAAACCTGTACAAATGGTATCGAGCATTATTCTTATCCAGAATTGGACCCATTAATAAGATGTTAAATAATATATAAATATCACCTGTAGACAATTGTTCGTTAAACTGTTATTGTATTGATTCTCTCATTCCTACCAACCCATTCACGTTTCAGAGTGAATGGCTATTTTCACAAAAGAGACGATGGAGAGCGCTGAATTAACAGAGTGAGAAAAACAAAACAAAGGCTCATCGAAATTCAACAGATCTGATCAGAGAAAGCATCACAAATACATACTCGATAACATGCTTTTGTTGTCATTATATCTTCTAAGGTGAACTGAGTATTGCACTGGCCAAAGTGTAGAGGTAATAAAGAAATTAGAACCAATTATTAATCGATTTAGGTTAGTATTCAATTTTATTGTTAAAAATAAATAGATGCCTTCTGTAATGACGAAAAAGCCTGCATCAAAGGAAGGTTTACTACTGATAAGTGAATCTAGACATCTTGGAGTGGGTGATATCTCTAGATATAGAATAACAATTGACAAATCCGTATTATCTGAGCAAGGTGTTGATGTAGAAGAACTTTTCATCAAAATCAAGAATAATGAAAATGCGCTATTGAATCCAGTATATTTAACTGGCCCATATTCTTTCTATTGTGATATTAGGCCTAATAATTTTAATGAAGACGAGCCATTTGAAGGTAAAGAAATTATTCCGTTTGTGGAGAATCTAAAACCAAATGAAAAATTCAAGTCAACACTTTTATTCAATGAGCATTCGAATATTAAAGGTACGACTCTTTATTCTTGGACTGTGGATATTATATCACAGCTAGCTGTATTGACGTTCCCAAAATTACAATATAGCATTAAAGTCGGTACTTCGAGAAGATCTACTCGAATGAGAAGTAGAGGAAGGAAAATTGATGCTCTAGAAGGCATCAAAGTAGAAGAATGGGATACCATCTCTCTGTGGAGTTTACCACCTAAGTATCCTACTAAACCAGTTCATTTGATAATTATTACACATGGTATTTTTTCAAATGTTGGATGTGATATGTTATACGTTAAGGATAAAATTGAAGAAATGACATTTGGAATGGATGAATCGATAAATCCAAATATTGTTGTTAGAGGTTGTATGGATAACATGGGAAAATCTGCAAGAGGTGTACACTATATTGGTAGAAGAGTAGGTAAATATGTTGTTAAAGTAATAGATGAATTGAATGAAAATTATAAAGTTGATAAGATATCTTTTATTGGCCATTCGTTAGGCGGTCCAACCCAGTCTATGGCTGTGCATTACGTTAACATGAAAAGACCTGATCTTTTTGATCCTGTAACAGGTGTAAAACCGATAAATTTTATTACTTTGGCTAGTCCCTTCGTTGGTGTCATTGGTGATTATCCTTTATATATTTCATTACCGTTAGATATGGGTTCTCTTGGTTTGACAGGTAGGGATTTGAATTTGAGATATACTCCATTACAATCCAAGGATGGACTTTACATTGACGATCCAAAATACCAAAATCAAGAAAATCCCAAATTAATAATGGAAATTTTACCTCAACCTCCTGTACGTCGTATCTTCGAACAATTCATACACAGAACAGTATATGCAAATGTAGTCCATGATGGTATTGTCCCATTGAGAACTGCCGCTTTATTATATCTTGATTGGAATAGTTTAAACAGCGTTCAGAAGATACAAAGAAAGAGTATTGCACAAGCAACTGCAACTGACAACATTGGGACTGAACTGGATTCTGCTGAAGGTAGCATATCAAGTGTTCCCCCAAGTAAAGGAAGGGCTGTCCGTGAGATTCCCAAAGATGGTTTAGATAAAAAGGCCGCGGTGCAATGGGCAATGCCTCAAGCATTGATACACACGAGAAAGAATAGGAAGTTTGAGCGAGCTCAAATAACAGACACTTCTTCAGATTCTGAAAGTGACAATACTCCACCTGTGGGATATCAAAATAAGCCTGATGAAAAGTTTGTTGCTCCAAAGGAAGCGTCAACTATGCTTTCAGCATTATCAGTATTGACAGCGCCGGTCCCCACACAGGAGTATATCAAAAATCCTTCATTGAGAACAGATGAAATTGTTCACGACCGAGTTTACCATTCAGATGAACTTCCAGAACCACACTATAACGATAGGTCCGCGATGAGTAGAGTTCTCTATCCTAATGAAAATGTGAATAGAATACAAGAACGTATAGCAAGAACATGGCAAGAGACTATGGACTGGAGAAAAGTGTTAGTTAAAATTCAACCAGATTCGCATAATAATATTATTGTTAGAAGAAGATTTGTCAACTTGTATGGTAATGTTGCAATTAACCATCTGGTAAATGAGCATTTTGGTATTGAAGCCTGTGAAAAATATGCAAAATTGTAATATGTAATCGAAGGTAATCAAAAAAAAGCAATTATTCTTCGAGTTTCTAAGTAATTTATTGCTAACGCATTCTTAAAAAATATTCAGCATTTTTAGCAAAAGATAGAATATTTCATTGGATTTATTTTTATGTTCCATGTTGGCTTGGTTTTTCTTATTTAAAATTTAGTACATTGATGACAATTGCTTCGAAATTGTGACACACTATAATTGAACGGTGACGGGGCAACAAAAAAAATTACAGACGCTTAGCCATTTAATTAACTTAATCATCTTTATTGTCATTCGATAAATTTTTATAACCTAAATATCCTAATGTTAATTACTTCCATGAGAACAAAAGATAATTATTGACTTAAAAAGTTGATTAGATTGTTCAACTGTATAGATACATCCAGCTATATAATTAGAGAATTTATAAATATTGCTAATATTTTTTACAGAGCAGAAAAAGCTATCAAAAAAAAAGCTATTAAATCTTAACCAATTTTCAGAAATGCGTATAAGACATTCAAGACATTCAGAGGTTGGAAAAAGAAGTAGTCGAAAGCATCATTCATCATATTTAAAAATTAAAGAACAGGTGGTTCAATATGGAAGGCATGCCAAAGCTAAATTGCATAGAATTTCAAAACCAAAAGAAAACAGTCACATATTTATAAGAAATAATGAACATCAGGGAATGGTAAAGAAGAGAGCCTCCTTAAGAACTAAACTTTACAAAGGTACAGGTTTCAGAAGAAAACGTAAATCCGAAGATTCGGCTAAAGTTGCAGATTATGGTAAAAGTGTTTCGAATTCAATAAAGGAAAATCAATATTATCATATCTATAACTCGTTTGATGACGAAATAAATAAATTCGAAAGCCCACCCGGAAGTGCAGATAGTTCATTTCAACAACAGAAACAGGTTTATCTTGTTAAAAACAATTCTTTACAGTCACTAAAAAATATGATAAAAATGGGTTACGAAGCAGAGTCGTCTGGAACCCATGCATTGGATAGGTTACAGTGTCAGCACGACATTTTAAGGGATGTTGATAATAAATTGGATAGGATGCAAGTATATAATAAAAGGGCAAGCGATAATATAATGCACTTGCGTGGTTTGAAACCATTGAACAATGTAGCACCTAGATTCGATGACGTTGAAAATAGGAGCATAAATGTATTGGATATAAAAGGAACACCACTAAAGTCTAAGAATTATCTCGAAAATTATAATTACGCAAGTACCACTGCGGTATCTTCGAGAGCTACTGATCTTCTCAATTATAGTCCCGAGTATACTCCCAGACGATATGATGTTCAATTTGAATTTAGTTCACCAGACGGCGATATAGATTCCTACATTAATAAAGCTTTAGATGAAGTTGGAAATATTTCAAGAAAACTACGTTATATCGCCCAAGAAACTTCGGAAGAATTGGATTGTCAGTTGAATAGACTGGCATACACAGAAGATTCATTACAACGGGTTGGTAGTAAAATTAATAACAATTCTAATAAACTTGAAAGTATGGTTGGAAAAAGTAATTCCTTTTAAATATTTATTAATATTCATGACAATTTGATATTATATAATTATGTAATATTAAGATTTCAACAAACTTCAAAACCTGTATGAGATATCAGTAATCTAGCGGCTTATATCTTATGTGTTTAAAGTTGTATATGTGTTATGCAATGTGATTTTATCGTTAATTAAAGGATAATATAATCATATTATTCTTTGATTGCATTTAACCATAATGTATAGTTATTTTCTGCAATTTTTTCTGATTGTTTTTTTGTACTACCATATACATCATTTAACAAGTTGCTCATCTTTGGACTTTTATTAACATAAAGATTGCTATAGGTACTTTTTAACTCTGCAAAAAAATCTCTATTTTTGGAATTTTTAGTAATTTGGTCGTTGTTATCACTTGTAGTTGTGATTACTTTCTTCAACGGCATCAGGGATGGCGAGGTTAAAAGAGTTTTGAGTTCTGCTTCTCTACTATCGTCAGTATAGATATTACAGTCGTTTGGATGTGAATATTTGTCAAATATAGAACTATCTCTAGTCATATCGTCTATTTCGACCAGTTGGTCGAACTTATCAGAACATTCTGTAGTTTTGCTCTCCTTGTTTGTTTCATTTTTATTAAAGAGCCTCAACTTCATATATTCATCACTAAACTTGCATTTTTCTGAACAATATAGTTGTTTATGAAATTTTTCAATTTCAGAGATTGTACGTGTATAGTAAAGAACATTCTCATTAGTGGTAATTAACTGATCACAACATATGCAGTAATCAACAAATGGGGATGTCATGTATATGTATGATACAGTGATTTTAGGAATGTTGATTAACTTCAAAAAATAAAAAAATAAAAAAATAAATATGTCTTGTACAATATTTTGGAACTTTTTTTGTTTTTGGTAGATATATTGTTAAGGAATTATTCTTATTTATATATATGTATGTAGGTGTAACTTTTGTAAAAGGAAATGGAGATATTGATTGTAGTTGGTTACAAACAATAGAGTTGCCTCATTATTATTATTTCTGCGCTATTGATTGACAGGTTTCGAAACATATCCCTCATAAACTAATTATTCTATTATATATATTAAATAAATTAGGAATTCAGAAGAACCATGGACAATTGCAAGAATTAGAGTGGCCAAATTTGTATAAAATGTCCAATGATGACAAAGAAAAAAAGAAAGAAGTGACTCTATCACATTTCCTACCTAATAACAAGAATTGTTCCAAAACAATTGATTTTAATGATCCAATTGAAGCAATCAGACAACAATGACACAGAAGAGAGCAATGCAAGTATGAGCACAGATATATACCTTTTAGACCAAAAGGTATTTTATGCATCGATCATCTGATATGTGACAATTAGTCCAAGAACTGACCCGTAGATATCTGATAACGATAGAGCGTGGAAAAGATATTTATTTCCAAGAGAATACTTGTTACTGTATAACCATATAAGGTTTTATATTGTTAATTATTTTTGTCTGTCGTTTTTCTGACTCTATCTAATTATCTCGTGTTTTTACATTTTATTTTTTTTGTTTTGAACTAATTTTGTCGTGTGGAAGAGAGGATAATCGAGTAGTCAATCGGCTCTGAGATAAGCGTTATCAAGTGTCACACAGAGAGTATTGCACAGTCTCAGTTCTTTGTTCCATTCAGTAAATAAATTCGAAAGGAAGTCCGGTCAATGTCATAGTTATTGTTTGACTGGGGCAACTATGAGGATGAAAGTGGTATCTTCCTTAGTATGCTCATAGCCAAATTATACCTCAGAACGCATAATGGAAAATGAAATTTAGTAATGGTCCGTTTTGGTAGTGCATTGTATGGGAAAATAGCTGCCTCAATCCATAATATTTTTGTTTGGAAGGTGGTCGTTTTTATCTGAGTTATGATGTCTTTGATATATAGATAAACATGACATAAATGGGAGCGCATATTTGTCACAGACGTTACTTAATAGAATTTACCCATTGAGAGTGTATAACCTTGGCTTATTTGCTAGGAATAGCACGTTGAACAGTTGAAACACTCGTCATTTTAAGATATGTTATGTAATCGTTATGGTTATTCCATTCCTTTTGCTAGTTGTGTGATAAGAGCATTAATAACTGATAGAATTCCTCGTTTCTATCTTGTTGAGCATTGATTATTTAATATACAGATTATGTATTTCAAACCTCTGTCTTTATATATTAAGAATTTAGTGGCGTTGTTGTTGACCTTCACATTCATGAACTTCTTATTCAAGTATCGTCGTATAAGCCTATCCAATTATAATAATTGGGCACAATATTCTATATGTTATTTAATTAATGTTAATATTAGTGTTCTTAATCATTAATTATTATGCTCATGAGAATATCTTATACTATATACCCTATGAATATTCAGCTCAGTAGCTAAGTTGCAGTGAATGAAATGTGTATTTGTTATGGTATGCGTGCAAAGTTAATTTTTTAAACAACATGGTGTAACTCTCTGCTCTTTTTTGTGTATAAATATCTTTTTCTATAACTTTTCAGTTATTGACTAAAATTAAAAAAAAAAGTGTTATCGATATTAGCAAAATAGTTATATCATTTTCATTTAGATTATGTTCTATAAATATATACAATGTTATAACATGTTCTAAATCACATCAAACCATTAAACCATTTCCTTGACTTAGAGGGATTTTGTCTTGGTAGCTCGCCATTAGGGCCAACTTTAGGAATGATCCTGCCATTGTTCATCATATTTGCTCCACCAACCAGTCTCTTGAACCCCCAACGCTGAAATAGTCTAGCCATTGTGGGTGTTACGGCAGCAGTTACAGGTATTCTAACAAATACCAAACTTTTGTGTAAACCATATGCAATTAGAAACTCAGCTAGTAAAGTGCTTTGTTTAAATTCACTCCATTTAGTATGTGTTCCACTTTCTCTTTGCTTCTCCAATTCTAACTTCTTTTGTTTCAATTTTTCGATTACTGCTTCATCACTTGACTCTCCATACCCAAATAATTGTTTACCCCTGTTCATATATATACTGATCTTTTCAGCCCCCATTGAATGGACAGTGAAGAAGCATAATGGCAAACTGATGAAAGTGACACCAATATAAACAACTAAGGCAGAATAACCATACTTTTTCATTAATTTTTTGATGCCTGTCTCTGGTTTAACAGTTTTGATTTGCTGTTGTACTGGTGCAGTTGCAAGTCTTCTGCATGATCGACTGATCGATCTTGTTATTGTTGGAAATCTTAATATTCTCGTTGAATTTACAACTGAATTTAATGGCTTAATTCCTACAATTGGAATTCTTCCTAAACGAAGCATTTTGAGATCTAATTCTTGTTCTAAAAAAGGACTTATTTGTAATTGCACTTTTTAGCTCACTTTGATTATTGTGATCTTGCGTTTAAATAGTGGTGATAGCCTAAAACAATGTTTGAAATTTCGATAATTATTATTCATACTGTTACTAAAATAAATTTCAAACAATGGGATATCCATATCCTTTTTAGTGGTGATGTTACACCCCTATCATTCCACTTTGTCGAGAAACTAGCAATTCGCTTAAAGAAGCTCGGAAAACAAAACTTTTCATTTTACGATATGTGAAGCTACAACAAACAATGCTGTCATTGTCTCAGGATTATACATTCTTTCTAATGTTAAATTATAATATTATATTTTATTGGTAGTTTATATTTTTTATATATGTAAATGAAATCACAGCATCTATATAGAATATATGTATCTATACAATTTCGTTAATGTTCATTCAAACATTTAAGGAACATGAAGCGTGTTATCCATCAGATTAATAGAGAAGAAAATAAAATTGATATGGAATATTTTTCATATTAAAATGACTTAACGAGAGGTGGCGGCAACCTTTTGGAAAGCACCCTTAGCTTGTTGCTTGGACATCTTAGAACCTTGAGAACCAGCTTGTTTAGCCTTTTCGACCTTTCTAGCGGCCTTGTCAGCCTTCTTCTTTTCCTTGTCAGCAGACTTCTTTTCGTCTCTCTTAGCCTTTCTAATTTCTGGCTTGATGGATCTTCTTTCCTTGATCAAATCTAGAGAAGCACCAACAATAGCTCTTTGAGCCTTGACGGTCTTTCTGGATCTCTTCTTGGCAACTTCTTCAGTGATACCTTTCTTGTGGTGTCTTCTGTAAAGAACAGTCCAAGCGACTCTTCTTGGGTTCTTTCTTTGCTTGAATAGAGAGGCAGACTTAGAGTTTTGGAATCTGAAAATCTTGGAGTCACCACGGACAAATAGAGTACCTCTACCTGGGTAGATCTTAGCACCGGAAAAGGAATCAACTTCAACCTTCATTTTGACTGTAATAATAAATATCAATAGAGAATATAATTGTTAGTAAAATTTGTCTTTGTATAGATTTTGATGTTAAAAAATGATACGGTAATTTATGAAATCTTAAAATTAGGATATCAGTATGGGATTATTCGAAGTAATAAATTATATTCCTCATTCTTCCTATAATCTTAGTGTTGATACTAATTATGCTTAACTCTTCCCCATTATATTTCGATTTAAAAATACGTTACATATAGCCGTTTATCCAATGGTCACAGTTCTATTTTTTGCATGTGATTCAATATAGATAAATAATTTTCTTCTGTAATGATAATGGTATTCATTTCAATTGTTGTCTTTCATGACATCTGGTAAACATTTCAGTATTGTTTCATTCATAAATATCTTTCTCAAATTCCTCTATCATTTCAACAATATAATATCACACATACTCGTTACTTTAGTTACGGTGCTTTTTAATATTTAAGTTAAAGATAATTGGTTAACAAAGATTGAAATAACTTTAATATACCTGTTACTACTAAGGCTAACACTATTCTCAACGTGCTTAGGGCGTAAACGTGTAATTGTTCCAGACTCCAAAGTGTCTCGCTAACTATTAGACCTTAGTAGAATAAAGGTATAGATAGAGTGTATGGTGCTGAACCTCAGCATCAGCAAGAATCCATGCTTCACAGCAGAAGCTAGGTGAAGTGTAGTGGCGAAAGATTACCAACAACTGTCTACATTACATTAACACTATCACGAGTGAAATTTCATAGAGATTCAATTCTTTGGTATCGCGGAGTGCATTTAGGAAAGTAATATTCTCAGAGCGGAAAAACCAAAAATAAAAATTATCAGGCATTTTCTTTAATATTACGGATGTACTGATGTATAATTACGAATGTTTGGGTGTTGAAGAAAACCAAGTCTAATCATAATTGCATTTGTTTTTTTTGAATTTTTCAGTCAAAACAAATTAGAACGATGGGAAATTAAAGACCCTTTTTTTAAAGGGATAGAAATGATGACGTTATCTGTTTCTTGATAAAATTTTACTGTGTATTCAGAATTCAAGATATTGATATTCAGTAGAAGATAAAGTATTTTCTAGTAAGATTTTGTAATAAAAGTGCACATATTTTTTGAGGGTTTGTTCGACAAAAGTAATTGATAAATAAATATACGTTATTATCAATTAAGAACAATTATAGATTTTAAAAGTGACCCATCGAGCGTAGTAAATAAACCAAAATAAATAACACAACTAATATACGCATGCCCTCATTAGTTAATAAGGATGATAGTGATGAATCCTTGGTCTCTGAGAATAGTCTCTCGATATTCAATATATTTGAATTATTAGATCCCTTAGCATCTAAAGTTGCTGCAAGACAACTTCCAATATTTTCGAGAAGATCTAATGATTCAAATAATAAAAATGGGCAACCAAGTACAAGATCAAAATTGTATAAGCATTATCATGATAAAGCTAAGATACCGATTGGTGAATTAAGGCAAAAGATATTTAAAAGAATAAAAGCATTGGATCAACCGTTGGATTTGATATTTTTTAAGAATCCATCTACGATTGAAAAACTTTTTTATCCTTTTACATTATTTAACATATTTGTAATTGGATACCTAATGGGTAAATTTCCCGAATGGTTTCACATATATTATTCTATGATGTTCAGTATATTGATGCCAGTAAGATTTTACACTTATTACAAGACCCAAAATCATTATTATATGGCTGATCTTTGCTATTTTGTCAACATGATGTGTCTTGCATTTATTTGGATAAGACCTGATTCAGTTATGTTATTTCATTCCTGTTTTGCTTTCACATTTGGATCCTTAGCTTTTGCAGTGATCACATGGAGAAATTCATTAGTCTTACATTCAATCGATAAAACCACTTCATGTTTCATACATATCATGCCCCCTTGTACAATGTATATCATATATTATGGTATCTCAGATACCTATAAATTGGAAAGATTTCCAGGGGCAAGAAAGTCGATAGATTTGAAAACAAATATCTTATGGACTTCCTTTTTCTATTTAATATGGCAGTCGTTATATCATTATTTTATTACAGTAAGACAATCATCAAAAATTAAAGCCGGTAAAAGAATGACAAGTTTTGAATATCTCACAACACATCAATTTAAAAATTGGTGGGTTGTCAAATTAAATGATCCTTGGCCTACAGTCATTTATATTGTATTACAATATTTCTATCAGTTGAGCACGATGCTCTTATGCAGTATATGGTTGAGATATAAACTAGCTGCTTCTCTTTTTCTAATGATTGTCTTCCTTTGTGCCGCTCATAATGGTGCAACTTACTATATCGATTATTATGGGAAAGCTTATTTGGATGAAGTGAAGAAACTTCGTGAAGAGGTAGAAATATTACAGCAAAAACTAGATTCTGTAAATGTAAAAGAAGGCAATATAACTCAGGATGTCCAACTCCAACCAGAATATTTGAATATTGTATACGACAGTAATAACAATCAAAGAAGTGACGTCTCAATTAGAAGTCAAACAAGTAGTATTCTTTCTCTAGGAGATGAAAAAGAAGATTAAAAGAGACAGAAGGATTATATAACAATACGATTACAGATATAATGACTTTTTTTTAGTATATTTACATGTTTATATTATATTTTTATGTATTTACAAAATATATCAATTTTTATGCAGAGTTTTCGGTTGTAGTATCCGAAGCTTAATGTTTTGTTTATGTTAACGATAACAAGTAAAGTTACCTCATGTTTAGGTCTAAACTATCTATTTGTTTGTTAATATATGCAATTTCTGTTGGTTTCCGGTTTAATATATCTAGTAAGATCTTGACATTTCTCTCATCTTCTATACTTTCAAGACCCTTGATCAAATTCTTCACCATACCATACTTCCATCTAATGTTTCTCTTAGAAGTTAAAACAATACTCATTGCTTCATCATATTTCCTTTGGGATACAAAGAAATTTACCATGATTTTAGCAAATTCAGAATCTAATTTACTTTTCTTAGTTTCGTCAAGTTTCATATAATTTTCAGTTTTTCTGTATTTCCCTCTATCGATCCATTCCTTTTTAGCTCTTTCAAGATTGTTAAATTTCGTCGCACCTTTCATTGATATGTCAAATGTTGAATTATCGTAGAGAATCTTATGGCCGATTGATGCAAGGTATTCAGCATGTTTCTCCATAGAAGATATTCTTATAATTTGCTTGGATGTAGTGTTTTCAGGCTGTATTGTTTCGGATTCTAATAATTTAGTTTCATAAAATATGTCTAATAATTTATCATCGAATTCACTTTCTTTAAACGTATATGTATCTAGCCTTTCCCAAAATTCTGTAGCACTATTCAATCTTAATGGGATACTCAGATATGAAACAAGACAACGGTGGTTAAATAGGAAATTATTCATATATTTCATTTTCCATTTACCAATAACATGTAAAACATTAAATTTAAAATCTTCAAAAGTTGTTGGTTGTTCGGTTAATTTTTGCAAAATTTCGCCGTCCAATTCTTGGGTTAAACTACTTGTATGCTGGGTAAAATCACCGTTAGCTAAAACGAACTTCCATAATGCATTCGATTCAGCCAATATATGATCGGTTGAACTTAAGTTTCGTAGTGGTAGTAATGGAAGAACGTTTCGTGTACCGCTTGCTTTTCCGGTATAATCTACACTATTCAGAATAGTTCTCCTCATCTGTGCACCTTCTGGCCATCCCACTAATAATGGGACATAGTCTGGTTTAAACTTAGAATAAGATAGCAATAGGTAGTTGAATAGAATTGGTTTGATGGATTTCTTCCATGCGTTGCTGATGTTTGGATCAGATTCACTCTTAGAGGTAAATTCACTCATTGTATATTTAAAAAATAACGCACGACATAGTGTGATATCTCCGTCATAAGCCGCTAAAGCCATCATAGATGCAACACTATCGTAATCTTCATATTCAAACATCTTGCTTATGAATTTCCAACCAAGTAACCTCAAGGATGCAGCATTTCCTTCTGCTACTATATTATCACCACTAGAAGAGGCAAGAGTTTTAGCGATTGTAACAAACGTAGAATGGTTTGGGGTCAATTTTTCTTCTTCGATTTCATAAAATAAATCTATCGCTTTCGAATAATTCTTTTGTTTGTCACATATATGCAACATCATATTGTATGTGAAAATATCAGGTTTATGACTTTTTGACAAAAATTTCATTGTATCGAAGGTATTCCATGCGCGATCTTCTAATCCTAATTCATCATAAAATTGGATAATTTTGGTGTAGGTGTGTTTATTAGGCGTTAAACCATATTCTGTCTGAAATTTCTCAAGGAAGTGGTTCATTGTTTTGAAATTTTTTAGTTTCGAGCAATAGGTTACACATGCAGTTAAATTAAATTCATTAGGAATTATAGCCGAATCATCCATACGTTTCAAAATGTCTTCGATTCTTTGGATGACCATATTCTCATCAGCGTTTTCTGCTGCACTCGTTCTTTGAGGTGTTAATTTTGAGTACATTCTCAGTAAACAATCGTACATTCCTGGTGACATTGGGATGCTGCGTTGTTTTGTCCATTCTTGTAATCGTTCATCCAGTTTTTTAATATTCTTAAAGGATAAGGATGTTACCCCACTTATTAACCAGTTATTTATAGTTTCTGCTGAAAGAGTAAGAAAACTGTCTCTGTCACTTATGAGCTGCGTTACGATTAAATTCCAATTAATATTCTTCTTGTTTAAAAGAGATTTGAGTACCAGGGTATCATTATCAACAATCTTTCTTGCATCCTCTGGTATCAACTTCTCGATCTGATGGGTTGAGACTGTATCTATTAAATCAGATAATGTTTGGGAAGTATGTACTGGGTCTGCTGGGATATTAATCGAATTAGTTTCTCGTACAGATTTGGACGTGAATGAATTTAATAACGTGTCAGCAATATCATTCTTCGGTGCATTATAAGGATCCGTTATTTCTTCATCTCTTATTTTATTTGTATCAAAAGTTCTTAATCGTTCCTTTAAACGTTTTGTATATTCGCGTAGTTGTTTAACTTTAAATTCAAGTAATTTAGGATCTTGTATAGCCATTATATCATCTGGATTAATATTTTCTAACGTAACATGTCTTGTTCGGCTTTTAATCGGTTTCATCTTTTTATTTTTTGATCGAGGGATAACTATCCCACGTTTGGATAGATGCCTCAAGCTATTAGCTGTCAGTCGGCTAATATTTTTAGTACTGTGCATATCTTGTTGATGTAATATGTGATAACTTCGAAACCTTTTTAATATTCGAATAAGAATGTCGTTCTAATATTGCGGAACGTAAATTTACGTATGTACAAGTGGATGGGATATTTTGGACGTATTGAACTCTCTATCACTAAACGTAGTAAGTAGATGTGTTAAAGAAGATTACTTGTCCCTAGATCAGATTTCCCTATTTATAAACGTCAAATTGATATTTCGATTAAGTTGTTTCCCTTTATTATCTACCGCCTCTCTAGCCAAAGAAGAAAAAAAGTAACCTACAAAATGTAATTTTTCAATTTTCGGCCACAGGCTGTCTTTCTCTTTTCCTATTTTGATTTCTTCTCTCCCAAGTAACTTAACAGTACCAAAAAATTAACTTTCAATAAATTATACAATGAAACTCTCAGGTCAATAAATACAGGTTAGTGTACTCAAAGCAGTATTAAGTAAATATTGATAAGCTTGTGGTATTGTGCTCGAGGAGTAATTACTCTACTTACTAAATACGTATAGATGGTGTCCCTAATTAGCTTTAGTCAAAGACAAAATTAAACAATGGCTAAGATCAATTTTTGTAATTCTTTGTATTGGTTCTAATTTTTGTATGGAGCTATAGAACTACTAAATATATATGTGTGTGTTTTAAATTGTACTATGTTCCGAGAAATTTTTGTTGGGACAAGAAGAAGAGGAAGAGTTAAATCTCAATGCTTAACTGAGAACAAATAATGGAACGTATCACATATGTAGTCTTAATTTAATTAAAAGAAACACACAAAAAACATCGATGTTTTACGATTTAACTGTTCACAATTTCATTCGAAGCTTCCAAAATTGTTTCTGTGTTCCTCCCCTCTCCTTTCTAAAATAATTATTGATATAGTACCTAAAGTCTTGTAGCAAAATCCTAATTCCTGCATAATAATACCAAAGTTGATAATAAAATCCATATTAATTACATGAAAAACTTCGGCCTATATGCGAACCTTCTTTGACCGAAAATTTTTTTTCTCACCGTTTGAACGATTTTTTAGTTAATGTGAGCGATGAGCTAAAAATTTGATCACATTATAAAGGAAACAGTTATGATGTTTATGTAATACGAAGAGTTTCATTTCTTTAACATATCTTCTAAATATACCCATAGAACTACTGTAAAAAAATGAGTGACGCTGGAATGCCTTTAGAAACCTCCTCTAAGAGTAGAGGTGCTAATGTGAGTGGTAGAACCTGGAAGGTTGCCAAGCAACCAATGAGAGCTAAAAGTAAAGTAGTTAAGAACAAGAGATTGACCTCTTGGGAACTAAAAGAGCAAAAAAGATTAGAAGACAAGCAGTTTAAGGAGAGGGTAAAGGCTCTAAAGGATGAGAAAGCCGAAGAGAAGCAAAAGAGAAACCAAGCATTGAAGGAGAGAAGAGAGAAGAAGGAAGAAGAGGAAAGATACGAGAAAATGGCCGTTAAGATGCATGCAAAGAAGGTTGAAAGAATGAGGAGAAGGGAGAAAAGAAATAAGATGTTAAAGGAACGTTAGAGGAACGTTAGAGGAGTTGGTAACCGAATTTCTTCAAAAATAAATTTGTAAGTCAATCAATTTTTTCATCACGGTCAGGACATCATCATCTTTTTTAGCATAATCTACTACTCGATCTTATGTAGATATTTATCTTATTTTGTATAATAAATTAACTCCCGACATTAAATACATCAATACTATTCAGCATTATCGATTTTACTCTATCATCGTTCATTTAAAGATGTTTAAATTTTTCTTGTAAAGTTACCAGATTTCCAGATAGCAAAGTAATGTCAAAAAAATACAATTGTAATGACATTATATATGAATAAACGTCACGACTAATTTAAGTTACAACAGGTATTTGTGAAATGCTTATTATGGGTTATTACCCAACACTTTTAGCCGCTATAAAACTTGTAAAAAATGCGAATTCTGTGGATCGAACACAGGACCTCCAGATTACTTTTGACCGAAGTTATTCTTCAGTCTGGCGCTCTCCCAACTGAGCTAAATCCGCAAGATGGAAAAGTGAACGTGATATTAATATATAAGTTCACAACTAAGTGTCCGGGTAACATAATTTATTAATTTTAAAAGTTATTAAAATATTACTGATTAGCTGCTAAAATTAAATCTTAAATAGTTTAACCAAATAAAACCAGTGTATATATATATATATATATATATTATTGGCGTGGTTCAATTAAAGTAGGCTGTAAGCGCAGTTTACAGATCTCGAAATTACGAAGTAACTTTTGGTTGGATGTTTCAGTGAGAGACTTATTATACGTATGCAATTATATAATATTTTTGGGTCTTTTCTTTATATATTGTTCACAAAATTATATTTTGATATAGAAAAGTATCAACTATAGAATGTAGTTTCACTTTATATATGTGGTGATATAATTTTTATTGATACGGGTTACTCTTGCAATGTATCATCTGTACATTGTGTTTCATAATGTAACATAGATGACATAGATCGAATCGCTTGAACAAAAACATATCTAATATAAAAGACATCAAACTAGATTTTAAATATATAATGTTCCGAAGACTAGATAATGATGGTGCATAATATGGTATAGTATACACCATTAAAATTGTTATATATTTTATAAAGGGATTACGGAGAAATTTTGAACAGTTTAAACCCCTATGAGACCAGTTAAATTCTATTTGCAAAATACATTTGTAAAAATTAGATACTCCACTCATACATTTTTTTTCTTCCGCAGATATTCTGACTTGTATTCATCCATCTAATTTCTGAAAAAACATTTATTTAAAAACTCTGCTAGTGTAGAGAGGTGAAATAAGAAAAGCTCTTGCACAAGAAGTGAAAGACGATTGAGGAATGATTTATATTTAATATACAATTTGATTGAATATAATTGAATACAAATTCATTTAAAAATGAGGGAATGTTTTATTATAGTTCACTGTTAGTGTCCATAGTGTTTATGTAATAATAAAAATGCAGTTATTTAGATGCTATATAAATGATTTCGATGCAATTTGGGATTGGTAAATGGAATTAATTAAACCCTCCAACCTTTTTCTTCTTCTTTTTAGATCTTTGTGATCCACTGATTTGTGAAGATACTACATTTGAGAGCTGTGAAGACTGTGTGGATGGAACAGAACTGCCCATTAGTGTAAATGCGGGAGCCATCGATGAAGGTAAGGTGTTATGGAACACTGAATCGAGTTGTGAATTTTCGATATGACTAGCGGCCCTTGTAGCCCTTCTTGATGATCCAGCTCTGTTGGAGTTCCGTTTAGTTATTTTATTTTGCGATGATCTAATTGTTGGTATTTGGGACTGTGAATTTAAAGTGAATTGCGGTTGGCTGCTAAATGGGACGGTAGACTTGGTGTCAGAAAGGCTATCCGTCATGTCGCTATTATCCCATTCATCAATAATATCCTTAGAAGAACTGTTTAATGTCTTGTATGTAGATGTGCATTGAGTTTTCGCAGAGTTACCTTTGGAATATTTTAACGTGCCCCATATCAATTCGTTAACAAGTTCCTTTGTAAAAAATACAGCCTCTCGTCCTAAGATACTCCAGTATTGTAGTAGTTTGTTGTAAAACATATCAACATCTTTTGTGTTGTCATTTATTATGTAATGGAATAGTTTAGTTAGGTCAGTGAACTCGATATCTTCTTCTTTATAATGTTCAAAAAATTGAGACAAAAATGATGAGAATTCCTCCATATCATCAATATTCGTTGGAATGTCAATAAGTTCTGATAATAGTGAAGGTGCACTTTTATTTTCTACCTCATTCCCTGTGACGTACTTATTCAATGCCTCTGAAAGATTGACACCACAACTTTCCAACTTCTGGACATCGTTTGATTCACTGGAGTTTTGGCTAGCTCTTTGATTGGCTATCATGCTCTTGGTAATATTTGTAGTAATAAACTTGATCTCAGGATATATATCCGTCGAATTATTAATAGTTTCTGATGAAAGAAGCAATTCGTCTCTCTCATTTTGAAATGCTCTGGGAGCATTACTTTCAGTTAAGTGTATTATTGATACGGTATCGACTTCTCTAGTGAATACATTCAATTTCAAACCATTATCCTCCAGATCGTTTTCAAATGATTCTTCTACGAATTGTAAGGTCTGTATGCCATTCGGCAATCCGGGAATATCCAGTATAGTGGAACTTTTTATAGTCTGGACCGTATTATCATTTCTGTTTAATGTAAAGCCGTGTAAATAAACCTTATTGTGATTTTTCGATGCGACATATGTCAAATATAATTGCTTGTCTTGTAAAGTGACAGACTGCACAAACAGTCTGTAAGTTCTGTCTTTGGAATTGAGGTAATGTTTCCATGATATTACTCTTGTTGTCTGATCAAGGTCCCTACTCGTCCTCAGCACTATGATTTCCATCGATGTTAACATGATTCTATAGTCCTCATCGATCTCAGAAAAATCAAGTATCTGGGACCAGCTTTTAGCTTGGACCATCTCTAATTGATATTTCTCAACAATATCAATCTCTACCAATTTAGATTCGTCCATTAATAATATCTGTGAATCCTTTGAAGACCAAGATATATGTTTTCGCGAGGAAAGAGATTCGGGGTCATAAATGGTCCCTCTCATTTTGTGATTTAAACTCAATTTGGTGGTTTTATGGAGAGGTGATGGAATCGTACCTGTAGCATAATTTCCCTTAATATCAACCACGGCGAATTGTTGGGGGTCCATTGGATTGAATGTTACATCTGCCCAAGGATAATCACCCAATGACGTAAAATCTAGAGGTTCTAATACTTGATATTTTATCCTGTAGTCTCTGTTACAATCTATACTTTTAATCTTTATTAGAACTAATGATCTGTTTGTTATCACAGCAATGATGTCTGAAAAACGGGCATACGCTTTAGACAAAATGGGAATCTTAATGCTTTTGATTTTACTACGGAGATCAATCTCTGTAAAGTTAGATTCGCTACTGATGACGTTGTTCGTATCTTGAGGTTTATAAATCGACAATCGCAAAATAGAATTTGTTTTCCCTGTACTGTACGCAATTAATTCATGATAATCTATATAGTTTCTTATGTCAAATGAAGTTTGAACTTTTCCAATTATGAACGTATCTCTAATTGTTGGATCTATTAGTTTGTTCCTGTGGGGATTTTTCGTGTCTTGTTTTGATGGTAAGCTTATTGAAGAATCACTCTTACTAAGACTCTTAACTACTTCTCTAGGGAGATAATCATGGTGGAATGAAATCGGACTTGTTGCAGGTGATAAATACATTCTATTAGTATTCATATCTTTGATATCATTATATATTTGGAAGCTTCCAGTGCTAGATAGGGATGGTGTAAGACGACCCCAATGCAATTTAGATAATAATGAATCTCTTACATGTTCATCGTCCGGAGTGTCAACTTCATCATCTAATAAGTCATATTCGGATATGTTACTGTCAATAAATGTATCTGTTAATCCACTAGTTTCAGAGATTAAACGTCTACCAACAGGTGCATGCAAGTGTGGTAATACGTTAGTAGTCTGTAGCGAAGACACTGATTCATCAGGAACCAAAATATCACTGGAGACAATATTAAAACTCATAAATGATTCAGGGATTGCGGAAGATGTTGCTTTGAGCCAACTTTCATCTGGATTATAATTGTGGATGTGTTCTGACGATTTAAAGACACTGGGTCCCGATATACCTGTCGCCAGTTGTATCCCCACCGGTCGTTTAAAGGGAAGCCCACTTTCATTCATCTTAAATATTTTAAGATATTGGTGGGTCTGGTAGTCAAATATATAAATTCAAAAATAAAGTAATTATTTGGATGTTTTTAAGTTGCTCTCTTACTATTTTATCTTTGATTAATGTTTATAATCCTTAGCTCATCGCTAGATCAAAAAAGTTGTTTGTCTTTAAAATCAAAAAATTTTCGTTTTAGGAAGCGACCGATTAGTTGATTTCGTAATCGCGAATATAGATATACATGCCAAAGGATATGACATGAGAAGGAATAATCAAGAACAAAAATCATTTTAAAAGTCAGTCCCAAGACGAATTAGACAGTGGCTAGTAATCAATTAATTTTTATAAATTTATTATATATATATTTTTGAAGCAGTCCAGGAATAATGAAAAAAAAAAAAGAAAATTTTTTTATTTATTTATTTTATGAGCTTATATATCATTATATTCTTAAAACGCAAAACAAGTAACCTGTTTTTTTATTATTTTTTTTTTTTGATACCAAGTGATTCTGTTTTCTTTTTTAATAGATAAAGATTATAACAAAGATTTGATCTAACATCTTGCTTCGGGACTCAAAAAAAAATTGTCTATTGTTGGGAGGAAGCTGGGTTAGCTTCGAATCTTAGATCCCAACCAATTTGTGGACCAAGCTTTGGTAAAATCTCAGCAACACTTTGAACGTCCTTGTCACCTCTACCTGAGATGTTGATAATCAGGTTTTGTTCAGGTTTCATAGTCTTGGAGATTTGAATAGCACCATAAACAGCGTGTGAAGATTCTAGAGCAGGAATGATACCTTCTAATTGAGATAATAATTTGAAACCTTCTAGAGCTTCAGCATCAGTGGCAGCCATGAAATCAGCACGGCCAGTAGATTTCCAGAAGGCCAATTCAGGACCAACACCAGGATAATCTAGACCGGCAGAGACTGAATGAGTATCGTGAACTTGACCATCACTGTCTTGTAGGACATAAGTCTTAACACCGTGGAAGACACCTGGTCTACCAGCAGTCAAGGTAGCAGAGTGGAAATCGGTATCGACACCATCACCACCAGCTTCAACACCAATCAATCTGACAGATTCATCTTTTTCGAAAGGTGAGAACATACCTGTGGAGTTTGACCCACCACCAACACAAGCTACGATAGCGTCCGGTAACTTACCATCGTTTAACTTAGCAAATTGTTCTTTAGTCTCATTACCAATAACACTTTGGAAAGTACGGACCAGGGTTGGGTATGGATGAGGACCAATGGCAGAACCAACAACGTAGTAAGTTGTCTTCAAGTCAGTGACCCAAGTACGGAAAGCTTCAGAAGTAGCATCTCTTAAAGTTTGAGTACCATTAGTGACAGAGACGACATCAGCACCAAGTATTCTCATTCTGAAAACATTCAAAGCTTGACGACGAACATCTTCAGCACCCATGTAAACAGTACATTTCAAACCAAACTTAGCACAGGCAGTAGCAGTAGCAACACCATGTTGACCAGCACCAGTTTCAGCAATAACATTAGTCTTACCTAATCTCTTTGCTAATAATACTTGAGCTAAAGCATTGTTAATTTTATGGGAACCAGTATGGTTCAAATCTTCTCTTTTCAACCAAATTTGAGCACCACCGCAATATTCAGAAAGTCTCTCAGCTCTATGTAATGAAGAAGGTCTACCAATGTAAGAATACAAAGATCTGAACTCTTCCCAGAATTTTGGATCAGCAACAGCTTCATCAAATGCACCTTCTAGTTCTCTTAGACATGCATGTAATGCTTCTGGAACGTATTGACCACCAAAATCACCAAATCTCATGGAGTGTTTGTGAGTTTCGTCAAAGTTGTTTTTTTGGTCGACGAATAATTTACCTTGTTCTTCAGCTTGGGCTTGAAATTGTTTAAATTCTTCAATGGACAGAATCTTATGTTTCTTACCGTTTAAAATTTCTTCACAGTATTGTTTGGCAACGTCGTAAGTTTTACCCTTTAGAGCTTGACCACATAAAGTGACGATCTTAGAACCAATAACGACACCATCAGCCAAAGAACCAACACTTTCAAAATGTTGTCTTGTGGCAACACCGAAACCGACAGCAATAGGGGTATCCTTGGTGTAGTGTCTTACACGTTTAACTAGATCATCCAAATTAGAGGCAACGTTGGATTGGGCACCAGTAGTACCCATTCTAGAGACCACGTAGACAAAGGAATTAGCGATATTAGCCAATAGACCTAGTCTTTCGTTGGTGGTAGAAGGAGCAACCAATGGAACTAAACTCAAACCACATTCATTGACTCTATTTCTAATCTTTAGGGCTTCTTCAGGTGGTAAATCAACAATAATGAAACCGTTAGCACCTGCATCTGCAGCATCCTTAATAAACTTGTTATCACCGTAGTTCATGATTGGATTGTAGTAACCCATTAGAATAATAGGAACAGTAATACCTTGTTTTCTAGCTTCAGCGACTAATTCCAAAGTTTGTTTCAAAGTGACACCATTCTCTAGAGCAACAGTGTTAGCGACTTGAATAGTTGGACCATCTGCGATAGGATCAGAAAATGGCATACCTAGTTCAACGACATCAACACCACCATCTTGGAACCCTTTAAGGATTGGGATAGTATCTTCGACAGTTGGATACCCTGCGGTCATGAAAGTGACCAACGCATTACGGTTTTCGGCCTTAGCATTAGCAAAAGTTTGTCTCAATTGTTCAGACATGATTTTTTAAAATAATAGTATGTGTGGACACTTCTTAAAGTTCTCCTAACTGATATTTTTCCTTTTAGTAAACTCTCAGATATAAAGATACAGATACAGATATGTATATATGTAATGTAAATACAAACACCTCTTTGTAGTGCTGTCAATCAAAGGAGTAATGGGATCGCAGTCGAGCATGTTCCCTTATATAATCAAAATTGCGAGAACGAAAAAAAATTTGAAAAATTTTCGCACACTTTTTTCTTGCTTTTCCTGCGCAGAGTGAATGGATGCGTCATACAAATCAAATACGTTTACAGAGAGAGACAGCAGTTGACTCACTGATTCAGTAGTTCTGGGGTGATGACTATTTCATTCTGGAATGGGGTTTCGTTTACAGGAAGTCCATGTTGAGGCTGGAGAGATCAATGTTGTTGAGGTCCAGGTTTCCGAAATCGTTCATAGCATTTGGGCCCTGGTTGTTATTGTTATTGTTGTTGTTGTTGCTGTTGTTGCTAACAAGGTTGCTATTGTTGGTGATATTGTTATTACTGCCCATACTCAAGATGTTTGCAGGTGTGATAGTATTGTTTTGAGGGCTTAGTTGGCCTTGTGGACCCGGGGTATTACCAGTCTGTCTGTTGTTCATGTTATTACTGTTAAATTGCATTTGTGGTTGCATTTGTGGAGCCATATTCATCATCGTGTTAGTTGGGGACATCCCTACAATATTACCTGGAATCATGCCGGTCATCAGTTGTGGTGGTACAGATAATGTTGGATTCATCGTAGTTGCAGATAGTGGTGTGGCCACAACACTATTTGTATTAGTTGTTGTCGCATGTGTGGCAGCAGGTGTATTTTTAGCACTTGATACAGATTTCTTTTGTCTTGGTTTACGAGGCTTCTTAGCGGTAGTAGTTGATGCGTTTGTAGATGTTGTAGCGGGAGTAGCTGTACCTGTTGTGGGAGTATTTGCTGCGGTAGGAGGGCTCTTCAGACTTGCTGCAGAGCCACGTCCCTTCTTTGTAGCTGTTGTTGTAGTGGTAGTGGCTGGTGCACCTGTAGATGTAATATTATTAGTATTGGTGGCAGTAGTGTTTGATGTAGCTGTGTTTCCACTTGTAGCTTTATTTGATGGGTCGTTTACTGCAGGTGTCTGTGGGATATTTGTCGGTGTTAGTGTCTCCAAAGGTTGATACTCCTTTGATTTATATTCTGTAGTATATTCGGGAACTGTTCCAAATAATGGGGATAATTCTTGAAACCGTTGCGATAATGACTGAATACTAGTATGTAATTTTAATAACATTGTCCGTACATTATGGAATTTTTCTTGATTAGTTATACCATTCTTATCATCAGCAATATTACTTACCATATGTATAAAGTTGTTTAGTTCTAGTCTGATCGGTAGAATAGACTCTCTTGTGGTAGAAAGTGTCAGGGCTAGTTGTTCTTTCCCCTGTGGATTTTGCGCCAATCGACGTTCTAACTCTTCTAGTTTCATATGTAAAGTAAGTATACTTTCAACAGCGGTTCCACTTTCAGTTTCATTTCCGGCTCCAACGTTTGTCATCTTTACAAAAAAAATTCTCGGTAGGGGGGTTAAGAGGTAGTATATATATATGCGATATTATCCTTCAAATCTCAGTTCTTATACAACTAAATCCTTCTTTCTAATATATCTATATCTCCTTTCATATTGATAATTTAGACAAAACTTTGCTTTCAATTTCTTTACAATATTTTTTTGCTTTTTTGTTTATTTTTTATAGTGAACGCTTTTCCCACTTAGTTAGAGAAAAGGTTTGGTAGCCACACATAGTAAATATATATGTATAAAATTATACTATTTTGAAAACAGAAATATCTCTGATAAGGATGATATTGTATGGTACTAGAGTCAACTTGTTTGTTAGAAGGTCATACTCTCGCGTTCAATATTACTCTGTGGTGCGCAAGCCACTAGATGTATTGTTCTTTGGAACAGATGAGTTTAGCGCTCGATCCCTAATTACATTACAAAAGTTGGCCATTGAACAACCGCAAGTATTAGCTAAATTGCAATTGGTAACTAGGCCGCCTAAATGGTGTGGTAGACAACATTCTATATTGAAGATACCTCCCGTGATTGAGGCGTTTAAGCCCGCCACGCCTTTGTTTTGTGATACTCGACAAGAGATGTTAGATATCTTGGTGCCGTGGCTCTCCTCGTGTCCAACTGAGCATGATAAGATGTTGGTCGCTGTATCGTATGGGAAACTGATCCCGGCAGAGTTGATCTCGATGGCAGATTATTCATTGAATGTGCATCCATCGTTGTTACCCAAATATAAGGGGAGTGCGCCAATTCAACACGCATTATTGAATGGGGATGCTATGACAGGTGTCTCTGTACAGACATTACACCCTGAGAAATTTGATCGTGGTAGTGTGGTGGCTAGGACTCCAGAAATATCCATTGATACGTTGTTGGGGAATGCTACTAGTCATGAAGGTACATGGAAAACAGATACATTGATCAATGAGTTAGGCGTTGTAGGTGCAGCTTTACTTAGGGATGTTCTAATTAACAAGTCATATATGTCGATGGATAATAAATCATTGGTAGATAAAGGTAGAACTTATAAACCTAGTTGGGCACCAACAATCAAAACTAAGGATAAACAAGTTATATGGCAAACATACACAGGTGAGCATATCTCTACAATGATTGCTGTAGTGGGGCCAGTGTATGCATTTAAGAGGGTACAACAAGGGAAATTGAGGAAACAGAAAGATGTGTTTACGGACAAGAGAGTGTTGTTTCATAATGTGGAGCCTGTGACTTGGCCTGCACAGGAATTAGAGCCCGGTCATTTTGTATATGATCCAGAGAGACAAGTAATACGCATCGGATGTGCTTTGGGGACTCAATTGGAAGTACAATCGTTGCAATTTGAAGCAAGCCCCATCGAGACCAGTGAAGAATTTATGAGGAAATTACGCAAACGGTGCGGTCCACAGGCCGCAGAACTTACAATATTTGGATAGATATAGTAAGATGTATATAACATATACCCACAGCGATGAATTAACATATATTCCGTTACATACACACCGATGCGGTTCTGTATTCGTTGATGTTAGCATCATCTCATATCTGGTCTCAGCTTTTCTGGACAGGACCGAAATTTTTCAATATTCAAAATGAAAAAAAAAACAAAATAAGAATGGATTCCCCGCAAATAAGGAAACAGGGAACTTCTAAATGTCTCTTTGTAAATAAGTAAGTAAATACATTAGAATAATATAAGATTATTTTTGACTCTGTTTAGTTGAAATTGATTAAGCAATAGCAATACAGGAAGGACTGTGTGCATGGATACATATATATATAACTACGTATATTGCCTACCATGGAGAAACCGTTGCTTAGTGATAAGGGTAAAGAACAAAAGAAGCTAGAACAAGAACAGGAAGAACAAGAAAACAAGATCCGTCCCGTTAGTTCTGTTCATAAGGCATTCTCAGAGTACAAATATGAGGAACCTCCAACCTCACGTAAAGTATTCTACGATTTTATGCTTTGGTTGCTTTGGAATATTTTTGAGTGTTTCTTTAGAGAAATCAAGTCTAGGGGTGGTTACAGAATGCCCAAAGAGGGTCCCATAATTTTTGTGGCTGCACCTCATGCAAATCAATTTGTAGATCCAATCATCCTTATGGAACAAGTGAAAAAAGTCGTTAACAAGCGTGTTTTGTTTTTAATTGCAGAATCTTCTTTACATATGAGAGGTATCGGGTTCCTAGCAAGAGCTGTAATGGCAATTGGTGTAGTGAGGCCTCAGGATAATTTACAACCTGCAACAGGTAAAATTAAAGTTGATCCACATGATTATAAGAGAGTTATTGGGAAAGGTACCAAGTTCTTGAGTGAATGTCGTCCAAAAGGGTTGTTAGGTCTTGGCAAAGGGTTAGGAAACGCAGAAGTCATATCCATTGAAAATGATACTGTGTTATACATTAGAAAAGAATTTAAAATGAATAAACCAGAAAATAAAAAATTGTTACTTGAACGTGGTACTTCTTTCAAATATGCCGATAAAGTAGATCAATCATTGGTATACCATAAAGTTTTCGAACATTTAGCAAATGACTCTTGTATTGGTATTTTCCCAGAAGGTGGTTCTCATGATAGAACTGATCTGTTACCGATTAAGGCTGGTGTAGCAATTATGGCATTGGGTTGTATGGATAAACACCCTGACGTCAATGTGAAGATCGTTCCATGTGGTATGAATTATTTCCATGCGCATAGATTTAGATCTAGAGCTGTTGTTGAGTTTGGTGAGCCAATTGAAATTTCAAGAGATTTAGTTGAAAAATACCATCAACCAGAAACTAATCGTGATGCAGTAAAGACTCTGTTAGATGAAATTACTGAGGGTCTTAAGGCTGTTACTGTGACCTGTAAAGATTATGAAACTTTAATGATTGTACAAGCAATGAGAAGATTATATTCCACTAGATTCAATCAAAAACTTCCTTTGTCAATGATTGTAGAGATGAATAGACGTATCGTTAAGGGTTATGAAAGTCATAGAGAAGAACTCGAAGTGAAGGAATTAGGTGAAGATATATTGAAATACAATGAAAAATTGAACTATTATAACGTGGCAGATCATTCAGTTGAGACAGCCCGTGTCGATTTCATGACCAATTTATGTTTATTGATCTATAGGTCTGTATTTATTACAGCAGCATTATTGTTATCCCTGCCAGGTATTATTATGTTTTCGCCAATTTTCATACTGGCTAACAGAGTCTCCAAGGAGAAAGCACGTAAAGCCTTAGCTAAATCTTCAGTGAAGATTAAAGCTAATGATGTCATCGCTACTTGGAAGATTTTAATCAGTATGGGTTTTTCTCCCTTGTTGTACATTCTTTGGTCCTTTATTATCACATATGTTGTAGTCTCATGCAAAGGTTACACAAATCATTATATTTTGGTGTTTATGATATCCTATGCGTTAAGTGTTTTAGTAACGTATTCAGCTTTGATCGTTGGTGATCATGGTATGGACATGTTAAAATCATTAAGGCCATTGTATATGTCTTTGACATCACCAAGTGGGTTAAGACAATTACAAAGAGAGAGGGAATCCCTTACAGAACGGATCATAGCCACTATTGATACCTTAGATCCAGAATTACACAAAGATTTCGAGAACGGAAATTTCACTAAGGAGATGGAAGATTACAAGACAAAAGAAATTAGAAGACGCAGACTTGTCAGGCAGAAACGTGAAAGAGAAGCATTGGATAGTGAAGAACGCGAGCATGAGGAACCTACTACTGCGGTGGATTCAGATGCAATTTCTTTAGTGAACAGTGACAATTCATTAAGTAATATTCCTTTGTTCTCTACAGTTGTTGGTGGTCGTAGGTCGCAATCCGGAAGTATATCTTCTAGTGTGGTATCAAGTCGTGCATCATCTGTTGTTGGATTCTCTACTGATGCTAGTGAACAAGCCATTTCTGAATTTGAAATTGAAGTTGACGACGGGCAAGACATGATGACAGCAAAGACGACAGCCGTCTCCAGTCGTATTGCACAGATTATTCGTGGAAAACGTGAACAATCGATGGAATAAACTTGATGTATAATATGAACAGTCTGCACATTATGCTTATATATTAATATATTGATTTTCAAATAAATCAAATCTTGTGGTAGAACCTTCTATACAAATCGCATATAATAATAAATAATAGTAACTCCAACTTAAAACAAGTTTACAATGCAAGGACCTGAGGTAACGACATTTCTGCCAAGACTTCGATCCTGTTTTTTTAACGTTTATGGGTTCGTATTGTTCTTCCACCCTTAATGCGTGTAGTTCACGTAGTAAGTAAAAGCGCGCTTTGACTAGAGAAATTTCAAATTCAAAACAATTTTTTAAGAAACTGTAAAATTATGTGATTAGTATAACAGTAACTTGTAGGTCCAATATTTACAACAGAAATATTGGCTCCTGTTAAAGAGACAACCAACAAGGAATACATTATGTCTACTGCAACTAAGAGGGATTATTACGAGGTCATTGGTGCATTGTCATCATTTGAGACCTCGCAGGAGGTCGTACTCTCAAATGACGAATTAGTAGAATTAACAAAACCAAAAATAGATACGCAACAGAAGGAAGCATCAGAAGAAAGGATACCTGTGCATGCGTATCTTGGTGGTAAAGTAAATATGAAGGAAGCTGCACATGCTAGTTACGATCTGGGCCACACATTACTAGGTGGCTACGTACCGCAACGTCAGTTAGAGTCATTATCCTCCATTGACTTTGCTCACTATTTCGATAAAACATTGGATTGTGACGATGCCTTACAGATCTTTGATACATTCCTACCTGCCAGTGCAAGACAATGTATGTTACTCAGTACACAAAATGAACTTGATATTAGGGCCAAGGCAAAAGCTAAGGCAAAATTAGAACGTAAACAGAAAGCTGCAACTGCAGCTGCTGATTCTGCAAATGGTACAGATGAAAGAGTGTTACCGGACGGTAAAATTGTACGCAAAGTAATTATGTGTAGGCGTTGTAACCGTAAGTTCCGTGGAGAAGATCGTATGAAACAACTCAAGAGACATGAATGTACAAAATGAAGCCAATCTGACAATTTAATCAATGGGAGAACAAGATAGAGATATGAATGTCAAGGGATTCCCCTCTAAGCTCTGTATTGAGTGATATGTGTATATTCTTGTATAAATTTGTATAGTAAGTATAAAAACTCACGTGACTTTAGACGGGTAACTTTTATTTTTCTGCCTATTTTATTGCGTATTCATGCTAAAAGGGGCAGATAAAGTACCAAAACGGAAACGACAATTTTTGAAAAATTGGAAGATTTGATTGTCTCTAGAGAGGTAAAAATGGTTAAATTTTACGCATTATTTAGGGAAGTTAGATAGAAAAGACCTCATTTAGGTTGCCAAAAGTAATAGTTAATTAGAGTTCCATTGATTAATTTCAATAATTGTCATTTTCTTTGAAAGACAGGTATTTCCTTTGTTGTTTGACGCACTTAAAAACAGTTGATAAAAGGAGGTTTTAAGTTACGTGCATACCTAAAAAAATAAGAAGAATAGAAGCAAAAAGATTAAAAACAACCTTTATTATAATTGCTCAAGATACATACATACATCTAATAGGTTAATTATGACTGTATTCCTAGGTGTATTCAAGGCGATTTACGACTATGAGCCGCAAACACCTGAAGAGCTAGAAATTAAAGAAAATGATATGCTTTATTTACTAGAGAAATCAGACATCGACGAGTGGTGGACCGTTAAGAAACGGATCATTGGTTCTGATGATCCTGAACCATCAGGGTTAGTGCCTTCCACTTATATTGAAGAGGCACCTGTAATTCGTACCGTGAAGGCTGTTTATGATTACGATCAACCTCAAAATCCAGATGAAGAGTTAGCATTCCATGAAAATGATATATTCCAAGTGTATGATGATAAGGATCCTGATTGGTTGCTTGTAAAGTCTCCAAATGGTGAATATGGTTTTATCCCTGGGAATTACATCGAAGATTCTGATAATGTAAGCGCTGCGCCAGCTACTGCTGCTGCTGCTGTTGCTGTTGCCGCACCAGTAGTTACACCAGCTAACGCCGATGTTTCGACATTCTTACCGCCTCCACAACATAACCAAAGAGATCAGTTTCAATCAGAGGAACAGAGTAATAAAGAACCTGCCACACCTGACAGATTCGCAGAGGAAGATGACAGAGAGGATACACCTCCATCCAAACCGGCAAGGCCTAATGATGCACGTGATAAGGCTCGTTCTAGAGTTTCTTACTCTGCAGATGCCGATGATAGTAGCATGCCAACTGATAGTGGCCGTGATGATCGTCGTGATGAATCTCGTAGATATACCGATGACGATGGTTATAATAATAAAAATAGTAATGATAACCGTGCGAATTATAACATAGAATATCATTCATGGAATGTTCAAGAAATTGAAGGCAGAAAGAAAAGAAAGGCTAAGTTAGTCGTTGGAAGTAATAAGATAAATTTTATTTCGGAAAGTGGTACCCAATTAGAGTGGACCGTTGATAAACTAGTCTCCTATGATAATGAAAAAAAGCACATGTTCTTGGAATTTGTAGATCCTTACAAAAACCTGGAATTGCATACCGGTAACAACGACACTTCAAAGGAAATCATGGCGATCTTAGGGGAAATTAAAGGTGTGTCCCGTGATAAAGGTTTAAAAGAAATTGAAACAGCATCACAGTCCAAGAGAACAGGTAAAATATTATTCGACTTTTTTGGTGAGTCGACTGATGAATTAAGCGTTCAGCAAGGAGATCTGGTTTATATTGTTAATGACAAAAAATCTAAAGAATGGTGGATGTGTGAATCTGTCGAAACGGGTAGAAGAGGTGTGGTCCCAGCACAATTTGTGGAACCTACGAAAGATAAATCATCCAGCAGCTCCGGTGGATTATTTAGTTCAATCAAAAAGATGGCTAAAGGAGGAAGATCACCATCAAAGTCACACTCCAATTCCGTATCTGGTAATGGTAGTTGGAGAGATGACGTAACTCCAGATGAAACTGCGTCTTCCAAGAGTAGATCCAGAGGTGCATCATTTTCAAGTAGAAAAAAGAGATCTGCATCAATGAGTAAACCATCTGATAGCTCAAATAAGAAGAAATTCCCAGATCCTAAGAAGTCTAGATTATGGGTTGATAGAAGTGGTACATTTAAAGTTGATGCTCAATTTATTGGTTGTGCTAATGGTAAGATTCATTTACATAAGGCCAATGGTGTTAAGATAGCCGTTGCTGCAAATAAACTTTCTGATTCAGACTTGGTGTATGTTGAAAATATTACAGGATTTAGTCTTGATAAATTTAAAGTTAATTCAAGTGGTTCGTCTGGCTCTGGTAATAAGGATGCAAGGGAATCAGAACGTGAGAGAAGAAGAAGATTGAGAGAACAAGAGGAGAGAGAGCATGATAGGAGAGTTAGAGAAAGAGAACTGGACGAACTAAAGAAAGCAAGACAATTACTAGATGATGAGAGACTTCGTCTAGAAGAACAGAAAGATTTACCACCTGTCAAACCTCCAAGACCAAATTCAACTGTCGGTATGCCTTCTACATCATCAAGTAGAGGTACTAAGAATAAAACTAATTACGACTGGTTTGAGTTCTTCCTAAATAGTGGTGTGGATGTCAGCAACTGTCAAAGATATACCATTAACTTTGACAGGGAGCAAATGACAGAAGATATGATGGAAGATATTAACTCACAAATGTTAAGAACTCTTGGTTTACGTGAAGGTGATATAGTTAGGGTGATGAAATTCCTAGACAATAAGTTTAATAGAGATACTCAACAAACAGTGGTCCCAACCCAAACAGGCGGTATGTTTACCGAAGCTGATGGTTCATTGAAGAACAACAATGCTAATGTTCAAAATGGTGTTTCACAACAACTCTTGCCACAGTCAACTGCTCCTGCAGCAGCAGTGCCAGTTTCTCAAGACGATGACGCTTGGACTGCTAGACCAGCCGCTAAATCTCAACCTGATCTTGTCTCTGGAAATTCTAACTTCACTGGTTCTATGCAGGACTTGCTCGACCTACAACCATTGGAACCTAAGAAACCTACACCTACGCAGGTCCCTGAACCAAACTTAAACAGTTTGGAGCCGGTAAAAACTGGTAATACTGCCCCAACTACAGCCCCAGTTGCTACATCCATTACTGGAGGTGCTAATTTAGTTCCATTAGATCCATTTAAAACTGGTGGTAACAATATTTTACCAATTGGTACCGGATTTGTTATGATGCCGATCGCTACAGGTGGTCTGATGGCAACCCAAAGGACAGGAGGTTTTGGTATGCCTGCCACTACTTTTGGTGCTCAATTAACTGGAGGTGTGTTACCGGTTCAAAAGACAAGTTCTGGTTTAATTCCTGTTGCAACTACTGGTGGTATGATGCCTCAAACTACTTTTGGAGCGCAATTAACTGGTGGTGTGATGCCACTACAGACTACTGGTGGTTTAATGCCATTGCAAAGAACTGGAGGCATGATGCCACAGACAACATTTGGCACAAGTGTACCAATGGGCTCAGTTCTGCCTGTTCAAAAGACTGCGAACGGATTGATGCCATTGCAAACTACTGGTGGTGCAATGCCATCTACAACTTTCATGAACCCTGTTTTAACAGGAGGTGTTATCCCTCAGACAAGTTTTGTTAATCCAGCTTTAACTGGTGGTATGAATCCAATGATGAACCCAGTTCTAACCGGTGGTATGAATCCAATGATGAACCCAGCTCTAACTGGCGGTATGAATCCAATGATGAACCCAGCTCTAACTGGCGGTATGAATCCAATGATGAACCCAGCTTTAACTGGCGGTATGAATCCTATAATGAACCCGGCCCTGACTGGTGGTGCCATCCCTCAAACAAGTTTTGGTAATCAAATGTCTGGTGGTGCTATGCCTCAGACTGGATTTGGTAATCAGCTAACTGGGGGAGCCATGATGCCACAAACGTCATTCGGTGCACCAATACAACAGACTAACACTGTACCAATGCAAATAACGGGCGGTTTCCAACCTCAATCACAATTTGGTATGACTTTACAAAGAACAGGTGGTGTTGCTCCTATCAATACCGGTGTCAATACCATCACGCAAGGAATGCAAAATACAACTATTTCTCAACCACAACAGTTGCAAACACAACCAACTGGGTTTGGATTTGGTAATGGACCTCAACAAACTCAACAAGGTAGACAGGCAAATATATTTAATGCGTCTGCTGCTAATCCGTTCGGATTTTAATGTATCTTATTCATGATGTGTAAATGTAATCAAAATAATTATCTAATTAAAAGAAAACAAAATAAGCCTTGGCATAATGATAAAATATTAGCGTAATGTTCCTCAAGAAAAAATATGGTTTTTTAATATAAAAAGTTCGATTAAAACTATCTTCATAGTGTATATTTTATGTCCTGAATATAATCAGAGGCAGAATAAATAATAAATATATAATAATAATAAATAAATAAAAAATTGATTGATTGAAGAAAATCAAAGTCAATAATTATATGCATTAGTTTTCAATGTTGTCTCGACCAAATGACCTATTAGTCATGGAATTACAGAGTATTGTAATAAAATTTGATCACAATGTTTACCAGTCTTGGTGAACGATGTCGTAGGTAGTTAATGGTTTTGTGAATTTTTGTTCCTTAATGTCCATTGGAAACTTGGTCAATGAAGAACCACCTTCCCAGAAGGAGTATTTATCCTTTCTAATTTTTTCATACTTAGTAATATAATCTTCAAGTTGTAGGGTTAGACTGATATCGTCGAAACCGTTAACTAGGCAATACTTTCTGAACTCTTCAACTTCAAAGTGAGGAACTAAAACGTTACCTTTGTCATCAGAAATATTTTGGTTTGGTAGATCGATCTTTAGTTGACCACCGTTTCTGGCAATTGGAATTAATTTCTCATTGATAGTCTTAGAATCGACTCTAATTGGTAGCAGACCATTCTTGAAAGAATTGTTGTAGAAAATATCACCAAAGGATGGAGCAATCATACATTTAATACCAAAATCCTTTAGAGCCCATGGGGCGTGTTCTCTTGAGGAACCACAACCAAAATTATCACCAGTGACAACTAAGACTTCAGCATTTCTGTATGGTTCAACATTTAGGACGAAATCAGTCTCTTGATCTTTTCCATTGGCATCCTTTTGGAATCTCCATTCGTAAAATAGACCAACACTTAGACCAGTTCTCTTAATAGTTTTTAAGAATTGTTTAGGAATAATAGCATCAGTATCAACATTGGCTTTGTCAAGTGGAGCAGCGATACCGGTTAGAGTAGTAAATGGGTTCATGCTACCAGCGGTAGCGGTAGCGGTAGCCTTGACTGGAGATGGAATGTCATCAACTTCGTCATCAGCAATATCTTCAGTAGCTTCAGTTGGTTGAACTGGTTCATCATGCTCATATGCGGCATTTTTCAATTCTTCATCTTCATCGGAAGAGATTTCAACCTTAGCAGCTTCTGGCTTGTTGATCTTAAAGGTTCTGATATCGGTGATACGACCGGTAATAGCAGCAGCAGCAGCCATAGCTGGAGACATCAAGTGAGTACGACCCTGGTAACCTTGACGGCCTTCAAAATTTCTGTTAGATGTAGATGCACAACGTTCCTTTGGAGACAATATATCTGGGTTCATACCTAGACACATTGAACAACCAGCTTCTCTCCATTCAAATCCCGCATCCAAGAAAATCTTGTCCAGACCTTCTTCTTCAGCTTGTCTCTTAACTAGACCAGAACCTGGAACTATCATAGCTCTCATAATGTTAGCAGCTTTCTTATAGCCTCTAACAATGGCAGCAGCACTTCTCAAATCTTCAATACGAGCATTAGTACAAGAACCAATGAAGACCTTATCAACCTGAATATCAGTTAATCTAGTATTTGCTTCCAAACCCATGTAATCTAGGGCTCTTACCATACCAGATTTCTTAATTGGGTCGTTAACCTTAGATGGATCTGGAACACTAGCAGAGATTGGTAGAGCATCTTGTGGAGAAGTACCCCAAGTAACAGTTGGAGCAATTTCGGTACCATCTATGACAATTTCATGGTCAAACTTTGCATCAGCATCAGAATATAGAGATTTCCAAAAAGTGACACCTTTTTCCCATTCAGAACCAGTTGGAACTAATGGTCTACCTTTCAAGTATTCGAAAGTAATGTTATCTGGAGCAATCATACCAGCACGAGCACCAGCTTCGATAGACATATTACACATGGACATTCTTGCTTCCATAGATAGATTTTCAATAGCTTCACCGGCAAATTCAATGACACAACCAGTACCACCAGCGGTACCAATCAAACCGATGATATGTAGGACCAAATCCTTAGAGGTAACACCCTCATTTAATTTACCAGTGACCTTAATTCTCATATTCTTACTCTTTGCTTGGATCAAAGTCTGAGTGGCTAGAACATGTTCAACTTCGGAAGTACCGATACCGAAGGCTAGACAACCGAAGGCACCATGGGTGGAAGTATGGGAGTCACCACAGACAACCGTAGTACCTGGTAAAGTGAAACCTTGTTCTGGGCCAATAATATGGACGATACCTTGTCTATCTTCTTGCATACCTAAGTAAGGAACGCTAAAGTCTTTGACATTTTCTTCAAGGGTCTTGACTTGTAGACGAGAATCAGCTTGCTTAATAAAGGAGTCAACGGACTTAAAGTTCTTTCTTGATTCTGTAGGGATATTATGGTCAACAGTAGCTAAAGTGCAATCAGTTCTTCTGACTTTTCTACCTGCATTAGTTAATCCTTCAAAAGCTTGTGGGGAGGTAACTTCATGGATAATATGTCTGTCAATGTACAATAGATATGAGCCAGCTTCGTTCTTGTGAACGACGTGAGCGTCAAAGACCTTATCGTAAAGAGTTCTTGGACCGGTAGACGGAGTGTAGGACATTGTTATATTTTGCAATATATTTCAATACGTGTGTGTATGTACTCTTTTACTTATTTATTTTTGTTAATTAACTTTAAATTAAATCACCTAGATCTAGAAATATTGGGCCCCTTAAAAATTTAAGTGAAAAATTGCCAAATATTTTCAAAAATATATGAAAAAGAGTTTCGATTTTAACGGCTGAGTATAAACACGATGTTTGAGATTATAAATATTAATATTAATAAGAAATAGAGAATACTTGATGCAAAAATTATTTAATAATGTCTACTCATCACCTCGTTGTCTTCTTATATAATACTGAAATATATTGAAATGACTAACTTTTCATGCAAAGCTTTCCCGCTGCCGCCAAAAACTGGAAAATTGTTGCGGTAAAATCAACGACAGCGAACAACTGAGAGGCGATCACGCTGGCCGGTTGCGGTAACGGAGCGGCGCCGGATACCGCTACTGTAAGCGCTACTTAATGGTGAGGCCGGTACCGGCAACATGCCAGCTACTTTGGTTGAACCAGTCACATATCAGGGATACATATATGAGATTAGCCGCCGAGCGTATAGTATTACACTGATTTGGTCTCCTTAGAGGTTGTTGGTATATCTTCACTCCAACATCCAAGTGACTTCGTCCACCTATAGGAATAGGTGTCATCAGGCGAAGCCATTTCTACCACTAATGACTGATCTGTTGGGTCAATTGTACAACTCCTAACACAGGTGTTGACACGCACACGATGACCTTGGATAGGTTTGTTGTTAAGAATTGGTAAAACAGGAATGTTTCGATAGACCGTTTTCATATTTTTTAGGTCCCACACGAAGAATAGACCTCTTTCTGTGAAGGCAATTAGATAATTGTCCTGACTTGTAAGTTTTACAATTTTGTGACCCATTTGTATCTTTGGAGTTTTCAATTGGCCACTACATGAGATAATAATGAGTGACCCATTCGCCGTAGCAAGACACCAACATTTACATTTTGGTATTCCTAGGGCACATAGAATAACTTCTGGGATAAACATCTCTATAGTACGTTGACCCTTCGAGTAACCAAGAACTCTTGTTGGATTCTCCAAGAGTGCCTCAGTATCGAACTGAATTGATCTCTCTACACCGTTATGGATTTCTAATGTATGGAATTCGGACATGTCACCACATTCTCGGAGTACTGTGTCTGTATCTGGTACAATACTTGATGATTCAATATATCTAGTAGATGGTTCATCACTCCATACTTTGTCAGGTGTTAGTTTTGCATTTAGTGTCATTAAGAATTCTGTAGCATTATTTTCGGTCGCTGTATCATCATACTTTGTATTATCCATATTAGTATCCTCTTTGTCAGAACCATTATTTTCATTATCACCATCTCCGGCAACAAATCTATTCCGTGATCTCTCACGAACACCCATTACTAAAGTATGTAGACCAAGTCTAGGTATAGCAACTGAGGAAGTTCCAATTTTCTTCATTAACGCCGAAGGTAATAAATCTGAATTATTCTTGTTGTTTGAATTCAAAGGTTTACTACCCGTAATAGATAGTGATGATATTGATTTCCTTGAACTTTGGGTTGTATTTACCAAATTATTGTTTGAACTAGAGGATGTCGAGGTACTGCCTGAACTTGATATGAGAGTAGGCATTACACGTTTTTTCCCATTTTTAATAACCGTGGTATTTAATTTTGTATCCTGTTTCCTTTTGGGAATAAGAATATTTACTGAACCTTCCCTCTTGGTTGGATCAATGGATAGCCTTTTAGGTTCCATTGAGGTTGAGACAGATTTCCCTATTGTAGTTTCCTTTTTTTTAGGTTTTGATGGAGTAGATAATTGAGGTCCAGAAAATCTGGTATCTAGTTCTTGTAATCTTTTCTTTTTTAAAGTCAGTGCTGTATTTTCCAATTTCAATTGTTTGACTGATTCTGGAAAATCTAATGAATCCTTATCCACACCATATCTATGTAAATGTTTCATGTTGTCTTCAATCGGAATAGCCTTTCCAAGTTCATCTTTTTCGAATGTTATAACAGTAAGTGATGAGTCTAATGAAGAGACGAATAACATATCACCCGTCGGATTCCATGCTAGATCTGTAATAGACTTATTAGCAATATCAAAAGCTACAAATATCGGTCTCATTTTACTTGTACTCCACACTGCTAAAGTCTTGTCTTGACCTGCAGTTGCTACTATTGACTCCACATTTTCCTCCAACACATCGCTGTCCCTTTTCTTATTACTATTATTATTATTATCAGCATTTCCATTAATATTTTTTTTACCATTAGACTTCTGGTCATTACTCTCATATAATCTCGGACTAAATTGGGCCACTTCTGATGGTGCATCATGGCCTATCAAACCAATATTCGTATCCCAGTTACCTCTATTTATAATCGCCACTGAACTAACAGGTCCGTTCGTGGCATTGGGTGCAGCAATATGTTGGCCATCTGGTGACCATGATAACCTCCTAAAGTATGTTGTTAATGGAGATTCCCTAAACGGTTCGTACACAATGTGCTCGATTGTAAAAGAATCATCACCTGTCTTGTGGTATCTAAATATCTTCAACGTTCTATCGTCTGATGCCGTTGCAAAATATTTATTAGCCGGATCAAATACAACACCTTTAACTTGTGACTGATGAACATCTAACTTTTTTAATTTTTCAAATGTTGATCCACTCCATACAACTACAGATCTATCTAGACCGACTGATACTAGAATACTAGAATCTGGTGCCCAACATATATCCTGAATATCATTCTCGTGAGCCACCAGTCTCTTACGGACCGTCCAGCGCTCCTTATCGAATTCTGAGCCAAATATTGGCTGTCCTGATTGTTCTTCATCTAAAGCCCATATTAATAATATTCTATCGTCAGATCCACTTGCTAGGTATTTCCCATCAGGTGAGAACTTTACGCATGTGACAGAACCCGTATGTCTATTCATACTGGCCAATGGTCTTTTCCATTCGGGGTCAATATCGTTAGAAGTTAACTTCGGATCCTTTTGCATGGCCTCAATGACTTTTCGTATAGAATCAACAGACCATATAATGACCTTGCCATCAAGACCACCTGTCGCTATACTCTTCCCATCAGGGCTCACGTCAACTGTATATATCTCATAATGTCGGGATTCTTCCTTATGTGTCAACCATGGAAACTTTAATACTTTCATTCGAATATATATTTGCTATAATACAGGTTGTAGTTTTTATTACTGTTATTAATTTCAAGTAACTCTTACTTTTATCTCCCTTTTAAGTAATGTTTATATTTCTTTATTTGGTGTCTCTTTATTCTCTTCGAGCTTTTTCTGCTTTATTTTTTTTTTTTTCACCTTATATGTAAATTTCAACCATCTACGTTTTTATATGGCGTTTATCAAGATGGCTAAACAATCAAAATTCAGTCTGAGAAAAGTAAATAACCAGATTGAAATGCAATCAGAAATTGAATGTGTTGTAAAGGGTATTATATTTGTATAGAGGTTTTAAATAATTTTTATATTGTCTATTTATATCTTAACAAGTCACCTGTACTCTTAATTTCGTTCTCTTTACGCTTAAAAAGATGATTTCTTCTGGAGTTGCACATAGTACTATATTCCAAGATTGAAGCTATTTTGTTCAACTGATCTCTTCCAGGTCCCATGAATTTCCCATTGCTATTGTTCTTTAATAATAGTATAACTAAGTAACGTAACCATAATAAATTTGTTTTGGGTTCAAAATTAATCCATGTTGATTCACCGTTAAAATATTGTCTCATATTCTGATACATATCGAAAGCATATTCTTTTTTATTTTGGTAGAATATAGGATGATCCAATCTCTTGTAAAATGTTTGGGGGTTTGGTGAATTGACCGATTCTGCGCGGCATGTTTCCATATCACAAAGTGTTACATTACCGCTACTATCGATCAAGATATGATCTAAGGTCAAGTTTCGATGTTCAAATTTAAATTTAGTCTCTGTAACATAGAGGATTGAGACACATTGCCAAAATATGTTTAGACATTGTGACCAACTATGAATGGAAGTTGCCTCTAATGATGTACCATGATCCTTAAAGAATAAATATAAAGTCAGCTTCTCTTCTTGTGTAGGACTAGACGATTTGTGAACATAGGATTGTAATAGAACCGGTAACCCAGGTGTCCCATTGGTTAATTTCAATATCATTAATTCATTAAGAGACATTGTCTTTTCTGAGGAGTTTAAAGACAACTTCTTACAGATAACAGTTTCGGTGGGATCTCTTGTTGAAATCATCCTCCATACTTTGGCAGTTAATTTTAGAGAGTTTGTACTGGAGAGAATCTCTAAATTAGAGTTATCTGCTTGTTTCAGGTCAATATCTGTCAAAACATATTTAATAGTAGTGAGATTGAGGACTTGGTTTAATATAGTTTCATCGAACTGTTTCCTGTTTACTGGTGTTGCTGCATTCAATGATAGTAGAGACGTAGAATTCCTTAACTTAGCTCTAATTTTTTCACGAGATACTTCATCTGGTATTGGTAACGAAATACCATTGTTGGAAGTTGTTCTGTTCATACTGTTACCACCAGAACCTACTGATATTAAACTTGATCCATCGTCATTTGTAGTATTTGACTTCCTTCTTGATTTAAATTTCTTAAGAGATGAATATGACGTTTTATGTTTTAAACTAATAGACAAACTTGAAGATGATCTCTTATTGTTAATTGATTGTCTACGTTCTGAAGTGCTACCAATGTTGCTACTGTTGCCGTTATTCACTGTAGCAGAATCACTCGAAAAAAATGTCTTGTGAAAGTCTGTGAATGAAGTTCTGTTACGAATAGAGTTATTGGTATTTCCATGACCATTACCAATAGTAGATGAGTTGCTAATTATTGAAATTGCAGAGCTATTATTTCTGTTATGGTTTAGGTTATGAGGTGTAGCTTTGTTAATATTCAAAGAATGTGTAGAGATTGATTTCGATATTTCGTTTGTCGATTTCTTCCAGAATTTCCATTTTCCAGGAGTTGAGTTGGAAAGATTATTATTGCCGTTATCATTATTATTGATGTTATTGTTATCATTATTATTACCAGTAGGGTTAATTGTGTTGTGAGAATATATTGAAGCTGATTGAAAAGAATGTCTGTTGCTCACAGGTTGCATAGAGCGACGGTTTCTAAGTTGGATATTATGTTGTTGTTGTTGTTGTTGGTGCGTTGGTGTCTGAACATTCAATGGTTTCAATGGTACTCTGAAATGAGATGATGACGTTGAAGATGTTGTAGATGGTCGATTATGTGTAGATGGAATAATGGTTTTTTGGTTCTTAATATTGGAATCCATATTTTTATTATGCGGTAGTATGTGTATATTTTCTTTATTATTATCTATTCCTACTTCTTTATCGCTAATAGAAATTTTGTTAAACAATTGTCTCAAAGATGCACCAGTAGATGATCTCTTTATCGATGAAGATCTTGAATCCTTATGATTAGATGAAGCGCCACTGTCTCTCTCTCTTTCCAGATGTTCATTTACAGATGATTGCGAAGCTGATGATGTTGATATAACCCTCTTAGAACCACTAGTTATGCTATCCTTGGTATTGGTGTCCATTGTAAATGAAGACAGCATGGACCATCTCTTCTTAGAAGAAGAACTATGTGAATGGTTAGATATCAGGGACCACCTTTTCTTTTGTTCTCCATTTGATTTTCTTTCACTACTTTTCCTTGTAATATTTGACACCGAAGATATCTTTCTCTGAGGAGTTTCAGTTGAATGGTGTGATGTTGTCATACGTACTGCCGTTGTGCCTACTTGGGAAGTCGTTTGATTTGAGATAATTTTGTGAGCAATAATACTGGAACCATATGACTCTGTCTCATCAATATCATCCTCGTCAGAGGATGATACCACTAGAGCAATGAATTTATGATCATCCATTGCATACTCATCAAAAGAATTCTCCATCTCTGTGGTCATCTTGGAAAGTTTCTCTTTTTCTAAATACGAACTGTAAAAGTGCTCTTCTCCTTCTCCCTTCAATGTCCTTTCTGTCACTCTTGAAATCGGTGGATAGATCGCCAGTCGAATACCCTTGCATATGAATAGATATATATATATATATATATATATATATATAAACGTGGAAGCAATCGATTCCATTGTCTCATCCCTTCCTCCTGCCCCCTCCCAGTTGGGAAAAGTGAGATAGATAGATGGTTAGATGGGTGTTCTTTGCATTGTAGAAAGGAACTTTCTTCGCGCTGATGATTCTGTGATTGTTGACATATTTCCTAATTGGGACGGTTTGTTATGTATATCCGGGTGACATTGTTGAACAGTTCAAATATCTGGTATATATGCCCCAAAATGAGATATTCATAATGGTATTATCACCGTAATGATTGCTCTACGGTTACTAGTTTGGTTTGGTTGAAAAAGGACTGTTGGAGTTGTCTGTAAATTACAATAATCTTTGATGTTATAATTACCCGCTCGTACAAGGCGATGTTCCGGCTGGTTTTAATTAGTATTATCTGAATTACGTAACGAAACTTAATAATAATATATAAGAGGAAAAGTATTTATATGGAAGATTACTAAAGAAGGAAAGTACCACTACCAAAGGGTTTGAAAGGAGAGAATAAGAAGAAGCTCAAATTGGTTCTATAAATAATAAAGCAGACAGTATGAGCCATCATTCAAATAGTGACGATGATGATGACGATTTTGGGAATTTTTCAGACGCCTCATTTGAATCTGAAGATACTACGACACAATTGACAGAAACTTTGGTTAATTCTGCATTAGATAAATTGTTTGGAAATGAATCATTCCATTATAAAATAGATCCTCAAAATAATGACGATAATCCTAATAAAATTTTGGCAGGTCTGCTGGCGGACGAACGACCAAATGTAATTTATAATCAGTTAGTTGATAGTGATAATCGTGATATTCCTGCATTTATATGGAATCGATCAAATCTAAGGTCTACTTTATTGCATATTTTACGATTAAAGGATCCCCAAACTGCATTAGACACTAAGAATACTGAGCGTATTGATAGTCAAGAAAAACATTTGTCAGCTGTCACAATGGATGATTCATTATATGTTAAAGTGATGGATTTAGTGAAGGATATAGAGAAACCTTTGAAGGATAATACATTGATATTAAGAGAACAATTTGATTTAGCATATATGCCTCCATTGACTCAGCCATCATTGGCTGCTGATTTGAACCGTGAATTAAAAGAAAGGATACCATCATTACTTGGTGAGACCAATAATAATGAGGAATATCATGATATGTTATGTAATGCAATAGATTTATTGATTTTGGAATTACGATCATTGTATGAAAGACAATTAGAATTGGAAGCGGATAAACAAACGTATGAGCGAGTTATTACAAATTTATCAGGTCATACGCAACGACTCCAAAGAGATGAAATTGCAATGTTTAATAAAAAAAAGACACAATACAAGAGGTGGCATCGTTTCTCCTGGGGTGGCAAATAATACTTAAAAAAGGGTAAAAATCGTAGATATATACATATTATTAATAGAATTTATTATTATTATTCTTATTATTCTTAATCTTCTTCATTAAAGAAAAAATGAAAAAGAAAATAGTATCAGGTATTTACAGTAGAGAAGAGTGTCTTATATAAGAAAGTATTGCAATGATATAATTTAACTTCATTTCTTATAATCATAATACCATAATTTCCTTGGTGGATAATCTGTTGGTACTCTCATTTCCATTGGGAATACTTTCCCTGATTCATCAATATTAGCTTGATTATATAATTTTGGCGAAATATCTTTTAATATTGTCATGGCTTCATCCATTTTATTATATTGTAATTTTAACATAGTTTGGCGTTCATTTTGTAAAATGTCTTGATATGTATTCCAAGCAGTTTGAATTGTTTGATGTTTTATTAAATCTTCTTTTGATAATTTTAACATTTTTGGTTGTTTTTTACGTGCAGATAGCACACTTAATTGGGTAATAATTCTTTGAGTTTGTGGTGTAATACTTGAACTACCCTTTGATTTCGTTCTCTTATATCTTACTTGATTTAAAGATTTGACCCATGAAGTCATTATATTTTTTTGGTTGCTCTTCACACAACTGACAGATAACATAGTGTACTCTCCTTTTCTTTTTTTTTCCTTAACTCCTAGTAATAAGTTATATCTTGTTATTTGCCTATTAGTTCCCGGTGCTAGTCAAGTTCAAGTTCACCTTTAGCCCTTTTCTTCAGCGTCCAAACCTCTTTATTCTAACTACTTTTATCTCTTCCAGGCTAACTCCGTCAACTGAAGTTAAAGACCAAAAGAACTTTCCCAATAGAAATGGAAAAAGCAAAAAAATAAAGGGCACGTGGAAATCACATGACCCTGAATTAAAAAAATCTCCGCCGACGGAGATATATTTTTTTCTCTCAGAAAGAAGAAAAGAAGAAAATTTTGTCATCGTCGGCGTTGCTGTCCTCTGCGGGGTTTTCTTACCGACATTTTTCTATTTTGTGTGAGCATTTTGAAAAGAAAGCATTATGTGTCATACTTACTTAAGACAACGGTGAAGCTATTAGCAATGAGGTGTGACCGTTATAGGCTTTGTTGTTACCTGTGAAAGGGTGTGAATTGTTATTTATTACTAAGTTGATGGTTTACGTACAAAGATCAGCTTAGTTGCTCATCTAAGTATGACACATTCTTTAAATCTCTATACATTTTCACTTAGTTTTGCTCTGTTTTTAAACTAATTATGAGTAAAAGGTGTGCCTTTGTCTGCTCATTGGAAAAGTTATCTTTATGGTAAATTACACACATCATTGAATTTTGATTACTGTAATGTTCTCATATGTGGTATATACTAAGTTTAATTTTGACTTGGATAGTGAGTGGTCCGTCTGCTATTACTTATATATATAAGGGTACTTAGCTTTTCCCTTTATTTTAATTTACTTGTTTGTATACTCCGAATATTATGTTCCTTAACTTTTTTTGGTATATGATCTGCACTACAATTATTATTAAATAGTTATATATTGCTAATTATTATTATACGTCATTACACTTTGTTTTTGTTTTGGGGCCTACTGTTTAATAATTTTTAACACTCCCTTTTTGTGTTAGTTTATTTCTTAATATTACCAATAATAATATATTTACCCATATACGAAGGTATTGTATATATATTGTTATTAAAAAAAGATATTAATAATAATATCCTCAATTTTTCAATTTTATTTCCACTAAGCTTATATTTTTTTTTGTGTTTTCTTTTACTTTTATTCCTTATTATTACAATGACAGCATACTTAATACATATGACGCAAGAAGAACATACGAAGGTCCTCCCTAGTGACCCACCAAGTTATGAAGAAACTGCAAAAAAAGATGAAGTAATGTATAGAGAAAATTATAAACATTTTACAAGTTATCATGAAGCTGTGACATTTATTACATCTAGATTACAATCAAAATCAAGGCGGTTACAAATTCAGAATAGCGAACATCATCATCAAACTTTTTCAAGTCCTAATAACACAAATTAAGATGCTGCTGCTTCCCTTTTTTGTGAACTTTACATACATTCATACTTCTTTACATACTGTGTTTTATTTTCTTTAATGACAATTATATTCCTTCTATACATCATCATTTTCTTTTTACTATTAGTATTTTAAATGCAATTGTGTTTTTTAATATTTATATTTAGGTGTATTTAAATAATTTATTTTATGCTCTCTCTTCTGAAATTACACATCCTAAACCCATGAATGCTTCTGTTAATACACGTTCATATATAAAGTCTGTTCTGAAACCTGAAGCAATATAATCTTTCCTTTTCTCTAATTCTTGAACTAATGGATCATTATATTTAGTCTCATCAACCTCAAACCGTTGATGTAAATCACGATCACCATTGAATGGTGTATAAGGTATTGAACTCTTAATACGATTATTTTGACCCATATTATTTGCAGCGAAATATGGATTATCCTTTAATACACGATTTAATTCTTCAAGTTTTCTTCTTGCTGATGATTTCTTTAATTTCACAGTATTTTTAACACCTTCAATAACATCCGTTGTATCATTTCCTGATGAACTCATTAATCTATTGACAATTTCTTTCTTAGCCCATTCTTTATTAAAACGATCTTCTTCTTCAATTTGTCTCTCCAATAATTTTTTCTTTAATTTCATTTCTTTCTCAAATTGTTGTCTTTGACTGAAATTTTCAATATCCTTCTTACTACGTTCAATATTATTTAAAATCAATTGTTTATTTAATTCTTCGTAAGTTCTTAACCTTTCTTCTGTCTTTTCAACATCAACACCATGATCTAAATTATAAACAATATCTTCAACATCTTCTAAATATTTATTAAAATCATCTAAATTACCATTAAAGTCATCTATCGTTTTATTAAATACATTGAATACACGTTTTCTAATGTCAACTTCTTTTTCAACACCAACATCATCAAATACTTGAGTCTTAAATTTATTCTTTCTTAAAATTTTATCACAACCTTTATATGGACATTGCGCAGGACCAAGACTGAAAATACGATCCACACAATTTTCACAAATCTTATGATAACATTCAGGATTCACTAAAAACTTTAAATCAGGAGATAAGTATCGATCTGTCTTACAAATCGGACACATATCTTTGTTATCATCATACTCATCGAGACTACCGGAAATGGTCTGCGTACTCATTTTTTGAAGTTACTAGTATACTGTTTATAATTTTTATTGCTAGCTAGTTGAAAATGCAAAGTATATGTAATGATATTGTATATTATATACCTTTTGTTTTGTCGTCTCCTTCTTTCGAAACGTCTTTGTTTCTTGATTTAAATGATCCTTATTCTTATGTAATACCTTTTTTTTATATACATATTTTAACAAAATATTATTTCAATCTTTTTTCGCTGTGCTAACATATTTTCACTTTTTTTTGCTTTGTTCAATAATATATTAGAAGCATAGTGAAGAGCAACAATTAATATGTTATATTAGTAACAGAAACAAGTTTTGATTGTTGTTTTGTTAGATAGTAGACTCTAACTTATCAATTAGTTTGTTGTGTATACTTGGAAGCAATGCAATAGATGAATATTTTTAAGAAAGGAAGAGGATTATGCTATTTAAATCAAATTGATTGTTCTTTCGATTTTAGAAATAATAGATTCTTTAAATTAATAGTTCCTACAATATTTGTATGTCTATTGATCTATGGAAGTTGGGCATTCATTCATAAATTATGCATTAATCAGTTGTATAATAAAAGTGACAAGAGGGCCACTGGAATTGCTTTGATTGTTACACATGGTTGCTTATTATTGATAGATTTTTATCTATGGTTTCTAATTGTCACTCGAGGACCAGGCATTCAACCAATAGTTCCTACATTTGAAATTATTGAAGATAGTAATGAAGAGACTAATAAAGACGTAATAAGGCCTCCGAGTATCTTTGAATGTAATGTTCAAGGGTATCCGATATGGTGTCCGTATTGTGGTTCAGTTAAAGCATTTAGATCACATCATTCGAGATCAACTGGTTCATGTGTCCCTAAATTTGATCATTATTGTTCTTGGTTAGGCTCAGTAATTGGACAAGATAATTATAAAATGTTTCTTCAATTTTTGATATATATTAGTATCACATTTGGTATTATGTGGATATCTACGATAATATGTTATTTAAAAAATTTTCAAGAACGTAACCATGATGGTAATTTGATAGTGATTGTCATCCTTGCAGGTTTAGGTTTTTTCTTCACTACTGGTTTACTGGGATCCCATATTTATTACATTGTGGCAAGTAATTTGAGATCTATTGATATAATAGCCTTGAAGAGTCAAACAATGAGAGATAAAATCGTTTTTATTTCTATTTGGGATGAACAGACGAAAAAACGATATGTAGTCGAGATCACACGAGAACAGTATTGTCAATTCTGGGATATGGGTTCTGTATACGGCAACCTGAAGGACGTATTTGGATCGAATATATGGACTTGGCTAATACCAAGTATAATATTTACCAAACATAGACGTGGATCTCAAACTCAAGACATTGAAGGGTTAGAAAATATACTGGATCAGTATAATGTTACAGTTAATGACATGTCGATTGAAAGGATAAAGGATAAGATAAGACGTGGAGAGTACGTTTGTATAATGGATGCATTTGGGGATTATGATAGAAAATCCGTATAAATAATTTTTATGTAAAGGAATAAAACTTGTTTTAATAAACACCTGCCATAATTCATTTGTGTAATTATAGACGAATGTTTACTTGATTCTTTCACTTTGCAATAGTTCTATTGAATATCAAATGCATTTATTTTAAAATTATCTTGAAAAATATTTGATTTCTCTGTCTTGTTTACTAATTGTTAAAAATACGGCAAACCCTAACTTTGTTAAATTAGGGAATATATGTGAGATCTAAGGGAAATATTTTCAAAGTTATTGCTTTAAAGGTTGAGTTTGGATTCAATACTATAATAAAGCCTCTAAGATACCTCCAAATGATTGTTTACTTAGCACTATTTGTTCTTATTAGTTCTGTAGAACTTATCTCTATTGTTAGCGCCAAACTTAGGGTTTAGGTGTGCTCCAAAAAATGGCGACGCTCCGTCAAGGACAACTGGACGAAAAAGGAAATTAAGTTTGTTTATTATAAACAAAGCAATAGTTTCGTCAATAAACAGATGTAACTATCTAAACACATAAGAAGAAAACCACACTGTAATTTAGTTAATCATCAAGCAAACATTTATTTGGATAGTTCTGTAAGATAATCAGAGATCATTTATAAGTCTTTTGATATCGTTAACACATCATTCAGTTCTATTTATTTTCCAAGTATGAATTACTTAGAACCTAATTTCGATCCAAAGGAATCGAAAGTTTCAGAGTTGAGAAGAATCCTTGCGGAAAACAATGTCGGATATCCATCTAAGGCCAAGAAATCTGTCCTAATTAAGCTATTTGACACTTCTGTCAAACCCAAGGTTGGAGATTTGAGGAAAAGACAAAGTGTTGGACCAAGTTCTGAAGGCATCGAAAAAGTTAAAACTAAAAACGGTATGAAAGTTAAATCCCCAAAGAAGAGGAAGAGAAGTAGAGATGCAAGATTAAAGGAAGAACAAGAACAAGAAGATTCTCTTAAGAAAGGAGAAAGAGAAGAATTTTCCATTGATATTGTTGATATCGACGGTGACATCAAGATGGAGCTTTCGCCAAGAAAATCACCAACAAAATCAAAAAAGACAACAGATACTTCTGATGAGAGTTCCAAAAAGAAGAAAAGAAGAAAAAATCAGAAAAAGAGTCAAGATGGAAATCACTCGAAGACTGACATTACTAATTCTCCAGAAAAATCTTTAATAATTGAAAAATTTGAGAGCAATTCGACTTCTTCTGATTCTTTAAATACAACCTTTAACCAGTTTGCTGAAAATGAGGAAAAGAATATTTTCAAAAGTGAAAATGATTCAAAATCCACCAAGACTTCTCGCAGAACACAAGCACCAGATATTACCAAATTAATTGTTTCTGAAGAATTCAAGTCTAAATTGGAGGATGCCATGGCAGCCCAAGATTCACAAGATTCAGAAAGTATTCCTGTTGAAGTTAAGTCCGAGGAAGAACAATCTCCAGCTGAAGCTAAATCGGATGTTGAACAAGTCCCAGTTGATATCAAATCTGAAGAAGAAGAAATTCCTGTTGACGTTAAGATTGATAACGCTACTGAGTCAGTTGAAGATGTAACAAAGGACATAATTGCAACCAATGACAATAGCGAAAGTAAGCAAGGCAAAAAACCTAAAGGAAAGAAGTGCTTAAAAGCTGCCCTAAAATTGATTTCCAAAAGTTTGTATTTTTCAGCAGTAGCTTCTGCGGTTTTGCTTTCTGTTTGGGGTCGTGAACAAAGAATCCAAGTTGGATTTTGTGGAAATGAACTCGCATTAAAATCTATTGCAGGTCGTTTCCCAGAGAACCATACCTTTCAACTTATCGATCAGTATTTAGAAAAGACTATGAAACCAGATTGTTTACCATGTCCAGAGAATGCCGTATGTTCATCAAAATTACAAATGGAATGTGTAGACGGTTTTAACTATGCACAATCACCATTTTCGTTGGGTGGATTAATACCAATTCCAGGTAAATGTATTCCTGACGACTCTGAGGAGAGAGCGTTTACCAAGGTGGTCGATTACATCATGAAATATTTGAGAAATAAAAATACCGCTGTTGAATGTGGCAATGGTGAAAACGATATGGCAAGTGGTATTTCCGAGGAAGAACTATATGAGTACGTTTTTGAAGATATCTCTGAAGAATTTGAATTATCAAAAGAAAAGATTAGTCAACTATGGTCCGTTGCCCTTGAGAAAATCAATGACTTCCCAGAAGTTAAGCGTTTTTTAGTTAACGAGGAAGCTGAAAATGATGCGGAACAAGAAAATTCTTCTAAAAAGGTTGGATTTTTACGTTCTAATTCTAGAAAGGGATTGTCTCTAAAATGCTTGTATGATCATGAATTTAAGAAATTCTATTTCGAATACCTACTAATAATCTGGGGTGTAATTGGTACTTTATTCTCTTCATTCTTGTTAAAAAGATCATGGGAGAAAAATAGTGAGAAAAATGCAGAGGTCGATACTTACGTTAAAAGAGCTGCTGATATTTTGAAAAAGAATGCCCAATCTAATGAAGATGTTCCATTTTTACATACTTTACAACTTAAGGAAGAGATATTATCTGATATTACTGATCTAAATAAAAAGAACCAAATATGGGATCAACTTATCGGAAAACTTGAAGAGGACAATACCAATATTTCTTCGTCCCAAACCGAGATTCAAGGTGAAATACTTAAGTGTTGGACTTGGATCGGTGATGTTGACATGGAATAAGTCTAGAAGACCACTAATTTACCAATATAATTTAACAGGATCTAGAAATCTTGATTTAATTGTTTGTATTTCTACCAAGTACAATAATTAAATAATTGTATGATATGTAATTTTATATAAGACAATCAATATTAAATTAACAATACGTTGGGCCATTCCAATATGCTATATTATGTAGGAATTTTATTAGTACAGCACCGTAATGCATGGCCTACATGTGCAAAAAAATGTCTTTTATTGTATTGCCATAAAAATAATAACAATAAAAGAGAGGAGCATATTGGTCACTATTGTAATGGTTTCATCCTTGAAGAATTATGAAATAAGGAATCCTTGCACCATGTAATTGAAACAATATATACATTTCAAAGAATGCCTGACATAAAATGAATCCCAACCCTTCCAGAAAGAAAGAAATTAAAACAGTCTTCAAATGTGGATACATACTTTCTTAAAATACTCTTTTCTTTTTTTCATATTTGAAGAGCTCTTTTCATGCAGGTAATAGTTTAACTTCTCTCAAATAGAGCACAGATTATGTCAACTCATGCCAACTATTCCGGGTAGTAACAGAGCACCTATAGATCTTGCTGTAAAACCATGCATAAAAATTAATTATGGTAAAATTTTATCAATTCTCTCTCCGTCTATTTTGTGTGACAGCAATAGAGGCAACAGTGTAATTACCGCAATAGGTAATTACACGATTTGTTTTCCGAAACCTGAATCTCGGATGACAGACGCAAATTTGATTGACCTCAAATAGTGTTACTATTACTATAGTAAATCTAAACCTCAAAAGTGCTTTTTGAGATGGTAAAAATCTCAAAGATCTAATAAATATTATTACTGGATGTCACTGCGACACGATGAGTTATAAACAGTTTCCGATAAATTATTCGAGAAACCTCAATGGAATTTCTTTTTCTTGACAAGGGTGATATGAATGCTTACTTACAGATACATATATATAAGTAATTACTATCAAGTCACATAATATGAAGCAAATGATACCAACAAAACCTGCCTTTTCGAAATAAAGCGTAAAATCAATAGAATCGAAGTATTTAAAATGACCTTTTTAAAGTTATGGCTATTTACACTCATAATCTCGAACTTCGTTGCTGCTGACGTTTCGACCTACTCTATCACATCCAAATTTACGTCTACTTATTGTAGAAATTGTGTGACAGTTACCTCGACCATCTCAACACCTGCAACTTCATCTGAAGCTACAAATACGCCACAGTCTGTTCCTGAATCTTCATGTATTGCAACTGTGACATCTTATGTTACAGTCCATGATACTGACACCGTAAGTATCGGTTTTACCGAAACTACTACTGTAACCGAAACTGCTACAATTACTATACCTGCAACTACTACTGTTACTGAGACAGACTCAACAACAACTTTAGTAACCCAAACTGAAACTAATAGGGAGCAACTAACCGTTACTAACCACGTTACGGAGAGTGACTTGATAACTAATACAGTCGATGTGACAAAAACGATAATAACTACAATCGTAGAATCTGACCAACAAGATACAACCTTGACATCTTACGTTACAATTACTAATGTTCAAAGCATTAAATCTACCCAGGTAGAAACATTGACCAATGTAGTAACTTCTACGGAAAAAGATATGTCCGTTGTTGAAACCACAAGTACTCTATTTACCATAATACCAACTACTACAACAGCTACAGAATTAACGACTCAAACTAACGAGGTAATAACTACTAATACTGAAGTAATGACATCAGACATTTTTACAACAATAACTAAGGATGTTGTCAACACTTTAACTACCCAAACAACAAATGTTGTTACGGTTGTTACAAAGGTTACTGACACTTTTGAAATAACTTCAACTTCGACCTTTACAACAGTGGAAAATATCACTAACATATTCGTTACAACTATGGAAACAACTACAACTGTAACGACGGAATATCAGACAACAAACGCCATCACCCAAACAACTGACGTTACACATTTGGAAACATCTACAATATTTGTCTCCCGTATTGTGGAAAGTACAAGTATTGTTCCTACGTTTACAACTTCAACTGAAACACAGATAATAGTTATTACATCAGTAACAGATATTACCAGTTCAATTTTACTGACAAACACATATACAACAATTATTCCTACAACTAGTACCTCAATATCCACTGTGACATTTACAGATAGATCACTCGAGGTAATAACGTCGACCAGGGTTATCCCAGTAACAACGAATATTACGCAAACTTTAACAACCGAATCAACTATCTTTACCACCATACCTGTAACTTCAGTTCTTACCTCAACAAAAGACCAAACAAATATCATAGAGAGAGTTCAAAATATGACGAATCATATTTCTACTACCGATACTTTGACTTCCTACCAAACATTATTTGCAACTGAAACAAAAACTATTGAAACTGTCATACCTGTTACTTCAACATCAACAACTGTTGTAACAAATACTGATACCTTACAGAGTACAGCTTTAACAACTAAGATAATCCCCGTAACTACAGAAATCACGAGCACGTACATCGAGGAAGTAACATCAACTCAGATTGTTCCAACTACTCTTTTTGTTACCCATACTGACTTAACCACCGAACGTACTACAGAAACTTCAGTATCTTTAATTAATGAGACCTCTCTAACAGTATTGACTAAGACAGAAGACATGACATTATTCACAACTCTTACAAATACAATAGAAACTATGGTCCCTGCTACATCAACGTTACTTCAAACGATAGTGATAACTGATAAATCTTTAGAAATTTCGACAACAACTGTGGCGGTTCCAGTAACAACTGAAATCACAAGTACGATATTTGAGGAAGTGACTTCTACCACAATTACACCTTCCACAGTAATAGTGACGAGTACATTTTTGTCTACAGACATACAGTCAATAACTGAAACTAGTACTGCTTTGATTAATGAAACCATCTTAACCACACAAACATACGTTAATAATGTAACCAATGTCAAAACTAGCACAGAGACATATACAACTATTGTTCCAATAACAACATCAGTAATTAAAACTATTAGTATTACTGACGAATTACTCAAGGCGGAGACTTCTCTCACAAGGATTCCTGTTACAACAGAAATTGTAAGTACCGTTATTAATGAAATTGAATCGACGTTGATTATTCCGACTACTGTGGTTCTCACAAATACTATAACCGCTACTGATCACACAACCGACATTATCGTATCAAGGGTCCACGAAACCGTATCTACAACAATAACTAATGTTGAAAATGTGACAAATTTTATCACTCAAACTAGTACCTTAGAAACAATTATCCCAGTCACTACAACTAGCTCCAAATTAGTAACCATAACTGACAAATCTCTCATGGTTCAAACATCGACACTAATCATACCTGCAACATATATGTCTACAAGCACATATGTGACCGAACAAACTTCGATACAAATTATCCCATCTACCCAATTAATGACATCGGTAACTGTTGAAACATCCCATGTCACTAATACTAATTTAGTTAATTCTACATCAATCACGACTTTAACGGATAAAAGCATGGTTATATCTACCTTTGTTAAAACGTCCGAAACTTTAGTGACAGAGACCTCATATGTTACCTCTATGGTTGTTGTTAACAAAGAAATTGAAAGTATTATCCCAATCAACTCAACCTCAACGATCTTAACAACAATTATCGATGAGCAGAAGAAAACGGAAACAGTTTTAAATAGTATCTCTATTGTGACAGCAACTACTGTTACAACCGTGGTCCCAATAACTTCAACAACAATTATACCACAATATAGTCTGGCCACAAAATTAATCAATGTGACAAGTGTCCAAAACAGAACTTCGGTGGCTATTATAACAGAGACTTACGAGCAATATATCCCGATTACGTTTAATATTACATCTGTTGTTTCAAAGACCGATGAATTTTCCAATATCATTACCGCCACAGTAACTGCTCCGTTGATTACTAGTAAAACGGTGACTCAAACTAAATTGGCGAATTCTACAGTAATTGTACCTGTGACATATCCAACAATATTAACCATAAATTCTTCTGAGAGCCCTTCATTGTCATTAGAAGTGACTTCCTCTCAACAATTGTTTAAAGAAAGTTCAACCTCAACAACTTTATATGTTAGTACCGATAAAACTATTAACACTGACACCTCTGGTAATAGTCCATCGACAAGAACAAGTTCTGCAAATATATTGGTAACTACAGAAACCAAATCAGTAGTAAGCCAAAGTAACAATCCACAACTATTGTCATCAAATACAAATATTATGAGTTCCATACCTGGGGCTACTACAACCAGTGAACCAAATAGCAGTAAACTAGTTACCAACTCTGTCGCTAAAGAAACAAATGTCAGTTTGGGTACAACGACTGTAATTATCGACCAACCAATAGTCTCAACAAGTTCATCATTTACTGGCATTAACCAACTTACCCAAACGACTACTGTACAAGTAGAAGTTCCAAATAGCTCTGAAAATACATCACCTTCATACAATAATCAATACCCATATACTACTACAGGAACTTTATCTAAAACATCAATAATTCCTTCATCTGCAACATCTTCTCAAAGTATTATAGTACAAACAGGTGCATCTAATAAATTTAATATTCCTAGTTTAAAGATAGTCTTCTCTTTGTTATCTTTGATACTCATTTTGTAATTTTTAGATTATTCTTAACCCCAAAATTTTTGTTCTTTGCAAAAATATTTTGTAAATTATTATAGTTTTTTAATAAAGGCATGTCTGATTTTTTTTATAATTGATATTTATTTAAGTTTATCATATTTTTTACATATATATATATATATTTATACTTTTTGAATATTAAAATTTTTTAGTAATCTAATGATTATTATTCTAAGTCATCTAAGATTTTCTTTATATCCCAAATTCTATTAGCCATGACGTCTACATCGCCATTCACCTTTCTAATGTATTCATTAGATAATTCCACACCAATACTATTTTTAATAACTCTTTGTAAAGATTTAATATTGAAATATTTGTTACCATTATCATAATCGAAGAATTTTCCATCCTTAATTACTTGTGCTGCTTGTAAAAACGCTAACAGAGATTCTCTTAAAGCTATTTCAGTAGAGGTATCCAATTCAGGTAATCTTACTTGGAAAGGAGTTGAGATCATTAATACTTTATGTGTATCCTTTGAATGATATCTAAATTCATAAATTCCTACTTCATAATTTAATAATGAAGCATCGAAAATAATTTTACCACGAATGAACTCATCTGTGCGTTCAACAACATGATCTTTAGTATGTACCCAATGTCCAAAAGATGGGACACGAGTAAACTCACGATTATTTCTGGTACTTATGACATTATAAAGACCAATCCAATCGTTGTCATCATATAGGTCTGTTGGTAATTTCCAATCGATTTCAATTGGATCAGGAACCACTGAACAAGCTTCTTCATCATTTGCTAAATTCAATTCAAATTCACAATTCGGTGTTAATCTAGAGGTAACATTTTTAATTGCATTTTCGATCACATTTTCCCAATCTTTCGCATTATTAGTTCTCTTATTAAAATCATCATGATCTTTTGTAATCTGTGAACTTGTAGTTGTTGTAGTTACCACTGGATGATTTTCATTATTATTTAAGATAGATCTCATAATAATATGTTCAATATTATCAACAATCTCTGATACACGTTTTAAAGGTTTTAAGGATAATAAAGTCTTTCCAACACCACTAATTCTTTGTTCATTACCATAAAGTTTTTCCATATGTGGAGTTTCAACAAATTTAACCAACATAAAATTTGAAAATGTCCATAGACTTGCTAGAATTATATTATCTTTAGCAAAATTTGTCATTAATACCGTACCCCAAATCCCAGCAACACCAAGGATAGCTTCTGGATTATTTAAATAACGATAAATCCCTTCTGAAGTTAATTTTCTTGATGTAATATAATTTGATAAAAAGAAATCACCATAGAACCAACCAAAATCAGAAATTGCATCTCTAATTTCTGTATCACACCATACTTGTAAAGCACATAGTAATAAACCAAAGATTAATTGAGTATAACTTTCTTCTTTGAAAGGTATCATATGAACATTATTAATAGTTTGAATAGTTAATAAAGTGTATGAGATAACTAATGAAAAATTGTAAATAAATTGCCATTGTTGAAATGAGTATAATTGAGTATAACCATTTTTCATAAATAATTTTGTAAACCATTTATCTTCTGATTGTTTATAAAGAATTGTACTAACGATAATCCATTCAAAAAACTTAATTGAAAATGTTAAAATGAATAAAGTTAAACATGATGGTTTATAAGTAATATACCAAGTTATAATGGTTAAAACAGTTGTCACAGTAAAATAATCTGAAATTCTTAATTTGTTAAAATTGTTTAACCAAATACCTGTACTTATTAAAGGTCTTGAATAATCAAAATTTTCCTTTGCAATTAAATCATCAATACTTGCCGGAGTATTACTATCATTATTATCATTAGCTTGACCATATGTTCTATCAATATGTGGAGTTTCAACATATTTTAAAAATAAAAATTGTAAGAAATGGCCTAATATGGAAACCAATAAAACTTGATAATCACCTGTAATTAAAGAGAGACCATAATAACCCAAATAACCAATTGAATACATTGGATGTGGTGAAATATTAAATACACCATCAAATACTAATTGTGAATTTGTTTGTAGAAAGAAAAAATCACCCCAATACCAAGCAAAATCTTTAACAACACGATGAGCGTCTAATTTAACCCAAACATTGAAAAAAATTAATACTATACCTAATACAGACTTCCAATTAAATAAAACATTTAAATTTGTATCAGGTAAAGATAGAAATACAAAAATAATATAAGTATCAAAATCTTGCATTAAAATCAAATCAACAAATTGACGGAATAATAACCAAGTTGTTAATTCTGGAGGATATTCATAAACTTTATTTTTTGATGGTAATTTTGCACCAACTTCAAATTGTAAAAAACGTGCTAATAAACTTGAATTTTTCTTATTAAAAATTTGTGTCTTTTTAGCCCATTTTGTTAAAGTTTCATAATGTGATTGATAATGTAATACAATACCAATACCACCATTATAACATAATCTCCAAAATACATATTGTAAAATGTATAATTTACGTGTAAATGATCTACCAAACCATTGAACACTATAATAAGCAAAAACAAAATTTAATAATAAAGCAGATGTAATACATAATTCTAAAAATGATTTTTTAATTGTTGGATCAAATAATGATCTTACCATATCATGAGTCTCTGGCGGTATGAAAGAAATCCCAGAGGATCGTGTCTTTGCTAGCATAGCCATATCTACTTCTGATAGTTCCGTTGAAGGAACTGTATCAGTTGTAATTTGTGACATTTTCTCGAGAAAAATAAAATAAATTAAATTAAAAATAAATTTTAAATATTCAAAATTTTATTGTGCTTAAATGAGAGAAAAAAATTCAATTGGAGTTTAGATGATTCAATTATTAACCCCTAATTCCGTAATTTCGCCACCCGCGTTACTAAAAAAATATATGTATTTAGATAGATATATCTATTATGCTCAATATGGGCGTTTATAACAAACTGTTTGTTGTAATATTTTTTTGAAATATTCTAGAATGTGAAAGTATGATTGAATACTTAAAACTAAACTTTTTCGAAAGGATAGTAATTAATTTTATTATCTATATTTATATATGTTAAATATCAGGTGTGTTTATTCACATGCTTCCATGAGCTTTTGAATTGATATGATTCAAATATTATAAACCTCATGCGGCAATAGATGTAGATAATATTTAATTTGTTAAGGATACAATTTTATCTTAGTAATTTTTGAGAAATAACAAACAATAATCAATTTTAAATATGTACACAGACGGCATATTATATTATGCCGTTCTCATATTACGTACATAAGCAAATATTCAAAGTAAATAAAGTCAATGGTAGAGTCACTACGAAACTACAGGTAGGAAAAAATAATAGAGAGAGAGCGAGAGAGTCATATAATATAATTGGGGGGGAAGAAGTGGTTGAACACGATAGAAAACTGGCTAACTATAGTAATATTCTCGTTACTACTAATATTATTATTATCCGATATTAAACTTGGGCAAATATTTCAATATTGTACGTAGACGCTTTCAAACACTCAACCACAAACGGCATTATCTTATTAGTAATTAATTTTGACGGCAAAATAATTTTTGGCACGGCAATTCCTCCGTTTCAAAAAAACAAAAAGAATTCTTTTAGATGAAGAATCTCCGAAAAGGCGCAAAAAAGTAAATAGATCTATTTCGCACCTCTAGATAAAGTGTGTCACGAAATATATATATATGAATTAGTAAGAGATGTTAATCGTTTCTTTATAAATTATTGGATTATTAAGTTAGGGAAATGTCGATTTTTAACATTATAAATTGTAATATATAGTATATATATACTATATAATTATGCTAGAGTAGTGGTTATGTATATAGAAGGACTATAAAATATTTCTTCTTCATTAGTTCTCTCATATCTTATTCTTGTATGGGCAATTCTAATATTAAGTTTTTCTTTTTATTTACACATATAATCGAATAATTAGATCATAAGCAAAAAACAATATAACTACCATAGTAATTGAATTTTCTTTTCTTTTCTTCTTCTTAATGTTATTTGTGCAGAATTCTATATTCCAACTTTGTAAATCGATAACAAAATCAAAATAAATATATCTTGGTAATCTATAATTTTCATAAAAACATAAATATCTATTTGTGTCATTTCAATATTCTTCATGAAAAATTATATCAAATACTCTTTACGAAGACCTTCAACCATTGTACGTTGTGCATCCGGTAATTGTTCTAATTGTGAATCTGTCAACGTTAAAACTTGTCTGATCATCTCACGTTGATTTTCTGGTGCTGCTTGTAATTTTGGTTCATTAATTTGGCGTTGAATAGATGGCTGAGGTGATGATATAGGTACAGTTTCTTGTACAGGTGGGGTTTGCATTTGCGGTTGAGGTACTTGTAGGGGTGTCTGCTGTACTACAGGTGGTTGTACTACATTGACTGGTTGATTTATGGTGCTAGGTTGTGAATTTATAACAGAATTTACGACATTATAATCTATAAACCCCATTTCCAATAATGCTTGTGATACAGCGATTGTAATATCTTTATTATTATTTAATAAAAAATCTTCAATTTGAGAACGTTTTGTAGTCGATTGATTTGCTAATATCTTTAAATTAGATATCATCTCTATTAATTGTAAAGGTGCAATCTTACTTAAATTGTTTGAAATACCAGTAAGATCTTGTGTTGTCAAGGCATTAGGTGTTAATACAGGTAAATGTTTTGAAGCTTTACTTAAAATATCTGGGAATGCCATATTTGATGTTGAACCATTTGTTGTACTAGTACCACTGTTAGTGGTAGATGAACCAACTGGTGGTCTTCTTGGAATCGGTACATTTGTTACCATTTGAAAAGGAAGTTCCAACCCTAGATCCCATGGATAAGAGTCTCTATTCAATTCTATCTCAGGTCTATCTATGGGTGTGCCATCTTCTATGGCCTTAAGTCTAGCTTTATAGTTGGTAGGGATCGTTCTCTCCATAGTACATGGTAGTTTATCAATCTTTGTTAATAATGAATATGCATCCTCACACTCTCTACTATTGGAATAATCATATGTTACATTCGTAAGTTTATTGGTACGTGGATCCATCTTAGGAGTCACTTCTACTATTACACCAGAACCTGCAACTATAGAAGAAACAGTTTCAGGTGTCCAATCAGCAGGTAAATTACTGACTTGTATAGAAGTTTGTAAATTTTCAGGTGTCAATTCATGACGACTCAATCTTCTTCTCGGATCTACTGACATAGTTACTTGGTGAGTGTAATTTTGATTCAGGTTCACCCTCTCTTTTCTTTGATTAAAACTACTTTAAATGATACTGGAATAGGTTTGAAAATTTCTCTTTTTATTATTGTGAATACACTCATAATTTACATCTTCATACATAGATTATATTTCTCGATTGTTAGGGTTTTCTCAGCGCGCAATCTTTCGCCCGTGTACAACGACGATAAATATTTTAAAATTGTGATTAATACTTCTCTATGTAAGATTTGATTTTCCCCAGATAATTTAATGAACTTCAAGTATTTAATTCAATTTAAGTTTATTTTAATTTATACAAATATATGAATGAAAGTATGTATGTGAAATGAGATTTTAACGGATGTCTGTAAGTATATATGTTAATAAATACCTGATAATGCTTAAGCTAAATAACTTAACAAATCCATCTTAGTGACAATATGAACTGGTTTTAGACCATCAGTAATAACAGCAGATGAACTTTTTTCAAAGAATTTGTTTAGATCGTTTAAAGTAGAACCTTCAGTGAATTTAACAAACTTCTTCTTACCAGATTTGTTGTCATTGTAAGATGAAACAGCATCAAAATCATTTAATTTCTTGAAATCAAGGTATGTACCACGAATTGAATCATCCTTGGTCACTACACCGGTGGATATCTTCTTCAATAATTGTGATAGTGTAACCAAACCTGTCAAATGACCATTGGAAGTTAGAACTGGTAATTGATCAAATCCATTTTCTCTTAGGATATTAATGACATCAGCAACCTTAGCATCATCCTTGACAGAGACAACTGGTTTCAACTTTAGATCCTTGACAGTGGCACCATTGAAGATGTCAGAAGCACTGGAGTTAGTGGTCTTTTTAGAATGGTTGAAGTTGGCCAAAACTTTGTCATCCCATAGGTTGTTTTTCTTTAACCATTCATTGTCAGCAAACTTAGTCAAGTATGATCTGATGGAATCTGGGAAGATAGCAACGATAACATCATCTTCAGTCAATTCTGGATGATCTTCAGTGTATCTTATTAAAGCATCAAAGGCACTACCGGAAGAACCACCAACTAAAACACCTTCATTAGAAATCAATTCACGAGCATAGATAAAGGATGGTTTATCTTCAGTCTTGTACCATGTGTCAATCAAATTTCTGTTTAGAACATCTGGAATGAAATCATAACCAATACCTTCAACCTTATATTCGGTAATATCAGTATTGTTCAAATTTTCAGGTTGAGCTAGAATGGAACCGACTGGATCAGCACCAACAATTTGAATCTTTGAATCTTGCTCCTTAATGTACTTAGCAATACCAGTAATAGTACCACCAGTACCGGCACCAGCAACAACAGCGTTCAATTTGTTAAATAAACCTAATTCTTCTAATTGGCCTTGGATTTCTTTACCGGTACCTCTGTAATGAGCTTCTGGGTTCATCTTGTTATTATATTGATCCAAGATAATAGCACCTGGGATTTCTTTTTCAAGCTTCTTAGCAACACCAATGTGAGATTCTGGAGAATCCCATGCAGCATTAGTTGGAGTTCTAATAATTTCGGCACCTAGAGCCTTTAAAACAGAAACCTTTTCGTTAGACATCTTTTCTGGTAAAGTAATAATAGTTCTGTAACCCTTGATGGCACCAATCAAAGCAAGACCAATACCAGTGTTACCAGAAGTTGGTTCGATCAAAGTAGTTCTCTCTGGAGAAATTAAACCTTTTTCTTCAGCTTCTTCAATCATGGACTTTGCAATACGGTCCTTAATAGAACCACCTGGGTTGTATAATTCAAGCTTGGCAAAGACTCTTGGTCTAACACCAAGGGCCTTTGGTAGCTTTTTAAGTTCGATCAATGGTGTGTTACCAACTAAATCGATAACGTCGTGTCTCTTATCGTATGACATAATTAAGGTTATAATGGAGATGTAGATGTGATCGGTTTATTTTAACTAGTAAATAGTATAAGAAACAAAATAACTAAATATTTTAATATCTGAAAAGCATTGAATATATATACAAAATCGAAATAAAAACGTACCGGAGAGAAGATGCATCGCTTAACTACAGCATGTATATTTCGCTGACTTAAACAATATCGGGCTCACACTTTATTGATCATTGGTGAAAAATTTTTGTGCCGTGTGTGTGTGGTTCATTATGCCATTTTCGAACGAGGCGATTTTCTTTAGTTTTATACCGTAATAAATAATCGTTTGCTTAGCAGGAATCCAAAACTCAGTGTACCAATAAAACTGAAAAATTGAGCTTGCACGTGACAAAGTGACTCTAAACTTTGAACCTTTGGACAATTCAGTGAACTGCTAATCAAGTTATCCCACTCACCAATACACTAGATGGTACTACCGTAACTTATATAATCCTTTCAAGTAACTACCAAAAAATCCCATCCTCTCAATACATGTGATTAAGGGAAAAAAAATGTCTTCGGTATGACACATACAACTTGGCTCTTATAACGTTTACTTGTAGCAAACTATGACCTAACATTTCGAAAGATATTACCTTGGTTAAGACTCTGTAGTTTCAAGATTCACATTCTCTATACACTTAAGTCGACAGTAATGCCATTTCGGCAGCGTGACGAATGTAATTTCGTATCGGTTATTGCGGGAAACAAAATAGTAAACGCACAGCGCTGGTCAGCGGCTATTTAATTACATCTATAATATTTAAGTAATCCGAGGGACCTAAAATATTTCAAAGAACCACTACCTGTTCAAAAAAAGAGACGTGAACTTAGGGTGTGTAACTAGATCAGTAATTTCCCTGTTGTTCATGCAGTCCTTTGTAAAACCTGAGCCTGATCTCGAAGTTAATGCCCAATACTTACATAACGATTCGTATGCGGCTGTTTGTTCTGATTCATCTTCTGGACACAGTCCAAAACCAGATAATATGAAAAATCAAGAAGCCAAGAAAAGAAATTCTGTGATTGTTGCTGAGAGAAATAATATCAATCAGCTAAAGAGTTTTTTAATTAGTACTGATCCAATTCAAATACCACTTAAACCTGGAACTAATACTCCCGAAAAGGTAACCACAAATTTTGTGAAAAGGGAACTAGATAGTGATTTAAGTAAATCGTTCAAATCGAATAAATCTTCTGATAAGATATCTCATTCAAGGATTGAAAAATCAACCACAATGTCGTCAACGTCATCATCTACTTCTTCTGTAAGGAAGCATAAGAAGGATGGATCTCAACACAAAAAAACGAAACATACTTTAAATGATACGGAACAAACTAATTCTACACAAGACCATAGTTTGATTAAAGATGATATCATTCCAAAAAATCCTCTTGCTGTAAAAAAATTGAAAAGTTTGTTGTTCGATGTCAATGTGATAGATGATATAGTAATTTCATCTAACACTTCAGAACTATTAAAAGAGGTATTTGAAGGCTTGGAGGATCAACAAGATTTATCATTTTGTAAAGATCAAGCAGAAAAACCACTGCTAGAATGGATCAATTATGGCGAAGAACTAAATAATAAACATCTCGAATTGACCAAACAATTAGTTCAGTTACGAATTGAGTTAAGTTACAAATTTAGAATTATAATGGAATTAATCAATGATAATTTTGATTATCAAATGCAAAGAGAAAAAAGTTTGGATGAGAAATTAAGTAGAATCAAAGTAATCGGCAATGATATATTGAATTTATTATAATGATATATCACAGTTTGTCCCATGCTAGTTATACTTTGTTTTTTCGCTTTCAAATAAATATACATGCATAGAATTGAAAAATATCATGAAACGAAGATTATTATTATGTGTGAGTGTATTTATTGTATTTATTTTATATTTTATAATTTACATATACAATATGAGTTTAAACAAAAAGCCATAGATAAATAGAATGAGAAGTATATTCAAATCAAGGAATTAATAAAATTCTTTTCGAATTTAATTATCTTTTTGAAACATTCTAATTAATTAGCTTAAGCTCTTTTGTTGAAACGTCTTTCTCTGTTAGCAGAGATGTTGATGACGGATAATGGTAGCTTCATACCTAGAGACTTAACTAATTCAGCAGTTTGTTTGTCGACGTTCAGAACACCCTTAGAGTGAGACAAGTCCAAGGCAGAGACAGCTGGAACGTATTGATCCTTTCTTTCTCTTTCTTCTTCTTGCAACTTGAAGGAGATACCTCTAACTGGACCCTTTTGAATTCTCTTCATTAGGTGGGTAGTGTAACCAGCAATCTTATTTCTTAATCTCTTAGATTGGATGGTAGCAATTTCGTCACATAGTCTCTTGTTAGTTTGGAAATCTTGAGTTAACTTTGGATAGTAACGTTCGATTAGGGCCTTTGAGGCACGCTTGACGGTCTTGGTTCTAACTCTACCCTGTTATAAAAGAATAAATGAACACACCTTTTTCATATATAAAATAACAATGCATGTAGTTATTTTTTATTTTTGGTGAATCAATTTGTCTGATAGTTAGTAAAAAAACTAAATAAATAAAGTAAAACAAAGCCACAACAAATCTTTGAAATTTACCCTAACGTTAAGGAATAAATATTTGTGGTTTAAGGATAAGAAATATTCGTCCTTTAACTGTACAATCGTAATCCGTAGTCAAAATGAAATGACATTTTGGCAGCACCTCTAATGAATATACAGTTAAGTATTCCATAGGGTTACGAGATACGAAAATTATTCCACACCTTCTTCAAAAAGTATTACCAATTTGAAAAGAAAAGGCCTGAGTATATTGGTATTATCAATTAACCAAAATATACCTGGAATTGAAACGACCATATTTCTTCCTTCACATATAACTTATATTAAACATACCATTATGTGTTTAGTTTATTGTGAATGTCGGTCTTTGGCTTTTTAAATAATACTCAATGAGAATTGAAGAACATTATTTTATTAGCGTTATCATTTTATATACTTTCAAAGTTTGTTATTACATAGCGTAACTAATACAATATCTTGCACAATCGATTTGTTCTTTGTTCGCCTCTACTTGATAAATTTCAAGACTGAAAAATTTATTTTACTGAAAAACTATAAAATAATAAATAATATCCAAAAATGTGCGGGTGTTTATATATAGATTGTAAATGTATGGGTGTATTCCAAAGTCACAAAACAAAGTTAAAAAGAATCGTTATTCCAGGGTAATCCCAAAGATTAAGGTGGGAAAAAACAAACATACAAACAAATAAACAAAAAATGAAAATAGACGAACAAAATTTGGAAAAAATTGTTATTGACGAGAAAAGCCAGAGTCACCCACCTAACGGTTCAACAATAAAGAATAAACAGATACGGTAGACACATATTCCTAAACACAACAAATAAGGGATCGGCTGTTACGGACGAATCGGAACTTTAAGGAAATAGTTGATCATTGATTTACTGTAAGTTAGTATAGGATAATTATATTTAGGTTGTTTTTTTGTTTTAATATCCTCAATATACTCAGCAAACATTGGATTCGTTCGTTGTATGGCGACATAATATCAAATACCGGTTGACATACATACATACACATACATTCATTTATTTTTTTTTTTTTTAATTTTTCATTTTTTTTATTAAACTTCCAGGAAATTTTTTGGGTTTTTATTTTAAGGGTAGATATATTTATATTTCCAGAAGTTTATTATCATGTCAAATAAATTCCATTGCGATGTATGTTCATCTGACTGTACTAATCGTGTAAGAATATCATGTGCGATATGTCCCGAATATGATCTATGTGTTCCATGCTTTTCTCAAGGTTTATATAATGGTAATCATAGACCTTATCATGATTATAGAATTATTGAGACCAATTCATACCCTATACTGAGTGAAGATTGGGGTGCAGATGAAGAATTATCTTTAATTAAAGGTGCTCAAACTTTAGGTTTGGGGAATTGGCAAGATATAGCCGAACACATAGGTAGTAGGACTAAAGAAGAAGTGGCTGAACATTATCAACAATATTATCTTAATAGTCAATATTATCCAATTCCGGATATTACAAAGACTATTCATGTTCCACAGGATGAATTTTTAGATGCAAGAAAGAGAAGGATAGAAGCATTTAGAGATAAACCATTGGAAGCCCCAAGGAAACCTTTGGCTTCTGTACCCAGCTGTCATGAAGTTCAAGGGTTTATGCCCGGAAGATTAGAGTTTGAAACAGAATTCGAGAATGAAGCTGAAGGCCCAGTAAAGGATATGGTCTTTGAACCAGATGATCAACCATTAGACATTGAATTAAAATTTGCTATCTTAGATATCTATAATTCGAGACTAACCACTAGAACGGAAAAGAAAAGATTATTATTCGAAAATAACTTAATGGAATATAGAAAATTGCAAAGTACAGATAAAAGGAGAAGTAAAGAAGTTAAGGATCTATATAATAAAATCAAACCATACGCAACCTTGATGTCTGCACAAGATTTCAAAGACTTCAGTAAAGATATATTGGAGGAGATGCGTTGTAGATCTAGAATACACCAGTTACAAGAATGGAGAAGAAATGGTATAACTACCATGGAGGCCGGTTTAAAATATGAAAGAGATAAACAGGCTCGCATTGCTACACTCGAGAAGATTGGTAATGGCGACTTAAATGGTAATACAGGCCCCATTAGTACAAGACATGGAAGAGCCACTCCATCTCTTGCAACTCCTGGAAGTGCTTCGCCAATAACGAATAATAATAACAGTAACAATAGCGATAATCAGACAAATCCTAATCGTAAAAAGACTCTCACAATCAGTGATATACAACACGGTAGTGACTTTGGGTTATTATCTAATGAGGAACAGCAATTGTGTTTACAATTAAAGATTTTACCTAAACCATATCTGGCAATCAAAGAAATGATCTTTAGAGAATTATTACGCACAGGTGGTAATCTGAAAAAGAAAACATGCCGAGAATTGCTCAATATTGATCCTGTCAAAGGGAATAAGATCTATGATTTCTTCCAAACTCAGAATTGGATGTAATCTTTTATACTCTAGTCCTACCAAATTAGGGATAAAGACATTCTAGTCAAACAAGAACATTGTAAAAATATAACGAAAATCAATATGCATACGAAGCTTTTTGAGAAATCGAAACCTTCACAAAAAATTTAAACTATTAACAATAAATCAACACCACTATGGTTGAATATATATATATATATATATATATATATATATATGTGTATATAACCTACACAAATCTATTCATATCCTGATGCATTGTTTTTAAAAATTCTGATATTTAACACTATTTTTGTGCAATTTATAATTTATTGTATATCATTTCTAATATTCTAAATCTTGGATCATTTTCTTTTTCCATCGCATCTAGGAATGTTTCTTTAATATAATCCTTATATTTAATTTGAGTTGATTTCACAACTGGCAGACTCAATTTATTAGAGTACGCCATGTATTTCTTCACCGACATCTGTAACTCATCGATGTTTAAGTTTTCCACTGTCATATATCTAACATTTAATATGATATCCAAATATATTGTCTCGATGTATAATTCAGGACAGTCTGTTTCTAAATTAATACCGAAATGTTCACTTCTCCAGAATTGGATTACATGGTTAATCAAATATAATCTATCTAAATCATCAAATTTGTCAAATAGAGCGATATATTCAACCGATTTCTTAAACAATACCTCAACAGCATCCCTATTCAGTTGCTTTTCGAAGTCCGTATTTGTACCAACATAGTAACCTTTATGTTTATTAACATAATATTTTCCTAGAGTTTCAATGGCCACATCAAAGATGGTTAAAGCAATATCCCCACGAAGAGCTGGATTTGTTTCTGTGTTGCCCAACATATTTATATCTGCTTCAGGTAATTCATTCAATTTATCCTTCATAGCATCACCAGTGCTTGGTAATTTAAGACTATCATCGTCATTACCGTTCTTATTTTCATCATTCAACATATCTAATTCCTGTTCTCTTTCATTAATTAAGCCCATGACCTTTCTACGATTTAATAATTTTGTAATAAAATTTAGTTCAAATTTGATGTATTCATACCACAACTTTGCTGAATCACCGTTGAATCTCAAACCATTTTGGAAAATTGTTCTACAGCTCTTGAAGTTGGCATGAACTTCATATTCATATTTGGCACAACTAATCCATACGTCCACACTAGATGGATGCAATTTTAATAATTGATTGTATACAGCATGTATTTTCTTATAAGAAGTTTCTGCACCCCTGGTCTTTAGGTATTGTAGATACATTGCCCATAACTTTAAATCTTGAGGAAACTTGTTCGTTCCTCTTTGATAAATAAACGTAATCCTTTGTCCAATGGACCAATCTGATATACTGTTTGTCTTTCCGGATTGTAAGATTCTCTTCACACGTTTCTTACGTAATTTCTCCACATTATTCTCGTATGCAATGTACTTCATGTAATCGTTAGTACTAGAGCCCCTGGAATTCAAACGATGTTCGAAATCGGTTCTCTTTTTCATGATCTTAGAGATTTCATTTTTGGTAAACAGTTTCTTGTCTACCAAATCATCTAATTCTGGAATACATTGTTCCAGGTAATATCTAGTTTTTGACGACATAATTATTTGATATACTTTCGAATGACAAGACAAATATTATGTTACTTGGGTATTTGCCTTTTTATTCTCTATTTCATGAGAGTTAATATCGATGAGCTTCAAAAATATTTCACTTTAATAAAATTTTCGCTTCATGCGGTATAAATATTGCAAGCTAGCGATGGACATCTGGCCCTAAGAAAACATCGCACAATATGATGTTTAAAGCCAAGAGGAGGCTATAAAAGGATAACAGTCAATAATTAGCCAGGACTATGTGTTACAGTCCTTATTTTTGTAGCACTACAAATTAACATATATCATCTTGTGGAATACAGCCAGTTTTAGGGTATCATGATGCAAATTTAAGTCTACATTCTTTGACAAGCTAATTGCTTTCAATTTCAAGAATAAAGAAACAAAATTTAACGTATACGAAGGAACTTAAAGAACTATCTAAACGTATTTTAAAGCGGCATAAACCCACATTTAACACAGATTACAATTCAAGTGAAAAGGTAAAGTTGAATAAAAATGGGAAACTACGCTATCTTAGTTACCACCAGAGATAGCAATTAATAAGTATAAAAATAAGAACGAATACACCCTTATCGACTTTCCTTTACATGGAGTGTAATAATTAATGAGCTTCCTGTAAATGTGGCAGATATATGACTGATTGTCTTTTTGGCTTTAGCATTCATTGCGTATGTAAATATAGTTATAAAAACCCTGTAATTGTTTTGTGACGACCTTCTTTGGAACACCCACACATTTTATTTAACTCAAGAAGAACTTTTTTTTTCGGAGTAATTTTTTAAAAAACTGAATTTTTTTCTCTACTCTCAGAAACACCATAAAGAATTCTTGAACGCGCCCGTTCACTTTGATGGAATCTTTTGGAAAATATCCAGGCAGACAATATCACAAAATGTCACAGCGTATTCCTTCTAGCGCTATCGGTTTGGAAGGGATGGGTAGTCCGTTGTTCGATGACCTTAGATAATTCTACCCCATCAAGGAGTAGTGCTGGCTTGCCAATCTTGGGTTAGCTCTGAGAATGAAATATTAGTCCAATATGTGTAAAATTTCCAAGTTAGGTGTGAACTGTATTGGCTCTTGTCCTGCTACGAGTAGCCATAGTATTCATACTGTACAGTGCCAAACTTTGAGCAACTTTAGGTGTAATGTGTAAATTGTAAGTATTATATCAAAATTTGTAGGGAGATAAGAGCTTGTCTATATAAACTTCTACTATATTTTACTTATAATTGTTTCAAATTATAAAGGTCGAAAAGGTAATCATATAAAAATGTCTCTAGTCGTCCAAGAACAAGGTTCTTTCCAACACATTTTGCGGTATGTTAATAATTACTATTAAAGATGAAAGGATTTATGCTATGTAAAGACAACTACAAATTATACCAGTTAATGATAATGATAAAATGGGCAGTGTCTGTTTCCAGACTGAGGATTTGTGTCCTCTGATTTATAAAATGAGATCTGATATAATAAAGTAGGATATGTATTGAACATAATATCGATGAGGAAGTGTTAAATTATTAATCAATAATGAAAAGAAAAAAAAGGCAATATTGTGGTTTACAGAAGTTGAAGAAGATGAATTTGTGTTATAATTGATTGATAGAATATTAGGTATAGAACTGTTGTGCAAAACAATAAAAAGTATGATTTGGAAATATTGATTGATATTATTATAGTAAACATAATACGAATGCACTTAATAGATATATGAAACAAGTCCCGTACAGTCGATCCTAGGAAAATATCTCATAAATCCTATAGCAAGTTGATTTATCAAAAAGACTCAATTTTACTAACAATTATCATTTCATTCCTGAAATATTTTTTTATACAGTTTGTTGAACACCAACGTCGATGGTAACATCAAGATCGTCTACGCCCTAACCACCATCAAGGGTGTTGGTCGTCGTTACTCCAACCTTGTCTGTAAGAAGGCTGATGTTAACTTGAACAAGAGAGCTGGTGAACTAACCCAAGAAGAACTAGAAAGAATTGTTCAAATTATGCAAAACCCAACCCAATATAAGATTCCAGCTTGGTTCTTGAACCGTCAAAGAGATATTGCTGACGGTAAGGACTACCACGCTCTAGCTAACCAAGTCGAATCCAAGCTAAGAGACGATTTGGAAAGATTAAAGAAGATCAGAGCCCACCGTGGTATCAGACATTTCTGGGGTCTACGTGTCAGAGGTCAACACACCAAGACCACTGGTAGAAGAAGATCTTAAGCTTAAAAATAGTTCATTGTTCATTAAAGACAATTTTCTTTTTTTCACCCTGTAGTTTAATACAAATTTTACATACTTTATCTTTAGAAAGAAATATATTATTTAGACTTAATAATAATAAGTAATTTCACATCTTCATTTCACATCTACATTTCACCTATTTCATTTATTATATATTATATAATAATATTACATAAACTTTAATAAATGGTAACCGACCTAATTAAACTACATTCTTTATTTTCTACGTAATCGGAGCGGTGCGTAAATCACACGAATATCGTGAAGCTTTCGTAATAAAAGATAAAGAACGTGGGGACTTGAGGAAAAGGAAGGAGTAATCATATAAAATTTAATGCAAAGAAACAATATCCCTTTAATAAAACTAGAACAATCATAAAAGAAGCTACACAAACAAGAATACAGAGTGGACCTATACACGTTAGCTCGATCGCTGTAATATTTGGTTGGCGCTCTAACTATTTTTTAATGATTTTATAGGACAACTCCCATACCATAATAACATACATAATATTAACCTATGACAACAAGGAAAGGGACACAAAGAGGGCCCCTAATGAAGGCAAGGTCTAAAAGAAAAAATTCAATTTTGTTAGGTTCACTCATTGTGTCTTTATGTGGACTTTATACAATTTTGCAATTGGATAATCTTCAAAATTTTCAGGTGTGTGATGAAGTTAAGGATCATACGGAGTTAGCATCATCCCAAGCAGATGATCAATTAATCGAGTTAGGCCTTACACCCAGAGAGATCGTAAGCATGCGAAATATAAGGACAAATAGCCACAGAAAATTACACGGAAGGTTTTTACATATTACAGACATCCATCCCGATCGATTTTACGAAGAGAATGCTTCTATCGACAATCTTTGCCATCCAGATAACGAACAGTCAAAACACCAGAATAACAGGGGGAAAGATCAGTTATCATCATTAGCGCCGAGGTTCGGGAAAGCAATGTCCGGTTGTGACGCTCCCGTTGATTTGATGGAGTACACCTTGAAATGGATCAACGAAACATTGAGGGATCATATTGATTTTGTTATATGGACAGGTGATAATATCAGACATGACAATGATAGACAGATACCTAGAACAGAGTCTCAAATATTCGAGATGAATGAAATTGTATCTGGGAAATTCCGCGATATATTTGAAAACAAACGAACAGCAGATCCAAGAGATTTCGACATAGAAATCGTTCCTAGTTTGGGTAATAATGATGTCTTCCCACATAACATGTTTTCATTAGGACCTACGCTACAAACCAGAGAAATGTTTAAGATATGGGATGTATTTATTCCACAAGAACAAAGACGTTGGTTTGATAGAGGTGTAACATATTTAAAAGAAGTTATCCCTGGTAAGCTTGCCGTAATATCGATTAATACTCTGTATTTATACAAAGCCAATCCCTTGGTGGATAATTGCAATTCAAAGAAAGAACCAGGCTATCAATTATTACTATGGCTAGGTTATACCTTAGAAGAGCTTAGACAAAGAAACATGAAGGTCTGGCTTTCTGGTCATGTACCTCCGATTTTGAAGAATTTTGATAAAAGTTGTTATGATAAATTCACTCTATGGACTCATGAATATAGAGATATTATAGTGGGGGGCGTATATGGCCATATGAATATGGACCATTTTATACCTATTGACGGCGAGCAAGCTAGACGTGATCTCGAGACCCTAGAGGATGAGACTTTCTGGTTTGATGAGTTAAACGAGAAACAAAAGCCATTAGACATCTACAATTACGCTGAAGCGGCAAGTGAAGCTCACATGATGGGCGCGAAACCTGTTAATAAAGTATCCTACATGACAAAGGTAAAGGAAGAATATTACGAAACTATCCAAAAGGAACTAAAATTAGCATACACACAGGAAAACATTTATGATGAGGAAGAAGAGGAAATTACTGAATCGGATGATTCCATTGATTTACTATTGGGAAAAAAGAAGAAAAAGAAAGGAAACAAGAGGAAGAAAGGAAGAAACCCTACGAAAGACGAAATTTATGAAAAATACTCCATTGTGAATATAGCAGGCTCAGTCATCCCAACCTTCAATCCATCTTTTAGGATTTGGGAATATAATATTTCAGGAATTAACGAAGAAACTTCAATTAATCAAAATTATCAGCCATGGGATGAGTTTTTTGCTGACTTGGAGGTTAAAATAGATAATGAGTTATCTTCATCAGACCCCAATGAAAATTCCATGAATATCATGAAGGGTAAAAAAGGTGGAAAGAAGAAACCTGATAAGACGATACCAAGAAGGAAACCCTCAGAATACCCATTGGGTCCTGCATATGTCGAACAACTGTTTTCCCCAACAAAGTTTATCGAGTACTATGCTGATTTGGATCAAATAAATAAGGATTACTTGTCTTTATTACAAGACGGGAAGGATAAGAACAGAGCAGCGGATGAAGCATTCAAATTTCAAGTAGAATATACTTCAGATGATAAGCCTTACAGTATGAAGTCTTTGTTGGTGAAAGATTTTTTGAATGTTGCTGTTGAGTTGTGCGACGATTCAACTGAATGGACCACGTTCTTGGATAGAGCATTTATTTCATCTGGTTACAGTGATGATTAGCAATGAACTCTTGTAAAATACTCTAGGAGAAACAATTTTATACTCGCATTACAGGACTGTTGGCAGCTGTTCTTAAGACATGACCTTTCCATTTTTACTAATTTATTTGTTAAAATATATTCATATCGTTCCCGTCATTTTATAATAGTTTTATTTTCGTATTGAAGGATATTTAAAATTATATATTCTGGCTATTATTATACTCATTATTAAAATAAAAATATCTAATGAGTCTTGTCTGCTTCTTCTTCAAAATATTCTTTAGATTTCTTAACGTCTGGTACAATTGTTGCAGAGCCTGGTGTCCAATTACAAGGTAGAACAGTGCCGTTGTCATCAGTCCATTTGAAACCTTCGACCACTCTTAGAGCTTCTTCTACGTTTCTACCAACTTGTTGGTCATTGATAGTGATATGTCTTACAATACCCTTTGGATCAATGACAAATAGTCCTCTTAAAGCAACACCTTCTTCTTCGACTAGGACACCATATTCCTTAGATAGTTGTAAATTTTTATCAGATAACAAAGGAACACTAACTGGACCTAAACCACCTTCACTTCTTGGCATATTTGTCCATGCCAACAGAGAATATTCTGAGTCAGTTGAAGCAAATATAATTTGTGCACCAATATCGCTAAATCTCTTAGCAGCGTCGGAAAATGCACAGATTTCCGTTGGGCATACAAAACTGAATGCCATTGGGACAAATGCCAAAACAACATATTTCCCTTTGTATTGGTCTAGAGAAACTTCTTCAAACATACCGTCAACAACAGCAGTCTTCTTAAAGGTTGGGGCAGGTTTTTGAACTTGAGCGACCATTTTTGAATTGTTTTTTCTTAAAAATATGTGATTATTTGTAAATTTGTTTTAATATATACTTAACAAAATTGTTTATTATTTTGTTAATCGATGTATTTATATTCTACTGTATACAATAAGAAACGAGAAAATTAAAAACAAAAAAAGTTTGACAATTTATTTGAGAATAATTGATTCTTGTTACTGTTGTTTATATATGTCATCGTTCTTTATCCCCTTTTTATTTTTATTTTTAACTGTTTTGGCAAAATGTCAAACAATTGTTATTCCTCCTGCTAAATTCAAAGGATCGCAAGCATTGTTATCCTTACTAATTCTTTGCATATTTCATTTCTAAAAGAAAAGGAAGAAGTCTCCAGGGCCGGACCATGCTTCCTCTGCGATTACTTAATCATTTTATCTCATTACATTGTATTATATTGCTCATCCCATCAAGTGCCCCAAAAAAAGAAAGAAACGGAAAAAAGAAGATGAAGATTTAGTAATCGCCGACCTCGTTACTACAGGCAACGGTGCGAATAAAGAAAAAATGAGTTCTGTTTTATTGCGCTGCAGCTATATCTGTGCAACTCTCGTATATATTTCATACATCCTGAGGGCCTCGAAGACTTAAGAAGCCTTTTTTTACTTAGTAAGTGATATTGAGATAGATACATAGAGAGCAGTAAAGTTGGGGCGGGGGTATATATTCTACTTACAAGGATTGGTTGATATGACGTACAATGGAGGGAGGGTGCAATCATTAGTCAACTTTTTAAATTACTATGATGTTTTGTTATTAGTGAAATTAATGTGAAACCAAGACTATCGGAGATACGTATTATACAATTATCGAAGTGTAAATTGATTATAGTGAAACTAATGGTATTGTTCTCTTTTCTTGAAGGTCTAGATTCATTTTTGATTAAATGTTGTTTTCTTCTTCTAAAAAAAAGGCTTACGTGACTCTTCGGTATATACTATTATGAATTTTATTTAATTCTATTGACTGCTTGATTACCAGCTTGTCCCTCTTTCTTTCAGTTTTCGAAGATGAATTTCTTTAATTCATCATATGCTTTTTCAAGATCATCATTAACAATGATTTGATCATGAGCGCCGGTTTCGGCGTATTCAAGTTCAGCTGTAGCAGCGGCCAATCTCTTAGATAAAGATTCTTCAGTTTCAGTGCCTCTACCTTCAAGTCTTTGTCTCAAATGGTCTACAGATGGAGGAGCAATAAACAAAAATTTAGCCTTTAATTCAGGCTTACCCTTGACACTCTTGACACCTTGCATATCAATATCTAAAATACAAGTTTTACCAGAATCCATAACTTGTTTAACAGAATCCACAGTAGTACCATAGTAATTTCCAGAAAACTGAGCCCATTCAATAAATTTATCTTGGTCAATCATCTTTTTGAAATCATCAACAGTAACAAAATTGTAATCCTTACCATCCTGTTCACCTTCTCTTGGATTTCTGGTAGTAGAAGAGACACTAAAACCAAAATTAGTTGGGAATTCAGCAAATAGCTTCTTCAATAATGTGGATTTACCGGTACCACTTGGACCAGAAAGGACAATAGCAGCAGACATTTATGGTTATAATTTTTGAACTTTTACGTTTACAGATGAACAAATAACAGCGATTCAATAAAGAAATTCAACAGAAGGATGCCTGCTTTTACACAGAGTTTGTAACAATAACCTCTAGTTCATCCTACTTCTTTTTTTTTTCAATTATATATCTAGAGATAGATATGATTGTTTGTTGTCGCTGTCACTAGCCAGAGGGAACCAAACAAAAACTTTTTTTTCATTTTTTCATTTTTTCACCGTACAGGATATACGGTAATTGGTGATGGGCCTTCGTTTTGCGAATTTTATCAAGTATTTTTCGTGACGTTTTCTTATTTAAGGTGTAAGATCAAGAGAGAGAGAGAGAGAGAAATGGCACAATTGCTTATCCACATAAATTGTATGTATGTGCAAGATAACTTACCAGTCTTCATTATTGATACTATTTCATGAACTGATGTTAGGCCACATTGTATCTGCATTTGTTAAATACATTGAAGATGTAGTTTTATAACTTCTATTGTAGAAAACATCAATAATATTACTTATGTTAAATCTTCTTACGTAGCCTACAAGAGATTAGTCCTTCCAAAGCCTGACCCAGTTGTGAGATATTGCAGAAGAATTCCTAGTAGAGCCTCTACAGTGCAAATGTATATATAAATAATCTTTAAGTATGTGCAATATCATGAATAACGATCTGTCTAAAGAAAAAGGCGCGCGCTCTTCCCATCGAGCCTCTTCTGAGAGAAATTGGTGAATAAATTTCCTTATTCAGATTATTATCTTTAATAAGGCATTAAGTAATATTGTCAGTTACACAATTCAAGGGTAATTAATTAAGGCGCATAATATATATATATTAAACACAACGAACAGGTATTGATCAATACACAACTTTAGGAATATATTTTCATCAGGTATATTTGCATATATTCGTATGGGAAATTTTTCTTTATAATATACTGCATTTACTGAATTTATTCTACTTTGGTTGCAGCTTTTTTTGATTTTTGTTACCTTTTTATAGATTACACCTATCAGGTACAATAGTTAAAGAGCAACAATTATACATTACTGATATCAAACAGGTTACTATCCATATATTACAACTGTCATTCTAGTACCACTGCTACTATTTGCATAAACCATTTGATCCAATGCTCACAAGACTACTTATAAAGCTTGTATTTTCTTCATTGGTAAAAGCTATTGTATCTGTATCGTCGGAGGATGGAGATGAAGATGAATTACTACCAGTTCCAGATCTACCAAATAAAGGTGACCCACTTGTAGGAGACCCGGATGTTGATCTCAGCCCCGTTACAGAAGAGATGTTTTCATCATGGGCATTATTCATTATGTTATCCTTGTTGATCTTTGCGTTATGGTCTAGTTATTACTTAACACAAAAGAAAATCAGAGCTGTTCATGAGACCGTTCTTTCTATCTTTTACGGTATGGTCGTAGGATTGATTCTGAGAATGACACCTGGTCACTATATTCAAAGTTCTGTCACATTCAATTCATCATATTTTTTTAATATTTTATTACCACCTATCATTCTAAATTCAGGATATGAACTGAATCAAGTGAATTTTTTCAATAATATGTTATCAATTTTAACTTTCGCAATACCCGGTACATTTATATCGGCTTGTGTTTTAGGTATAATCCTTTTTATTTGGACATCATTAGGTCTAGAGAGTGTGGATATATCATTTGTTGATGCAATGTCTGTAGGTGCGACATTATCTGCTACTGACCCTGTTACGATTTTATCTATTTTCAATGCTTATAAAGTGGATCCAAAGTTATATACCATTATTTTCGGTGAATCATTGTTAAACGATGCTATTTCTATTGTTATGTTTGAAACTTGCCAGAAATTTCGTGGTCAACCAGCTACTATTAGTTCGATATTTGAAGGTATTGGTTTATTTCTAATGACATTTTCTATTTCCTTAGTAATTGGGGTATTTATTGGTATATTAGTCGCATTACTTTTGAAACATACACATATAAGAAGATTCCCTCAAATTGAAAGTTGTATTATATTATTAATTGCATACCAATCATATTTCTTTTCTAATGGTTGTCACATGTCTGGTATCGTTTCCTTATTATTCTGCGGAATCACCTTGAAGCACTATGCTTATTATAACATGTCTAGAAGAACCCAATTGACTATAAAATATATATTCCAATTGCTGGCTCGACTTTCAGAAAATTTCATTTTCATTTACTTGGGTCTAGAATTATTTACTGAAGTTGAACTAGTTTATAAACCAATGTTGATTATTATTACAGCGATCTCAATCTGTATTGCTCGTTGGTGCGCTGTATTCCCTCTTTCTCGTTTTGTTAATTGGTTATACAGGGTCAAAGCCCAGAGGGCCTCTAACATCACTCTAGGAAGCAATGTCGTGATTTCTGACGAAATTCCATATAATTATCAAGTAATGACATTCTGGGCTGGTCTAAGAGGTGCTGTTGGTGTGGCATTAGCACTGGGTATTCAAGGTGAATTCAAATTTACATTGTTGGCTACTGTTCTAGTCGTAGTCGTACTTACAGTTATCATATTCGGTGGTACAACTGCAGGTATGCTAGAGGTGTTAAATATCAAAACGGGTTGTGTTGATGAAAATGATGATAGTGATGATGAGTTTGATATTGAGGCTATTACGAGTGGTAACGGATATACGAGGGAACTAGGACAATATGATACTCCAACCATTAGACAACCTTATTCTGATAATAATACAAGGGACTTTACTGCCGAAGATGCCATGTTACAAGATGCTAATAATTTTGTGAATGAAGCCAATAGTGCTATTTCATTAGATACATCACCTATTCCAGCAATGGCAAACGATAATGCCGCAACTGACAATGTCAGAAGTAGTGGTGCGGCAGATTCTGCAGAAGGTAGAAACATGAAGGAATCTTTAGGGACCATTTTCAGATCAGACTCTCAATGGTTTCAGAACTTTGACGATAATGTCTTGAAGCCTGTTTTTCTAGATAGTAACCCACAGAATTTCAATAATGGCAGTGAAGCCCATGGCCTACAAAGCCCGAAGGGATTTGATTCAAGATAAAATTACGTAAATAGTTTAAAATAGATTTATTACTCCTATATCGTAAAGTTCTGTACACCCGAAGTATCAACACACTTATGTGTACATGAATAAGATAATTATTTTTTCAAAACATCTTGGTGATTACGTTAATTTTCGTATTCTTACTTACTTTCTTATATTTGTTGAAGACAGCCCTTGAACAATTTTGATTCTTATTTTTGTTACCCTCCGCGGTGTAAATAATTTTCAAATAAGAGATGGCCTTATTAATAAATAACATTACAAATATAGGAATACCAGGTAATTTACCTCCAAAACATTATCGAGTAGTAGAATACAAGACTGATTTTAAGGCATTACTTTCTGGAAAGAAACCATTCCAATTATTGTTTTTACCCTATAAGTATTATATAAACAGTATTGCCGGAATTTTACGTCCATATTTGCATTTTAATTGTGTTTTATTTATATTCGAAGGCAAATTTTATAAATTTCTATACCAAGTGCGACCTTACATTTATATCAAAACACAATTACATATTTGAACTTATAAATAATATTGCTAAATATAAATTGAAATACCATTTACAATTTGTATTCAAAAGACCTCAAAGCTATGATTCAACTCGCAAGATTTGAAATATTTCAAAAGAAAGAGGCAGTTGAGAAATTCAAGCCATTGATCGATCATCTCACCAGTTGTGACCATACTATATTTTTGAATGAACTATCCAAAATCTGTGAATGGGATAGAATTAGAGATGACCTTTATGTATGGATCCCTGTTTTAAATAGAATCGATGAAACTTTAACTTCTATCATTGATAAATATGGTTATAAGACTACAGATTTCAAGAAAAAGGCTGTTAAATTGACATGCATGGAACCCGATGACATTGCTATATGTGTAACAATGATGGAATTTACCTGCCGTCTCTTATATAACACAGAAAATCGATTTATTTACTCGTCTATGGATGTGATGAATACTTTACTGAATTGTCCTAATTTTGAAATAAAACTATGTGCAATAAAAATTCTTGCGATAGTTGGGGAAAGGTACCTTATTGCTAGAGAGAGGATTGACTCTGAGAATGTACTAAGTCATCTGCATCTAAAGAAAAAAGCACTTAAATTGGCATTAACACTACCGTCATCCGTTTCCGACGAAACTGGAAACCATGTGACGTTAGTGGATCTTTATACGACCAAGAAATCATATCCTGAGAAATGGTCCAAACTAAGGTTTAACTATTTTATTCCTGAAAAAGATACTGATGATAATGGCGTCACAAACTCTCAAACTTCTATCTCATCAAATATGAAAAAATTCATATTGAGTACAGAAGATCTCCAGAATAATTCATTGCAACAACTATTTAATAAGGGTATGAAAGTCTTACCCTGTGAGCATTGGTATGATTTTTCACTCAAAGTGTCTGTTGCCAAGTCCTTCTGTAACAACTCAGATGAAAATGAAAAACTAAGGAACCTAATAGTAAGGACCAAGTTTAATACCGTTGCATACATTAACACAGTTTATGCACCTCCGCAAGTTAGTTCGAAACTATTCGAGGTTGACCCATATACATTTAACAGCTTATCAGACTTCATATCATTAGCTGAACCTCGGATCCCTTCAAAATTACGTCTTGATTGTCTTTTTGCATTGGAATGTATATCAATAAAGCATATTTGGTGTTCTGATATAATGAGAAACCTGGGTGGTAACCTATCCCATGGTACACTATTCCAAATTCTACGCCAAATATCAAATTTGCTAAGAAGCGATAGCGATGAGATTAACGAAGAATATAATGTAAGATTTTTTTATCTAATCTCTAATCTTGCCGATGTCCCGACTTTACACAATTCTCTCTTATCTGCGGGACTTATTCCATGCCTCCTGGATACTATTTCAATTAAACACTCCAGGTATAGACGTACATTGGCTTCAGCTACGCATTTGCTAGAAGTATTTATCAATAATGCAGATTCCACATCCGAATTTATTACAAATGATGGATTTAATGCGCTAATTAATTCAGTAAATGATGAAGTTAATTTCGCCATTGAAAATCCGACATATGGAAAACCATCGAAATACAACCTAGAGGAGTATACAATATCATTCAGGCAACAAGCTTATATCCGAAGTCTGTTAAAACTAGTTATGAAATTGCTAAAAACAGACTCTGGGGACAGAATAAGAAATTTGATTGACTCATCAATCTTATTCTCTATGAAAAAGATCCTGGAAAATAGTCAAATATTTAGCTACACATTGGTCACTTACACTCTTGATATCATCCAAAGGGTAATAAATAGTGAGCCAACGATATATCCAGTATTGGTAGAAGCAGAACTGATTCCATATATTTTTGATAATTTCGGCAGTTTTGTCGCACCATCAGATGACTTATTGCTAATACTCCCTGATGTCATATCTGCATTATGCTTAAATGTTGAAGGCTTAGAACAGGTAAAGGAAAAAAACTTCGTACGTTACTTGTTCGGTATGATTACAAACCCAAAGTATGCAAAATTACTTGCGTGGAACGAAGAATCTTCTGACTACGGAACTGCTATAGACGAGCTCTCTAGACATTATCCTGATCTCAAAGAACAAATATTAAATGCTTTTTGTGATTTAATTCGTAATATCCCCAAACATCTGTCATTTAGGCAACCTTTCCTCTACAGATCTTCTAATAAAGGTGCTATGTTCTATTATTCGAAAGATGAGACAGTTGTTGATAATGAAGATAATGAGAAAGAGCTAGAGTTTTGGGATATTCAAGAAAGTTCCTCCATAATGGAATGTTTTTCTAGTGTATTTTATGGTATGGGGCTGGAGAATACATCCTTGGATAAATTCACGCAAAAAATGGATATCCAAGACTTGATCCCAATATTGGATATAGAAAGGCCACCATTTGATTTTTCAGCCTCACAAGCAATGCTTAATATAACAGACGCTTTACAGTTATTTGATGAACAGGATAAAAATTATGCGTTTACTCCACTTCTCATGTTATTAGAGAAAAAACTAAAAAATATCGTGCTGTTTTTGCAATACAAAGACTCAGAGAGCTTTTTTCTTTCTTCAACAAAAAATGGTAAAGATGAACAATTACATCACGTTGATAATATTTTGGGTGAGTTATCGGGCCTGACATCTCTGTTATACATTATTACAACAGTATACTTAAATTTTTCATCTTTGTCACCTACACGGTTATTACAGATCACGGATTATTTTGATGAAAATGGATTTAAATTAATCGAGTATATCGGCTTGTTATTCAGGAGATGCGCTATGGAAGAAATGTACATACGTCAATGCTTACCCGATTCGGTAAACGATGAAACAACACCTGGTGATTTATTCAATCTGCCTCCAATAAAGATATACGCTAATGATCCCAAGAAAAATGAAGTTAAAGACAACAAAACGAGTACTAAATTTAAGAACACTTACGAAACGAGATTTTTACTTTCCAAATTGCAGACTTATTCATCGATGCTTTTCAGATGTTTTCTAAGGTTAACACACACCCGTAATACTGACATTGAACTGAGCGACAAAAGTATTGAAATCAGGATATTCGATAATACGATACAACAACTAATAAACATGCTCAAAATTGGACTTACACGTGAAAATGTATCTTTTTATTTGGTATTACTTCATTTCAATACCTATGTTATGACCTACTCCAGGACAGCAGTGGCCAATAATGATATCCTTCAAACATTACCTGCAGTATTGTTTTATCAAAAAGGAGGCTATTACTTATATTCGAGTATTGTTATCAGATTGTTTCAGTATAACGAAAGCTCTAAAATACCTAGCTCTGTTGACGAGATGTATTTTGTGAAAAATACACCCGAAATCTTATCTGCAAGTTGCATTATCAATGCTCTAAGCTTCATCAACAGATCTATGAGAACGGATAATATGGAGAGTGTTAAAAATGCCGAAACATATTATCCATTTGTCGAAAAGAGGTACGACCTTGTTTCAACTCTCTCGTCGTATGTCAAAAAATTAGCCCTTGGGATGATAATCGAATTGAGTCACAATTATAATATCTTTAATTTATCTGGTAGATCGATACCTTACAATATCTATAAGGGTCTTTTAACAATAGTCTCAAATATTTTTACGTCTTCTGGTTCAGATGATAAATGCGTACTACATGAACTAAAATGGGAACTAATTCCTCCTTCATTCAAAAAAATTGAAGTTTTAATGTCTGCAGGTTTAAATAAAGATGTTGCAAAGGCTTATTTGGAAGAACACAATGATATATTTCCCACCGTGCGGGACCCATCTACGTTCAATGAAAACGAATGGGAGATATTAAAACTCAAAATAAAGCAGTACGAGTCCGATACTACAATCAAAAATTCCATTATTAAAAATAATCCAGATGAAACTACGCTTGATCAAATGCGAGAACAATTTTACAAGAATTATTTCAAAGAAACCTTTTTTAACGTGCTTCCTTTTTATCCAAAACTAATAAATTCCTTTGCACAAACTTTGTTGCAAATTTTAGATTGTATAGGGCAACCGTTAAAGATGACAGCTGAAAGTATATTTGAGAGAATAAACAAAACAAAACTGGAAGAAAAATCTACCCTATCCTCGTTGATTCATATATTTGGGATAATCCTAAACGACAAAAAAATAATGGAACATAGTTCTGATCTCTTTAAGCAATATGTCTTTTTCATTGAAACTAATTTAAAGGCTGAACATGTAAATGCACAATGGTATTCCAAAGCTCTTTATGCTTATGAAGTTATACTGGTAAAATCCGATTTACCAGTACCAGAAACATTAAGAGAAGATGTGAAAATAAAGTACTATTTACCTTCCCTACCTTTATATTACCATATCAAGGATGACGTTAGACAGCGTATATTTAATAACATTATTCGTGTGGGCGAAATTACAAACTTTTATTCTGCTGTTTCTCTAACAAGGGTATTGCTGTTGTACGGAAAATCAGAAAATAATGTCAATGATATCATAAATTCGGGAATATTAGCCAAATTATTGAAAGTAATTGGTATATACCAGAAGTACGAAAAAATAAACTTTTTGGAAGCAGCGTATTTACTCCTTGTAAGAAGATGCTTCGAATCTCCAAATGTTATCTCGAAGTTAATAAACCATGAAATTGAAAAAAGCTTTACAACAAGAACATTGGCAGCAAAATCTGACAGAGAACGTGAATTAATAAGCCTATTGGAAGAAAAGCCTCAAATTATTGCAAGAAACCCAAGAATTTTTGTTGAGAATTTAACTCGGACTACCCATTTACTAGATTATGATTCTGAAAATACATTATGGGATTTTACATTGAAAAGAGATTCTATAAGCGAACTAAAAATGCTTGATTCGACTGATGAGACCCAAAAATTGGAAGACATTTCTGGAAAGAGGAGTGGGATAATTCATCTTCTACTGTCCCAACTAATGGCAGCATCTAAAAAGGATTGGTTATCAGAACCTGCCAATATTCCATCAAATTCGAAACATGGGATTGTAAATCTAGAGAAACCTGATCCATCAAGGAATCCGGTATGTGCCTACATGATATTTTTATTGAAGCTATTAGTAGAGCTTGTAGCAAGTTACAAACAATGTAAATACGAGTTCTTAACATATGATAGACGCCACCTTTACACAGAGCATCCAAAACCTAGATCTACTTCGTTAAATTTTTTCCTTTACCAAATTTTAGATAATCCGATAGTAGATGACCACGATAAACATCAAGCTAAGAGAAGAGAAGTGATCAGTATGCTTGCAAGATCCGTAATCGTGGGATTCATTTCTTCTGTACGTGACGAAAAAAATGAGAAGTTAGACCCCAAAATTGTTGACCCAGATATGTCGTATATTAGAAAATTCACTATTGAGGTAATCATAAAGGCATTGAGATCTGTTACTGAAACAGAAAAAACACTAGAGGAAAATGTGAGCAAAATCGAGACATGGTTTAATATTATTTCTCTTATGCTATATATACAAGCACCATATCTGCGCCCATTGGTAGATTCTAATAAAACAGATGCAGACCGTTATCAAATATGTAAGCTAATGATTGAGCTGAATGTTCCTACCATGATTACTGACTGTATGTCCGTTTTTGATATTAACTATCCTTTCTGCAAAAAATTATTCAACAGCGGTGTTGAAGTATTGAATGCTATTAACACAACGAGAAGTGATTTTGAAAATTTATTTAGGGTAGAGAATCACGATGAGGAAGATGATGTCGATGAAGAAACCGATAAAGAGGATGTAACAAATATGTTCAAAAACTCGTCATTAGGAATGTATGATGTTGATGATGTCGAAGAAGACGACGAAGACGATGAAGACGAGCTTGGCAATGACTCTTTAATAGGAGAGGATGAAGACATTGCATTTGTGGATAATGATGGAAGTGGATTTGAGGTTGTATTCAGTGACGATGACATAGGCACGGAAGCAGGTGTGGAATCCGATTACTCAAACGCAGATTCTGATTATCCCGTCCAAGATGAAATTGATGGTGCCTCATTAGGTTTTGATATCGGTGACCGGGGTATTGAAATTGACATGGTTAGTTCAAATGATAGCTTTAGCGAAACAACAGAGTCATCTCAGGAAGGATCATCTGCTTATGGCAGTGAAGGTGAAAACGAAAGTGAGATTGACGTAGTAAGTCTTAGTGACAGCGATGACATCAATATCGATTTAAGTGAGTACAGTATCGAAGATTCAGACTGGGAATCTGGTATTTCCGATCTGTCATCAGTTAGTGATAATTCTAGTGAATCTGATGATAGCGATTTACATGAGGTTATCAGTAGATCTACCAATGGAAGAAGAGTTTGGACATTTGGCGACGGTGCAGAACTAGAAGACGAATCGGACACCGAATCGCGTGGAGTTTTCCAAGGCATTGAGCATACATTTAATCCAGATACACAAAATCTCTTTAGAATAAACGATGCAATGGATCTTGGTAGTAGACATCATAGATCATCGCGCAGAAATCCACGTGCCCCAATGATTCCACCTTCATTGACATTATTGAATGGAAACAGGCGAAATCAGAGTAACTTGATTAACCCGTTGAGTCCCTCCGGTCTAGAACAAGTAGAATCGGAAATTACCGAACAACTCTCTAGTATCCGGTCTGGAGTTCGTCGGAGGACTAGTAGAACTCATTTTGCCGATGTCTTACTTTCTGGTGAGTTGTATAATGATAATGCTGTTGAAGGAATTGTTTTAAAATCCTCGATATTTAGATGGAGGGATGCGTATGATATGTTTTACGATTCAAAAAACTATGGGTTGTACCTTATTAGTAATATTCTGAATAATATTTATTCCAAAAGTCTCGATCTAAATATGCGGTTGACGAAGGAGAGAAAGCAAAAAGAGCAGGAAACTGCTGATACGCACAATACTTCTACAGAAGATGAAAGTGATTTGCATGATTATTCGTCCGGTGATGACCATATCAATGGGGCTGGGGATATTTCTATAATTGAACACCGTTATCACGCTAACTCACACATAGATATAGAAGGAAATATTATCGACCATGAGCCAATCTACGTTACAATTGATGGCGCTTCAGTAGATATCGGCGGTACCGATATAGATCCTGAGTTCTTTAATGCTCTTCCAGATGATATGAGGTCCGAAGTTTTTGCCCAACATGTGGGACAGAGAAGGGCAGAATTAATCAATGATGGCGATAACAATACCCAGCATAATAGAGAAATAGATCCTAACTTCTTGGAGGCATTACCTCAGACACTGCGTAATACTATTGTAAACCAAGAAGATATCGCATCAGAAGAATTACATCACACAAATCGACCAGCCTCTTCAAATCATAGGGACAGCAACGAAGCAACTAGCCGTCATAATATTACGTCTGTCGAAAGCAATACCAATGCCAATCATATAATGCCTGAATATGTCGGTGATAGTTTGGGCCAAAATGAAGAAGAATCAAGCAAGAAAAAACACAATCGAATTTATTTTGATAATCTATTGGATCGGACAGGTATTGCAGCATTAATGAAAACAATATTCATACCCCAGCCATATATCAAGCGAGAAATGTACCATGAATTATTTTCTCGTCTTTGTTTGAGCAAACAAAACAGGAGCGATATTATTAATCTCTTATTATTAATTTTAACTGAAGGTACCTGTGATCAAGCGTCTTTGGAAAAAATGTATAATGTTATTAATTCCCGTGGTAACCGTTATACCAAACCCCAATGTAATTCTCAACGTCAACTTCCTCCTGATTGTACACCTTTAGTTGTCACTAATCAAACTATTGAGATATTACAGAATTTAATTGATTCGGATAACCGCTTGAAATTTTTCTTTATTACAGAACATGACAATTTAATGATAAACAAAACTTTAATGAAATCCAAAAAAGAGAATTCAGTGAAAAATGAAAGATGGCCAATTAAATATCTCGTTGACTTACTAGATAGAAAATTAATAACAGATGAAACAGTACTAATGGATTTACTTACAAATATTTTACAAACATGTACGAAGCCCTTATTAGCGATGGTAAAGAATTCAAAACAAAATCCAACTAAGAAAAAGTTCCAGACCCCAGATTTTGATAAGGATGACTTTGAAAAGATTGTGTCCATTATAAACCTAGATAGTTGTAATACAAAAGTGTTTCAACAAACTTTAAATACCATATATCATTTATCATTTATTGATAATGGGTTGATGTATTTCACTGAAAGACTTGTAAACAATGCCAAATCTACTGCCAATAATCTATTTTATGATCTTACACAGCTTTCTAAGATAACATCAAAAGGAGTTAACGAACCTGATACTGGTAGCGAATTAGTTCAGAAAATAATAGTCCCTAGTTCTGATCAGGCTAAGCTATTAAAGATTCTGACAGCAGTTGATTACTTATACAACCATAAAAGATGGGATGATGATCCAAACATGGAAAAGCTTTCTGATATTTACAACAAGATGGAACTAGGTAAAATTTGGGGTTCACTGAGTAAGTGTTTATCAGAGTTTGAAGAAAGAAAAGACTTAAGTACATCAGCTACAATTTTATTACCTGCTATTGAATCATTGATGGTCGTCTGTAAGCATTCTGATATGACAAATACTAGTAATCAGCTGAAGAAGATTGAGGAAGATGAGTTGGATTTTTCCAAGATTAATGTTGAAAATCTATTCTTTCCCTTCACGGACACTCATAAGAAACTCTTAAATCATATGATTCGTTCAAACCCAAAATTAATGAGTGGCCCATTTTCATTACTGGTTAGAAATCCAAAAATTTTGGATTTTGATAATAAAAGATATTATTTCATAGCAAAATTGAACATTGATGACAAGACGGCTCCAAAATTACCTGTGAGTGTTAGGAGGGAACAAGTGTTCTTAGACTCATATCGTTCATTATTTTTCAAAAATAATAATGAGATTAAAGATTCCAAACTAGAAATTACATTCAAGGGAGAAAGTGGTGTTGATGCAGGTGGTTTAACAAGGGAATGGTATCAAGTTCTCTCTAGACAGATGTTTAATCCTGACTATGCGTTGTTCTTACCTATTGCTTCAGACAAAACAACATTCCATCCGAATAGAAGCTCAGGGATAAATCCGGAGCATTTATCATTTTTTAAGTTTATTGGTATGATTATTGGAAAATCAATTAGAGATCAATGCTATTTGGATTGCCATTTTAGTAGGGAAGTTTATAAAAATATCCTTGGGAAACCTGTATCATTGAAAGATATGGAATCGATTGACCCGGATTATTATAAATCTTTGGTTTGGATCTTGGAAAACGATATAACAGATATTATTGAGGAGACGTACTCTTTGGAAACAGACGACTATGGTGAACATAAAATAATTGATTTAGTCGAAAATGGTAGAAATATACCAGTTACTAATGATGATAAACAAACCTATGTTCAAAAAATTATCGATTATAAATTGCACAAGTCAGTTCAAGAACAAATGGACAACTTTTTGTTGGGTTTCTACGCCTTAATCCCCAAAAATCTGATTTCCATTTTTGATGAACAAGAAATTGAGTTATTAATAAATGGGTTACCAGATATTGATGTGGATGATTGGAAGAATAACACCAACTACGTTAATTTTACTGCAAATAGTAAAGAGGTGAGCTACTTCTGGAGAGCAGTTAGATCATTTGACTCAGAGGAGCGTGCTAAGTTATTACAATTTGTTACTGGTACCAGTAAGGTACCACTAAACGGATTTAAAGCATTGAGTGGGGTAGGCGGTGTATGCAAGTTCTCAATTCATAGAGATTACGGATCAACTGAAAGATTGCCCTCCTCGCATACTTGTTTCAACCAACTAATTTTACCTGCTTATAACTCATACGATATGCTACGTCGTTTACTCCTTCATGCTATTACCGAAGGTTCTGAAGGGTTCGGATTGGCATAGGCGAATTATCATTTAAACAAAATGTGAAATTCATATACTATATATAGAATAACTATTATCTTTTAAACTAGCTATTACTTCTTTATTCTCTTCAGATATTTTATTTATATATAATTTGATTTTTATTACATGTTTTTTTTTTCTTTTTAACATTCAATTATATATGGGAGCTATTTCCCCTAAGAAATAGGCAGAATGAACTTGTAAAAACAGATAAGGGAGTCGCTACTTTCCTAATTCCTTTTTTATTGTCCAAGGTTAATTTCTTTTAAGAATAAAATATATCAAATATTTAGATAATACAAAAAGCACAATTTAAAACATAAAGTTTTTTGGTTTGTATGGTTCTTCTAAGTAGTCAATATCTTCAGAAGACAACTTAACGTTTAAAGCCTGTAACGCATCATCTACTCTTTCAGTGGAACTTAACCCTAAAATAGGTGTACAACCCTTAGCAATGGACCAAGCAGTCGCGATTGCAGCCATAGTGACATTCTTCCTTTTAGATAATTCTTCAACACGGTTAACTATTTGAACTTCATTGTCTTCTAAAGTATCCAAATGTCTGACTTCAATTAATCTATCGGCCTTAAATCTAGTGGTATTTGTGTTGTTAACTGGTCTTGTTAGAACACCACGTTGTAGGGGAGACCATGGAGTCAAGGCAATGTTATGCTTCTTACAGAATTGGTTCAAGTCTCTTTCGTCTTCTCTATATAACAAATTATAACATGATTGGACGTTAACAAATTGGTGCCAGTTATATTTGTCTGCGGTTAATTGCATCTCAACAAACTGAGTAGGTAACATAGATGAAGCCCCTATGTACCTGACATCACCGCTTTCTACAACGTAATTTAAGGCTCTCATGGTCTCCTTAATTGGAGTATGAGGATCAAATCTATGGATTTGGAGAACATCAATGTAAGTTCCCAATCTCTCAACTGAATTCTTAACTGCATCTAAAATATGTTTACGTGATAAACCTTCACTATTAACTAAATCCAATTGAATAGAAGCATCTCTATTAGCTCTGTCAGCAGAAAGAGGTAGAGCTTCGTCAGTAGCGAAAAAAACTTTAGTCATAATAATGACAGTCTCCCTTCTAATATTGTACTTTTTTAAGAATTCACCAACTAATCTTTCACTCATACCGTTGGAATAGACATCAGCAGTATCAAATGTACGCAAACCACTATCGTAACAATGTTTAAGAATGGTAAAAACCTTTTCCTTATCTTCTTCGACCCATTCAGACCAGAACTTAGTACCATAAGACATACAACCAATGATGATTGGTGATATCTTGATACCTGTATTACCGAAAGGAACTTGCTTGGCTAAAGACATTATAATTTGTTTTCTTATAGTCTGCTTTTAAATAATTATTTGTTGAGTATTCAGAAAGTCATTTATAAAATAAAATTATTTGAATGAAATTATCAGAATGCAATTATCAGAATGCAATTATCAGAAAGAAATTGTATTTTCCATTTGGGAATGAGCTAAGTCGTGCCAATCCCTTTATATATGTTGAAGAAAACTTAAGTAATTTTAAGGATCTGATATTACTTAAGTATGTTGTCGGCCGAAACAAATCGTACTACAATTGAAATTTTGCAGTATCTCCGAAATCATGTGCTGACATTCATTCGTTTTTCGGCCGAAGAAAACAATAAGAAAAATATTACGATAGGTTGTACGAATCAATAATATAGGGGTTCTTCGAGGGTTTCTTTTGAAGTGGAAGGTTAGTTTAATATTCCATACGAAGATATAGTCAGACAAGTATACTCAAGAAGTATTATTCCGAGAGACTAAAAGTCGCAGTCGGTGATTAGGCTGTTCTAATACTGTAATAATTATCAGTTAAGCTTTTTAAAAAACGGCACGACATTTTCATACAAAGGTGCCACCCTGTGACAGATATATCCTTCTGTTTATAGAATGTGAATGAAAACAGGAAATTATCTTTAATTTATGTTTTTATTATATAACACAGCATGTTTACTAATCATATGACAAGCACTGCCAAGACTATTGTCGAAAAAGCTTGTTAATAATTCTGTTTAATCTATTTTTTTATATATTGTATTTAGCACTCTACAACTATTTCTCAAAAACCAATAGTTGTAACTACTACAGAATTGATATTGCGATTCAGGTCTAACAGTCTCTTGCTCGTCATAGCCTTTCAATTCACTATTTATATAGAGTGTGACCTCTGAGAATGAAAAGAGATTGGACTGGGTTGAACGGTAAATTTGGAACAGAATCCCATATTCAGTTTACATAATTGTATTCTTCATCCTACTAGTAGTTTGGCTATCAACAAATATGTAGGCAACTAAATGTATTTGACAAATGTCGACTGATGTAACTGTAAGTACATAATATGTATTTCGCAAGGGGTGTAGCAGTAAGCATTTAATATTTTTGGTAATGCTGGAATATTATATTTTGACTAATATGACCAATGGATGTCGGAAATAATAAAGTAACAGAACTATATTACTACACTATGAATTATAGTATTCGTTGATAATGGCACACTCCAAACGCCTTCTTGCAAACCATCACTAGGATTTTGAGGCACTATAATAAATCAAACTCTTTCCTAAAAAGGAAACCTTTAAAGACAGAAAATTTTTCAACATGTCATCGATGGATAAGTGTCATAATCATGACAATGACAAATCCACTCGAATATATGGAATAATAATTCAGACTTGAATTAAATAACTTCTATTATTTAAATTGCAGAGAATCTGAGTTAGAGTTTTTACTCTCAGTTGATTCTTTAATTTCTTGTTTGTTAGTTAAATGTAATTCGGACATTTTTGATATGATACTTGATCGGTTATTTTAAATTATATAATCTTCAAATTACTTAATCATAAACATTTCTTTACAATATTTTTGGACTAAGTGTCACAGTAAGTTACTCTTAGTTTCTGACATAAATGTATAATATTATGTAAATTAGAATTAAAAGAAAGGGACGACAAATTCCAGCCTAAACCTTTCAGAATAAAAATACTGTTCACTAATTAATTAACAATGAGTAGTCAAAATACTAATGAACCGTTACGTAAGGAAGATTACCTAATAGATGAGAAGCTGATTAAAAGAAATTAAAATTATATAAATACGAGTCATTCTGAACTTACTATCTGAGTTAAAATTCATTCGTTCTGTACATTAAATAAGAAATAACAAATCACTTACAAAATTAGAACAAAAGGAACTCATACAGTTACTATAAAACTTACTATCACCGAAATAATCTTCATTACCAATCAATACTTACTTAATATGCAAAACTAATCCGAATCTAACATCAATATGTCTGCTTCAGCTCAGATTTCTGTCGGAAAACTGGGAATTAGAGAATAATAATAGTATATATATTTACTGTAGGTCAGGACTAGGTGTCCGTTGCTAGCAGCAGAGCTCCTCTCCCTCCTATCAGAGAGAGATGTGAGAAAGTGTAATATATAATTCTATATAATTTGGAAAACGGGTTCCTTTATATACAGAAATTTTCACAGCAATATCGCATTGTACGAAGATCACTGTGTGTCACACTGTGATATAATTTCCAACAT